ATTTGATGATTAGTAGGAGATGAAATTATGTATTGCTATGAATATCGGTTTGATGGGTCGTCCTCGTGTCACCGTACCAAATCAAGTTAATGGAGCTCTTGATTACGAGAGAATAAATAAGGATATTAGTCCTAAGATATAAAAATTAATCCAAAATTTATAGAATATTATTAATAAACATGCACCAAACTTAATTTGGATCGATGTCCGTCGGTAATTATTATTAAAATCTTAAGTTAAGCGTGGTTAGGTTTATGGTCAACATCTGCAAGTTGAATGAGTCGGTATTAATCTCTCTTAGTAATATATTTGGGATTTACTTGAAAGTTAAAACTACTATCCACAAAATGTTTAAATAGAAGCTGATAGGAAAAACCAAAAAAATCTGATTGAAAGAAAACAATTATATCGAGAAATTTTCTTTTCTAAATCAAAATTATTTTAACCAAAATAACAGTATAATTTAATGGTTTGTGTTGGTGTTATCAATGTATCATTATTTAAATTCAAATCCGCATAGTACATATTGTTAGACAAAGAAAAAAAAAGAATCGTTCACTCGATCTTAAGGGTGACAATGGTATTTTTGTATGTATCTTCACTTCTTAGACTATTAATAAGTTCTTGTTTCACTCGCATATTTATTTGTCTCGTGTGTAAGTTTGTCGTATGGTCGAAGAAGGCAATTCACTTAAGGCATTAGGTGAGGTATAGTAATACGAGTTTTCCTTCCTGAATACGACGTCGTTTTCCAGTTACACGTATCAAGGCTTTATTTGATCGGACCCAGTCACAGTCTCACTCACTCAAATGTGACTAAGAGTTATTTTTTTCGCCAAAAAACAATATTACATTAAATTATCGGGCGAAAACTTTTTTTTAGAGAATCAAACTGGAACCGATAAGCTTATATGAAGAAATAGAAAACTTCGTATTTTTGTTTTTTCAGTTAAACAATCGGTACGAACATTTTCGTAACATGAAATAAATTTAATATAAAAATGAGAACGAAAACTTTAGAAACTTGAAAAGTTGAATCTCTACTACAAATGTAGGTCACTCTGCTGGATTATCTAAAATGTATATGAGTTCAGAATAATCTGAGCCAATGTGATGAGGCACTAAGAGTTAAAATGTTTATTATAATACGACTATACGAAACTGACCCACCATGGGTTCCACCTGGTTCAGTAATCGTTTTGTACGGGTCATGACTCGATCAGATACAAAGGCCAAACAGCACGGGTCATGACCCGACCATGGACTGTCGATATGTTTTTACGTTCATCAAGTCGCATCGTTATTACATAATTTTTCATTTGGACAGATAAAACATGACAAATATACAGGATATATGTCGTATTTTTGGCATAGGGATTGCTGTAAAATGTTACTCCCTCTGTTTTTTAAAAGTTGTCGTTTTAACTGTATTTAGACAAATTAAGAAAATGTATACAATGACTATATTAACCTCATAAAAATGACAAGTAATTATTTACAAATAATTTGTGTTTAATTAAATGAGGGTAATTTGGGTAGTTATTGGCATAAGTTACATTATTACCTTAAAACGACAACTAATTTAAAACAAAAAAAATGCTCTAAAACGACAACTATTCGAAAACGGAGGGAGTATTATGATTATTGAGATAAAGCGTATAATTGATCCACACACGTACTAATGACCCTAGATAATGTAGACATATCACGTGAGGAAAAGCGCGTTACGTGGTCTTTTTATATTTGGACCCATCTCTAATTGCTTTTTAACTATTCAACTTATACTATATTCTTCGTCAGTTGTCACTATAAAAATTACGCGATTCAACACAGCTCATCATATTCCAAACTTGCTTAGAAATCATAAACTTTTTACGCTTTTATTTTTTAATCTTCATATAATACTTTACTGTTTTTTTTTTTATTATTCGTCTTCATGAAGTTAGAATCTTTGGATATTTTTAAACTAAGCATATTATAAAGAATCAGATTCAACGATATCGTATTCTATCAACAATTTATTGAAGGATGATAGTGAATAATTTTACTTGTTGTTACGGGCGAGTGAAGCTAAGAATAAATAGCTAAATCAAAAAAAAAAAAATAGCTAAAGCAGATCACAGCCGTCAGATTGATTCTGAGATTGGATACTGTACAACGCAGACTACAGTAAGACCAAACTGGTAAACGTGTGAAACCAAGCCACGTGTTTTCTTTGCTGTCAAGCTGCTGTGTTTGATTTCGACAATAGTTGGATGTTGACTTTTTTTTTCTCTCTAACAATATTAATTCTAAAAGCTACATTTATATTCACAAAAATTTCGAAGACAGAACAATCAAAAACTAATTGACACAATTTATGTTTTAATTATAAAATATTTCCTGAATTTAATTCGGGTGGTGAGCATCATTATTTCAATTAAACCATAAGTTGTTTATCTCATTAAAAAAAAGTGGATAAAATGTGTAGGTAGACAGTAGACATATTAGATGATATACCTAATGCAATTATTTATGATTATTATGTAAAGTCGAAGCTATTTGATCTTATTTTAATTAGGAAAATGACCTCAATAATCATATTCGTTTATACTTTACTCTTCATGTCTCGTTCTTTACAAACGAGAAATAATGTCTGCTTTTATAATTTAATAAGTCGTTATATAGGAACGAGAAATTTGTGGCCAAAAAAAGGAACGTGAAATAGTATCGCTTTTAATATGAAAATAATTCGTTATATCAGTTTTTTGGTTGTTCAATTAATTTTCCAAATTTTAATTAAAATTGAAAAGTCATATATATATTTTCCTTTACTTTTCGGTCCGTCGAATTGCTATTTACAGACTGTAGTGTACAAACTTTGTTCGCTGGCTTGTCTCTAAAACTATATGAATGCAATTGTAAAGAGTTAGGACCATCACTGAATGAATTTAATAATTATATAAACATTTTCATGCATTTTTGGTTGTTCGTAGCAAATGACAAAAACTCAGATTTGTCTTTATTCTCTATTTTTGGGAGGTAACAAAACTAGAAATGATAGTCCTTTAAATTTTCGTTAAGTGTGAGTAGGCCTGGGCATAAAACCCGAAATCCGAAAACCGATCCGAAACCGATCCGAAAAATCCGGAACCGAACCCGAACCGAATAGTCACAAAATCCGAACGGATAATGAATTCTCCTATCCGAATTACCCGAACCGAACCCGATCCGAACCGAAAACCGAAAGGATATCCGAAAACCGGAAATAAAAATTATATATCCAAAAATATTAGTTATATTTAGTTGTAATTTTATAGCAAATAACAAAAATATCCTAGATTTCGGAAATTTTTTAGTTATATTTGTTAAAATTATACATATTTTTGCAAAATTTAACCAAATTTTAGTAAGATTAAACCAATTTTTATTTAAATTGAACTATTTTTAAGTTTTTTTTTCCCGAAAACCGATCCGAATCCGACATCTATCCGAACCAAAACCGAACCAATGACTCATAAAATCCGAACGGATAATAAATTCTTCTACCCAAATTATCCGAATCCGAATATATCCGAACCGAAACCGAACCGAAAAATCATAAAATCCGAACGGATAATAAACTCTCATACCCGAATTATCTGAATCCGAATATATCCGATCCGAATCCGATTTGAAATCCGAATGCCGAGGCCTAAGTGTGAGATAAGGTTTAATTAAACGAGTGGAAAACAAACGCTTCAAATAAATATCTCCGTTTCCCATATTTAGTCCATTTAGTTACTTACCATAATCATTTTGAAATTTATTTACTCGTATTAAAACACACAGATTTCATATAACTAATCATTCACGATGTAATCAGTCAAAGTAATTAAAAGAAAAACCAGTCAAATTTCTTGATGTAAACAAAAAAAACGCGAAGATAAATTTGTTAGGAGAACACATTTAATGAACATTAATTTATGTATATATCTTCCAGCAAAATCTCACTTTAATGAAGTGCATTTTCATCAGCATAAATCGTCTGTGCTAAATATAATCTGTCCCGTTTATTTTAATTTATATAAATGGAACATTTTATTAAATATCATTACATGCTTCAAATATTTGTAGTGGTGTATGCTTCAAATATTTGTAGTGGTGTAAACAGTATGATCACGATGTTAAGATAAAAATCATAAAACAGATAAAAACGTTTATTTTTCAAAATGATCACATACAAATTTTTGTATTCAGTAACAAATAAACGCTTTTCACAATTGAAAGTCTAAAGTTTTCGAAAACGTCAATGGCTTAGGTTTATATTGTTCAGGTCTTCTATTAATAGGATTGTATAAAAAGGAACCACATGTGATACATGTCATTGTTTGGCTATCATCGTGATAAGAAATTTGGAAAAAGCCTATCTATTCATTCCCTTAAGAAAATAGGCTACTCTGTGTATACGGATTTAGTATTTTTTATTTGTTTCGACTCAACACAGAATTATTATTGATTAACAGTATTAGAAATAATAGTATATAGAATTCAACTAAAATTGAATTATTGGTATTTATTAAAAGATTATTAAGGAGGGTAAAGAAATAGGAGAGAAAAAGAGAGAGAGAGAGAGAGAGAGAGAGAGAGGTAACGATTAGTTTAAAGGAGAGCCTCTGCTACGTTTTAGGCTTTGAAGTGATACAGAAGGCATTAGATAGATAGATTATTTTCACCATCACCATCACCGCCACTATCACACCATAACCCACCACTCTTTCTCTTCTTCTCCTTCTCTCTCTTTCTCTGTATCAAGAAACAGAGAGTTTTGATTCTCTCTGTTTTCAAATCTGTTTCTTGATATTAATGATTCACTAAGCTCTCTTGCTTTCGGGAGGATTCTGTTTTCACTGCTGCATTTTGGATTTTTTTCCGGTGAGTTTTCTATTCTTTTCTCTTCTTTCGATTCTACATTTTTTCGGAATTTTGATTCGAAATCGGAAACTTTATATTATATATGCTCTGTTATTAGTTCATTTACAAAAAAAAAAAAAAGATTTATCGGCGTCGGTGACTTTTGGTTTTTGAGATTTGACTGTTGAGAAGAAAAAAACGTCGGTGATTTGGTTTTCGAGGTATTTTTGTTTGTGTTCTTGCGTGATTTCTTCTTGTGCCATTTGTTTGGCTTTATGTCCTGAAGTTACTGATTCTAGTAATGGCTTTTGTCCACATTTTACTTGAAATTTGGAGGTATTCCATCATTAGTTTGATTCCTCTCTCTCTTTTTCATTCATTTTTTACAAGTGTTCAAAGTTCATCGAAATCAGAATTTTCTAGTCGATTGCGATCGTTGGTACTCTTTGCTCTCGATCTCTGTTTTTTTTTTTTTTTACTTTGTTTACTTTCTCGCATTTTGCTTTCTGATTTGACTTCACCACTTGTTTAGGAAAGTTCATGATTATTTGCAGTCCATAAATAAGAATCTTGGTTTTTTTTTTTTTTTTTCTGAAAATGTTGAATTGTTTGTTGATTATGAAGATGGATCGTAAGAGTTGGCCATGGAAGAAGAAATCATCAGAAAAAGCAGCTACTGTGACAGAAGTTGTTGATCAGGTACTTTAATCATAAAAACTTTCTCAGATTTGTTTTATTGAATTCTAAGATTTTGTGTTTTGATTCATAAAAAAAAAAAAAACAGGAAAATGGGAAGAAGCCAAGTTATGTCCAGATCTCATTTGATCAATACACGAATCTAAATGGTTTAAAAGATGAAGCTAAGAACTATGAAGAAAAAGTTTTAAAGCTTGAAGATCAGATCAAGGATTTGGATTTGAAGCTATCTACAGCTAATGCAGATATTGTAGCCAAAGAGGTTTTAGTCAAACAACATTCCAAAGTTGCTGAAGAAGCTGTCACTGGTAATTAACACAGAAATTTGCATGTGTGTTTTTTTTTTCTGAGTAACATGTTTTGATTGATGTTTGGTTTTGATTCAGGTTGGGAAAAAGCTGAAGCAGAGGCATCGGCTTTGAAAACACATCTCGAAACTGTTACGCTCGCGAAGCTCACTGTTGAAGATCGAGCAGCGCATTTAGATGGAGCACTAAAGGAGTGTATGAGGCAGATAAGGAGTTTAAAGGAAGAGAATGAACAAAAGCTGCATGATGTTATTGCTACTAAAACCAACCAAATGGATAATCTTAGAGCTGAGTTTGAGTCTAGGATTGGCGAATATGAGGAAGAACTGCTTCGGTGTGGAGCTGAGAATGACGCGCTTTCGAGATCGTTGCAAGAGCGTTCAAACATGCTTATGAGGATAAGTGAAGAGAAATCTCAAGCAGAGTCTGAGATTGACCATCTTAAGAACAATATAGAGTCCTGTGAAAGGGAGATTAATACTCTCAAGTATGAAACTCATGTGATTACCAAAGAGTTGGAAATCCGTAACGAGGAAAAGAATATGAGTATGAGATCCGCGGAAGCCGCAAACAAGCAGCATTTGGAAGGTGTCAAGAAGATTGCAAAGTTGGAAGCTGAGTGTCAAAGATTACGAACTCTAGTGAGAAAGAAACTTCCGGGTCCTGCTGCACTTGCACAGATGAAAATGGAGGTTGAGAGTTTAGGGTATGGAGATCATCGACAAGATCATCGACAAAGGAGGTCACCGGTCAGACCATCTAGTCCTCTTATGTCTCCAGTGTCACACATAACTCAGGTTTCCGAGTTCTCGCTTGACAATATGCAAAAGTTCCATAAAGAAAATGATTTGCTTACAGAGCGGTTACTGGCTATGGAAGAAGAAACAAAGATGCTGAAAGAAGCTTTGGCGAAACGTAACAGCGAGCTTCAAGTGTCGAGAAACCTCTGTGCTAAGACAGCTAACAGGCTACAAACCTTGGAAGCTCAAATGGTGAATAAAAGTCCAACTAAACGCGGCTTTGAAATGCCAGCTGAAATCTTCTCTCGTCAAAATGCTAGTAATCCTCCTAGTATGGCTTCAATGTCTGAGGATGGAAACGAAGATGCTAGAAGCGTCGCAGGCTCTTTGATGTCTGAACTCTCTCAATCCAACAAGGATAAAAACAACGCGAAGATCAAGAAGACCGAGAGTGCTAACCAGTTGGAGCTTATGGACGATTTTCTTGAAATGGAAAAGCTAGCTTGTCTACCAAATGGCTCAAACGCAAATGGTACGACGGATCACTCAAGTGCTGATTCCGATGCTGAGATTCCACCAGCGACGCAACTGAAGAAAAGAATCTCCACTGTGCTTCAGTCTCTCCCCAAAGATGCTGCATTTGAGAAGATTTTGGCAGAGATACAATGTGCAGTTAAAGATGCAGGTGTTAAGCTACCTTCTAAGTGTCATGGAGCTAATTTGAACGGTGTTACAGAAGAAAAGGAGATAGCAATGTCAAATGAGACCACAGAGGAAAAAGTTACCATTGTCGAGGTAATAACACAAGAATTGGCTGATGCTCTTTCTCAGATATACCAGTTTGTTTCCTATCTTTCAAAGGAAGCAACAGAGTGTCAGGACACGTTTTCTGAGAACAGAACTTTCTCTCAAAAAGTTCAAGAATTCTCTGTCACATTCGAGAGAGTCTTGGCCAAGGAGAAGACTTTGGTTGATTTTCTGTTTGATCTTTCTCGAGTTTTAGTCGAAGCTAGTGAACTAAAGATCGATGTGCTGGGATTTCACACATCCGCATTGGAGATTCACAGCCCAGATTGTATCGATAAAGTCGCTCTACCGGAAAACAAAGCACTTCAGAAAGATTCATCAGGTGAACATTACCAGAATGGTTGTTCTCAGAGCTCAGATTCCGAGATTCCAGATGATTGCAATGGAACAGCTGGCTATGAACCCAAGCTTGCAGCTAGTAAGTTTACATCAGAAGAGTTTGAAGGATTGAAACTCGAGAAAGAAAAAGCAGAGACCAACCTTGCAAGCTGTGAAGCAGATCTTGAAGCAACTAAGACCAAACTACAAGAAACAGAGCAACTTCTCGCTGAAGTCAAATCAGATTTGGAATCTGCTCAGAAGTCTAATGGCATGGCTGAGACTCAGCTCAAATGCATGGTGGAATCATATAGATCTCTTGAAACTAGATCATCGGAGCTGGAAATCGAGTTGACTTCTCTTAAAGGCAAGATCGAAAACTTAGAAGACGAGCTTCACGAAGAAAAGGAAAACCACCGAGAAGCTTTAGCCAAATGCCAAGAACTTGAGGAGCAATTACAAAGGTATATTAAACTAAACTAAACATTACTCTCTTTTTTCACCATAAAGTCTAAAAATCTCTAACTTTGTCTTCAACAAAAAACTTCAGGAACAACCAAAACTGCCCAAATTGCTCAGTAACCGAAGCTGATCCTAAAAGCAAACAGGTAACTTTCCAAACATACCAATTTATTACCTTACCTAACAGAGATTTCGGTTTTTAAAGTTGTAATTCCTGACATTGAATGTTTTTATACAGGACAATGAACTAGCGGCTGCTGCAGAGAAGCTAGCAGAGTGTCAAGAGACTATATTACTTCTCGGGAAGCAACTCAAATCCATGTGTCCTCAAACAGAACAGGTTGCTTCTTCTCCAAGCCAAGAACAACAAGCCCTAAACCCTGAAGATGATGAATACGCAACTTCCACAAATCCTCAAGACAACAAATTGAGTTCGCCTTCAGACAAGGATACACAATCGATGACTACAATGAAATCCCCGGTAGCGTCGAAACATAGACACACGAAGTCTAGAGGATTCAGCAGGTTCTTCTCCACTAAAGCAAAGTAAAAATAAAATTAAAAAAAAAAGTATAAATCTAACTATGTTGTAGTATATCGTATCTATTATGGTTTTTTTTCTTTGTGGAAATGTTATTTTAACTTTAGTGTTTTTTTTTTTTCTTTTTCTTTCTGTACTGACAACAATTTGGTGTTGAATTCTATGGCGTGTAAATGTCAAGCTACCAAATCTCGTTTTCGCATTTCTCTGTGTTATTTTTTAATCTGTTTCTTCAAAAATACATCAATTTAATATTTTTTTCTCATCTTTGAAATTACAACTTTTCTTGTTCTGTAAACAAAGAATCAGGTTTTCAAGGGTTAATGAAATCTCAAGTTCGGGCTTAGCCCAAGCCCACTTAATTCGTCTCATGGCCTACTTATTTTTTATGAGGCTGAAGCTTATCACTCTGTTTTTTTTTTTCAGTCGAACCATTGCTTTTTGTAGTTATAAGATAAGGAAAGTTTAAGTATTAATATTCTAAAACTTAATTATGTTGGTTGTGAAATCACATCCCGTTGGTTGACAAAAAAGAAATTCACATCTCTTCGAATAGCCTGTACATGAATGTGAGTTTTGGACTAGATTGGTTTCATTTCCACGACTAACAATAACGCGAGCATTTTTTGAAGGCCGGCAAAAACAAAAGAAATCAAGAAAAAATGTCTCAGGGATGAACACTCCGATCGAATAATTAGGATTAGTACATGATAAATTGATGAGAGTGAAGAACACAAAAGTGTTTAGGAAGAATTAGAATAGACTCTCATAAGAATAATTGTACAAGATACATCGGTATATATAGAGATAAAGACTAAACCTAATTTCCTAAATTAAGATAAACTTAAATGTAAAATATACTTTAGAGATAAATGTAAATATTCCTAACTAAGATATGATAATCTTCTTGATCCTTCTCGATCTTCATGATTTCCATATTCTTGAGCAATCATCTCAACCGTCGATCTCGGTCGATCTCCGGTTCCTCCAATACCCCCCGGCAAGCTCATACGTGGTAACACGTGTGAGATTGGACAAATCTTCAAAATAGCGGCTTTATACCCGGCCGTCGGGTCATCGACGTTTATACCCGGTCGTAGGGTCAAAGCGGCTACAAAACCCAGCCGTTGGGTCATCGACGTTTATACCCGGTCGTGGGGTCATCAACGGTGGAAAATACATCTTTCGTAGTTGTGTATCTCCATCGATTTAAAATCACAAGTCTTGGTCGCTCTTCGAACATCTTGTTCATGAAGAAACTTGTGTCGGATTTAAATTCATCACCGCCGGATCAGCATCGTATCCATTGGAGTCATCAAAAGCCTTGTGGCTCACATTAGTATAAACGCCATCATCATCTTCTTGTCATTAAGAACGTGATGATAGTCGAATCATCTTCATAAAGACCACATAATGGTCACTTTCTTCTCTCACAAGAAAACACAAGTACGTGTTCTCTTCTTCTTCTTCTTTCTTTTTTTTTTTTTTTTTTTTTTTTTTTTTTTTTTTTTTTTTTTTTTATATACATCAAGAAGTAAATAGAAAAGGAAATCAAAAGAGCATGTTTGATTTTCCAAAGATGAAAAGTAGTAAACCAAAGAGACGAATCTCAAATCAACAATTTTTTTTTTTTTTTTTTCTTTCTCATAGTTGCGGAAGCAAAGAAAACCTTAACCCATAGGAGTAGGATCAAGGCTCTGATACCATGATAAATTGATGAGAGTAAAGTACACAAAAGTGTTTAGGAAGAATTATAATAGACTCTCATAAGAATAATTGTACAAGATACATCGGTATATATAGAGATAAAGACTAAACCTAATTTCCTAAATTAAGATAAACTTAAATGTAAAATATACTTTAGAGATAAATGTAAATATTCCTAACTAAGATATGATAATCTTCTTGATCCTTCTCGATCTTCATGATTTCCATATTCTTGAGCAATCATCTCAACCGTCGATCTCGGTCGATCTCCGGTTCCTCCAATAGTACAACAATCATAATTGTGGAACTACACTTTTTTAAGCAATTAGAGATCATTTACTGATAATCAATGTTTTGACAGTTTAGCTACTGCTTGGTTTAATAGGGTATCACATGTTCACGTACTCAACACCTACACACTATCACGTCTGATTCTGACCTATATCACAATTCATTTACTTAGACTTGTCAGACAGTCTTCTTTTCATTTTAACGGGCTATAATACAATCATTGTATGATGTTTAAAATGATTTATAAAGCATCTGCTGGCCGCTGGTGCAGACGTTATTGATCAAATGTTTAGCCAAAAATTAATATCTCTACACCTTTTAAGACGCATTCTCTTGCTTATCGTAAGTGTACACACTTTTCAGAATTTTCAACGTAGTACTGTGAAAGATCTAACTTTTATGAGTCTAAATGTGTTGGTGATACTCAGATTCGTTCTTTTTCTGAAAGAAAGCTACAAACTATTCCACCAATTAATCTGACAGTTTTTAAAATTTTCGCTGGAAACAAATTTAATCTTAGTTAGGTATTTCTGAAACTCAGACAAGTGTTTGTGTGTGTGTACTTTTGTTAAGTCATTGTCATTGAAGACAGCTAATATTAAGATTTGGGTTTTGTCTTACCATTAACCCTACATATAAATAGTTTGCGCTTATAAATTAAGATTTGTTCAACCAAAAATAGTAAAGATTCTGATTATGATATATTACCGAATGTATTATACCATGTGGCTTTGATGAGTATCCTTGTCGTTCACTCTGTTTGGTTAATCTTTTTTTGGTTTGGTCAGGTTATTGAGATAACATGGTTTTTCTTACATTTATTAAAAATTGTATGCGTTTCCAACTTCCTTACCATATCGATCATCTCTAATAAAAATTCTACGTTCGCTAAGACAACGGCCGAGCCATTGAAAGAAATTCAATATATTTCTTTATAGTTGACTTATGATGTTTAATATTAACATAGCACTTTCGTAGACACATGTATTCGTATTTGTCTACATCAACTCGTTTTGAGGGAAAGTGGAAATATTGCTTTCAACAAAAAGTTAGAACGATCAATGAGATTTTGAATAAATATTCGGCTAAAACTTTGGAAGTATAGTTGACCTGATTACAAATCAAATAATTTCAGCAAATGCACATTCAGTGGCTCTCTAGTGATTTAATCACTACTTATGGTCAATACACATTCATTGCAATCATTATGGACCGTCCTTTTTTTTGGAGGAAAATTCATAGTATTAAGTATTAACACGTCGGCTTTAATTTATGTTATAAAATCATTTCAAACGTGAGAGACTTTTCATATTTTGGACAAATTTTAACATTTTTTAACATTTTTTTTTTAATAAAAATAGCGAGAACATGTAATAGTTTATGCATGATAGTATTATCGCTATATAACACTATCAATACTAGGACTCAGGACCCCCGCGATGTCGCGGGGAAATATATTTCAAAAATTATTTAAAAAATATCAAACGAAAAAATCATAATGAATTGTAATAATTTTGAATTTTTTTAATAACAAATCAATATATATTCTACAAAAATTATGATAAAGAAAACCCTCACAAGCATTTATTAAGTATATTAATATTAGAAAAACAATAATTTGTAACTAAAAAACTATTCCCAAGTGCAAAAAGCATAAACTAATAAACCAAATATTACAATGGTTTGATAAATAAGCCTAAACGTTCAACGTCAAATAAACCAAATGCTATTGTGTTAAATTAAACGGTAACAACAATTCATTTAAATATATTTTAGTATTTAAATATTTTTTAAAAATATGATGAACTTATCCGAGAAACGCAACCGTAGATATCAAATATTCCAAAAACTGCAACGGTTCGTCAATTATACCAAATGTTGCAATAGTTCATCAAATATACTAAAGATAACAATGCTTCGTAACACAAAACCAAAAGTTGCAATAATTCGTCAAATAATCCAAATGTTGAAACAGTTCAATTAAATAGTTACAATCTCATTTAAATACATTTTAGTAATTAAAAATTAAGAATTAAAATAATAATTTATGAAAAGTTACACCGAGAGACGCGGCATAACCGTATAATGCCTATTGTTTGACAAAAAAAACAACAAAAGTTGAACAATCAATTTTGTTCTCAATGATCAACTTTTAACAACAAACAATCCATGGGCTTAACAGAATTTAAAAACAAAACAATGAAAATGAAATATGGACAAAAAAGAATATATTTGTTTGGAAAAATAAACGAGAGTGTAGAGTTTAGTCAGTAGATTAGGCTTATGTTAACTATTTAATTAGTTCAAATGTACATATAATAAGCTCATTAATGGTATGCAAGTCCTTATTACACCTTCAACCACAAAAAAAAAAAAGTCTTTTCTACACCGCATAACTTAAAAAAAATCTGAAAATTTCCTTTTTGATAAAAGTCAACCTCAATTATTATTCTTCTAAGGCTCTCCTGTTTTTGTAAAAAAACTTTTTTTGAGTTCTAAGAGCATCTCCAATGGTGAGAGCCCTCCATGGGCTTTCACCATTTTTTTAAGATTAAAATTTTCAAATTTATGAGATGAGAGATTTTGTTAATTTTGCAAAGTCCAATGGTAGGCTCTCTTTGTGGAGTTCTCAGAAAAAAATTAAATTATTTTTTAATTATTTTATTTCATAAATCTGAAAAATATTACAATTCATAACATATTAAAGATACAATAATTTCATACATTTGAAAAAAAAAAAACGATACGATAAATCGACTTGTGAAGTTTGGTTTCCTTCAACTTGTAGGAATTCTGAAACATCAAACTGAGTGTTGGAGTGAAACTTGGAGTTATTCAAGGAAATTGGAGGCAAATTGTGCAAAAAGGTGTAAACAAAGGTGTTTCAAGAAATGAAGGTCAAAGATGAAGATCAAAGATCACATCATACGAAGCCTATACCTTGTGATTCAGCTTTGGAGCCCTTCATGAAAGTTATAGAGAATTGAATCAGCTTTCTAATGGTGGTGATTTCGTGTCAAACGGAGTAGCGTATCAAAAGTTACAAACAGATCGGTCTACACTCGATCTAGATGATGGCTCCAAATGAAGTTCTTGAAAGATCACATCATATGAAGACTCTCCCCCTGTTATTTAGCTTTCGAGCCCTTCATTAAAGTTGTAGGAAATTGAATTAGCTTTCCAACGGTGGTGAGTTTGTCTGAAACGGAGTTGCGGAGAAAAAGTTACAATCCGATCGGTTTACAACCGATCGACGAAACCGAGCGGCAAAATTGCAAAAATCTACTAAAGAGATCCGATCGGTTGCAAACCGATCAGACAAACCGATCAGAAGCCCAACCGACAGTTTCTACTGCAGAGAAAAATTTAACAAGTTAATTCCAAAAACTCAAATTAGTTTTTTTTCCAGAGAGATCAAAGATGAAAGTGTAGAAATTAGTTTGCAAAATTTGGAATGATTAAAGGAAATTAGCTTCAATTCTACTCTCAATCGTCGGAGCTGGAAGTGAAGAAAATTTGCAGAGAGATCAAAGATGAAAGTGAAGAAAATTTGCAGAGAAACGGACACGTGTACGTCTCTCTTCACCACCAAAAGTTCTCTTAAGAGAAACAGCTCTCTCAAAATAAATCCTTTCTGATTTATTTTTTTTCACAATTGATGAGAGAGTCTCTCATGAGAGCTCAATTTTCTCCCCACTGGAGATGGTCTAAGGCTCTCTAGAGTCCCGCATTTCAATCAATATTTATTCTCGTTAAAATATGTTGAAAAATAAAAAATAATTAAACGAGAGTTCATCGTGTTGTGACTTGTGAAGTTTTAAGGAAACTCGACCGTCCGTTGTACGGTCGGAAGAAGGAGCATTTAGGTAAAAAATAATTGAAAACGCATGCGATATGTTTGAAGTTTGCGTTAAATCTGAGCCGTCAAAAACATTAACGTGGGTCATCATATACCATTCTTGATAGTATACGATCATAACTCGAAGGTATAAACAATAGTGAAGGGATCTACTTTTATAGTTTTTATCAGATTTACAAAGTTTGGGTCCACTTGCATGTGCTATTTCTCAGACATTGATATGACTTCCCCAATGTATACATTTTGTTAACATCCCAATTTATTTGTTTTTTGGTCGTCCCTAATATTAATTTATAAATAGATTTTATCATGATTTTATAGTCGGTGATATAGAAAAATGTTATAGAATTATTATGATTTGGTTATTCCCTGGTAACTGGTGAAAATTGGAGCAACTCGTGGAATTGCTTCAGAACTTTTATTCCAGACGTGACTACCAATGCCAAATACTCCCTCTGTTCCTAGAAGATTGATGTTATAGAGTTTTCACAAATATTAAGAACCAATCATTGTTTAATTATTTGTCAATTACTTTTTTATACTAAACATTTTTTAATAACTTTGAACCAATAGTATTAGAAAACAGTTAATCATTACGTCTTGAAGTTTACGATATATTAATTTTAATATATAAAAAATAAAATAAAAACCTAAAAAATCAAACTTTGTGGAACAAACTAAAACTCTAGAACATCAAATATCTAGGAACAGAGGGAGTAGCAAATACATTATTCCATGGCAGTGATGTTTTCTTTGAACCAACCAAACGCATTTCTGTAGTGATTAAAGGAAAAGGCCAGAAAAAAGGGCATGAGAATTGTGAACAATAAAATTATATTTTCCTGCTTCTGCATGTGTGTGTTTATGACTTTATGCAGAGTGTTAAAATTCTTTGTCATTATCCTGGAATCAGCATTTCAATGCTATTTTAACTATTTATTTATTAGTTCAACAGTCTTAACTTTCAACGGCTAAAAAACTGCCGATTCCAAAAGAAGACATCCTTGGCCTTGGGATTACTTGTTTGGACGAGGTCGCACAGTAACGTATTTCTTAAAAACTTCAAAAAGTAAAACAAGTTTTGCGAATGAACTAAATCGATATCTTTGACCAAAAAAAACTAAATCGATATGATTCTATATGCAATTCTAATTCCACTCGTGTGAATGAAATGAGTTTCCATTTCTTCAAATGTAAACAAATCAAGATATACATTCTTTTAATTTGGTTAAACTATATGTACACAGATTTACATTATATTAAACTCCTTGAATGGAGAATATATATCATGGAAGAATATTTATATAGAAAATGGACAAAACCAAATTATAAGAAGAAAAATAGCATTCATCACTAATATTATATAATAGTCCATCACTGGGTTGTACATATAATCACACCACCACAACGAGAAACATTATCAGAGTATCTGCTTATTTTCCCCCCTACAAATCTTGGAGGTATCTCTAAAGTTGGTCTCGTTCTAATTAGAAACATTTACCCTATTGTACCCCAAAATCACCTAAAATTTTGAAAGGCTAATTAAAAACAGATCTTTATCCTTAATTAAAAGTAAAAACCCTAAATATATGTGGACTGAAGCATAGAGGTGATGAGGGATTTGAAAGCTACTTCCTCACAAGGGATAGTGAGACCCATGTTGTGCTCGAAGCCAAACTCTTCCTCAGCTTGTTGTAGAAGAAGCTGAAACTCGGGTCGGGTCAAAAACGAAATGGGTAAGACGTACCTGACCCGATTCCCTCCTACGTAGACCACGAAGTGACCTTTGGGAACATCCAGAGGAAGAGAGTCTCCATCATGTTCATGTTTGTCGTTATACTCACTGCTCTGTTTCTTTCCCAAACTTGAACACCTCTTCAAGATTTGCTTTATCATAGTCGTTTGGGTCAGCTTGCTCCGGTTTATAATCGCCATTCCTTTGAGAGTGAAATGGGGTTTTCTTTGTTATCTTTTATGTTTTTGTTGTGGTTTGCTATAGGAGTGACTAGTGAGAAGAGACTGGAGAAGGGTTACATAAAATATATAGAGAAAGATATGTAGAGCTTTATAAATAAATTTATATACTACTTTATTATATTAGAGTCTTGTGATGGGTCTAAGAGTCACTGGATAGATCCTAGTATTGGACTGGGTCAGTGTTTTTTGTTTAATTAAGGTTTGGAAGAAAAAATAGTTTATTTTGGTGTTGTTTTATTATATAAGAAAATATAAGACCAATTATAGTTGGAGGGTTTAAACCTCAAATGAGGATTTTATTTAATAATAGTCCAAAATTATTAGACCATTTTTATTTGTATGCGTGGTTGGAGCCACTAAATTCTCCATCTTAGGGCTGGTTCTTGTTACACTTCTATATAAAATGTATATACAACTATTTTTAGCTAGTGTACATATATCCTTTAACAAAAACTATTGTACATCTATACATGTATACAGGAAGAGGTGGTTTTGAGGCGTGGGGTAAAGTAAGATGTGTTTGTCTCGATATATGAAGTATGTGTCTGCTACGGAATAGATATTTGTTGTACCTTGTTAAACAAAATATTTGTCAAGTCGTTGTACGTTTAAATAATGTATATATACAATATAAAATTATTTGTCGAGGTTTTTTTGTTTTGTTTGATAACATCTGTTGTCGAAGCTAAATATTAATTTGGTTGAAGATGGAGAGAAAATGGAACGTAGAAAAGCGACTCTTGGTTCATCAGGTTAAGTTTAAAAAGATAGCAAATATAAAATGTTATAAAACTTCGATGAATGAAAAATTAATGGCACCCATTAGTCGCAATAGAGGCTGTATCTAACTTTCAACATGGATTCGAAGTTGTAAATTTTCTAACTACCTTTAGGGCCACACAAAAAGCACTTAACATATTTATACTTTAAAAATAACAAAACTAGACCTTTTTTTTTTTTAAGAATAACTAAAAATAGGAATGAGATATACTAATTATGCAAACGCTAATGCTTACAAAGAGTGGAAGCTAAGCCATGACGTACTTCTTTTGTAATCTCAGTTTAATCATCGATAAGCTAAGAGCCTGAGACTAAACGATGATTAGAAAACCAAAAAGGGTAGCTTATCGATGCGATGGTGAAAAGGACAATATAATGCAAACGTCAAGGACTAAGGACAGTACCCTAGCCAATTAAGGCTTCCTCAATTAATATTCCTGCCATTGCAATTATGTATGCACATGCACGACCCAAAACCCATCCCATTCATATCATATTCTATTTTTCTATTTATTGTTTTTGTTGATTTGGAGATTCATGTTCAAATCCAAAATTGTTTTCCAAATTAATAGTCGTCGCCATATAAATTTTGCATTAACCAAAAGACGATGTTCAATTTTTTTTTAAGATAGAGAAAGGAGTTTAATTATTGTGTTTAGTGGTTCATACTTTTAATACTTTATAAATATAGTGCATATTACATGAAAGTTATGTTAGCTCGTCTGCATCGCGTAGAATGTAGATGTAAGGTAAGCTAAGAAATGCAAATACTTTAATCGCTGTAATTTACTGGTATGGCTCACTTTTTCTGGTCTCTTGTAGTTTCGTTTATGTTTTGGTAATTAAAAACCAATAAAGAGAGAATAATATCGACCTATGACTAAAAAAGATCAACGATAGTCATTGACAACAAAACGTGGATCAGAAGGTGCTTGGGTAGTTGAACGGACATTCAGTTGCTCAATGAAATGAGCGGTGGAAAAAAACGAAATGGTGTGTTTGTGATTTGTGCAACGAATAGACCGGAGACGATGGATCCTGCGATTACAAGACCAGGGAGGTTTGGGAAACATCTCTATGTACCTCTTCCAAACTCTGTTCAACGAAGTTTGATTCTGAAATCTCTTTCGAGGAAGATTCCTTTAGACCCAAGTGTTGATTTGAATGCTATAGCGAGGCGTTGTGAGAATTTTCAGAATAACTATAGTTCAAGATTATTCAATGTGTATCATTATTGGAATAGAAATATAGCAATCTTTGTGTTCTTTCCAAAATGATGTTCCTTTTTTTTTTTTAATTTAAGACAACTGATTTACATAAACCCATCTAAACCACATCATCATAAGTCAATTAAAAAAAAAATGTCAAACACAGTTCTTTAAAGAATCTCCAGCACCCTGAAAGAAGAAGGAAGAAAGCACAAAATCCGCGATAAAGATTCCGACAAGAGACATGACAACTGCAGAAGTTGTAGATTCTCCAACACCTTTAGCACCTCCAGTAGTGGTTACTCCCCAAGAACAACTAATTACCGATATTATAGCTCCAAAGACTTGAGATTTAATCATGGCACTAATTATGTCCCATGGTCTAAGTGCTCGGTGAGCCGAGTCCATGATTATGTTAATGCTGATCCCGTAAACTGCATCAGAGAGCAGAGCGCTTGAAGCCATACCAACAGTGAAACACATGAGTGTCAGAAACGGTAATGCTAGACACGAGGCGATGACTCTTGGTGTGATTAGATAATCAATCGGATCTGCTCCTAAAACACGGAGTGTATCAGTTTGCTCTGAGACTTGCATTGTCCCTAGTTCAGCTGCAAAAGCGCTTCCCATTCGTCCAGCAACAACAATCGATGTGATGACTGGACTTAGCTCTCTAGAGAAGGCTAAAGCCAAGACGCCTCCAATGGATCTATTAAGACCTAGTCTAGTGAATTCTCTAACGAACTGGATAGTGAAAGCCATACCAACAAATGTAGAAGTCAGAAGACAAACTCCAAGAGACTTCGGTCCGGTTCTCTCCAGCTGTTGAAGAGTGTTTCTCCAGTGAATCTTACCCTTTAAAATCCGGAGAACGACTTGTCCTGCTATAATCGGAACAGATAAACCTCTCCAAATGTACTTAGAAGGTGACCATTTGCTGAACGGAAGCTCGGCTTCTTGACTCGGTTCGCTGATTTCAGTAGAGGTTTCTTCTTCCAACATAGACATGGACGGGTGACCGTCATTAGCATTCAAGTTCACATATAATCTTCTTCGCCGTATAAGATTTGAAATCCCATAAGACTGAGTCTTTCCAGTGAAACCAACTTGACAAAGCTTTGGGGGCTTAATACCAATCGAAGCATCAAATCTTGGAAGGACTCTGCAAAAAATTTCAAGAATCCAAAATAGCATCTTAGTATCAAATCTGACAATGAAGAAAGCTTTTTAAAGTTGTGCCAACACAAAATACCTATGAGGGAAACAAAACGATTGATGGATACAACAAGTCTGCATCATTGTGGAGCTCAGTGATTCAGTTTCCACCTCTTAGCCTGTCAATTTTAAGCAGTGCCAGAATCGAATTGATTTGATTTTAATCGCAGCAAGAGAAAAAACATAAGACAATCAAATAGAAGAATTAGGACACAACAGAGTTTGCATAAGAGATCCAAATCGAGGCAACAAGGTTCCGGTTTCCTGAACAAAGGAATCAATCACTGACGCTGACGCAGCCAATTTCGAATCCGGTCTAAGATTATTGAGTATGTACCGAACCAATCTAGGTGAAATCTCTACTATAGAACGGGAAAAAAAACAACTAGGTTTATCAATATTCTTACTGATACGAACCTTGAAAACTTACATTTAGAAACGAAACCAAAGCTAAGAAGCTTGCTTGAGAGGACTCATGGAGAGAGAGAAATTAACACACAGCCAACACAAAAGAGGAAGACACAACTACCAGTTGCAAAACTCGCTATCTTTTCTCCAACCAAAAAAAAAAAAGCAATGGCAAAACAAATATTGGGCCTTATGGCCCAATAGACTTTACAATTAAAGCGTGGGCTTAAGCCATTAAAGTCTGGCCCACTTGTACTTTACACATGATACTAGAGTTTTTGCAACTTCATGACAAATTAAGAAAATGACAATATTTTTTTAACTACGTGATTTAAGTATTGTCAGACATGCGATTTTATATCCGTAACACACGTTAAGCATCTAAATTATCAAATTAATCTCTATTTTCGTCGACATTGGAATATTTGAGGTTCTATAATAGTACCATTTACTGTGTTATTTATTTTTGTATAAGTCTATAAAGATATTTTTTAAAAAAAGTTTTCAGAGGACAGCAATATGATTGAAACGCTAAATTTTATGTCTACATTTTTACTACTCTTTTATCATTTACTACTAGCAATTTAACAAACTATTATTTATGGTTCTTGACTTCTTGTGGTGATGTGGTCTATCAAATAAACTCTAAACAATGTATGTCTAATGAAGGACAAAGATATATATGTGTGTGTGAAAACTGAAAAGAGAAATGGTGGTGGTCACGTGACAGTGATACTTGGTAACCTTTACGGAGACAACAACGTTATCTTTTTCTTCAGCCGGTCCGTTCTTTAAAAGCACACTCTCTGTATAATATATGCCTCTCTACGTTTTATATACTCACGTTTTGCCCTACTCTACACTATAGACCAAAAAACATTACTTCACCTACACAATAACACCAAACGTGATTCTATCAAATTGAATGCAAGCGTTTAGTAGAGGGTCTCAATTCTTAAAAAACTAACTGTACTAGATGAAAATTTAGAAAACTAAGTTAAGGAAATTCTGATAACTAAAAGTCTAAAACCGACGGACGATATATGAAATGTCCCCAAAACAAAGGTCCAAACAAGGGAAACGATAGAAACTAGAAATACAAATCGGCTACAAAGACTCATTTCAGTACCATCCATAGGAAACGTGTAACAAAAAAAACAAAAACGTGTCTTAAGATCTCATGTTTTTGTTTCGCTGGTAGACAATGTATAACTAATTAAGTCTTTTCTCTGACTCAGCAAAACCATGGCCCTTTCGTTATGGGAAAAAGTGTTCTATACGTATACTTATAATTGTAATTTCGTATATAGATGTGTATAAAAGATAGAGAGAAAGCATAATATAATGTGTGATGCATGTGCATGGGATGGGCAGATGGGGCCCGCGGGCTTTACAAGGCCCATAAAGCTAAAAGAAGAGGAGAGGACCACGTGGCAGGGAGCTAGCTAGTTCTACAAGTGGAGTGGATACTAAGAAGTAAGAAAGTAGGAATGAGTTGAATCTCGTGATCGCACTGTTTCTACTATTGGCAATGCAGTGTTGCTTTCGCCTAGGGTTTCAGAGCTAGCCCCCTCTTCCTTAATTATTTCTTTTACACTTTACTTTTCTCACCTATCCAAGTCCAACCATACATAAAATTGCACTACCACAACAACTTATATATGTGTCTATTTGCGAAATATCTTGTGTATAGAAATGTATAAGCTAGCTAAGGAATTACATTTTCGAAAGACATATATTATTATTTTTGGAAGTTCTAGTTTCTGTTCTTTTTTGATTCATGGCCAATGATTCTAATTGAAATCTCCACTCCTCGATACATTATTGAATTTGAAGTTTAACCTCTCTAAAGACTGATCTCTCTCATAAGATCGAACCGAATCCTAGATATTAGCATATTTTCAAGTTTAACTAACGGTGTAAGTAAAAAAATTCTATATGTCTCTAACATTTTCTTAGATAAGTTTCACAAATGTTACGAGGGATGATCGTTCTCAATCATATGTAGCTAATGGCTATCATTTTTGGTTACATGAGTACGTGTTCACTAATGAGAGTTGTATTACTTGTCGGTAATGCTCTTTGTCTTTGTTGGTGATTGTTTCTAATCCCTTTCGTGATGATTGTAACAAAACTGATCCTTAATTATTTATTGAATCATTCAAACGAAAAAAGAAGAAGATAAGTTTCACAAATTTTCTCACTTATATATATGTACATTTTTATATTTTGTTAACAAAACTATATTAAAGGGTAGTTGAGATATTGCTTGTATTTACATAATGTATACGAATAAAGTTTCTATATCTTAACTTTAGCAAGAAGCTTTGAGTCACTTCATTCCTTTATATATTCAAAAAGACAAAAAGCCATTCTAGGCGGAAAGAGCATAATTATCACTTTGCTTTAAGCTAAAAAAACTGATGGTCAGGAATGTGGAACCTTAGCTTCAATCTTATGTTAATTTTAAACAAAATATACATCCATTTGTTTTCGTCTAACATCTTCATCACGTATTTCTCCAACTTCTTCTATAATTACATAATTATAATGAGACTAGAGAAGCTAGAATTTCAAGCCAATATGGCTCCACGCCTCCACCGGAACTGAAAATCATTCTCAAAATATAAGAATGTTTTTTTATTCGAAAGAATTTTTGGTTGAATCATGCAACTAATTTTAGAGTCTATCGCCGATATAAAAATGATTTATAGTTTTGACTTACAGAACAACAACTATTTGGACTACCATTACTTGATTTAAGTTTGAAACTCATATTTGTTATTTTTTGGTGAATACAAACCCTCTCGTTTTCAATGATATTTTACATCCACTTAAAACAATAGAGAATCGAGATGTGTACTTTCGTATTCATCTAAAGTTTTGTGTTGCGCAATACTAAGCCAGATATATACAATATCTCAGTAAATAGTTTTTGTCATCAATATTAGCCAATTAACAAGAAAAAATCGTAGATACACTAGCTAGCAAGGATAATGATTGACTTCTAGTTTTACTAAGAGAGATGAATAGGTAGAGGGAGAAAATGAGGGTGAGCACAAGGCTCGAGGGTGAAAGACAAAGACATAATAATTGGGACTTCTCTTCTTCTATAAATTTCCCCAAACAAGTCATGCACTCCTCACTCTCTACTTACCTTTCTGTGTGTATTGAGTCTATTGACAAATCATAGTAAGATCATGTTCCAATAATCATTAGTTATTTTAACCACTAAACACTACTACCTTATATGCTAGTATCATTTGCCATAATTATTCCTGAGCACGCAATATATGTTTTTCTACTCCAATATAATAGTCTTTTTTCTGTTTTATTTTAACTGATGTTTAAGGTTCTTTCACATATATTTAGAAATCACAAATTTTTTTATTTAATTTAATACACTTTCTTTACATAAAAACATTATCAACTACAACTGATTAAACTAATAAAAATCATATTGTAAATAAAAATCATATTGTAAATAAAACTGATAAAAAATTATTAAATATATTTAGTTTTTGTATGAAAAGTTGAAAATATCAAACAAACAAAAAAATCTCTAAAACATATATTGTCGGTTTGTCACTGAAAGTTCGCTGTTAAAAAAAAATGGAAGTTATAATTTTGGTTACCTCGTTATTACAATTCCATATGTCTAATACCACCTAAAATGTTGATCCCTATGGTTCGAAAAACATTGAGAACTTTCATGCATCATTTGATCATGCAGTACAATCTCATTGCCTAGGATTCTAAGTGGGATAGATAATTTAAAATTCATACATGTGAAGGAAAAATAAAAAGAACAATGTATGTTAAATTAACAATAAAACGCTAGGTTTTCATCGAGCGCAACAAAAATAAAGAAAATTTGTAGAAAAAGACAAAAGGGAGATTAGGCAACTAGTTTAATCATTGAAGATCCAGTCATCAAAGTTAGGAGTTAATTCATGGTTTCAGTTCTGATAAAATATTAGCATTTGAGAAGATTATAAATACAGACAAATTACTTATTATGGAGTCCATACAAAAAAAAAAAGAATAAAAAAATTCCCAGGGTCAATAATTATATATACGTACGCATCTATTTTTACTATCGTAATATTTTCTTTTTTGATAAAGATTTAATTAAAGCGTAATTTGTTACTAACTCGTAAGTCGAAACCCATAATGACATGTGTTGAATTTTATTTATGGTTGTTATTTGAATTCTATGGAAGTTACGTCATGGAGAATGGTTGCAATGTTTCATTGTATATATCGTGTATATTAAATATTGGTCGGTTGCTAACGATGTATTTGTTGCATCTACGATAAGTCAAATATCAGTTGAGTCGTGACTTTAGACTGAACTAAACATACCACTTTAATTACATCAATATTTATTAGTTAGAGAAAACGGTATATAGTCATGAAATGAATCTGGGTCACATATATCAATTAGTTTTACATCTGGTTTTCTCGTTGATTATAATATATACTCCCTCCGTTTTAGTTTAGTTGTCGTTTTAGGATTAAAATTTTGTTTCATAATAGTTGTCGTTTTAGGTTTTTAATACAAATGTTTGGTGAAAATTAATGTTTTAATGTTTTGACCAATGAAAAAATTATAAAATATATTAATAAAGGGTAAAACAAAAAATTTAATGATTTTCTTAATTTGTGTGCGAAAACCTTAAACGACAACTAAAACGAAACGGAGGGAGTAGTTATAGAGAGCGATTTTATATACAAGCAAGGAAGATTTATAATTAGGGATAAACGTTTAGATGTAAAAATATATAACTTACAAAAAAAAAATGTCTATCTTATGGACCAGTTATAATGGATAAATTATGTGTATTAAATTATTAATGGTATGTCTTGTGGCTCTAGACAGCGAAAACGTATTCGATTGATGCAAATTTGTTCGGAGCTATCCATGAATATAAATATTTTTTCGGGGGTCCGATATGCCATTTGAATTGATCTTACTATTGACTTTTTGACTTGAAATTTTATGGACTTTACAGTATAATTAATACCAAATGACGCTAATTTACAAATTAACATCAAATTGCGCCGCTAAATCACGCGGTTCCATGTAATCAAAGTCCCTGGAGTGGATTTGCTTGTTTGGTCTCATTCTCACGCCAATTAAAAGGTGTCTGTTTAACTTTTTCTCCTATAGTTTAAAGACTATGATTTGGCCAGGGATTACTTAACTATACCACGAATCAATTAACTCACGGATTTATAAGAGATGTCTCAATAAAAGATGTAATGAATTTTAAACAGATCAAATCTATGATTTTTTGTGATTCTAAAACCTTTAAAGTTTAAACCATGACCATCTAATGGAGTAGTTTGGTTGGAGAACGAAATGGATCCTATCCATCCGTTGGTTGATAATTATTACTCGTGACCTAAAACTTAGACTATATAGGGTTTGCTGTCAAGCAAGTATTCATTAAAAAAATGAACATTTATATAATTACTTTGTTTAAACCGTATTTTCACAGCACTTGTTAAAGTTCCAATTATGAAACAGCTATAGTTTTATAGTGATTATGTTCACATTAATCTCATGAACGGCAATATAGAGATTGATGGATTATTGGGTTGGATAAGGTTAGAATATAATTCTCTTACAACAGGACAATAAATATTTTCTAAAAAAGAACAGCATAATAAATAATTTTATCGTTTTCGATTAAACTTAGTGCTTTGCAAAATAATGTAAGAAAACATGTGAAAATTATAGTAACGGATAACATACCAAAATGATCTAATAATTTAAAATATTCGTAAGATTTTTACTTTTAGAAATTTCATTTCAGCAAAATAGTATTTTTGTGGTGTCTTATCTTGATTAAGCCAAATGAAGCAATTGCCGACAAAGATAAAAGAAGCAAAGGACGCAATTAAATATTAAAATATTACCGCACGAGGCACCTTTTGAAAAGAAATATTCCATCACATTGGTAAAATTATGTCAAATGACCGTCTAATCACACCATCTGATTAAGCGGAAACGTTTTTTAACTAGTTCTAAATCCAACTTTGAATTCTGCGTGATCCGGCCGGTCGGACCTATAAACATGCGACTTGAAACACACTAGTTCGGTTTGGTTATATTAAAAAAGCAGGATTTTTTCTTTTACCCACTAGAAGTCTAGAACTCAACAAGAAAAAAGTTCTGCAAAAACCAGTGATCCGGTAAAAATCCACACTAGGCCGCGGTCTTTAACACGCCAAATCACAAGAAAAAAATTATCCTGGTATATAACCTTTGATTTTGAAAATACAATATTTCATATATCTTCCCCTTTCTATTTTTTTCTTTCAATTTTTGATTATATGATTAATTTACTTATTTGATAAATTTTAAATGAAAATCACACACATATATATAGCATGTTATTTAATAAATTTTGGATGATTCTTATGCTTATTTTTCGAATAATTTAGGAATAATTAATTTAGTTTCAAATGATTACTCTAGAAGGCATTTACTTAAACATAGCCTCTGATGATAATAGTTCCGAAAAAAATGAAAACAAAACATACTATATATATATATATATATATTAATTTAATTTTAAAATTTTAATATATATTAAATTGTGTGATATTTATTGTGATGGGGATTCATTGAAACTGGAAGACAACTGTAGAGAAAGTGCCCCATAGAAGAAGATCTTCATAGTACTCTCCATCTCTTTACTCTCCTTCTCTCTATCCCTCTATCTCTCTCTCTCTATCTCTCTCTCTCTCTTTCTCTCACCCACATAGAAAACCAGCAGTAGTAGCAGTAAATTGCTTGAGTTCATGATGACAGAGACAATGTCTTAAATGATGAAGAGAAGAGAAGAGGAGCAATAAACCTTGGCGGCGTTTACAGCAGTTTCTTAAATTTCCTTACCATCATTACTCTCTCATCTGCTCCCAAATCTGCTCCTTCTAAATACCAAACACATCCAAGTCTAGCTAGAATTTAATGAGCTAGAGAGTAAAAGAGAAAGGTAAACACAAATCCCCAAAAGTAATTCATTCACAAACCCCAAAAAAGTCTCATAAATCCTCTCTTTTTCTTTTGGTTTGTGTTGGGGAATTAGAAAAAAATGGCTGGATTGTTCTATCTTGGAGGGAGAGATCACAACAAACAAGATCATCATCAAGACAAGGATCATAATGAAGACAAGAGCAACAATTATCTCTATCTATACAAAGACGAGATCTACAACAACAACAAGGGTTTTGAGATTTTCCCACCTCAATATTTTCAACAACAACAACAACAAAATCATGTGGCTGCTCCAACAAATCTCTACTCTTTTGGTATGGTCCCGAGTGGTGGTATTAACAATAACCGGAGTACTAATCGGAGTTTGTACTTCAACGTCGTCTCCGATCATGAGCCGGTGAGATCCTCAACGGGAGGGTTTACGGTAACTAAGCAAGGAAACATGAATTGCCAAGACTGTGGGAATCAAGCCAAGAAAGATTGTCCTCATATGAGATGTCGTACTTGTTGTAAGAGCCGAGGGTTCGATTGCCAAACACACGTGAAGAGCACGTGGGTCTCGGCTGCTAAACGCCGTGAGAGACAGGCTCAGTTAGCTGTTTTGCCAGCTAAGCGGATAAGAGACGCTAACTCAAGCGGTGGTGGCGATGACGATGATGACAGAGAGACGAGAAAAATGGCGGTGGAGACGACAGTTGTGGGGGTGGCTCGGCTCTTGCTTGCACCCGTGTGGTTAATGCTAATTCTTCAGGTATGAACACGATGCGTTTTTTTAATTAATTAACATCGAGTAAATTTTTCTGCAAATTTAGAAAGGAATTTACAAACTTTTTATGAGAAGATCTGATTATGAATGTTTTGACAAGAAAGCAACAATATTATTTGATTGTGAATAGATGTCCACCGGATTTTGCTGCTTTATTTTTGCTGTTTGATTTTGATTAATACTTTTTTAGTCACTGTTCTTTGGTAAACCTGACGACACAAAAGTTTTAATCGATTTTCATGAGCCTATATACTTATCAAGTTAAGATTTAGTTTTTATTCGATATTGACCGAAAAAATTTGATGTAAAAATAAACAATGGTTAATTATGTTGTGTTTTCAAAGATTTCGACTATAGGATTCAAGAACCAAAACGTTTTATGAGTTTTATAGTAATTCTTTGATTTTATGAAATTAGGGTTAGAGAGTAGTCACTTACCGCCGGAGATAAGTTCCCCGGCGGTTTTCCGGTGTATGAGAGTCAGCTCAATCGACGATGAAGAAGAGTATGCTTATCAAACGGCTGTGAGCATTGGAGGACACGTGTTCAAAGGCATTCTCTACGACCAAGGTCCATCAGATCACTACCGTTACAGCTCAAGCCTCAACGCCGAAACCTCTCAACACCATCTTAACCTCATGGATTCAACGCCTCAGCCGCTACTACAACCGCCGTGACCGCCGTTAATAGTAACAACGGATCGATTGACCCTTCTTCAATTTACACTGCGGTGGCGGCTCCGTTTAACGCCTATGTCGCCGCCGGTACGTCTTTCTTTGCACCTCCTAGGTCGTGATATTTAAACATTTGAAGATGTTAAATCTTTAAAATTACGTTTGTGATTAATTATAACTACTCTTATAACTACCAGATCGATCTACCGTCTACGAGTACGAGAGATTATTTATTTGAGTATTTTTATTGTTGTCGGACAATATGGTGACTGTTCGTACCTAGCTAGGGTTTGTGTACTGATTAACATGCACATCGTACGTTTTAGAGATAAATGAGATCTTATGATGTTTTTTTGGGGATAAACGAGCTATTAAATTAATGTCAGAGTTTCAAATTTGATCTTCTGCTTGTTTACTTTAATGTTTGATCTTTCCCAATGTGATCAACATAACTTCTTTGTTTTTTCTATCCACCATTTTCCTATATATGTATGAATTATTTTCAAAAAGTTTGGTCTTCTATATAAAATAGGGTTGGGTTTGATAGTGAATTAGCTTTCTGGCTGGTGATGAACTCGAAGCTGCTTTTTCCCAGTTTATCCGTTTGCTTGCGGAATCTAAACAGGAACTTTACTAGGTTCGTGTTCCATGAGCAAACAATTTCAAATTTATTATATAAAAGAAAAAACTTTCTGTTACCCAATCCAATTCCGCCGTAAAACAGTGGAAACCATCATTATAGTTTATGCACGAATAATTTGTTATTTTTACATTTATGTATTATTAAAATTTTAATTTGTTACGAATAATTTTTTAACAAAATCGAAGAGTAGGAAACTGCAAAATTTCCACGCTTGAATCAATTTAAGTAAATCCAGTCGTATCGTTCGATACTTCGATATATTGTTTCATTTAAATTTTTTTTTTTTTTAAATTTGTGAATTTTCAATTGTCGGAGTTTCTTGAATGAGTGAGCTTGATCAGTTCAGTGTATAAAACAATCGGACTAAACACTAATTAATCCTTGAAGAAGTTTTGTTGTCGTTCTCACATGGAGATGACGACTTATCGCGGACGTTAGGTGTAATTATTGTGGAGAAAAAAACATCAAAATTATGAGGACAACACAGTGCATGTGAAGTATTAACTGTTGTAAATGAATGTAAATGGAAAGTATTCTAGGGTACTTAAATCTACTAAACTACTTCTCTACAAAAACTTAGCATTTTAGCTATTTGGATGTAACTTGCATGATGTGACTATCATTGGATGTAGTATTATAGATTAACCTGATCTTAATTGTAACTTTTTCGATATTATTTTCATATACACATTTGTTTTATGAAAAGTTTCAAAAGATTTAAGATTTTTAGAATTTTTCTTTTAAAGACCAATTTTTCGCCTAGTTACTCTACTAAAAAGTAGGTGAACAAAGAAAAAAACTACTAAAGAAAAATGGTAATTTAATTATCTTTAAAGGAGGTTTGGCAAACTTTGAAACCGGAAAGAAACAGTTACTCGTTTAATTATTAGAGAAAATGTGGAAAATTATGTTGGAAATAAAGGGATACAATTTGGTCAAGAAGCATAGTAAAAGTCAATGGTCAATGTATAAAAGACCACATAGATTTTAAAACATAGGTTTTTGATGCATCCCCACAACATCTGTACACCTAATTCGATTATGACTGATATGACATTCTATTTAACAAATCCTTTCGAAAAAGTCTTTACATAGTAAAAAAAATAACGACCATACGAAAATGTTCGTCCCTTAGATTTGATATTTTATTTTTGGTGTGTTAATACTGTATAAAAAATACTAAAAAAACTTTTGGCCGAAATATATAAAGATTGGTCACTTAGATTTTTGTATTGATTTAAAAAAAAAAAAACTTTCGCATGAAAAAATGCAATTCCTACCTCCATTACTAATTTGTGGTGACACTGCCCTAAAGTCGCATGCAATTTCTAAATGGGCTCGGCCCAGTATGTATCATAAAATCGTCGGAATTTTCCTAGAGGACTTAATAATGTAGCTACTAGCTACATTAAGTTGTTCTGAGTTTTCCCATGTTTATTTTTCTCAGCCTCGTGTAAATATGGAGAATTGGGATCTCTTATTGATGTTAGGCTAGCTCAGACAAGGATCTTCTTCTGTTTCTTGTTTTTGGTGGTCTGTCTTAGTTGACTATGGTGATGGTTGATGCTGAGTTATGGAATATTTCGAAGCTCTAAGTAATTCAAGAGTTCACGTTTTCTGTACTTGATAATGTAGTCAGAGTTCCTATGCAAGAAAGACAAGATGGGTTAAAGAATTATGTTTTCCTTATTTAGAAAGAGTCTCATATTCAACTATTTGATATTTGAAAATTACTTAATTTTCCTTATTTAGTGTTTAAGAAAAGTCTTACGTTCTAAACTTTTTGTTTCTCATATTCACTTTGTTTTCTCATCACAAAACTCCAACAATATGTGATCCATTCTTCAAGAAAATGTACAAATCTCAATATATAGGTGGCCAGAGAGAAAAATTCGTAAGGTAAAAGAACAAAATCAACCCTTCTTTCACGATGTTAATTCAGATTTCTGTTAGATCTATGATTGTGAATTGTTGCTAACATCTTAAATTACAGATTAGATGATACAGATTCGAGGGTATCAATGTCATCTAATGCAACGGGAATGAAGAAGCGATCATGTTTTGGATTGTTTAACCTAACTAGTCGAGGAGGAGGAAAGACAAAGAACACATCGAAATCCTTTCGAGAAGGCGTTAAAATCGGATCAGAGGGTCTAAAAACGATCGGAAAATCATTGACATCAGGTGTGACAAGAGCTGTTTTCCCTGAAGATCTCAGAGTATCTGAAAAGAAAATCTTTGATCCTCAAGACAAAACACTTTTATTATGGAACAGAATGTTGTTATCTCTTGCATTCTTGCTGTCTCTGTTGATCCTCTGTTCTTCTATCTCCCCATTGTCGATAACTCAAAGAACTGCATTGGAATCGACTCTAAATTAGCTGTGACAACTACTACTCTAAGAACGATCATCGATGTTTTTTATCTTACACGAATGGCTCTTCAGTTTCGTACAGCTTATATTGCTCCTTCTTCTCGTGTATTTGGAAGAGGTGAGCTTGTGATCGACCCTGCAAAGATCGCTGAACGGTATTTGACTCGTTACTTCATTGTCGATTTCCTCGCGGTTCTTCCTTTACCTCAGGTAGTTAATACAATTCTTCAATCTTTTGTGTTTTGTGCATTGGTTTCTTGAATTGATGATTGTTGGTGGTGTTGATGTAGATTGCGGTGTGGAAGTTTCTTCACGGATCTAAAGGAACAGATGTATTACCAACAAAACAGGCGCTATTACACATTGTTATCACACAGTACATACCAAGATTCGTTAGGTTTATTCCATTAACATCAGAGCTCAAGAAAACAGCAGGAGCTTTCGCTGAAGGTGCTTGGGCTGGTGCTGCTTATTACCTCCTATGGTATATGCTTGCAAGCCACGTAAGCGTTTCAAAATCCATTTATCAGCATTAGGTTAAATACCTGAGAACAGATTTATTGTCTTTTTGGTTCTGTTTCTAACAAATGTTGTTATACTTTGACAGATTACTGGAGCGTTCTGGTACATGTTGTCAGTGGAACGTAACGATACATGCTTGAGATCCGCTTGTAAAGTCCAGCCAGATCCCAAGGTCTGTGTTCAGATTCTTTATTGTGGCAGCAAATTAATGAGCAGTCGCGACACCGACTGGATCAAATCAGTCCCTGATCTTTTCAAGAACAATTGTTCTGCGAAAAGCGATGAGTCCAAATTCAATTACGGAATCTATAGCCAGGCTGTGTCTTCTGGAATTGTATCTTCGACAACGTTTTTCTCCAAGTTTTGTTATTGTCTTTGGTGGGGTCTCCAAATCTCAGGTAAAACACATCGAAAAATCGACGCATAAATGTTAACTTGTGGTGTAAATTTTCCTAACTTGGGTGTTTTCGTGTACAGTACGTTAGGTCAAGGGCTGCAAACAAGTACATATCCAGGAGAAGTTTTGTTTTCAATTGCCATTGCTGTAGCCGGACTTCTTTTGTTTGCTCTTCTCATTGGGAATATGCAAACTTATCTTCAGTCACTTACGGTTCGTTTAGAGGAAATGAGGATTAAAAGACGCGATTCCGAACAATGGATGCACCACAGGTCACTTCCACAAAACCTGAGGGAACGAGTCAGACGTTATGATCAATACAAATGGTTAGAAACAAGAGGAGTCGACGAAGAAAACATAGTCCAGAGTTTACCAAAAGATCTCAGAAGAGACATCAAACGCCATCTCTGTCTGAACTTAGTTCGCAGGGTAAAGTTTTCAGAAATGTGAATTGCCTAAAGATTCTATACACTTCAATCACAAGGAACAATGTTCTTTTTGTGTTTTTTGCAGGTTCCTCTGTTTGCTAATATGGATGAGAGATTACTCGACGCAATATGTGAGAGACTAAAGCCGAGTCTATACACAGAGAGCACTTATATAGTGCGAGAAGGAGACCCGGTTAACGAAATGCTATTCATAATCCGAGGCCGATTAGAGAGTGTAACGACAGATGGTGGAAGAAGCGGTTTCTTTAACAGAGGTTTATTGAAAGAAGGTGACTTTTGTGGTGAAGAGCTTCTGACTTGGGCGCTTGACCCTAAAGCAGGCTCAAACTTACCTTCTTCCACAAGAACAGTGAAGGCTTTAACTGAAGTAGAGGCTTTCGCTTTAGAAGCTGAAGAGCTCAAGTTTGTGGCTAGTCAATTCAGGCGTCTTCATAGTCGTCAGGTTCAACAGACTTTCAGGTTTTACTCTCAACAATGGAGGACTTGGGCTGCTTGTTTTATCCAAGCCGCTTGGCGTAGACATTTAAGAAGGAAAATCGCAGAGCTTAGACGTAAAGAAGAAGAAGAAGAAATGGATTATGAAGATGATTACGATTATGATGATAATATGGGTGGTGTGGTTACAAGGAGTGATAGTTCTGTTGGATCAAGTTCTAGATTACGTTCCACGGTATTTGCATCAAGATTTGCTGCTAACGCGCTTAAGGGTCATAAGCTAAGGGTCTCCGAGAGTTCAAAGAGTTTGGTGAATCTAAGAAAGCCATCAGAACCTGATTTTGAGGCTCTTGATACAGAGGATTTGGGCTAAGTACTTAACATCAGGAAGATAAAAGTCAGTGATAAACACACTTCCAAACATTTCATTGTAAAACATACAAATTTACATCTATAACCGAAGCTGTTACACACTTACACTTACACAAGATAAACAATTAGAACATATGATTGATATAAACACAAAAAATCAAGAAACAAACATTTTTTAAAGAAATTCAGGAATCCAAACCTAATTCGCCATACGATTCTCTTTGTGAAGCCTAAAGAAGTAAGCTGCAGCGCTTAAGACGGCAGTAACCAAGGCGACACCTTTGAAGGCATCAAACTCATCATCCATGAAATTGAAGAAGATCACCACAAGAACCGACACAATCGGCCATGTAATAACACTGATCACATTCGACAACACGCTCGAAACAGAGTAGACAAGTCCCACAATCCCAACCCAATAGACCTGCCACGAAACAGCTTGACCAACCATAGCCATCACATAAGAACCTTTCCCCTTTGAGAATCCATTCATCTCCCTCTTTAATTCGTGTTGCTCGCCGGCGATAAGCAGACCCACGACGGAGATGATAGTAGCAACGAGAGAAGAGAAGATTATGACTTCGAAAACAGAGGCAAAGCTTGGTTTTTTATTGGTGGTTTCAGTGCGTTTGAAGATGTAACTGTCGAAGACGTTTTGGATGTTACAGAGAAGGAGAGCGAAACAGATTCCGGCGAACAGAGCAGCCCATGAGCCTCTAGCGTAATTCTCCTCTGCTTCATCAGGCTCACCGCCGAATGAAGAAGACAGAGTAAGAGCTCCAGTGATAATAGCTAAGATCACAGAGATAACAACCCATCGATTGAATTTGATTTTGTTGATGAAAGCTGCGAAAATTGGAGTGAAAAAGAGCTGTGTTGTGTAGATCAGAGTAAAAACACCAAATGGGATCTCGAGTTTTCCCATGGCGGCGAGTCTTCCTTGAACCGCCATGATAATTCCGATGCAAATGTAGATCACGGCTAAGGATTTGAAGTGGATTGAATCGGAAGTTATCGGAGGTTGTTGATGGTGATTGCGTTTGTTCTTGGTGATGAAGATGAGGAAAGGGAGAAGAAGAAGAGGGAAACCAACGGTTTGGAGAAGAGATTGAGTCCAAACGCCATCGTTTTGACGGTTTTCGTTGTATTCGCTTCGGTTGATTTTGTCGTAGTAGAAGTTTTCGAGGAGTTTTGCTATGGATTGGCCGATGATGACGAAGATGATCGAGATGGTGATCGTTGGCCAGTGGTTTGGTTTCCGGTTTGTGTTTCCGGTTTGGTTCATGCGTGTGGTTGAAGAATCACGCTCGATGTTGATTGGTATTTGCACAAATTGTTCTGCAAAAAAGAGAGGAAATTATAATAAGAATCAATTTGTTTTGCAAGAAGAGCGGAAGAGGAGATCAAGAAACGAGAGATCTGGTTTGTTAATTGTTAGTATAATTACCTGGTGGCTTGGTCTGAAAAATAGGTTGTTGATTCTGAGCCATGGATTGGAACTGATTGTCGGAGATTCTAAGCGATTTGAGTTCAAAGTATGTCGGCGATTAGATTTGGTTGTGAATATGTGATATTTTTGAGTGGATGATGTTGTGTGATAAAGGAAAGAGAAGGGTTTATTATATATGGGCAAGAAAAGTCTACCTGGGCGGCGTAATGGTCAATCAAGTGAGCCTCATGTCTACGCGTCATCGTTTTCAACTTGTTTCCGAGTTGCTTCGTCATCCAAAAAAGTGTGTAATAAACACTTAGAAGTAACTTATTCTGTCTTAACAAAATCCAGGTAATAATCGACAAAAATGATGGGAATATTGAGGTTTTGAATCTTGATTGTTTTCTCTCAACGAATATTCTGGATTGGATTTATGATTCGCAAGTGATTAAGAGAATGGTTTTTTTTTTTTTTATGGATTTATATTGACTTTGTTTGTTTTGGCCTTTGGGATTATCCAACATCCTACATTCCTACGTTTCGGAAATTTTGAACAAACACGGTGCCCACTTGGCAGCTCACTACTTGTTATATGAATAATCTTAAATGCGTGTCTTCTTATGACTTGATCTTTACAATAGCATACTTTATCTAAGGATTTCAAAATATGACGATATTTTCTAATGTTCAAGATATAATCCGAAAGGTGCGTGATTAAAATGAACTTGAACTTCGAATCATATTGTTTGCAATAACTAAGCAAATTTTGAACTCAAATTCAATGTTGTTCAATGTAACATTGATCATTTTTCAACCAAATGAACTCGGAAAGTTTGGATTTAACAAAATAAGAGATTAAGAAGGGTTAACAAAGGCAATTCCCTTGGTGCTCCTTTGACACATTTTACTTAAGAATCATACAAAGTCTCTTTGAACACAATCGCCTCGTTTGACTATATAAACGTCCTCACACTGTTTCCACGACGCTACACCAGTACACCCATTAGAACGTAATCTATCTTTTAAATATTGATGATCGAAACTATATATGACCCATAGGCATAAATGCTCTCAAATATACACTGGACCCATAATTCAAATAACATCTTAATACTAAACATGTAAGCATCTCTTGACCAAGAAACTGGAGTAGCCAAAGTTGTCCAGAGCAATAGCTCAAGTAGATCTATTATGTGTTAATGGATTCACAAAGGCAAAGCAACTATTACTAACCTTCATGGATTACTCATCTATATCAGTTTTAGACATGTGTTTTGACTTCCCCGGTTCATCATCGGTAGTCGGTACAACAGTTTCAGAACTAAAACGCTATGGGGCATTGAATTTGAAACTGTGATCCTTCGATAGCATTTTTACAGGCTTTTCAATGAACATGCCAACTCAAGAAGCAACAATTTGGTACCAAGAACCTTACTTAGATCAGTAGTTTATTCTTTGATCTGAGGGAAAAACCCTATTCTAGATCAATCCAACTAAATGGTCCTATGATCATAGAGACAATTAAAGATTTGGCATTGAAACTTTGATTAAGCAAACTTCTTTAGATAACATTTTGACAGGATTTCAATAACAGTGCCAACTCAAGAAGCATGGATTTGATATTAAGAACCATAGTTGCATCACTAGACTATATTTTTATCACAGAGGCAATCAAGTAAAAACCTTTTTCTTGATCAATCCAACTATAAACGATCCTATGAAACATCTCCACAATCTAGTACCTAAGTTTCTGAAACTTTACACATTGATCAAATATAATGTATCCAATAACTGAAAACGCTGAAAGAGAGACCAAGAGATTTTCTAAATACCGATTTAACTATGGCTGCGATGGGAAGACATCTTTCACCGCAGAAGCTGCGGTCAAGTAATTGAGTGTATTCCTCAGCGTCTCCCTCTCTCTTTTTAACCTAGCCGCCGTGTCTTCAAGCTCCAGCAACGCTTGCTGCTCCATTGGAGCTCCTTCAAATGTACTTCCGACGAAAAACGAGAACGGAGTCGGGAACTGATTCTTCCTCAGATCCTGAGATTCCTTATCTGGTTTCCCATTCAATCTATTCGACAATCGAATCACTTCTTTCATCAAAACCTCAACCTCATTCGCTAATTCGTCCAGATTCTCTTCACCGGACGGTCGATCTTCAAGCCACGTCACTTTCGCGACGAGGTAAGGTTTCGTACGGACGAGATCCGTGACGCGGAATCGTTCCTGACCTTTACAGATTAAGAAGAATCGATCGTCGACGAGACGCTCGTGCTTCACGATTTCTCCGACGCAACCGATTCCAGCTGCGGATCCTGAAACGGCGTCGGAGTAGACTACGCCGAATCTGAGATCGGATTGGAGAAGCGTTTGCATCATGACTCGGTAACGGAACTCGAAGATCTGAAGCGGGATTGTTGCGCCGGGAAAGAGAACGAGAGGTAGTGGAAAGAGAGGAAGCTCGACTAGGTCATCTGATTTCGGCGGATTCGCGTTGTGGTGCTTCTCGGAGAAGGAAGAGGATGAACATCGGAAGGAGAGGAGTTTACAGCTTCGACGGTTGATGCTCCGGTAAGTAGCTGGGAGATGTAATGGTTTAGGGTTGAAGGCGGAGAGATATGGTGGAGTTGATTTGAAGGAAGGAGATGAGACTGTGCTTGGAAGCGCCATTAGAGAGAGTGAAGGAGGAGAGATTTCACAAGTGAAGGGCGAAATTGATTTAAGATTTTATTAGTTTCTTCTTTAAAATTAAATCTTATCTGTTTGAGAAAATATATTTCATCAGATATTTTTATTTCATTTCGTGTGGCTACAGATTTGTTTTAAAATTTTTCTTGTTCAAAGAAAATTAATAAATTGGATGACATAAATGCGAGCAGTTTTGGTATTGTGTGTACTGTGTAGTACTGTACTAGTACATGCATGAGCCGTAAGCGAGCCACCGGTCTAGCTGGTGCCATTTCGTAGTAACCGTAAATATGCAGGGGTAATTCTGTCAATATCTCTTGCACATTTATAGCTAACAAAGAGAAACGGAAGAAAGAAAAAAGGTGATCGGAGATTTTGAGTTTTTTCTTTATTTCTCTCAGATTTGGAAGAAATGGCGGCAGAAGAGGGACAAGTGATTGGTTGCCACGCCAACGATGTATGGACCGTGCAACTCGACAAAGCCAAAGAATCCAACAAGCTGGTCTCGATTCTCTCCCTTTTGTTTTTGCTTTTGCTTCTGTTTGATTTGGGAATTAGGTTTTTGTTTGATTAGGGTTACAGTTTCTAGTGTCAAAGAAAACCTTAGGGTTTCAGGTTATGTTTCGCCGGATAAATAGTATAGAGATTTTACGAATTACAAGGTTTTGATTGCGATTAACGTAGAGTGGAATTTAAGGATTGTTTGAACATTAGATCGATTGATTCATCTTTGTAATTGTATCTTTTGTTGTGTTCCTCGTTTCGCTATTGCAGCTCAAAGTCATTCCTCTGTTTTTGATTGCTGCTCAGGTTATTTAGGCTTCTGATGGTATGATAATGTCATTGTTTTCAGATTGTGATAGATTTCACTGCTTCATGGTGTCCACCATGCCGCATGATTGCTCCTATTTTCACCGATTTGGCCAAAAAGTTCATGTCAAGTGCCATCTTCTTCAAGGTCGATGTTGATGAACTTCAGGTGAACAACACAGAAAACAAACTTTCTTTGCAAATTAATCTTCCCCACTCTTAGGCTCTAGAGTTACACTTTAGTGATATATTCTATATACTTGTGATGATGTTTAACAGAGTGTTGCTAAAGAGTTTGGTGTGGAGGCAATGCCAACCTTTGTGTTTATTAAAGCCGGCGAGGTTGTGGATAAGCTTGTTGGTGCGAATAAAGAAGATCTTCAGGCTAAAATAGTGAAGCATACTGGTGTTGCCACTGCTTAAATCAGTTTGAGGCATAATAAGAAGGTCTAATTTGTTTTTTCTACCCCTTCTTTTAGTGTTGCATTTAATGGGGAGCTGGTAGGATTTTTTCAGGGCAAGAAGGGTCTTAGACAGGGAGATCCCATCTCTTCCCTATTGTTTGTCTTGGCTATGGATGTCTTATCTAAGAAGCTAGATAAAGGTGTAATTAATCAAAGATTCGGGCCTCATCCGCAGTGCTTGGTTCCTCTTATCACGCATCTTAGCTTTGCTGACGATGTGCTGATATTTTTTGATGGGAAGGAGGATTCTCTTCAGGGGGTTATGGATATTCTGGAGGAGTTTAAGATTGAATCAGGTTTGGGTGTAAACAAAGATAAAACTGCTCTATTCTTGGATGGTGGTAGTTTTCAAGAGAACTCGGAGATGGCAATCAGACTTGGACTTCAACAAGGCTCTCTCCCTGTTAGGTATTTGGGTGTCCCTCTCACTTCAAAGAAAATGAAGGAGCAAGATTACCAACCTCTTTTGGATAAAATCCTCAGCAGATTCAACTCCTGGTCTGTGAAGCATCTGTCTTTTGCTGGTAGATTACAACTCATCCAGTCCGTAATCTACTCCATCATTACCTTCTGGGCATCCATCTTTATTTTGCCTAATAAGTGCCTAGATGCTATTGAGAGAATGTGTAGTGCTTTCTTATGGAAAGGTTCTCCTTTTTCTGCTCGAGGGGCTAGAGTAAGCTGGGAGTCGGTGTGTACTCCAAAGTCCGCAGGTGGTCTTGGACTGAGACGGCTGCAGCCTTGGAACAAGGTCCTGGGTCTAAAGCTGATTTGGCTACTGTTCACAGCTGGAGGTTCTTTATGGGTCTCTTGGGTGAGGAGGAACTTGTTAGGGCAGAACAACTTCTGGGAAATGATTACAATTAACTCAGGGAGCTGGATTTGGAAGAGCCTTTGCAAGCTCAGACCTATTGCTAGGCCTTTTGTGGTTTGCAAACTTGGCTCTGGCATCACTTGCAATTTTTGGAGTGATAATTGGACTGCTTTGGGGCCACTGTTGCATATCACTGGAGAGTTGGGTCCTAGAATATCTGGATTGCCTAGAAATGCAACTGTGGCAGATGCTTTAAGAGGAAGTGATTGGTGGATTTCTAGGAGTAGGAGTAGAAGTCCCATCATTCAATTGTTGAAGGAGTGCCTTCCGTCTGCTTCTGTGGTTCAGGTACAAGATGAAGCTGTTGATGACTGTTTTCTGTGGAAGGTTGGAGAGAAAGAGGCGTCTGGTTGTTTCTCCTCAGCTTCTACTTGGGAACACTTGAATCCCCATGGGGAAGTTGTGGACTGGTTTAAGGCTATTTGGTTCAAGGGAAGGATTCCAAAACATGCCTTTATGGCTTGGATGGCGGCTCGGCATAGACTAAACACGAGGGACAGATTGATTAGTTGGGGTATCACTGTACCCTCTCTTTGTTTGCTTTGCAATGCTCACGATGAATCTAGACAACATCTCTTCTTTGATTGCGCCTTCGCTGCGGAGGTTTGGTATTATTTTACATCAAGGGCCCATGTAAATCCACCTTCTTTATTTGAGGATGGTCTTAGATGGCTAAGGAATCCTTGCCGCGATAAGAATATGGCTACGATTCTTAGACTCGCCTTTCAAGCCTCTCTATATATCATTTGGAAAGAAAGAAATGCTCGGCTTCATACCTCTTCTTCTAGACCTGTTTCTGCTCTAATTGTGGAAGTCAAAGGAATCTTGCGATGTCACTTGGATCCGCTTACGAGAGCTCAGCGTCTAGGTCCTCATGGTGTGTCTTTTTTGGCCACTTGGTTTGAGAGATTTCTTGTGTAATGTGCTCTTGTACTCTGTTTCTTTGCTATTGTAGGTGTATCTCATTATTGGAGGCACTATTGTTGTTTTCGGTACCAAGACGTTCTTGGATTAATGAAGGTTAGTTATTAGTAAAAAAAAAAAAAAAAAAAAAAAAAAAAAAAAAAAAAAAAATTTGTTTTTTCTTAATCTACCTAATCGTAATGGGGGAAATTGTAGATTGGAGATGAATAATGTAGAAGTTATGTGATCTCTCTTACTGTTTTGACTTTTTGAGTCATAAAACCATCCTTATCTTATTTGGTCTCTGGCTTTTGCTTAAGTAATCTGCCCTTTAGGTGTTCTGTTCTACCTCCATTAATCAGGATATCATAATTTGAATATCTGAAATCGAGACCCTTACAAAGATGTATCATAATTAGTTAATTACAAATATGTAAACTCTAATAAAAAAAATTGAAAATAGGTTATTTTGTGGGAGCAGCTGTGTCCACGTGTCAGAATTTGATTGGAAGTTGAAATTCTTATCACCACCAAACGTTTCATATATCTTTGCCAAACGAACCCATTTACCAAGGTTCTTCGTCCTTCCTTATCTTTTGCTTCTTCTTCGCTGAGCTTATACTGTAAACTCTCTTTCGAGTTTCGTTATTGGAGATAAAGGAGGAGAAATTCTCGTAGAGTTAATAACAGTAATTGTCGATAATGGAGAAGCTCTTCGTACCATCATTTCCCAAAACTTTTTTGAATTATCAGACACCTGCAAAGGTGGAGAATTCGCCTGAAGTTCATCCAAAATCCAGAAAGAAGAATCTATCTTTCACCAAGAAGAAAGAACCCAATATCATTCCCGACGAGCAATTGGATTACTTGTGTAGAAACGGGAGTCTGCTCGAAGCTGAGAAAGCTCTAGACTCGTTGTTTCAGCAAGGTTCCAAGGTAAAACGAAGCACTTACCTCAAATTGTTGGAATCGTGCATTGATTCTGGTTCTATCCATTTGGGTCGTATCCTTCATGCTCGGTTTGGTCTGTTTCCTGAACCTGACGTCTTTGTGGAGACTAAGCTGTTGAGCATGTATGCTAAATGCGGGTGTCTTGTTGATGCCCGTAAGGTGTTTGATTCAATGCGTGAGAGGAATCTGTATACATGGTCTGCTATGATTGGTGCTTACTCGAGGGAGAATCGGTGGAGAGAGGTCTCTAAGCTCTTTCGTTTGATGATGGAAGACGGTGTTTTGCCTGATGATTTCTTGTTTCCCAAGATTTTACAGGGATGTGCTAATTGTGGAGATGTTGAGACTGGGAAGTTGATTCATTCGGTGGTTATAAAACTTGGGATGAGTTCGTGTCTTCGTGTTAGCAACTCTATTTTAGCTGTGTATGCAAAATGTGGTGAACTGGATTTGGCTACAAAGTTTTTTAGACGCATGAAGGAAAGAGATGTGGTTGCTTGGAACTCAGTACTGTTAGCTTACTGCCAAAATGGTAAACATGAAGAAGCTGTAGAATTGGTAGAAGAGATGGAAAAGGAAGGAATTTCTCCAGGGTTAGTTACTTGGAACATATTGATTGGGGGTTATAACCAGCTAGGGAAATGTGATGCTGCAATGGATTTGATGCAGAAGATGGAGAATTTCGGTATTACTGCTGACGTGTTTACGTGGACTGCTATGATTTCGGGTTTGATTCATAATGGGATGAGATATCAGGCATTAGATATGTTTAGGAAGATGTTTTTAGCGGGTGTAGTGCCGAATGCAGTCACTATTATGAGTGCTGTGTCTGCTTGTTCATATTTGAAAGTTATAAACCTGGGATCAGAAGTTCACTCTATTGCTGTGAAGATGGGGTTTATCGACGATGTGCTTGTGGGCAATTCTCTGGTTGATATGTATTCGAAGTGTGGAGAACTGGAAGATGCAAGGAAAGTTTTTGATTCGGTAAAGAATAAGGATGTATATACTTGGAACTCAATGATAACAGGGTATTGCCAAGCAGGTTATTGTGGGAAGGCTTATGAATTATTTACAAGGATGCAAGATGCAAATGTAAGACCAAATATTATCACATGGAACACGATGATCTCAGGATATATTAAGAATGGAGACGAGGGTGAGGCTATGGACTTATTTCAGAGGATGGAAAAAGATGGAAAAGTTCAGCGAAATACTGCAACATGGAACCTAATTATTGCGGGTTACATACAAAACGGAAAAAAAGGACGAGGCCTTGGACATTTTTCGGAAAATGCAGTTTTCTCGCTTCATGCCAAATTCGGTTACCATTCTAAGTCTCTTACCCGCTTGTGCTAATCTTCTTGGGGCAAAAATGGTAAGAGAGATACATGGTTGTGTATTGCGGAGAAACCTAGATGCGATTCATGCCGTTAAAAACGCTTTAACAGATACTTATGCTAAGTCAGGGGATATAGGATACTCAAGAACCATCTTCAAGGGTATGGAAACAAAAGACATTATAACTTGGAACTCGCTCATTGGAGGTTATGTTTTACATGGTAGCTATGGTCCAGCTCTTGATCTTTTTAATCAAATGAAGACACAGGGGATTAAGCCGAATAGGGGAACTCTTTCGAGTATTATCCTTGCGCACGGTCTAATGGGAAATGTAGACGAAGGAAAGAAAGTATTCTACAGCATTGCGAATGATTACCATATTATTCCTGCTCTGGAACATTGTTCTGCTATGGTATCTTTGTATGGACGATCCAACAGACTTGAAGAAGCTCTGCAGTTTATCCAGGAGATGAATATTCAATCAGAGACACCCATCTGGGAAAGCTTCTTAACTGCCTGCAGGATTCATGGTGATATTGACATGGCAATCCATGCAGCAGAGAACTTATTCTCCTTGGAACCTGAAAATACGGTCACTGAAAATATTGTTTCGCAGATCTATGCATTAGGTGCAAAACTTGGGAGATCATTAGAAGGAAAGAAGCCTAGGAGAGATAACTTGCTGAAGAAACCTCTTGGGCAGAGCTGGATTGAAGTCAGAAATTTAATCCACACATTCACGACAGGTGATCAGTCGAAATTGTGTACTGATCTTCTGTATCCCTGGGTGGAAAAAATGTGTAGGCTGGATGATAGAAGTGACCAATATAATGGAGAACTTTTGATTGAGGAAGAAGGAAGGGAAGAAACTTGTGGAATCCATAGCGAAAAATTTGCCATGGCGTTTGGTCTAGTTTCCTCATCCCGTGCTCCTAAGGCGCCGATAAGGATCTTGAAAAATCTTAGGATGTGTCGAGACTGCCATAATACTGCAAAGTACGTCTCTAAGAGATACGGCTGTGACATATTGCTGGAAGACACAAGATGCTTGCACCACTTTAAGAATGGAGATTGTTCCTGTAAAGATTATTGGTAGAGTGATTAGCCAATCACTAAGGTACGACTTACCTTGATTTCTGCAGTCTTTTTAACCACATAATCACGCAATATATCATTCTCATATTTTTTATTTGTTATTAATCGATTATTGAGTTAGCAGCATGGCGTGAGTAAAATTAGTTGAAGTTTGAAAGCTGAACTCCAATCCTTGTAACTAACTAGGGAAGGTTCATTAGTGCGTATCTTTGTTATCTTGGGAAATATGATTCTTTGAAGAATATGATTCTTTTTTCCTGTCATGATTTCCCTTGATAGTGGAAACCAGAATGAAACGTGTATTATGCAATTTGATTTGATATATTCCAGAAAATCCCCAACCACAAACGTAACCTTTTTCATCTATCATAAATTCCCATCAAGTGTCTAAGCTATGTGTTGCAGTAGTCAGCTCTCTGTTTACTCGAGCTTCTTACACTTGCTTTGAGTCTTTAGAGATCATTTTAATTTGAGGATGGTATTAACATCATCTTTGTTGATCCTCATTCTTCAGTTTCTGTGTATCAAAATTTCAACAATAAAAGGCTGATATTGCAGTTGATTTTGTGAGATTAACTTGAACTTATTTCTGCAGAGTGTTGAAGGCAAGCCTGCATCAGTCGGCCCATGGGGAGGCCAGTGTGGTCATGCCTGGGATGATGGAATGTACACCACAATAAAGCAAATAATTATAGCCCATGGTTCTGGAATAGACTCCATACAAGTTGAGTACGACAAAAACGGTAGCTCGGTTTGGTCTGAAAAACGCGGAGGAAAGGGAGGCAAGAAGTTTGATAAGGTATGATTGTGACTCTTTAATTTATCAATATTCTGTTAGTTTCTCAGAATATAATCACTGTTCTCTTGTTGTTTAGGTCAAACTTGATTACCCACATGAGTATCTGATTTCAATCAATGGAACATACGGTAGCTTTGACGTCTGGGGAACTTTATGTGTCCGATCACTTACTTTTGAGAGTAACCGCAGAAAATATGGACCATTTGGTGTTGAGTCAGGTACATTCTTCGCATTACCAAAATCAGGGTCAAAGATTATTGGGTTCCATGGGAAGGCTGGTTGGTATTTGGATGCTATTGGTGTTCACATTCAACCAGTTCCTAAAGAGAATAATCCTTCGTCGAAAATCCTTTTGCACTCGCATCAAAGTTTCCCTCAGGGTGATAAGAAACATGAGTACTCAGTGATACAAGGAAGTGTAGGGCAAAACTTTGATATAGTTGTTGCCCTCAGAAAGAAAGATCCAACTTTGCCTTCTTTTGAATCCCGAGATTCCGCAGGTGCCGAGATCACCAAACATAAGGTGATTTTAAGACTTTTATGTTATACATTCGAAAAAGCAGGTCTTATCAGAGTTTTTACTGGTTTCTTAACAAAAAAATAAATCGAATTTGTTTTATCAGTTGGTGACAGATACTGAGAAGTTGCAGTCAAAAGTTGAAGGTGGCGCGAAAACATATGGACCATGGGGTGGAACCGGAGGTATCATGTTTGACGATGGGATTTATACCGGTATTAGACAAATCAATTTGTCACGCAGTGTCGGGATTGTGTCGATAAAGGTCTGTTATGATTTTAGAGGACAAGCTGTGTGGGGAAGCAAACATGGTGGCACGGGAGGATTCAAACATGATAAGGTGCGTGAATTTGAAACCTTTCTTGGTCTGCTTAAGTTAAATTACACTTCATATTTCACAGGTTTGAATGTTGTAACTTGCAGATTATATTTGACTACCCATCAGAGGTTTTAACACATGTAACGGGAACATATGGGCCGTTGATGTATATGGGACCTAATGTGATAAAGTCACTGACTTTCCACACCAACAGAGGAAAGCATGGACCTTATGGAGAAGAACACGGACCTTCTTTTACACATCAAATTGACGAGGGTAAAGTTGTTGGATTCCTTGGAAGAGAGGGTTTGTTTCTTGATTCCATTGGTGTTCATGTTATGGAATGCAAAATAAGTTCCCTTAAGCCATCATCTCCTCACAATGCAATTGTTCCTCATAATAACTCCGGCACTGCGCAAATCGAAAATTCCCCATGGGCTAATAAGCTAGTCCTCGCAGCAAACGGCCATGGTGAAGAGGTAACTTGTAGATTCTATCACCATGGTATTTTCCGATTTTTCAAGTTTTCCGTTTCAAGAATAGCAGCCAATGTATAACAACTCTGGGTCAATTTATATGGTTTCCGTTTTAATAGGCTTTATCTTAGCCAAATTAAGACCTGTTTGGTTTTTAAATAGTTCTTTTTCAAGTTTGGTTCGGTTTATCTAGATTAAGCACCCTAATATCATTTTCACAGGTTGATCGTGGAGTCGTCAAAGAACCAACACCGAGCGGTCCTGGACCGTGGGGAGGCGACGGAGGTCAAGCTTGGGACGATGGAGTATTTTCAGGGATCAAGCAGATATTTGTGACAAGAGGAAATGATGTTATCTCTTCAATACAAGTCGAGTACGATAGAAATGGACAATCTGTTTGGTCCACTAAACATGGTGGTGATAACAATGGAGTCGCCACACACAGAGTAAACATCAATCGATTCTTCTTTCATATAAAGCCACTTTTGTGTTTAATGCATTAGAACCATTTCTAATGCTCTATATCTGTGTTGCAGATTAAACTTGAGTATCCAAACGAAACGATCACCTGCATTTCAGGGTATTACGGACCTCTAAACAATTCAGACAGATATAATGTTGTCAAGTCTCTGAGTTTCTACACGAGCCGTGGGAAGTATGGTCCATATGGTGAAGAAACCGGGACGTTTTTCACTTCGACTACAACACAAGGAAAAGTTTTGGGGTTCCATGGAAGGAGTAGCTTGCACTTGGACGCCATTGGAGTGCATATGCAGCATTGGCTTGGGAATAATAAGCCTTATTACAGCAGGGCTAGTTGTTTCAAACTCTTCTCATAATCTTATCTGCGCACAACAAGATAACATCTAACCTCGTATGGTCCGATCGACGCTTACAGTCTATCCATTAAGAGTTACAATAACACTGTTTCTATAAACAGAATAATACGAAAAATCTATAGAAACAAGAAGAGTGTGTATTGTAAAATGAACTAATATTGGCATTTCCGTGCTAAACTTTGTTTAATGATCCGAATTGGTTGTTTGTGAATGAATTTTTGCGTGTTGCAACACTTCTCTGAGCACAGAAGCTATTCGATGAGACATATGATGTTCCAAGAACATCTCTTTTACCCTCTCATACCCTTTCTTCCCCATTGTCTTCCTCATCTCTACATTAGTCGCCAGCTTCACAATGTTTTTGGCAAGAGGTAACACGCCATCTTTACCAGTGTTGTGTAATAGACCGGTTGTTCTGTTCACTACAATCTCCATTGTCCCTCCTGCTGCAGTCCCAAGTACAGGAAGCTTAAAGGCCATAGCTTCGATTGTTATCCTCCCAAAGCATTCTCCTCTGGCTTGGGAGTTTTGGACAAGAACATCAATAGCCGCTAGATATGGTGCTACTTTCATTGTTTTGTTAACAAAGTGGACAATTTTCTGAAGTTTCTTCTCTTGGACAAAGTTGCGTAGCTCTGTCTCGAATTTCGTCTGTGCGCTCATATCACTTCCTACTACCACTGCATGCATTGTTGGTACCTCAAGTTTCTTAGTCTCTTTGAGTACTTTAAGACTTTCATGGAAGGCTCGGAGGAATAGATCTTGGCCCTTTCCTCGAGATACACCTGCAATAAGAGAAGCACCAGTCATAAGCAAATTAAGTACAATCTCGATTCTTTTGAGGATTATGATTCTTGAAGAAACTAAGAAAGAGAAAGAATGTAAGAGATGACTTACTATTAATAATGCCAAATAGTATGTCTTCATTCCTCACTCCAAGAGATTCTCGAACTTGCTCCCGGAGAACATTCTTGGCGAAACTATCTTCAGCTACTTCCATCAACTCCTTGCTATTTCCTAGGTGCACGACATAAGTTTTAGGCATTTTAATCCTGTGTTACAACAGTTAAAGAATAAACACTGTTAAGCTTCTGACATTAATGTAAACTGAAATCTCGAAAGACTCTACAGAGAATTATAAGAAGAAGTGCAAAGAGAGGAAACAGACCCTAAACGATCATGAGTTCTGTTCTTCCAGTATTCAGCTGTTGCGTGCGAATCAATCATTGCACCCGCAACAAACGGAAGGTGCTTGACTAAATCCGGTTTGAAATAGTGACCTCTCATCTCATGAATCCACCAGAGTACTTTAGGAAGAACTTTAGGAACATTGTCCTTGAGAACTGCATCAAGCCATTTCCCAGCAACAGCAGTATTCAAAACAACCAAATCAGACTTAAGAGCTGTATCTATAGCTTTCTGACTCTTTGCTGATATTACCTGAAGGATTCAATCACTAACAATCATGATAAGAATCAAAGAAAAACTATGGAGGTGGTTAGCTAAATTTGAACCTGCACTCCTCGATCCAACATTTTGTGTTCCAAAACCTTAATCACTTCATCTTCTTCAACTGGTTTCTGATTCGTGATCCAAACAACGTCAGATTCAACTCCTCTAAGCAAAAATGCCAATTCCATTAACAACAAAGGTCCACCTAAAATCATCACTTCAAGTTTAGCTAGAGAGAACCATCAATCCATAGAAAAAACGATCACAAAACATCACCTGAGAGCGAGAGCTCGTGAGAAACAAGCAAAACGAGCTTCGATTTCATGAAACCGAGAGGATTCAACGATCCAGAAACCGATTGGATCTTAACGTCACTGTTATTATCTTCCTTCTCTCGACCACATCTCTTTCCACTAACACTACAGGAATCAAAAGTAGATCTCACGAGAATCATTCCTAGTGTTGATACAGATAAAACCAAGAGAATCATCAGAGGCCATCTCTTTTTCTGCAATGTTGCCCACACACTCGTTGATGGCTTCCCCATTGTTCCTTCTCTACAGCTAGAATCACATCCTAGGGTTTCCACAGTCACAATCGATCTCAGTGAAGTAAGAAGCTAAAGAAATCGAGAGGGAAATTGGTATGAAGAAGAAGATTGATCACTCACTGAGATTTGATTGGAAAAATCGCTAAACAGTGTCGACTCTTTGGAATTCACGCCGTTCTTGTTATTTAGAAGGAAAGTGCTTGCCGTTTAACCAGCAGGCCCTTGTCTACTCTTAACCCAAGAACCTGACGGATTCCTCTTGTTAAAATATATAATGGGCTTAAAAATTCAGGCCTATATTTGCTAAAAGCCTAAAACACGGTGATTAAGTATATAATCCTAATTATTTCATCATGTATGTGAGTTTGAATCTGAATGATGATGTATTAATGTTACTACTACTAGCAGAAACCATTGTTACATATACTAGTTATGTTTAATATATGGTCGAATGAAATAGTAATAGTTTAAGCTGTTTTTTTTAAGCTAGCTAGGATTCATATTAGTTTTGGTGATTCAATTTTTGTTTGGTTCTAATAATGGAGAGCATAATGATTAATGAGTGATGACAATTGTCCAACAATTTCGATCCATGGGATATAAAAGTTACAAACATGAATTTTAGTGGTGATGATCCGTCGTCATATATGGTCCAACAATGTATGTGGCAATAAAAACTTTTACTTTTTGTTACACGGCCATAACTTGTGGCTATTTATTATAAACTTTTTTTTGATATATCCATGTAATTAATATATTTGACAATTCGCAAGAATTATTATACTTTTAACTTTTTCCTCCAAACATTTTCCTCGTTTAGCATCATCGATCCATCCTCATCTTATATTTTTATCTACAAAAACTCATCATGAGTATTATTATACGTTTTTACAGAATCGTAATCATAATATTTTTAAAAACAATTACATAATTAATCATCTAAAATTTCAGTACATTTAATCCACCTCTCACCAGCTAACTGCCTATGTTTATTTTTAATCATCATTATCAATCAACATCCACGTGGAAACAAAGTCAATACAATCATCTCTCAAAGACTCGAAACCTATGAATAATTTTCCAACACAATGGTACTTCTCAAATGATTTTGTGTCGGCTGCTCAAAATCCAATCTCTAATTAACAAACCAAAACGATAACTATTTGTTTTTAAAGTAATATTTTAAAAATCAAAGGACAAAGAATACATTAGTGTATCTATAAAGTTGTTGAACCAAAAACAAATGTAGCTATAAAGATAATCTTTTACGTATTCTGCATTGCGGAATATGCAAATACAAACATATAATACAAACATGTATGTGTATAACTAAAAAGGTTTATAACAAAAGAAATAAAAAGACAAGAACTTATTAGAAAAAAAAATTGGGTATAACAGAAGAGTAAGGAGGGACTCACCAACTGGTTGTTAAGTCATTTAATCCCTCAATTAAGCAATTGAGCAATTGAGCAGACACACACCCACCTTTGTTTTATCTTCTTCCTTAAACCAGCTTCTCAAGGGTAGTTTTGTAATTTCATGTTCCTACCTATAATGACATTTCTATGTTTTATTTGATGGAGTTTAATTTCCGCTACCATGCATAACTAAATGTATATCCAAACCTCGAAGATATTGAACTACAAAGTGCTCAAAAGATATATAAATCTATTAAAAAATGTATAGAACTTTAACTTTATGATGAAAGCAAGGTGATAAGAACAAATAGTTTAAAAAAACATTTTAGATATGGAATCCAAATCTAGACTCTAGAATATGTGGCTGGTAATAATTTCAATAGTTTGGACCCTCACGTACACAAATCAGGAAGTCGTTAAAGTTTTCCACGATACCATGGTAATGTACGCATTATAGATTATTTCGTTTAAATAGTTAGATTTGGTTCTTTTCTAAATACAAATTATACAAATACTAAACTTTTCATATATGAACTAAACTTTTCACTAATATATTACCAATATCATTGGCTTCGTTTTTTTTTGGTAGTATTTACTATTTAGTTAACTTATACGGAAAAGTAGTATGAGTCAAGTCAATGACAACACAACATCATTAAAGTATTATATTATCATCAATAAAATCCATTTATTTTTGTGTGTGGAATTGTTAAAGTCGTCATAAGAAAATAATCAAAATATTATCCCGTAATCAAGAAACGAAAATTGGTGATTTGTAAGCTCTCACGTGTTTCTCTATGAATGGTTGGCACACAAAAATTCATTCAATTTATTTATACACTAATTAAGCATCAGAAACAGAAGCTTCTGCCGGAAAAGATTAAAAATTACAGGTAGCGGTTGTCAAACTTTTCCGGTAGTGTGATTATTTTATTGTTGATATTGCATAATAATATTTAAAAATGTTTTAATTTCTTAGAAAATTGGGTTGGTGTCTAATGTCCCAATGATAAGTTGGGTTGGTTTTTTGTTCTTGTGGAGTGAACAAAAATTTGTTTATTTAAGAATTTGCAATTATTAATCGCCTCTCTCTCTCTATCTCTCTCGGGATTGGGTCTCAAATCTTTTTTTGTCTTCAACTGTTGGAAACTCTTCTGCTTTTGTGTTTCCTGATTCAGCCACATCCACACTCACAAACACAATCTCTAGGGTTTTTTTCCTTTAAACTTTGATTCTCTCCCTCAGGTAGTTTTTCTTTAAACTTTTAAATTCCAAGTTCTTGATTCTTGATTCTTGATATGATTGAACTTGTACTGTGTTTCTTGATTGTTATTTTGTTTACTTTCTGTTTTTTTTTCTACCTTCCTTTTTGAAAATTCTCCTACAGAAATGAAATCATCAAAAACACTTTACTTCTTTATGTAATAATTGAATCTTCTCTGCTTTTGACTCACTACGTTGAGCTACACAACTTCTTTTTACTCTGCATTTTTTTCCAACCACAAATTAGGGTTTTTTCCTCCCAATTTCACCTCCATAGATCGGGTATTCCTCTACGATTACACAATTCCCGAATTGGGTTTTTCTGGGTTTCTTCAGTTCTTCACCAAAAACATTTGCTTTTATCAAGAATTTGACTTTAATCCTCGGGAAAAATTTGGTCCGATTCTGTTTGTTGCTTTCGAAACTGTTTACGATATAAAAAAAGAATTGTTTGGTGTAAAATGATTACGATGTATTAACCTCTCTTAGATTCCATCAGAAACTTTTAAAATTCCACACCTTACACGACTCTTCTTCTTATTTTTTTGCAGGATCTCATTTCCCGACCAAACTCATCGAACTGAGAACTCACTGTAATAAAACTAAAAAAAGGTGTTAGTTAACAAACGAAACACCAATGGCGGTTTATTACCCAAGTAATGTCGGTTGTTACCAGCAAGAACCAATCTTTCTCAACCATCAACAACAACAACAACAAGCTTCTTCTTCCTCCGCCGCCGCTTCTTTCACCGTCACCGGCGGCGATAATATTCGAAACGAGATGGTTTTTATCCCACCCACCACCACAGGAGACGTTGTAACAGGAAACGGTGCCGTTTCGAGCAGCGATCTAAGCTTTCACGATGGTCAAGGACTGTCTTTGAGCCTTGGTACTCAGATCTCTGTTGCTCCGTTTCACTTTCATCAATACCAAATGGGTTTTGCTCAAAATCCTTCAATTTCAGTCAAGGAAACGTCACCGTTTAATGTTGATGAGATGAGTGTGAAGAGCAAAGAAATGATGTTGTTGAGTCAATCTGATCCTTCCTCTGGTTATGCTGGTAATGGTGGGAGTGGATTCTACAACAATTATCGGTATAATGAGACATCGGGAGGGTTTATGAGCAGCGTTTTGCGTTCTCGGTATCTTAAACCGGCTCAGAATTTGCTTGATGAAGTGGTTAGTGTCAAGAAAGAACTAAACCAAATGGGGAAGAAGAAGATGAAAGTTAATGACTTTAACAATGGTTCTAAGGAGATAGAAGGAGGAGGTAGTGGCGAGTTATCGAATGATTCGAATGGCAAATCGATGGAGTTATCTACAGTTGAACGTGAGGAGCTTCAAAACAAGAAGAACAAGCTTTTAACAATGGTTGATGAGGTAACTAACTTAACATTTTTTGAAATTGAATTGGTTTTATGTCCTCTTTGATTTAGCTTTTTCGATGGGATAGTTCAATTGATTTTGGATTGGTTTAAAACCGGATTGATGGAGTTTATGATGATGATTTGGTTGTTGTGGATGTGTTAATGATTGCAGGTAGATAAAAGATATAACCAATATTACCATCAAATGGAAGCATTAGCTTCATCATTTGAGATAGTAGCAGGACTTGGATCAGCTAAGGCTTACACATCAGTCGCTCTCAACAGAATCTCTCGCCATTTCCGAGCTCTTCGCGACGCAATAAAGGAACAAATTCAGATTATTAGAGAGAAACTTGGGGAGAAAGGAGGAGAGTCATTGGATGAGCAACAAGGAGAGAGGATACCAAGGCTTAGGTATTTAGATCAAAGGTTGAGACAGCAAAGAGCTTTGCATCAACAGCTTGGAATGGTTCGACCTGCTTGGAGACCTCAAAGAGGTCTTCCTGAAAACTCTGTATCTGTTCTTCGCGCTTGGCTCTTCGAACATTTCCTTCATCCGTATGTGTTTCTTCTCTCACAAGTCACAACTTTTTCAATTTCCCATTACATAATGTTTCTTTTCTGGTTTTATTTTTAGATATCCGAAAGAATCTGAGAAAATCATGCTTGCTAAACAGACAGGATTGTCAAAAAACCAGGTAAACAGAGCTTTTTGTCTTCAGTTTAAATTAGCAATCTTTGTGTTCTGCTGGAATAACTCTGGTTTCTCTGCTCTCTAATTAGGTTGCTAATTGGTTCATAAACGCGAGAGTTCGTCTATGGAAACCGATGATCGAAGAGATGTATAAAGAAGAGTTTGGTGATGAATCTGAGTTACTAATCTCCAAATCTTCCCAAGAACCCAACAGCACAAACCAAGAAGACTCCTCATCGCAGCAGCAGCAGCAAGAGAACAACAACAACAACAACCTCACTTATTCATCTGCAGACACAACAAGCATTGTCTTCTCATCAGAAACTAAACCAGACCGTGCTCTAGGCAATGATAACGAGCCACAACAACAACAACAGATAAACAGGTCATCCGATTACGACACTCTGATGAACTATCACGGGTTTGGTGTTGATGATTACCGTTACATTAGCGGAAGCAACCAACAAGAAAGCAGATTCTCCAATTCCCATCACTTACACGACTTTGTTGTTTGATATGATCTGGTTCTTGGCACAGAGGCCATGATTCTTGAAGCGCAAGAATGCTTCTGCAATTTTATAGTTTTAGGCATAATACACACATTGTCTGTGGAATATATAGTAGATGTGTAGGTTGCTTTTTGTGTATAGTACACTCGTAAGCCAAATATTGATATGTGTGTATAAGATTCACGGTGGTATAAAGGATACTTGCTAGTGTGAACATCGTTTTGTTTTAGTTGGAGATCAAACTTTTGTGGTATGTTTCACGATTCTTTCTATATATCACTGGATTATAGAAACGGCATGCAGTGCTAGATTTTGGAAACCAAACGGCACGTAGTTTCTTTGTGACTGAATCGTTAAAGTACGGAAGACTTTAGACTTATCAGTCCACCGATTTCAATGACGGTTTTTCAGTTACCAAGTTTGTCGCCGGAGATTCTTCTCCGTTTTACTCCTACACCACTTGATTTTACAAATCGTAGGAGAATCAACTTTTTCCGGCCATTGTCAGCGATCGGCGATTCTCAATCCGGTGCACCAGATTCAGAATCCCCGAACCAAATGTTCATTCTCGGAATGGGATTCGTCGGAGGATTGTTTGCGCAGCAGCTCAAAGAAGCAGACTGGTCTGATATCTCAATTTCTCTCCTACTCTCTTTCTCCGATTCAAAGTCATTGCAGCAATTTCTTGAGGAAATGAGTATGCGCCTCATAATCAATACGATCTTAGGATCTTAGTCTTAGCTAGGTATTAACAATTTTAAGGATATAGGGTGGTTTCAGGGACTTGCAGGAGTGATTCGAAGAAGAAAGAATGGGAAAAGAGAGGAATCAATCTTCATCCATTTTCTGCAGATTCACCTGAGTAAGTGTTTTAATCAGCACTTCCATGGTAGTAATCTCGGAATCTGAGTCGTAAACTCTTTTGCTTCCTTGTTAATCAGATGGAGCTTGCTAGATTCAGTGAAAGATTACACTCATCTACTCATTTCCATTCCACCTTTAGCAGACATTGGTGATCCGGTTTGCTTTCTTCTTTCATGTGATTTCTTATTTGTTAACACTCTGTATAATAACTGACATAACCTTATCTTTTGATGATTTCCGAAAGATGTTGCGGAATGTGGAACTTCTCAGAGACAAGCTTTCGAGTGGAAACCTTCGATGGCTTTGTTATCTCTCATCAACAAGTATTTTCCTTTTAACTTTCCTCACTACATCAATGCTTTTGCTTTCATAGTAGACAAGAACTTGCAATACTTTTCTTCTTCTTGTCAATCTCTTTGATGCTTTCAGGTGTGTATGGAGATTGTGGTGGTGCGTGGGTCGATGAAAAGTAAGTTTATTTCTTCCAAATTTCATCTCTTTTGGTCATGATTGATAAGATGGTGAGTTGGTGACGATAAGGTCGTTTCCATCATATTGCAGTCATCCCCCAAATCCTAAAACTCAGTCAGCCAAAGTGAGATTAGCTGCAGAGGAAGGATGGTTAAGCTTGGGTCGTGATCTTGGGGTTTCGACTCAAATACTTCGTCTTGGAGGTATCTATGGACCTGGTCGAAGGTTGTTTACAGCTTCTGCTTGTGCATGTAGTGCTTAAACAGGCTTTAAAACTGATTCTCAAACAGAATGTTTCTTGCTGCAGTGCTATTGATACCTTGTTAAAGCAGGAGCGTTTGTCTGAAGGTCAAAAGAGAAGAGCGTCCCGTAAATTCACGTCTAGAGTTCATGTTGAAGATATATGCCAAGTTCTCAAAGCTGCCACTGAAAAGCCATCATCAGGGTATGTATATATCCCTCTTCGTTTCCAGTTTGTGAGATCAAATATGATCATTCTCTTGATACAGATGAATCGACTATTTTGGCAGGGAAATCTACAATGTTGTTGATGATGATCCGGCACCAAGAGAAGAGGTGTTTGAATATGCATTGGAGTTGATCGAGAAACGTTGGCCAGGGATTATCAACACAAAACCATTTCCATTTCTGTATGAATCTCGGGAGGAGAGTTCATTGAGAGGCGAAAAACGAGTCCGCAACAAACACATGAAGAATAAACTAGGAGTGAAATTGATATATCCTTCGTACAAGTCAGGATTGCAAAGCATAGTCGAGAACATGGACAACCCTTTTTGAACACAGCACAGGACTAAATTCGCTTAGCTAAATCTATCTCATGTTTCCTTTGAAGACTTAGGGACTCTTAGCAAAGACAGATTTTAGCTTATCTTTTTTTTCCTCTGCATTCTCCAAAATGACAAATTTTGTTTCATTGGTATACACAGTTGTCCCATGTGAAACATGAATAAAAGAAAAGAGGGATACAAAATGTTAAAGGCAGCTTCTCTCTAATCCAAAGCCAGTCCTCTTTTATGGATGAGATGATGTTATGTTGTCTGATTAAGGCCCTGAAATGCGGTAAAAGACGTGTTAGCTGTTGAGGAACTTAACTTTGTTTAGAGAGAAAGTGAAAATATCGAGTCTCGTATGGATCTTTTACCTCAACGCTTGACGAAGTATGACTTAATCTTTTATTACTATGTCTGGGCCAAAAGCTCTTCTTCGAGGTAGAATCTCTGACTTTACTCCACTTGGCGCTGACGGAACCGAAGTGCCATTTCATAAAAGACTTAGAAGTGGAGCCTTTGGTACTCGAACTAGGATCTATCTTCAGACCTTTTCCTTCTCGCTTCCCTAGTTTCTGAAACACAAGCTCCTCACATTCACTGCGGTCATAACTATCTACCACATAGTTCTTACATCTTTTGTAATTCGTTGTCTTCAATTCTTGCTCCGCCTTTAGAGCTTTCCTCGATAGTTTAGTAACTTGCGTCTCTGCGCATATGGGACATGTAGGATCATACTTCTCTGTCTCACTTGTCATTGTCTCTAAGCATTCCGCATGGTAAACATGGCCACACGCTAGAACAGCAGAAATTGGAAGGTCAAACCTGGCAAAAGACCTCTCAGTTAAAAACTTTGAGCAATTCCCACAAGTCTGCTGATCTACAGAAGGGGAGCATGAGAATCTGCTACTACTACACCCACTTAGTCTTCGTATTCCAGAACCTAAGTGCTCACTATCAAACGACCATCTCTCCTTTTGAGATTGAGCCACGAGCTCACAAAAGGCGTTCATGGACCAGCCACCTTCAGAAGAAGCATTATGGGACCCAGTGGCAGTGTCATTACTACAGGTAGAAAGCACAAAGGACGACCTTCCTTCAAATGTTGAGTAATTATTGGGAGATTTCAGTCCCAAATTTTGACTATCAGAAACCTGCCTAAACAACTGCTGCCCAGGTGAACCTCGCGCTCGTCTAGTTGGAGTTGATCTGGGAGGAAGCGAGTGTGTGTGACCTGATGGAAGATCAGAGACCGAGGTGGAACTTGAAGGATTTGGTAAAACTGATGAAACAATATCTGGTGAGTCAACTACATTCTTCACCTGAAGAGTTAAAAGCCGCGAGGGTTAAGAGACTCTGAAGGGACGAAAAGAGACTCTGGTTGGAGTAAGTAAATTATCTCACCTCAACACGAATAGGGCTTGCCAAGGATACATCTGCCAAGAGTAAATAGAAACATAAGAGACAGCAAAAGAATCACTCATTACAGTAAGAAAATAAAGCTGAAATGATATCTCTACCAAAAGATGAAATGCCTCTCGACCTAACAGATTTTCCTGTCTTAATGATCTAATCCTACCAAATTAATGTTGCTACCCCTTTGACTGCATTGTGTAGACGGGAAAAGAACATCCAAGAAGGAACTAAAATCGACTCAATAGTATATTCGCAAACAAAGAAACTGAAAGTCCTACATTTTTCAAAAAAATCCAAAAAAAGTGTTTGAACAAACTTACCTGAAGGAGATCGAATCGCCAAACTTCTGCCAGTTAAAGGAGCTGTAATCATCGAAGCTGTGCCCATCTCTGAGTCTGAAGATTTCTGAGAGGCAGGAGTAGCTAAATCCCTTTCAGATGGAGGTCCTCTCTCCAACCCTAACGACAACTTATCCATACTAATTCCTCTATTCCCAACATAAGAATTATGATTAAATGAATCTTTAATCTCATCAGCTACACGCCTCCTGTTATCCCGTCGAAAACTCCATGGTGGTGAGCACACTGGATTATGAATAGCTCCACTTGTAGGTCCACTAGAAACATTTCTGTCCTTTGCAGCCACACAGCAAACAGACCCCATAATCCTTAAAGAAAGCTATTGTAGTGTTTCCTTATCTACCATTGAAGAACGTATCACAGTAGCAAATGACAATTCTGCAAAGAAGATCATATAAACAAAGTGATTATGTGAAGTTCGAATCAGAGCCATTATAGTCATGGAAATGCTACAAAAACCTCTAGGCAATGAATAAAAATTACACACTCTGAAAGTATCTCTGACGTTCTTTCTGAAGGCAGAGGCCTCAAAATCAACCGGAGAAAAAGGAAGCAATCAACAGATGATTCTAAAATCTAGCAAAAACTGGAGACAAAATTCAGCAACGAAGGCAGAAACAAGGGACTCACCAAGAGCAACTAGGGTTCCGCAGGATTGAAACGAGGTATATGAAGATACGGCGGAATTCGAATTCAACAGCTGAGAACGATTTCAATTACTCGACGGAGATGGCCGATCTCCGTCGATCTGAGAGAGAGACGGAGGTTGGGTGCGTCACAGGAGAATTGTGCCACGTCACCCTTCCTCTCTTCTTTTTTTCGTTCTCTGTTGTTTTCTTTTATTTGTGCTTCTATGTGGTCAAAAAAATAAAATAAAAATTGGTCAGCTGTTATTATTGGTCAACTTTTTTCTACTTTTTAAAAAAAAATTTACATAACAATATGTTTTTTTTTGAACAAACATAACAATATTTCTTTGTTTGGTAACAGCAGCATGAAATTTCCTAATGCAACACATGTATGTACAATGTTTATACTAGAATAATTGTATAACTAACTTGTAACTATTGGAATCAATCAACACGTGCTCTTTTGTTTACGCAGCCCATGCATTTATCGTTTACAAAAGTGTTTAATTCAATTTTTATAACTACGAGAAGTCGAGAACCACAGAATTAGAATGGATCGGATAAGAAAAATCCACATTCCCCCCCTATAAATGGAAACAACTAGCTCAAGCTCGAAAGATTCATACATAAATCTTTAACACATAACTCTTTTTCTGTTTAATACAAATGGCGACGATAGAGGACAGTCCAACGTTTTTCTCTGCGGCAACTCCGGCGGCGTTTGAGATAGGCAGCCTTCCGGCAACCGAGATACCGGTGGATCCGTTGGAAAATGATTCAACTGCACCGCCAAAACCGGTGATAATCACCTCTCCAACAGTCGCCGGAACTTATCCCGTCGTCTTATTCTTCCATGGCTTTTATCTTCGCAACTACTTCTACTCTGACGTTCTTAACCACGTCGCTTCTCATGGCTACATTCTTGTAGCCCCACAGGTACACAACTTTATATAAAAAAAATTATAAATTATTTAAGGCAAAGTTACTGTATATATTATTGCATCAACAAAAATAACAGCATGTAAATATGTAAAAAAAAAAAGTATATTAGATATTTAGATGAGATTGATTGTTACGTGAATATGTAATTTCGAAAGGATATATAAGTTATATCATATACTTGAATGCCAGCTGTGCAAATTATTGCCACCCGGAGGACAAGTGGAAGTGGACGATGCTGGAAGTGTGATAAATTGGGCATCGGAAAACCTCAAAGCTCACCTACCAACTTCGGTAAAAGCTAATGGCAAATACACCTCACTCGTGGGCCACAGCCGCGGTGGGAAAACCGCGTTTGCGGTTGCGTTAGGCCATGCTGCAACATTAGACCCATCCATTACGTTTTCGGCTCTAATAGGAATCGATCCAGTCGCAGGAACCAACAAATACCTTAGAACCGATCCGCATATCTTAACGTATAAACCGGAATCGTTCGAGCTTGACATACCGGTTGCAGTGGTGGGAACCGGACTCGGACCAAAGTGGAACAACGTGATGCCACCATGCGCACCAACGGACTTAAACCATGAGGAGTTTTACAAAGAGTGTAAGGCGACGAAAGCCCATTTCGTGGCTGCGGATTACGGACATATGGATATGTTGGACGATGATTTGCCCGGTTTTGTCGGGTTTATGGCCGGTTGTATGTGTAAGAATGGGCAAAGAAAAAAGTCTGAGATGAGGAGTTTTGTGGGAGGAATTGTGGTTGTGTTCCTCAAGTATAGTTTGTTGGGTGAAAAATCGGAGATTCGATTGATTGTGAAGGATCCTTCCGTTTCTCCGGCGAGGATTGATCCTTCGCCGGAGTTGGAAGAAGCGTCTGGTATCTTTGTCTAGATTTGTGTTATGTACTATATATTATCAGTGGGTTGTTAAATATTTAATAAACGTATCAATGTTTTCTCCAAGCTATTGTTCATGTCCTAAGTTGCATAATGCATGTGCATTTATTAGAATCTACCAAAATTTCAAATGATTTTAGTACGTGAAAAGTATTAAATTGCCAATTAAAAGGATGATTCAACAGTATATATAACTAGAATTAAAAAAAAAAAAAGTTTAGCCAAAATTTTACAGCTTCTTTTTATACTAAAACCCAAACACATTTAAATATATCTATAGCTATATAATTATATTATGAAATGTGACCAATCTTTGCAACGAAGTTGCAATGATTCATGTAATTTGGTTTAATGCCGTGACAAACTCTATATCTTTGTAACGTATCCTTATTCAAACTTTCTCATATTGTTGTATTCTAAAGATAATGTTATTTGCACAACAATTAACGAGAAATCCAACTCGCGCTACAAGTCAACAACGACAAATTTTGGGCCTGTACTCCGACAACGAAACAGCAAAATGGAGACAAAACTACATTAAGGTTTTTCGTAGAGTGGCAACAAATGGTCCTTAGATTGTCTGTATACGAGAGGTGTGTCGTGAGTCTCGTGACTCGTGTGTGTGTGGTGGTCATTTTACTCTCGAGTTCCACATGTCTTGTGTAACTGTTATAACCACCAGCTGACCTGCGGAAGAAAGGAATTGAGATAAGCCGAAAAGGATGAAAGAGGCAAGGACAGATCCGCCGAAGAAGGATCGGGGTTAGAACTAGTCCGATAGATGTTTATATGGGCTTAGGCCCATCTTGTTGATATATATAAAACAGTTTCCCACATATCCCACTAATGTCACATCCAAACATTAACAACCTTATCCATAACCATCCCTGACACAAGCGCCGTACACGTGGCGTCCATTAGGCTTAATTTATTCGGTGACTGTTACTTGATGACTTGTCAGTTTTCCACGAGCTAAACGGTTCACGTCATCACGGCTAGACACTGAATTCTCATTTTTATCCTTCGCTACGACAATTAATCAAATGCAAGATATTGGTGAAAGGGTAAATTCGTCAATTGAAGCAAACATGAGTCGATAAAATTGACAGAGTCACAGATTCTTTTTCTCTCTCTCTTGTTTGCTCTTCGTTGATCTGTCTGTGTGGGATTCTTCCTTTAGTCCTCTGTTGATCTATCCAATCGAATCTTACGAAATTTTTAGGTAAAGTTTCACTATTTCGTGTATTTGGATTACAAGTTATCGCTGAGATTCAACAGATTTTTATGTGATTGCGTGGTCAATTTAGCTACTAGATGATATAAATTTTAGTTTTCACTTCTTTTCATCAAGAATACACCGATCATTGTATTTGTGTGGTGATCAGTGATTTCTCTTGCAAGTAAACTAGTTGTATTTTTGGAAATTCGTTTGTGATTTTGAGAATGATGGTGATGTTAGGCACTAAAAGTTTTCATTTTGACACTTGAATGTTTCTGGGTTCTGCATCAAAAGAGTGAAGATGAGGTCGCTTCAAGCTCCGATTGTTTGCCCTACTGTTCGTCCTAGACAACTGGGTGTCTCTGCTTCACTTTTCAACTGCTCTGTTTCGAAAACTAAGAGTCTTAGAAACCAATTCTGGGGTAATCAGACCAGAAATGTCAAGTCTCAGGTTGCTGCAGTGAGTCTTCGTCTGCATATTCGGAGGTGTAAGAGTATAAAATGTCTTTTCAGCTCGCATTCTGATGGTACCGGAAGCACAGCAGAGAATTTCAACGAGAACGATGAGGATTATGTCAAGTCTAGTGTATTGGAAGCTGGTAATCCTGGTTAAACTGTAATTATACCATGAGTTCTTTCTCTTCTTCTTGCATGTTGAATTGTTAATTCTAATCATCGATGTGTTCTCGGTGTTCTCGGTGTTTTTGTATATAAGTTGAGGTAAAGAGTGGACCTGATGATTTCATGGTGAAGATGAAGGATGGGAGGCAACTTCGATGTGTCCACAATAATCCTCAAGGAGGAAATCTTCCAAATTATGCTCCACATGCTGCAATTGTGCTGAAAATGGAAGATGGAACTGGTCTTCTTCTTCCTATTATCGTCTGTATGTGATATCAAAACTCATTCTTTTTTCTTTTGTGTTGATATTTCCATTTTCCCGGTGTTTTTAATCTCCTTTCTCTGTTTTTTTTTGTTTATTGCAGTGGAAATGCCTAGTGTGTTACTTATGGCAGCAATGACTAATGTTCAAATAGTAGGCTTCTGTTATTCTTTGCGTTATGCTTCTGTTTGAATCAGTCAAAAGAGTTGTGAAGAGAGGGTTTTATGGATTTTTTTTGGTTACTGCTTGTAGGCAAGACCCACTATGTATCAAGTGGTGAAGGAGATGGTAGACAAAATGGGTTATGAGGTAGTCTTACAGTTCCTCTCTTTTCCTATCCTGTTATTTTCACTTAAGCAATACAAATTCTTATGTGAGTAACGTTACCAACTTTTTTCTATGCAGGTTAGGCTTGTTAGAGTTACCACAAGAGTTCACGAGGCATATTTCGCAGAGTTATACCTTTCAAAGGTTTGTAACTTCTGGCATAGAAATGCATCTTCCATTCGTTTTTTTCAAAAAGTTGTCTCAACTCATAATCCATTATCTATTAGTATCTCCCTTCCATCTGTTCTACTAAGGCTGCTATGAATGGAATTGCAGGTGGGTGATAAGTCGGATTGTGTCAGCTTCGATCTTCGTCCTTCTGATGCAATTAATATAGCTGTTAGATGCAAGGTAAAGTTATATTACCATATACTCAATTCTTTCTTTTGAAGGGAACAATCACACAGAGGCCTCTCCATGAGATCATCTTAACCAAATGTAAATACGTAATCACTGTTTAAAAATGGTTATAATCCTCACTCTGTAGGTACCTATCCAAGTCAACAAGTATCTAGCTTATAGTGATGGAATGAGAGTCATTGATTCCGGAAAGCCATCAAAGCAAACACCTGCTTCAGATGGTTTATTGTTTACTGAACTAGACCGGTAATACTAGTGAATGTAGTCATCTAAGATCCTTTGCTTGTGAATTAGACAATTTACAAAACTTAAAAACACTGTTTCCTTGTGTAGGCCAAATGGTCAGCCTTGTTTTGATACTAAAGAGTTTGATCTATTAAGGAACATGATGCAAGCTGTTGATGAAGAACGGTATGATGAAGCCGGTAAGCGTAGTCTCACACTCCCTATTTAGTTTTCATTGACAATAATGGTATGAGCAAGTTTCTGGGTTTCTTATGTTCTTGTGTCAAGAATCAAAGATTTTGTTTGGTTTCTCCATGATTTTGCTTTTGTAGCTGAGTGGAGAGACAAGCTTGGCCAGTTTCAGGCAAAACGCAAATTAAGGAAATACACATGACAGGTATAGTTACAAGAAAAAAAGGCTCATCAAGTGGCTTTTTTTACACACGAACAAAATTAGTAATTTTTGCTCTGTTATTCTTAATGCAGCTCGCAGACAAATACATAATTTATGTAAATAATAAAGAAGCCAATTGCCATTTGCCGAAGCTGTGATCATGACGCACTTGCAAAAGAAAAATATCTCTCATAAGTCTCTAGTATATGATACTTTTCTCTATCTACACTTGTGCACGTAGTTGATTCTCAAGAAACGGACAAAATACAAAAATGTTATGTAATTGTAGCGTGATGGTGATGTAATATGATGTGTACTATATACATTAATCTTCGTATGGTAAGCCTAAGCCTTCTCTAATTAAATATGCTTTTAGTTTTTGTCATTTGTCTTTGCCACATTATTAACATGTATAAACAAATAAACTACACTGATAATTCATTAGAAAAAGCCTCCTAATCGTCTCTGAACTAGAAACAACCGAATTAACGTGGGACGTAATTAGTGGAAGCGAGTTCCCGCCATGATGATCGAGCAACTAATCGCCACGTGTCTTGATGGCAATAATAATAACGAAAAAAAACGAAGAGGCAGACGAAAAAGATCGAATCTTCAACATTTATGGCTCTGATTTTCCGGCCGCCGTGAAAAACTGAAAATTAGTAGCAAACATTTATTTCACATTCGCATAACGAAAAAGAATTTAATAAAACCCCTCACAGTTACTTCTTCATCTACCCCTTTTGATCCTTCAATTTCTAAACTGTTCAGATTTTTCTAAAGTTTCGATTTTTTTTGGAGTATCAAGTTCGATTGATTTTTCTCGATGTCGGGTCCTCTTGAACGATTCACAAGTCCATGTAAGTCTCCTATTTTGGCTATTTCTCTAGGGTTTTACTGTTACTTCCCTAAATTAGGTTAATTTTATATGATTTTTGATGGGTTTTTGACTATTTATTCTGTTTGTCTTCTCTCAGGTTTCTCCAACAATGGTGAGAGAAGAGAAAAGAAGTCAGATTTCGAAGTTTCAGAGGATGAGGATAAGAAAACTAGAGTTGGTGGTCTTTTCAAGAAGAAATCATCCAAATCCAAATTCAGACATTCCCTGAAGAGGAAAGGAAGCAGCACTAGGACGAGAAGCATTGACCGGACTCTCTCACTTACCTTTGAAGACATACATGATGCTGAAGAATTAAGATATGTCTCTCAATTCCGACAATCACTCATCTCTGATCATTTGCTGCCACCAAACCTTGATGATTATCACATCATGTTGAGGTCAATTTTTTGAACAATCTTTGTGTACTAATTCCATGTCTTATGTTTCATCACATGCTCATTTGTGTTTAAGTAGAGAGATCATTGTTTGTTTAATGATAATTCTTCGTTCTGCAGATTCCTGTTCGCTAGGAAATTTGATCTTGGAAAAGCAAAGTTAATGTGGACTAACATGATCCATTGGAGAAGGGACTTTGGCACAGACACAATCTTGGAGGTATAAAGTTAGTTACTTTCGTCTGTTGTGCAATTTTTTTTTGTTACAACGGCCTTAGAGAGTTACTGACTGATTTCTCCACTCCAGGACTTTGAGTTTCCTGAATTGGAAGAAGTTCTCAAGTATTATCCTCAGGGATATCATGGTGTTGATAAGGAAGGGAGACCTGTTTACATCGAAAGATTAGGAAAAGTCGACGCAAGCAAACTCATGCAAGTCACTACATTGGAAAGATATTTGAGATATCATGTTAAGGAGTTTGAGAAAACTATTACTGTCAAGTTCCCTGCTTGCTGCATTGCTGCTAAGAGACACATTGACTCCAGTACAACAATCCTAGATGTCCAAGGCCTGGTACTTGTCACATTTTAAAAATCAAATTATGGAACTTTTTTCTTGTGCGGTTTCCTTAGGCTAATCGTCTTAATATGTATGCAGGGCTTAAAAAATTTCACTAAAACTGCTCGGGATCTTATTATCCAGCTCCAAAAGATTGATAGTGATAACTACCCTGAGGTATTGTTGGCTGCCATTGATTTTATAACCCGAATCTGTTTTTGAGCATAGTTTAATAACATGTGATATGACCTATGCGCAGACACTTCACCGTATGTTTATCATCAATGCCGGCTCTGGTTTTAAGCTACTTTGGGGCACAGTGAAATCGTTTCTTGATCCAAAGACTGTCTCCAAAATACATGTAACTTAACCATGGTTTCTCTTCTATGTATCCACTTTACACTTTTTACTGTAGAAAACTTAGTTATATCAATTTGATCTGAATAGGTCCTTGGCAACAAGTACCAGAACAAACTACTTGAGATGATAGATGCAAGGTAGGAGTTTTGAGTCTTAACTGTTTTGTTTCTTATCATATCTCCAGAATATAATAAAAATTCTGACCATATTTGGAACTTGTTCAGCCAACTGCCAGATTTTCTTGGTGGTACTTGCACTTGTGCAGATCAGGGAGGTTGTATGAGATCTGATAAAGGGCCCTGGAAAGACCCTGAGATACTAAAGGTGGAGTGTTTGTGTCTTCATATTGTTCGTTATGTTTCTGTTATACTGATGATTTCTCAGTCATCATGCAGATGGGCCGCAGTGGTGGGACGTTCTGTAGGCATGCTGGTGCTTTCCTAAGCAGTGATTCCCAAATATCCTCATCGGATAAGCAAACTTATTCGGTAAGCTTTTTCGGTGGTTGGAATAAGTTTTCTTTTTCTTTTTTTTGGTGATTTTTTATCAGACTGTAATGGTATCCCCTCTTGGCTCAGTTGAAAGTTAGTGACACATCAACAGCAGAGTCAGGGTCTGAATTGGAAGAGATGGCTTCACCGAAAACAAATATGAATCATGTACCCAAGTTGACTCCTGTTTCTGAAACTGTAAGTGTTCTCATGTACAAAAGTGACATAGAAAACATAGAAGTTTTTAGTTCTTATACAGGACTTGATATGCTATTATTTTAGATCAAGGCCAATGGTAGCGTAAGTCCTATTGTTTTATCTGAGTATGAAGAGTGTGTACCAATGGTGGACAAAGTTGTGGATGTTGTTGCTTGGCGGCCCCAAGAGATGTCAAATGCTTCTGAAGGTAAGACAAGACTTGCGAAAGTCGGACATTTATACAATTGAAAAGCATATTTTGAAGGTTGCAGACCTAAAATAGCATGTAATAATATAATGGAATGTGTTGCAGGTCCGCAATATTCATCAAGTTTGGGAAAAATAGGATCAGTTAGTCATATCTGGAGGTGGCTAACTGCGTTCTTCATAAACTTTTTCACACTCCTCGTGTCTCTGGCTCTGCCACAGACTAAAGAACACTCAGAGTTGCGTTCTTCAGGCGCTAGAGCTGAGCTGTGTGATGAACGAATTGCAAGGGAATCTCGTCCTCCTTCGCCTTCTCGTTCAACAATCACTGAAAGAGTTATCATTTCCTCTGTTTTAAGCAGACTTGGCAATCTAGAGAAACAGATAGAAACTCTTCACTTAAGGAAATCTGAGATGCCTCAAGAGAAAGAGGAGTTGCTGAATGCTGCTGTATATCGTGTGGATGCACTAGAAGCAGAGCTCATCACCACGAAAAAGGTATATAAATCTATGATCTGATTCTAAACCCTGAATGATGCTGATAATGAGTCATTATGAACCTTGTAATAACCGAAAATCGGTGTTGATGAGCAGGCATTACATGAGGCTTTAATGAGGCAAGAAGAACTTTTGGGTTACATAGACCGGCAAGAGGAAGCTAAGTACCGGGTTAGTCTCCTTTTCTAGCTAGTTTCGCTGCCCTTCTAAGTCGGTATCTATGTATTAATGGTTGGGAATATGATGCAGAGAAAGAAGTTCTGTTGGTGAAGAACTCGAGCTTGGGAGGTAATTAGCAAATAGTGCTTGTTCAGGGATGAGATTAACACAAGTAGGTCTGAAAGCAAATATCTCTGTTGATACCTAATAATGTATATAAAATATAAGAAAAAACTTGCAATGAGATTTCAATTTCATCTCTTTCTTGTTAAATTTGCTTGATACTATTGGATTGTGTGAATAATTGGTGCTTGTGACATTGGATTCTGCATTGGAGGTTCAAAAGTTAAAAAGAAAAAGGAATGACAAAAATATCAAATCTGAGTTGTGACATGAATTGTATAATGTATAGTTTGATGTAAGATATAGATATATAAAAAGATGTTTATATGTTAGAGGAAAGGGGACTCATCGACCATCCACATGTTTATATGACCAAACAAAGGACTCGTCACAATTCCAAGTACGGTTTCTCCACCCTTTTACTTGTCCTTGTGATACAATCTTCTCTAAAAATGAGGATTCATGTATTGAAAATGCCACTAAATATCGTTTTCTATTTACTATATGAGTTGCAAACTTTAGTGAAATGTGAATCGAATCTTTAAATGGTACAATATGATTTGACAAAACAATTTCACCATTAAGGACATCATGATAAGTCTCTATCAATTTTTTAATTGGTTTTAACAACTCTATCAAATTTAAGTAGGTCTATACAAAATTTAAACCAGACTTAACGAATATGATAGCGGACGTCTTTTTCAACCACAATAAAAATATGTAGAAGGGTTTTAAAGAGAGACACATTTGACATTTGTATCCACAAAATTTTCAAATCAAAAGATGTTTTGTTTTATGCAAGTAATTTGGTTCGTGATTAAGAGGTTTTGTACTATAAGGTTTAGAATTCAACCAAATTATACAAAAGGGAAAATTGTGATATTTACATGTAGACAATTTCAGTTTATCATCATCCGATTAAAATCAAACACGTCATTAAATAATATTTTTAAAATTTTTATTATCATATCAATTTAGTTTTGTCACTTATTCTTACAGTCTATACTCTTCTATTATTTTTTGATGAGACATAATTTTTGAAGAATAAAGATTAGATAGAAAAAGAAAGAGAAGGACTGAACTTTAGTGTTTTTAATAGTGCATGATTAGAGAGAAAAAAAAATGATTCGTTTACTAAACGTAAAGTACATTGCATACAAAAATGATATCACAATTTGTAAACACTAAAATTCAGTATCATGGAAGGTAACTTACCTAGTATTACTAAATTTAGTATAAACTTTTGAATGTTAGCTTTAGTATCAACAGTGCCGTGCTTACGAGCTTAGTGGCCTTAGGCAAAATTTTCTTTAATTATGTTACATAGTTGATTATTTTTTCTAAATAAACAAAAACAAAAGCCTAAAAGATATAGGAGACTAAGACAACAACCAAACAAGAAAGAATGAATGATAAATGTTACAAATATTGGAATAGAACCTTGATAAAATGACTTTTAGAGTGACAATATGATCAAAACCTAAGAAGATTATGATTAATGTGGCCTCTTAAATTTATTACACAATCTGTGGCCTAGGGCACTTGCCCTTTTTCTAAAGAGGTAGTCACGGCTCTGAGTATCAACTATACCTAACTTATGTAGTCGAATCATTTTTTAATATTTTACAAATTGAAATATCTATGATTTGTAGAAAATCGTTGTACAATCATGAATAAATTAGAGCAATTGTGCTACGTGTGTGTGCCGAATTATTATCTTACCAGAAATATATTTTTTGCCTTTTCTTCGATAGTTTTTTTCTTTTGTCTGTAGTCTGACTGAACTCACCAAACATGTAGACAAACACTAGCTGGACTTGAGTCTTTTCTTTCTCCATTATCTGTAATTAAAAGTTAGATTTATGTCACATTAGTGCACAAAAAAAAAAAAAATTATGTCACATTCTAATATTTTCAAATAATTAAATATTTGTAACAAGAATCAATCTAGACATGATCATATTTACTAAGTAGTAAGTGAATCATGTGATTGGAGATTTCTTAGCTCTCATATTTAATAAAATTGGATATCTAGCTTTCTCGAATATTTTTATGTGTCACTAAGTTAACTAGACATAACAAAAGCGTGAAATTTACCACCAAACGTAAGCTAACAAGTATTATGATTATAGATTATGGATATTTTAATTTACCTTCTAGACTTATTTAACTATATTACTTATACATTCAATTTCTACGGTAATATTCAATGGGACTCTTAGTAGAAATCTCTCCAATCACATGATTCTGTAAGTTTTAACGAAATTTAGCAGATATAGGGTATGAAAGATTTGTAAGACGTGAAAACAGAAAATGCATTTTTCAAAAAATAGAAAAGAAAAAAAAATAAAAATACATAATTCATCTAAAATTAAGACTTATATAGTCAGATAATAATCCAAATTAAAAAGAGAAAAGTGGCTCATCGTCAGAACGTGAAGCAGAATGTTCACGTGATATTACTACTTCATTTGGCAATCTATTCGCGTCCGAAAATTACTTGGCAGCAAAGGCCACGTGGTTCACGACAGTTCCTTGGTTTCTTTTACATATTAATAGTATACTAATGAAAATGAAAAAGCATTGCCTATCTAGAGTCAGATAATTAAGGAGTGCACATCATGGCATGCAAGAAATAAATTGAACATAGTTAATAGATTGAGTACTATTCCTTTTAGTTTCGATTTACTTTTTAAATTCGTTGTTAGATACTTTTATACCAATACCATAGGCAGGCAGTATCTATTGCGGAATAGAAACAAAAAAAAACGTGACAAAATAATGTGTTCTCATTTTCTTCAGATATAATTCGAATAGAATTTGAAATCAAATGTTCAACGAACCATATGCCGTGGCCCAAGCATAAAGAAGATTTTTAAAATATTAACTCGGATCTTATTCGGTCTAATTTTTCTTTAGATTGACACTTTATAATATATGTCTTGATCTCGTATTTTTCTAAAAAATATTGAGTCGTCGGAGCCTCTGTCTTGTGCTGATCACGCCGATTCTTTCAAAAGTCGGTCGGGAACTTTTATGTGTTGACATTATTAATCCTACAATTATTTATAAGACAACTGATTAATTTATAATATTTAAAATTTCTTTCTTTTTTTCTGTTAAAAGGCTTTAATATTTAAAATTTCACATATAGAGTACATAAAGGAAGATATTTTCATAAATTATTATTCGTGTAATATTTAAAATGATAAATGTCTATGGCATAAAAATCTAACTGTGTACATATTAAAATTTTCAATTTTTTTTGTCAATTAATATATTAGGACCATATTGCTGCTCAGAAAATACAAACGTACAAGAGACCTAATCTGATATTATTCTTGCATACCTTAAAAACTTGAGAAGACAAAACAAATTAGAGAGCTAGAAACTAACACGTTTAAATATCAGCAAGCAGTCGATTACGACAAATCCTTTGACACATCAGTTAGAATCGATCAAGTACTTTGTATATTATAGTTTGTCTATTTACGATTAGTCGAGAAAATTCAAAAAAATTGGTTTTGGATATTTTACTTAATCATTTTACTGAAAATATGTGTTTTTTTTAAGGGACTGAGAATATGTGTTTATATATAACAAGCCTTTAAACTACCTAAATAGATGTTGACAGTTTATGCTCACAAAAAAAAAGATGTTGACAGTCAATCAACACGAATCCTTCATCGGTTAGAATCAATCAAGAAGTTTTAGTTTATAACTGTATATATGCCTGCAATGGTAGTCGAAATTCCAAGATTTGTGAGATTTTTTCCGTAATAAGTTTATGTTACTAAAAAAGGCGAGAACTTGAATTATATATAACAACAAGCTTTTTACTAGTGAGATCAACCGTCAAAAAAGATTCTAATATGGAATTAGCGTCAACCGTCAAAAATGATTCTAAAATGGATACATTGCCGTAATCACAATATAATATCCAAGTCTTTAAATTTTGTAGACCTAACGACCAAAAGGTTTTACATATCCAAGAAATGCTAATAGAACACATTTGTTAACATTATGCTTTGTGGAAAGACACATATTTTTGGTATATTTTCACATTGAGAATAATAATAATATTTTTTTTTTCAAAAAAGGGCTCATCCAATTCAGTTTTTCCTTATCAACAATTTTCATTGTTTTTACTTTTTACCATCGACTGCGACACAAAGACTCGGTCTACTATTATTATTATCGGTTAGTACTGATAAGACTAAGAACAGATTCTAAAGTGGACCCAAAAAAAAGAGACCCATTTCCATGAGCCATGCCATTGCTTCTTTTTGCTTCCCTTTTTACGGATTAAAACTTTGTACAACTATTTTCTGCTGTAGATTTGTTTTTGCAACTTTTATTATTGAAATCTAGGATACATCTAAATACTTCATGGAATCCGCGCGGAAATCATATGAAATCAGCAGTGGCTAATAAGAAATGATCTTCGTACTTGACTTACATGAGATTAACTATTGGACATATTAACGGTACCTAATTTTTAATTTTAGTTTTTCCTTTTGTCATCAGAATTCTTGGCTACTAAATTTCATCGAACCAAAGACGATTTCCGGTTTTTGACAAATGAGTTTCTTTATGACGTTTAGCGCGGAATAAAACTCAAATTCACTAGAATTTACTCAATTTTCTAACAATCTGATTGAACTAAGAAGTGCGTGTGGATACCGTTTAACTTAGTTGTTAATATAGAGAAACATTGTAAAAGGGACCATCGTATGAATACCTGTGTGTGGAGAGAGAGATATATGTACCCAACGTACATACATAAGATGCATGTATTTTATACTCTCTATACCAAAAGAAAAACCACCACAAACAAAAAAAAGATGCATGTGGCTGTCAAACAAAACTCAAAACACTAATCTCTTACAAGTTACAACACCTCTTTCCTTATATATATATATCGACCCAGAGCATCACTTACTATATTCATTAACCTTCTGCTTCATCAAAAAGAAAGAGACACAACGAGAGAGATGGAAGTAATGCGAGTTCTTCACATGAACAAAGGGAACGGTGAAACAAGTTATGCCAAGAACTCCACCGTTCAGGTTGTTATTTAATCTAAATATGCATTATATTCTCGTGCACACATACATATACGAGTGAATAATGTCAAAAGTTAAACATAATTTGGTTCTAGAACAAAAATAATAAGGAAAATTGTATAATGATTGTGTGATCTCGCAGAGCAACATAATATCTCTAGGCAGAAGAGTAATGGACGAGGCCTTGAAGAAGCTAATGATGAGAAATTCAGAGATTTCGAGCATTGGAATCGCCGACTTAGGTTGTTCCTCCGGTCCGAACAGTCTCTTGTCCATCTCCAACATAATTGACACGATCCACAACTTGTGTGCTGACCTCGAACGTCCAGTCCCTGAGCTCAGAGTCTCTCTCAATGACCTCCCTAGCAATGACTTCAACTACATCTTTGCTTCTTTGCCGGAGTTTTATGACCGGATTAATAATAACAAGGAGAGTTTAGGGTTCTGTCGCGGAGGAGGAGAATCGTGTTTTGTGTCGGCCGTCGCTGGCTCGTTCTACGGACGTTTGTTTCCTCGCCGGAGCCTTCACTTTGTGCATTCTTCTTCTAGTTTACATTGGTTGTCTCAGGTGTGTACTGTTTCTCTATGCGAAATTTTTTACCCCTTATTAGTATATAATAATTACGAACTTTAAAAAAAAAATTGCCAACTATATATCATTCTGAAATTGAATTTTCAAATATAATTTTATGAGTTATGACCGGAATATCATAGTCGTGAAAAAATTTAACATTTAAATATTCAAAAAACCTTTGACAAAAAAATAAATATTCAGAAAATTAAGAGAATGAAATGCTCTATTGTTAATTACTTATTGGATTACACACAAAAAAAAAAGTTTATGAAGATTGGCGACATTTTTTCATAAAAAGTAGTAATTCACGAAACAGCACCGAAAAAATATTACGCAAGTAATATACCTTTTATTAAACGAAATTTAATTTAGTGCGTGGGAATCCTTCTCATTTGGGAAACCAACATAACAAAACAGAAATGTAGTGGTCCACATAAGCTTGTCATTTTATCAAAATGTCACAAATAGACATGCTAAGTTGCTAACAAGTTGAATTATCATCCATATATTTTTAAGGTTCCATGTCGTGAGGCGGAGAAGGAAGATAGGGCGATAACAGCTGATTTAGACAACATGGGGAAAATATACATATCAAAGACTAGTCCTAAGAGTGCACATAAAGCTTATGCTCTTCAATTCCAAACTGATTTCTTGGTTTTTTTGAGATCGCGATCTGAGGAGTTGGTCCCGGGAGGCCGAATGGTTTTATCGTTCCTTGGTAGAAGCTCGCTGGATCCCACAACAGAAGAGAGTTGCTATCAATGGGAACTCCTAGCTCAAGCTCTTATGTCCATGGCCAAAGAGGTACAATGGTGTATATATGTTTACATTTAATTTATTTATAACCAACATGTAAGTCTCTTACGGTTTTAAATGGCTCATATTACTCTATAAGGATCTGACCAGACCACGTTACTTGGCCAATTAAGTCCTAGTAATGTGGTCCATGTGTTATTTTCCAAATTTGTTGAGGTTTCTCAAATTACTTAAGTTATTAGTCAATAAAGATTTTGACGTTCAAGTTAGTCAATTTATGTGGCGAAATTTGATATATATATATACCATACAAAAATTATTTGTAGTGCCGAATACTATCTAAAAATTCGAGTTACTACTTACTAAACATTTAAATTCTAACAATATATATAAGCATGAAATCAGTTAATTTGGGAGAAAACATGAATATTATGAAAAAACATATTTATTTGTTCCTGATTTTTTTTCCTTGATGAGAAAGTAGCAAGGTATGGCAGTAAAACACTTTACCCTCCTCATAATTACAAATAGTTAATAATATTTGGTAAGTTAAACTAATTTCTTGATTTATAAAAGAAAAAAAACTTGATTTCTCTATATTTCAACATAACTATTTAGAACTCAATATATTGCAGCCTAGATTTTTCTCTAAAACCACCCATGACTATTTCCTACGATTTTGGGTTCTATGTAATGCTAGATATATCTTGGGTTTGATCTAACAAGATCGATAGATTATTGGATCAATAGATTAAAAATAACCCTACCATAATAATATTGGACCAATAGATGATTATCCCAGTTAGTTTAATACTCAATAAGTCATAACTAAAAGGTGCCTTATTTTATTTTCTTCATCTTAAGGGTATCATCGAGGAAGAGAAGATCGATGCTTTCAACGCTCCTTACTATGCTGCAAGCTCCGAAGAGTTGAAAATGGTGATAGAGAAAGAAGGGTCCTTTTCGATCGATAGGCTCGAGATAAGTCCGGTTGATTGGGAAGGTGGGAGTATCAGTGAGGAGAGTTATGACCTAGTAGTAAGGTCCAAACCTGAAGCCCTAGCTAGTGGACGAAGAGTGGCTAATACCATAAGAGCTGTGATTGAGCCGATGCTAGAACCTACATTCGGTGAAAATGTGATGGACGAGCTTTTTGAAAGGTATGCAAAGATCGTGGGAGAGTACTTCTATGTAAGCTCGCCTCGATACGCTATTGTTATTGTTTCGCTCGTTAGAACGAGTTGATCGTGATATAATATATACATGTCTTTGGACCTACAATGACATGATTTGTAAGTTTTCTAATCATCAAGTATATGTAATATCATTTGCTTCGAGAATAAAAGAATAAAATAAAGTGTGATTTTACGGTAGACCTATAGATTATTAAAACAAGCGGGACCTTGAAAAGAGAGACATATATGGGTGCATGTAGAGACGCATCAGTCGCGAATTATGCAAATAGACTTAACTTTGGGTAGTCACATATTTATTGGGCGTTTTTCTTTTCTTCTTTTTACTTTTCCTTATATAAAATGAACAATAATAAGGCGGAATGTGAGTTGTGTTGTGACGTGAGAATGTTAAAAGTGAAACATCACTTTAACTTGCCACTTAGGAGTTGTGCCGTAACAAGTGGAAAACAAGTTAATCATGGCCACTTGTGACTCGTGAGAATGTAGGGCAATACCGCAACAGCCTCTCTTCATCGTCCACGTGTCTCCCAAATTATGATTTTTCTATTTTTGTATTTCTATTGTCCCTTTTGTTTCAACTTTCAGCGCATGGCGTCACCTCCCATGACCAAGACATTTTGATCTTAAGCAGCGAGAAAGTTCCATAACCCAAACATTTATTTATAGCCGTTGAAATGTTTTCCATATGCTCATGATTTATTTGTGAATCAATTATGGATTTGCCATTTTTTTGGATGGCATTTGTAGATTTTGCCCTTTTTTGAATAGTTTATGGATTTTGCCCTTTTTCATGTCACGAAAATATGATTTAACATGCGTTTTATTCGTTATGTTTGGGTTTAGTCGGTTGTGGTTGTTCTTAGGGTTTAGTATTTTGTATAAACTACGTATTTTTACCAAAAAAAATCCGAAATACGTACATTTTTAAGTGTAAAAAAATGGCAAATCCGTAAGATTTTAATGAAAATGGCATTTTCAAAAGATTTTGATAAAAAAGGGCAAAATCAACAATAATCCCTTTATTTGTAATCTACCAAAAATCGTGATTAGTTGCACAATACGTCAATACTACTGTTGCCTTTAACTCTGTAACACTAGTCTCTAGATGATTTTTTTTTATCACTACAGTAGTTTGATATACCGATAATTTTCATATATCAATAATGTTTTATTTATTTATATTGTTAAATTATATCAAGAAAATGTTATACACCAAATTTTACATACGTTAACCTTGAAAACAAAAACAGAAAAGTGTTTAAAAAAAAAAGTTTACAGACGTTATTCTCTTGGTTTAATATACCTTCATTAATTTGTATAGGCAGCCTCGATTGATTTATCTGAAAGAAAATAAATGTACACAGACATATTCAATAATTTTAGTCTAAAGAAACATCATGAGGAGCAAAAAAGATCAACACCCCACTCACTCGTTACACAAAATATCTCTCTATATTTATAGATGAACAAGCTCGAACCAAGATTGTATACTAAAATTTAGAACTAAATTAAACCAAATGGAACATCTTTGCATCTGTCTTGTCCTCTGCGCTGCGATGCTAACACTTGGAAAATTTCTCAAAATTATGTTCCAAGATCGAAAGAAATCAACAGTTGATGTTCCTCCGGGAAGCGATGGTTTTCCGGTGATCGGAGAAACACTTCAGTTCATGCTTTCTGTCAACAGCGGCAAAGGCTTCTACGAATTCGTCCGTAGTCGCCGTATCAGGTAAACAAAAGAAGCCTCTGGCCCATCTAGAAGGTTTCCAGTTTACATGACATATACTTTTATATATTACAGGTACGGAAGTTGCTTTAGGACAAGTTTGTTCGGAGAGACACACGTATTCCTGTCGACGACCGATTCAGCTCGGGCTGTTCTAAACAATGAGTCAGGGATGTTCACGAAACGGTACATAAAGTCCATAGGTGAGCTTTTAGGTGACCGGAGCCTTCTCTGTGCTTCTCAACACCATCACAAGATTCTCCGTAGCCGTTTGATAAACTTGTTCTCCAAAAGATCGACGGCTCTGATGGTTAGACAATTTGACGAACTCGTCGTGGACGCTCTTAGTGGATGGGAACACCGTGGTACAGTGGTCTTGCTCACAGATTTGCTCCAGGTTTGTTTCACATGCCACGTTGTATTGGGCTTATTTTGAGAGCCTTTTATCTTTCGGCCCATATAGTAAATGGACCATGGCCCAGTTTTCTTCTCGTGCTAAAATAGAAATTCTTAAATGTTTAGGACTATAAAAAGCACTATGATAAATTAACTTTAGTCAAATCAAAATTTCATTTATTTTTCTTATTAAAGGCAAATCTTAATTATAATTGTTTTGATGTGGTGATGTTGCAGATAACATTCAAAGCAATGTGTAAGATGTTAATAAGTCTAGAAGACGAAGAAGAATTGGGCTCCATGCAAAAAGATGTGGGCTTTGTTTGTGAAGCCATGCTTGCTTTTCCTCTCAATTTACCTTGGACTAGATTCCACAAGGGAATCATGGTACGTACGTAGTTTCAATTATCCTCTTTTAGATGTCATATTATATACTAATTTAGAATTTAAATTAAATGGGAATTTGGTTTGATTCATGAGATTGAGAAGTGTTGAATGATGCAGGCAAGAGGAAGAGTTATGGAGATGTTAGAAAAGATAATTAGAGAACGGAGAAATGAAATAAACAGTCAAAATAATCATCATGAAGATTTTCTGCAGCAGCTTCTCGCAGTAGATAACGACACTCCTAAGTTGACTGATGCTGAGATTACGGACAATATTCTGACCATGATCATTGCAGGTCCCATTTAATACCCATACATCATTTTAGACCAGCTTATAGAGAGGAAAATATAACAAAAGAAAAAATTAATCAAGGATTAAGAAAAAAAAAATCAAATCAGATTAATTGCAACTTAATTATAATTTATGATGAATCCGGTTTATACAAAAAAAATTAAAATACAGGTCAGGACACGACGGCTAGTGCTCTAACATGGATGATCAAGTACCTCGGTGAAAATCAGAAGGTTTTGGATATTCTTATTGTAAGTTCTATAATTAGTTTCTCATCATGTGGTATATTTTAACAATTATTTAGCACTTTTATTTATGCATTTCAATTTCAATAAAGACAAATTTAAAGGGTTTTGTTTTTAAAACATGTCATTGTCTTTGTCGGTCAACAGGAAGAGCAATCTCAGCTTACAAATAAGGCGTCAAATAAACCTTTTCTTGAATTAGAAGATCTCAGTGAAATGCCATATGCCTCAAAGGTAATATATAAACGTTTTTCTCAATGAACTAACTTGTTTAAAAGTTAAGACTATGTTTACATGTATATATAATTTTCGGAAATAGATGGTGAAAGAATCTCTGAGAATGGCGTCTGTTGTGCCTTGGTTCCCAAGATTAGTACTTCAAGACTGTGAAATGGAAGGTTTGCTTTAATTAATTCCTATATTCTGATTTTTTTTTAATAAACTATCTCTAGACTTGGATACATTTTTTTCTGATTTAAAAGGATATAAGATCAAAAAGGGGTGGAATATAAATATTGATGCAAGATCCATTCATCTTGATCCTACTGTATATAATGAACCTCACAAGTTCAACCCTTTAAGGTTTGAGGTAAATACAACACAATTTAAAGTAAATATATTTAAAATTCACAGTTCCTTACTTAAATGCTTTTGATTTTACTTAATAAAACTAAATTTAATAAAGGAGGAAGCAAAAGCAAACAGTTTCCTAGCATTTGGGATGGGAGGAAGAACATGTCTTGGACTTGGTATGGCCAAAGCCATGATGTTAGTATTTCTCCACCGTTTTATAACCACTTACAGGTTAGTACGATTTTTTCATTTAGTATTAGCAAAATTTGAATGATTCTGTAACAGTAATTTTTAAATAATTGTGAAAAATAAACTGAAGATGGGAAGTGGTAGATGGAGATCCAAGCATCGAGAAGTGGACACTGTTTTCAAGATTGAAGAGTGGATATCCAATTCGCGTGTCACGTAGATTGTAAATTCATATGTTTCAAATTAGATCTTATATCCCAATAAGTGTTCCTAGATACGATGAATCATATCCAAATGTGTATTATTTAATTAATATATTATTTTACGAGTTTGCATGAATGAAATGTCATTTTGCCATTACTCTAACACGAAAAACAGGTGAAGTTTCCTCGTTGTCTAGTGTTTTGTGGACACATGATTGATATTCCTCCATAAAATTAAATGACTATATTTAACACCATAATAATTCTAAGGTTGATCCATAAATTTTCAGCTAAGGGAAATCAATTATAACGTTAATCAATGATGGTTTTTTATTGACAGGTGAGTTTCCTTTTACTATCATAAAACATTCATATGGAATTTCAGAGTACTATAATATTTAACTACATATTAATTTTAAGCATCTAGCATCTAGTAAAAGCGAATATTTTATAAGACTATATTAACAAAACGATAACCATTACACTACTAGTATAGGTTATTTATTTGAGATAAATGGGCTTATGCAAAAATAACACTTTCAATACAAATCCAATTTCAGTTTGATTCCCAATTGCTTTGATGCTAAGGAATGGCTCAAAGTGAGAAGCTTAAGTGTGTACTTTTTAATTTCAATGTGATAATATAATCGTACAAGGATATTAATAATGTTTTAGGAACGGTTGTGCAAGTGGATAATGGTTCGCGAAAGATGATTAGTTTATAATTGAATTCCAAAGCAAGTCCAATTTATGTCATGGACAGAACAAAAGTTTGATTAAAGGAGATCAAACAGGTTGTGGATCCTAGGAGCAAGTAAGTGTTTTGTTCTAATGTCAGCTTGTGATTATGGATTTGTATATCTTCTTCGTGTCATTAGTCATTACTATATCAATTTTCTCTACTTTCCAATACTATATCATATTAATTAGAACTTTAATATCCTCTTATGTGGGCTTACTTAGAGCAACTTTCTAATCGTTTCCAAAACAATATTTTCTTATAATAATTTTTGCTTCCTCATAGTAGTACATATTTAAAAATTAATTATGGCTAGAACTACATTTGTACTATTAGCTAGTAGAATCTTCAAAAAAAAATAAAAAAATTAGGAAACTTTTTCTTGCAAGAAAATAATAAGAAATGTTAAAGCTATATAAATCTGTACAAAATGACGAAGTTTTTACTTCTGGTTGTCAATTTTTACATTTTTAATCTTATTATTGTGCTAAAATCACATTTAATTATAAGAAAAAAATTGTAAGTGCCTTATGCCTTGCATCTAATACAATTCTGTATGTTTTTAGGTTGTCAATGACAAATGTGTCGGGTTCAATAATATTGTATTATTCATCTCATTGTGAGGACGTGGACTCATGTATGCTTATGAAAAATATAATATAGAAACAACAAAAGTAAAAATGTTGGTGACTTGGTGCCAATAATTTTTAGAACAAACAAAGTAGTGGATAAGAACATGTCTTAATAACTTCATACTTTGGACAAACTTTTTGGGGACAAATGTTAATAAATAGATTAAAAGGAACTTCTATTGGCAAGAAAATCAACAACTAAATTAAGATTACCGGTTGATATTATTTCATATATTTAGACTAAAATAATTATGTAGCCAGCGAGTATTCAATCTCATTCTCATATAACAAATGATCTAGCGCAATTCGTATAAAACAAATACGCATGTATGTGTTTAACAAAAAAAAGTAAAATAAAATACGCATGTATGATGATAAAGTAACAAAAAATGATGCTTTTTAAGAATGTTTATTTATATACTAATGTATGGTTTCAAAGTTTTTTAAAAACATAGTTTTTGTTAGAGGTCGTCTCTAATTTTTGTTGTATCAAATAATTATTGTGTTGTGTTTTCAAATTATTGTATTGTTGTATCATACATATATAACTTTGTCATGAATATAACTAAATTTCCATGTAAGTTTTCAATTTTGAATATGCATAGTTTTTTATTTTGATAGTCTTATAGGTTTTTAAAAATGTGATAGATGAAATTATTAATTGTATATTTAAATTTATGTATATCGTTTGCATAAGTCAATTTATCTATAGTCTTATAGTTATTTATCGTGAAAAGAGTTGTTTGTCTAAATGTTAGATGTTCATGCCAAAAATACAAAATTTGTAACATTCAAATCATTAATATTATTCAGGTTATATTGTCTCAACTCAGATTTTTCTAACTATTATTTAAGATTAATCAACTATTATAGTCCGACATATTAATTTTTAGAGGTTTTATTATTTTGTTAAGAGTGTCAGACTTGAGATTGCCTAAAATCAAACCTAAATCTTGAGTTGATACTTTTAACTCAAATGAATTTGTTAAAATACCTTTTCTATGTCTAAGTTGGCATTTCTAGTTTCTGCTAACTAAACCAAAAATATTAATACCATTTTGGACCATAACTAATGAATAAGTTGCATCCTTTCATGAGACACAAAACAATGCCACAGTTTAACAAAAACAAATAGAAAAAAAAAAATTAGATACCACATGAATCGTATAAAGAGTCACCGAAGTTAAAATTAAAAGCGTTAGAAAGCAACAATAATAATAGTATAATCTTTTCCTGGCAAATCAGATATTTCTAATGATATAATCTGATTCAGAAAATTTAATACAAACTCTAATTCGATATAGCTAAGTACGAACCAGAACCTTTAGAGCCAGAGCCACCCTCGAGCCTATGTCTACGACTACGATGACCATGACGATGACCATGACGACCACTTCCATCGTCACGAGATCCTTGCCACTGAACGACACCGTTTTGAGGCTCAGGGACACATTGCCACTGGTTAACGGCGCCGTTTTGCAACTGAGGAACGCCGCCGTTTTGCAACTGAGGAACGCCGCCCGTTTGCCACTGAGGAACGCCGCCCGTTTGCCACTGAGGAACGCAGCCGTTTTGCCATTGAGGAACGCTGCCGTTTTGCAACTGAGGAACGCCGCCGTTTTGCCACTGAGGAACGTAGCCGTGTTCCGAAAAATGAACGTAGCCGTTTTGCCACTGATCAACGACGCCGCTATCTCGGATAAGCATCTTCTTCTTCTCCGAGATAAAAGTCTCCACCGTCATACGAAACTCCTCGCTGCTTAAACCATCAATAGACTGCGACCTCCACGACCCCGTTTTCGTCACTCTCTCCGATTCCGTCCTCCGAAACTCCACCATCCTCTCCGTCTTCTTCTTCTCCGATCTCGTCCTCCTATAACTCTTCGAACTCATCTCCACCACTTCTTGACCATAAGTACAACTACTCTCCTCAACCGCCTTAACCGCTTGAAACTCCGGTACAATCTCTCTGTAACTCGAGGTGTGTTCATATCCAAAATCTCCAACCTTCAATATATCATAGTAATCGAACGGCGTGACGGTGGGGGGTGAGGGCAAGGCGGCTACATATTGATCGTAAATCTCTGGTTCCTTTTTTTCCGTGGTTTTGGTTTTGCTAAAGGTAATGTAAATCAAGAAGATGATAACGTTTACGACGACGAAAACAAAGAAAAGGTTTCTTAGGACCAAAGTAAACCAATCGAACCAAAGGGGAACCACCACATGCAGTAGATTCACGATCGCCGGTAAACAACAGTAACCGAGAGCTACGACGCCGGCCAACTCGACGTAGGATCGAATATTCTGGAACGGATTGTTGTATCTCCTACTCGCCTCTGCTTTCTCTGCCTCCATTTTTTAGTGTATAGAAATTGTGAGCTTAATTGTGGTGTATATATAGATATGTAATGTGTATGTTAGAAAGAAATCTATGGAATATTTTGCGAGGAAATGAAACGGGAAAGTGAAGATATGATAAATTCTTCGGGGATATTGATCGGATTAATGAAGGAAAGCTAGGGAGAAAGAAAATATTCTGGTTGGAGAAAGAGACATACTGATACTGAGACAGATACGATCACTAGAGGCTAGTGTGGCCCTTTTATAGGGACTTTAAAATAAATTAATATGATTGCATAATGGTCATTTAATGATATTTTGCTTGGCCATCTCAAAATTTTAATATTGTGGACACTCGACCAATAATGTCTCCAATTAAGAATTCACCTTGTTTCTTTTTCTTTTATAAATTGTGTCTGAGTGTTAATTTTTTGCATAAATTAGTGGTTGTTTGCTATCTATTTCTCTCAATTTTCCTATGGTTTTAGACAATGTAATTAAGCAAATTATTTGGTTTTAGCCTATGAAAGATTGTTTTGCCCTACTAACATTTCTGATTAATAGTGGTTTAGTATGTCATATAAATAATAAAATCTATTTCATATATTACAGAGCGGTGAAATTAATTGTTATCGGAGTTCATATATATAAGCCATTTAGGTTAATAAGTTATCATGTGGATGTTTAAAATATATTCCTATCTACGCACCTTGGCCACTATATGGATATTATGGTGTCAATACTAATACGTCATTTTCATAAAATTTATTTACAATTTAGTAAGAAACTATATATTTTAGATTGCAGGATATTACTCCAATATATATTATTGGCATTGCTTGCGTTGGTAGATCCTGGTTTTTATAAAACTAGAATTTTTCCATTTTATATGAACATACATATATAGATACTATTATATCCGACATGTTCAATTTGTATATACTTTTAGGTTACAAAATATTTAAAAGATCTCCTATCGATATAGCAAGTTTCCCTATATCTCATATATATTAAGTTTTCTAGATTCGGGGTGTAGAAATTAATTCGAGCTGTTTTTTGAATCTTTCCGGAAGTAAAATATTCTTTTGCATCAAGTAATAACGGATCATATAAATTTAAGTTTCTATGAAGCAACAACTCTATCTCTAACAATATATAGTATTTTACAAGATAATGTGTAGTACATAGGTGAAGAACAACAAGTATATCTAAATGGAGCTTGGTGAGCATGTATAAATAAACTACTATAAAGCCTAAATCCACTTGTAAACTCCTTTTAGCGGACACGTGAAAGTCACGCGCCAAAAACAAACTTATCCACACATCATGCTTCAGAATTTTTAGTATCACAATCACGAGGGTCATGGAAATCGGAAAATCAAGAAAAATGGTCGAGATCCGAGAATCACGTGAGATGAGATGAGTCACGTGCTCAAAAGCAATTTCACAGTTGACACACATAATAAAGATGGAGATGTAATAACATTTTCAAAGATCAAGGTTGAATCCATTTATTTTAGAAAATAGAGTAGCCTAAAAGAAATTACTGACAAGACTGCTTAATGTATGTGCAGAGCCAAACACGGTCTGATTCTGTGGTCGCGATCAAACGATCTTTGTCATAATCATACCATTTTATATATATTCCGACAATATCAAGCAAATAATTAGATCGTACAAAAAAAATTAAAGTAATTTAGATACCGGTACATGCATGTTCGACATAATTTGTAATGCTTAGCCAGATTCATGTCCTGTTTTGACCATCGTACATTCGTTCGAACAGTTTTTAAATGTAAACTTTCATAATTTTGTGTCTTGATATATGTTTATAGTTAATTAGTCATTGTGTTTAACTTTTGTAATGCAAACATCAAATTTGAACTAATATCCACACATTTGTGTACGGTAGTAACATGCCCGAACAAATTAGACGTCAAAAGTCTATCATCACAATTCACAAAGTCTATAGTCAAAACTTGTATGGATAAGAATTTGGATAAATAGTAGGCTTCATAGTTTCTCTCTGTTCACACTATACAAAATACAAAGATAGTTCTAGAGAACGATAATCGTTTTACAATCAAAGATTAAACGGTTTTTTTTTATACATTTGTATATAAAGAGCTCTCAGCTAGTGCATATTACCATATAACAAAAACCCATGGCTTCTTCTTACACACTTATGCTCTTCCTTTGCCTCTCCATCTTCCTTATCGCTTCCACTGGTATGATATCACTCCACTCTAAGCGTCTTCAACTCTAATCTCTTTGTAACATGTATGAATCTCATAGATGGCAGATGATGATGATATCATGTGTTTGGAGAATTTGCAGAGATGATGGCGGTGGAAGGAAGAATTTGCGAGAGGCGAAGCAAGACATGGACAGGGTTTTGTGGCAACACTCGTGGCTGTGACAGTCAGTGTAAGAGTTGGGAACGTGCTTCACACGGGGCTTGTCACGCTCAGTTCCCGGGTTTCGCATGTTTCTGCTACTTCAGTTGCTGAAGCAAGCATACTCCTTAAGAGTTGTGTGAATCTTCTTCAAGTGTCACTGTTTTATCTTGTAGCAAATCCTAGTCCCTATATGGCAAAACCATAACCTTTACTTTAGCTTGTGTTCAGTAATAAAAAAAATTCCCCTTTCGTTTTTGGGAATTGACACTAAATGTCTAGAGTTTCCTTTGATAAAATCTATAATAAGAGACTTGTTATCTATACTTCAGCATAACATATTGATAGAGCTACAACAATCTCTCTAGGTTAATGATTGCTACAACTTCACAGCATTTACCTTACGTTTATAACAACACTATACTTGGGCTGAACTCAAACCTCAAAGAAAGAAAATTAAAATTTATATTTGTTTTAGGCTTACAGGCCCAATAGTGGAAACTCAGCCTCACACAACATAAGCTTAATTTATTAAGGGGGTATTATCCTTCCTAGTTCCTCCTACTATCACTCATTCAAAACAGAGAGAGAGAGACGATGTTGGCTCTGGCATCACATGTTTCGTTGGCTCAATCATCGGCCTTCTTAGGGTGTCAAAATGGATAAAATGGATTAATGGGTTTAATGAGTTGGATTGAAATGGTTCGCGGTAGAATGGATTAGTGGATTACTCATAACCAAACCAACAAAAGTTAAACAATCTAAATCAAATAAATGTGCAATTCAAGGATTTGAGCCAGAAAAAGGAACATTGTTAAAGGAACAAAAAGGTGGGAGTAAGTAAGATTGAAAACTGAAATATCAATGATTCTGAACCCTGACAAACGCATTTTATTTTTCACAAAATAATTTGAAAACAACACAATGTGTATTGAATTAAACTGAGACCTCAATACGATACAGTGCACTTGCTTTAAGTAAATGCTGTTGAGATTCTCTGTGAACAACATAATGCTAAGAGCTGCTTGAATCAGAATGGCCCTTCAACGCAATTGATTGAAATTCTGCAATCTGCTGGTGATCATCAGTTGTGGATGTCAGGAACAGGTAAGTCCTTCAACTGCAACTGTTTGTGCATCCATTGCCAGTTTTCTTGGGTTACTTCTCCTCCAAGAGCACGGATGACAGATCCACCACTGCATGATCCCACTTTGCAACATTCTTCCAAAGACAATCCCTTTATTAATCCGTACAGAAACCCGCTTGCGAATAGGTCACCCGCTCCTGTGGCATCAGTTGCTACTGTCTCTCCTATGGCTGGTATTTGTACCACCTGATCAAGTTAGGAGATGAAAACACTAATTCATTATGAACTTTAGAATCCAGCCAGAACCTAACAAGAAATGTGAGATCTTGAAATAGATAAAAAAAGGTAAAGGAGATTAAGACCAAAGGTTCTAGCTTTTTCATAGTTGATTCATATATCCCTCAATCCCAATACTGAAAGGTGAGCCTTCAAATTACAATTTGAACTACGGATTTGTATGGAAATTTTTTCCTTAGGGCAGGCGAAAAGAGTTCAAGCTAAGTGAAACATAAACGTACTTTATTAGTAACCGAGTTTTCTAGGAGATACAAACCTCTTTATCATGTTTTGCAATGCACCCTTTAGGCCCCAAAGTTACCACAGCCCATCTGCAATGTCTGCCTAGGAAATCAAGAGCTGCCTCCGGACCCGCTTCTTGCTCACCCCTGAAACTCACAATCCAGAGCTTAAGAGTATTTCATGGACTCAAGAGAAATGGAAAAAAAAAAACTGGTGTAGAGGATAAAGAAACATCAATTACCTCAGGAGCTCTGCTGCTTCGTCCTCATTAGCAAAGCAAAGATCTATGTTACCAGACTCCAAAAGCTGTCGAAGCTCTGATCTAGAATTCCGGACCATCTAGTCAAAAATATATTTAATTCAGATGAAAAGCTCAAATGCTTAATCATTTGTAAAGCCACAGATCATTTTCAAAAGAAGGAATTGAAAACAAGAGATTTTTTTTTGTAATCAAAGATATACCTCAAAACTAGCTAAATCCATCGAAACAGAGAGACCTTCTTGCTTGGCAAATCGAATGGCTGCTTGAATTACTTCTAAATTAAGAACAGCATATCTTAGGACCAACCACTGCAGCAGAGAAAAAGACCATCAACAATGTTGTCTGAAAAAATCTCCACAGATTTTACAATGCTTCCAAATGGCAAAGAGAGATTAAAGGAGCTAGGCTTTTTAACCTTAGAGCCTGTGAAATCTTCTTTGCTTAATTCATCTGCCTGAAAGAGAAATAGCTTTTACCATCCTTTCTTACTGACAAACCAATTCAATATAACTATATATACCAAAAAAAATAGAAAACACAAACCTGAATCTTCACAGCACTCGAGAGACATGGTCGCATTGTTCGATTACCAGAGTCATCAACCAAGCAAACACACTAAAAAGAAACAACACCATTAAAAGAAGATCAAAACCAACCCTTTCCAAAAAGGAAGAAGCAAAAATTTTCACAGTTTGACAAACAGACCTGAGCAGTGGAACCTTTCTTCTTCCTGAGCCTAGAGATACTCACACCACTGAAACCCATATTGGTCACAAACAATTGGCCTTGTTCATCGTCTCCATAAGCCCCGATAATCCCAGTAGCTACACCGAACCCAACACTCAAGCCTCGGACCGTATTGGTGACACTTCCTCCAGCCATCTTCTTTAATGGAGCCACACTGATATGTGTATCAAGCTCTTTTAGTATGTGCTCTAACTCATCCTTTTGCACCTAGAATCACAAACGATCCACCAAAGTACAATAACAATTCAAATCCAGATTCCTGCTTCAAACTTTTTGCTTAAACCCACATCAAAAAAAGAGATAATTCGCGGAAAACAATCAAATTACGCTAAAAAAAAGAATCGAAGGGCTTACGGCAATGGAGCCACCGCGATCACCGGGAATTTGATCGAGTAAAGACCAATCGACGGGAGCGACGTTATCGATAAGAGCTGCGGGTTGGAGTCCAAGTACAAGTGGAGCTTCAGGGCACTTGGGCAAGGCCTCAGCTACCATTCTCTCTCTGTGTTTCTCAGTGTGTAATCTATCTGTGTTGTGTAATCTCTGTAAGGCCTTGCCCGATTTTTCTCCTCTGCTTCGTCTCAGGTTTTATATACCGGCGGGTGGAGATGAAAGCCAGGAATAAGAAGAACAAGGATTATTGGATATTTACGAAACTACCCTTATATGAATCAAATAAAATTTTGTAGGTCAGTACTCCCTCCGTTCCTTGAAGTTTGATGTTTTAGTGTTTTGAGTTTGTTCCACAAAGATTGATTTTCTAGATTTTTTATAATTTTTAATTAATTGATTTTAATAAATCGTAGATTTCAAGACGTAATGATTAACTGTTTCAGATTACTATTGGTTCATAGTTTATTAAAAATATTTAATAAAAGTAAATAATTAAACAATGATTGTTTCTTAAGAAATGTGAAATCTCTACAAAATCAATCTCCTAGGAACAGAAGGAGTATAACTGATCAGATAAATTCCCTGCGCTTTTTTATTGTTTTCCTTCCTGTAATTATTTAATTTTTATTCACTCGTATCATTAGAGTGTGTGACAAATAGTTTAACAGTTTTCTTCTTCTTCTTCTTCTTTTTTGGGACAAGCAGTGAATCTTAAACGATGAAAAAGGGAGGTAAAATATCAACGCATTAAACAAATTAAGCATTGCATTTTGTGCCGCATATGATTAAATAAATATTATGAATTTGCTTTATTTTTATAATCAAAAGTACTTTATCGTGAAATGTTATCATATGAAAACTATGGTTAATAACTTAATATAGTAGCAATGATTCGAAAACCCCCATTATTTGAAGGAGCCTCATTACTCTTTGAAATGTTAAGTTAAGTGCTAGACTTATCATATACCTTTTACTAATTTCTATGGATATAAACAATCATGGAAACCATTTAAAGTACACAACCTAGCGGCCAAACATTTTAGTTCTCTATGGGAAAGTGTTCACTGATTGAAATCTACAAGTGACTTGACACTGTCTCGGTTAGCGACAATTTTACTCAATCTATCGTTTCCAATTTCAAAAATACGATGTCTCGTGGTTCAACATTGAGAGAAAAATTGGCCCACTAATTGAGATCTACAAGGGGCTAGGGAGAATCCAATTGTTTGTATTATTGTAACAATGGTTGATTCCTGCAGAAACGGCAACGAAAAGCTAGAAAACAAAAGAGAAATTTCAAGTTAAAAAAAACGGCCTTTGACAAAAAGAAAGAGACGAATCATAATAATAGATACACGATACAAGATTTGATTTTATCACAAAATAAAAAAGACGACCAAGCAAGCGTAATTCACGGTACCAATAACATCAGTCCCACTAATAATTTGCTGTATTTAATATATATATCAAGTTTGGATCTTTATTCTTCATGCTTGCCTAGCAACATAGGCGCACATGGATTTTGCATAGCACATGCATCAGACTAATATTCACTCATGTTTCATAAACTTGCTTCTTACGTTCAAAAGACCAAAGTGATAACAACCAAAGTTTGATCTGACAATACAATTCCCTAAGAAACCATGAAAAAATGTCGAACAAAGCTTCTCCAAAAGCTGTAAATCCGTCTACCCTAATGTACTCTACCTGCCATTATTTAAACCAGAGACCGAAACATATCCCTTGAGCATCTCATACTATAGGGCTTCGGTCAGAAAACATACCTCTGAAAAATCAGTTCACATTAGAAGGACGCTTGGTTTCTTTATCAGGCTGTATGTTGTTAGGGAGGTTAAGCTCTGGTGGCGTTTCTCTCACAATACCGAGCATTGAGTCATACTCCTCGTCCTTTTGAGCATGCTTCTTGCGTAGAACCTTCTCGAACTCAATCGCATTTAATGGCTTTGCATTCTCTGCAGCGTGAGCCTGTGCGAGGTTTGAGTAGTTTGTTGCTGACTGAGAGATAAAAGCAATTTCCTCATCAGTGAGCTTCCTAAGGAACCTTGCTGGGTTTCCTCCCCATACCTGAGTCACATTATAGACCAATGTGTTAAAACATTTTAACTCTGTCAGTCAATACTGTATGTCGAAGTAATTTTTACGGCCATGATGAGATACTAACACCCTTTGGCATTCATATGCAGGTAAACCATAGCTAGAAGAACATTTACACTTTCATCTAAATAACATCTGTAATCTGTTAGGGCATCTGAAAAGTGGATAAGATACGTTCTATCCAGATATAGGAGAAGAATTCTCAAATTAGAAACTGTATTTCAATTTCACACCAATCTCCAATACTCTCAGCCAACGAAAGAAAGACACTAATAATGTCAATAATATAGCCTATGCTGTCTAAGTAGCAATAGAAGTATTCCAGCACCAATGGTTACTTGTGAGTTTTCAAGGTATCAGAAATGTTTACCCAAAATCATACCTCTCCAGAAGGAATTCTGGTGTTTTGTCGTACAAGCGCACCAGCAGCAACCATCCCATGCTTTTCAACAACAACCCCGTCAAGAAGTGTCGCACCCATCCCGATAAAGGTTTCATCCTCGACAGTACATCCATGTAAAACAGCACTATGACCTGATACCCATTTAGTTTAAAACTATATCACAATGCATCTTGGAGATGTATGCATATTAGACATTTTCAAAATAAACAGTAAGTAAGAGATTCCCACTAACCAATGGTTACATTGTCTCCAATGATGGTTGGGTGCACTTTCCCGCTTAAGTTTGATTTTGCCACATGCACAAGTGAGTTGTCCTGAATATTAGTGCCTGACCCAACACTTACGGTGTTCACATCCCCTGCGCAGAAAAAAAGAGAGAGAGCAAGTTTAGACTGTATGTTATTCCAGTTTCCTGGTAAAGTACTAACATGCTTAACCATACAGCACCAATACTTTATGACATAACAGCATTCTGAATAAAAAGGACAACCTTATTCCATTACCATCAAACCTTAAGGAAGGCATCACAGAAAGAAATAAATAACAATCCAGACTAGCCTACACATACTTGCACCAAAGATTCAGCTCAAATTCAATGTAAGGGGATATCATTTATCCTTAAGAACAACAGCCAGTATTATCAAGATTCGATGTAGTAATACTCTATAGAAGACTCCTTCAATAATGCTAGAAAGCTCCACTTTGAGCAGTCTTGTTCATCGCTTAACCATAAAAGAAGAGTAAAAAACAGATATTCATTCACTACTTTCAACCGTGAGAATTGACACAGCTAAGGATACAGAAGTAAATGATAACTTAAGTAACTACAAACAAATCATTCAAAAACACTAACCACTGAAGCTTAATAGCTAGCTCACCTCGTAATACGCATCCATACCAAATGGACGATCCTCTTCCAATCTGAACGTCCCCAATAACTGAGGCGCTTGGTGCCAAAAAAGCTTCCTTATCCACGACTGGAGCCTTATCAAATACGTTCATCAGTGTCCGATGCCTTGACACTACAGAGAAAGCCACAATTACATATGAGCAAATTTTGGGACCAGAAAAAACAAAAAAAAAACTAAGCAGCAAAACACATTCCTATACGAGTTCATCAATTAATCCCTTGTGCTATTTAAACCCAGAATCGCTATACCTAACAAAAGACATCAATTCCAGATCTCTAAACCTAATCAGAAGAGCTGAGCTGAGTAAGCCCAACCGAAACTACGGATTCGAAATCGGAGTGAAAACTAGAGTTACGCAGAAGCTTACGTTGTTCTCGAAAGTAATTTTTGCCTTGAAGGCGACAACCAAGGCGATCGAGAGCTTGACCGGTCTCACGGATCCAAAAACCAACCGAGTAAAATGCTCTTCCTAGGGTTCCCATTGATCGTCACTTTCGAGCTCACAGGTAAGCGATGACTCAACACTGAATGAAGAAGACGACGATGGTCGAAGCTGAAGAAAGAAAATGAGTGAAAATGGATTTCAACACAGGAATATTCTGGAACAGCGAAACAAATTACAGTTACAGTGGTTTAATCTGGTTTAACCGAACCAAAACAATACGAAAACTTAACCAACTCTAATTCGATATTTCAGGTAGTAGTTTGAGTAAACCGATTATATTCGGTATGATTTTGTAGTACTATATTTAACTAAATTGAACGGTCCAAAACCTGCCGACCAAAAAACAAAAGGCCCTATCAGTAACAATGTCGTTTCGTATCGTCCTCTTGCAAACGCATAACACGTGAATAAGATAACATCGGGTGGTAAAAATGGCCCACAGGTGGGTAGAGAAAGGTAAGAATTCAGTTTAAAAGCTCAGCCTTCTCACTGATTAACTCAATCATTCATCCGTCGCTGCAATAAAGAAAGAAGAATCAAGATGGCTCTCGAAATCTGCGTGAAAGCTGCTGTTGGTGCTCCTGATCACCTCGGCGACTGTAACCATCTTCTATCTCTGTTTATGTTTTTTATTAAGCTTTTGATTTTGCAAATTCTGAGTTATTTTAGAGGTTTGATCGTTGGTAATATTTCTAATTTAAGTGTTTGTTTGTCGTTTTAGGTCCGTTCAGCCAACGGTCTCTGCTCACACTCGAGGAGAAGAATCTTACCTACAAAATCCATCTGATTAACCTCTCTGACAAACCCCAGTGGTCAGTTTCTCTCACGCCTAAACCCTTAGATCGCTCTAACTTGTTTCACTTGTTTGAATTTGTTTAGCCATAATCGGTTGTTTCATGGCAGAATCTCTGAATCTTTTTTACTTGTACAGTGGTGTTACTCTCATGGGCTGTGTTAATTATGAATGATTTCTATGAAGCGTTAACCGGAAAATGAATTGGGTTTGGTTAGTTTATATGCAATTACTGTACAAGCTTAAGCCCTTAAGTGTTAACCGGTAATTGGATTGGCTTTGGTTAGTTATATACTTATACGAGCTTTGTGTTAACCGGAACTTGGATTGGCTTTGGCAGGTTCTTGGACATTAGTCCTCAAGGGAAAGTACCAGTTCTTAAGATCGACGACAAGTGGGTGACTGATTCCGACGTCATCGTTGGTATCCTCGAGGAGAAGTATCCTGATCCACCTCTCAAGACTCCTCCTGAATTTGCCTCTGTTGGATCCAACATTTTCAGTACTTTCGGGACTTTCTTGAAGAGCAAAGACTCCAATGACGGATCTGAACAGGCCTTGCTTCATGAGCTAGAAGCCTTGGAGAACCATCTCAAGAGTCACGATGGTCCTTTTATCGCAGGGGAAAGAGTTTCCGCGGTGGATCTAAGCTTAGCACCAAAGCTTTACCATCTCCAAGTCGCTCTTGGCCATTTCAAAAGCTGGACTGTCCCCGCGAGCTTGCCCCATGTCCACAACTACATGAAGGATTTGTTCTCTCTCGACTCCTTCGAGAAAACTAAGACCGAGGAAAAGTATGTGATCTCTGGATGGGCTCCTAAGGTCAACCCTTGAAACTATGCACCGTTATGAGATTGTTGGTGTGGTAATGTTGTTCAAGGTCTCTCTCTTATATCAGTCAAATAATGTACTTGGACCTTTCATGTTATGTATTGTATCAACCAAATAAGAAGCATAGTTTGAAATAAGATTTGCGTCCATATCGATACTCGGATTACCAGTAGCTACAAGGGACGAGGTTTTTTTCAGACAAACCGGTTAAGAAACTCATCGACACTTGTGTACTTGACCTCAGGGTAAAGCTCGGAAGCCTCAACTCCAAAAGAAGGATCTATAGTGAAGGAGGTAAAGTCGCTCTTCACAAGGACCGTATGGATCAAACCCACCAAAAAATCCATTGGAGGTCCAGTCTCTGCAAATGCAAGTAAAAACCAAACATGAAAACAAGACTTTTAGTACTTTGGACTGATGAATATAGGATATCAAAAACTGTTTTTATGGTTTAACTGATCACCTTGGATGGTTTTGAGGAGTTCTTCCTCTGAAACATAAGTCTTGTCGAGAGTCTTACCGATCTTTTCCTCCCACAAACGAACCATATCGTTCTGCGATACAATGTTCTTGGGCGGGTGTATGTAGAGAATCTTGTTAAGTGTTCTCGGGTCATCAACAGCTTTCAAAGTATATGCAACAATGTCTTCTTCAGTGTTGACAATGGCTACAACAGAAAGGAAAGAATCACAGATTATAACCACAACTGCAATTTGCACTAGTAATTGATATGATGGTAACGCTAAAAGCGACGACATGACAACCTTTGCCATTGCCATTATCATAGATTGAAACTTTGTCTCTAGGAGGAGATCTGAGTAGCAAGTGGCATTGACCCAAACAAGGAACAAAAAGACCTGCAAAGCAACCTGAAACGACATACGTATAAGGTATCTTTGCAGCTTCAATGGCACGCCTTATCTGAGCTTTACCGATGAATTCTGATAGCGTTGGCTCGATGGCTACCGTACGGTCCACGTCATTGCCAAATTCTGATGGTAAGAATCTCTAGATGAAAAAGATTGGTTCCAAATTAAAAAAAAAGATTAGTTCCGAATTTATTGAGATCTTTTAGAGCCTATTAGAAAGGATGTGACTTGTGAGTGAGTATATCCAAGAAAACGGACCTTAACATTTCCAGATTCTTTGATGGCATCGATGATACTGGTTTGATCAAGAATTTGAGGCCGACCAACAGCTGATATCACGACATCGACTTGTTTAATCGCCTTCACTAAGCTCTCTTTATCATTTAAACTTCCCTGTCATCATTAATCAGAAAAATCTACCATTATTCAAGTGATGATTTGGGAAAACAAAATTTTTGAGAAGAGGATTATTACGGACGTAGATTATAGTAACGCCGAGATCTTTGAAGCTCTCGACGAGTTGGGCCTTAACGGGATCGGAGAGGGAGGCTTCTCTAACCAGAGCGAAAGTTGCGTGGCCGGACTTGGCGCTTCCTTCGACGATGACTTTTCCGATGAGACCTGTCGCTCCGATCACCAGAATCTTGCTTGTCATCTCTCTGCTATTTTCGTTGAGAGAATTCACAAGAGTCAAGAGTGAGTAATTTAACCGACTCAGATTTATCGGCTTTTATATTTTTGTTCGGTGGGAACCCACGGCGCCGAGTTAAGCTGGAGTTACCGGAATACCCTTTTTAAAATTTGGTTTTGGTTTAGTTTGGGTTGTTGGTTTGATAACATTATATTGCATCATTATAGAATCTATACTAGTATAATTTCATATGAAGTAAAACACATTCGTTCATACAAACAAAAAAAAAAGTAAAAAAACATTCTCAGATTAAAACCCTACACCATTATTTGTTACATGTTGTACTCACATTCACATACTAACACGGCCAACATATGTGATTAGCCGGTGATTATATTAAACCACAACCGCAGACGACTAATCACATTTCACACGACATATATATGTGATTAGCCGGTGATTATAGCGTCATTACGAGTCCGCGATTTTGGCGATGTGAGCCACTTTGAACTGCGGCACGTAATTGTTCTGTCGACCCTCTTCCTCCCTTGGCTCGTTCAAGAACGCCCAGTTGGTTTTTCTCCACCTGACCAACCACATGCATCAGTTTATCATTTCATATATCTCTTTTAAGAATTAATTACGAGATTGATTTAATTACCATCCACTTCTCTTGCTTTGGTTCTCAAAAAGATCCTCTACTCTCTTCTCCTCTTGCGCTTGGCTTTGTGCACCTTCCTGCAAACAATTTCAAAGCCTTTATTAGATCATTTTTATATTTCTTGGTAAATTTTAAAGTCGAACTCTGATTTTCACAAAGATCTCTGATAGTTGAAATATTCTCCCTTTCCTTGGGAATTAAGATATAAATATACATTTAAAGTTTGGTCTTAACCTGAGTTACCAACTTGGAAACGGCTTGAACATGTTCTTCTTCTTCACTCTTCTTCTTCGTTTTCCAAAAAGTGTCGATTTCTTCTCTTGTTAGTGACTTGCACCGTCTCACTGAATTTATGTAATATCGGAATAAAAATCATCATTCAGTTTCTGTTATATAATCAAAACATACAATATAATCTCACATATGCATGATATATAATATTAATTACCTGAGTTGGGATCGCTTACTCGAGAGTCCCATCCTGACACTAAGGAACCCATTTGCTCTTAATCTTTTCTTATTGTCTTTTTAATTTTCTGATAAGTAAACCATTCATGTCGGTGAGATCAATGTGTTAACATTCCTCTATATATAGTAGTGCTCCATGCAAGTATGCAACTCATCTAGATAATTCTTATCCCCCAAAGATATTAAATTTGTTGTTTAATTTATTAATATTATTATATATTTATTTCGCTACTCGGTCCAAGTTCGTATAACTTAAGAAAACTAAATCCCCATTATTTGGCTTTCGAAAACTCCGGTAATAGCCCACTGATTTAAGTAGTGGAATTGTTAAATTATTAAATCTATAGTCAGAGAAGATATTATTTATTTTTTTGACAAAAAAGATATTAACTTTGCAACCTTATCTTGTCTCCTATGATTATTATTTTTAGTACAGTAAATTAATCTTTAGATTTGGATCCCATTATATTTCGTTCCAAAGTTTTAGATAGACCAAAATTTCTTGAAAGCAAAACAGTTATACAAGGATACAAAAGAAAACATGATGAAAGATGATGTCGAAGTTTTGTCTTTTGTGGGTGGAACGATCAAAAATATCAAACGTAAAGAGGAGATAACCTTGAAAAATTATTTAAAGATGGACACTTGGATCCAAAACAGATTTAGCTGCATAACAAATATCATCAATCTTTTTTTTTAACTTCAACTACAAAATACTAAATTAGTCGGCTTAACTTAATTAAACAACTGGATTCATGTTTTTTGTCCTAGCTCTTTTTGACATAGCTGACAGTGACACGTGTACGATGCGTGGCAGACACATCACAATTCACACATGTACATTATCTCCTCGATTTATTTTTTTGTTTTTATCTGCTCGAATTTCTTGAAGTTATATCCACTTGATGGAGAAGATTGTATTTTCCATTTTTACAAAGTTGAGGTAGACGTCAAAACCACTACGGTTTTGGATATAATATAAGAAACAAATAATGTAGAGGCTAATCATAAGGTTGAAATGATCTGAGAGGAGAATGTTCTTTTTTTTTTTTCACAAAGGATAGTTTTATTCATATCACAGTTCCTTACAAAAGCCCGAAAGATTACGGGACGGCAAAGCTGAAACATTTCTTACAACAGCTCAAGTACAAAAGCTTTTAATTTCAACACAGCCCAAAAGGCCCAAGAAGAAGACACAACATCAAGACGTGTCATCACGATTTTAATGAGCTGGGGACACGTGTTCTGCCCACATCCTTCGCCGCATGCAATTCCAAACGCCGGTGAATCTGAGAATGTTGCCGGGAATAACACAAAACAACCATCTCCGTTTTGCTCACCGATTAAGGTCAAACACGATTTACGCCAAAAACATCAATCTCCAAATCTCACCGGTTGCCAGAAACTAAAGAATCCGGCGAAACACGGGTACTAGAGACTCGAAATTGAGAAAGCCACGGTTGACTATTAAAGGGAAACTCTGAAATCATGAGAGAGCAGCCAAAGGGAATCAATTTTATCTAGGGACGAGATGAGAAACATCATCTTAGGCAAAGAGAAAACTCCATGGAAAAGTTAATGAAGAACCGACGAGATCGCCTACACTAACCATAAATCCAAAGAGGTTATTGGGAAATTAAAACAAAAGACAAGACCGGAAAGAGAAAACTAGGCTCCGCCGGAGAAAGAAAACAAAGCCGGCCAACGCCGCTATAGAAGCCGGTCGATGCCGGACGAAAGCCGGCCATCACCGCTATAAAAGCTGGTAGATGCCGGAAGAGAGCCGACCATCACCGATGAGTAACACGGAAGATGTCGGACGGATAGCCGATAATAGATCGGACGGCGACATAGAACTTTACTTTCTCTCTCTAAAAGATGCAGAGAGGGAGAAGAGAGAGAGAGGAGAATGTTCAAAAGAGAGCTTATGATTCTTCTAGAGAAACATAAAAACTTTTCCAGAAGCGGTAAACAGATATCCAAAATTCCAAGGAACGATATTATTACAGAACACAGCTACAGTTTTTAAAATCAATGAAACCTCGGAATGTGACTTGACTTAGAAGATTGAACACAAGATGATGAATAAGTTTCAAAAGATTTTTCCACTTACGAGTTTCTTACCGTCTCACTCTACCAGATCCAGACCCAAAAGCTCGAGGTGGTGCAACCATATCCATCTGCAATCTCTGTGAAGGCAAAAACTTTCGAGCTTCCATATACTTATACATTCTTCTTGCATCTTTTTCAAACCCACCCTTTTTCAACGCAGTTATAACTTTGTCAAACTCGTTGGGTCCCATTTGATCTCTCTTAGCTTCCAAAACCCCAAGAGCTTGAAGAGTCTTCTTCTCGTTCCTCATACTAGAATACATACAGCACAAGCTCACCTGGAGCTCAAATGGTGGAGCTTCTCCTAGCTGAGAGATCTTTACCAAAAGCTGCTCAGCTTCCTCTATAAGCCCGAGATTAGCCATCCAATCAACAAGTACAGTGTAAGTGATCACACCAATTTCAATCCCATCTTTCTCCAGCTGCAACAAAAGTCTCAGTGCCTTATCTAATGAGTTCTCTCCCTTGTATGCTCGGACCAAATTTGCAATGCACTTGTCATCGGGTTTGTGGCCAAGCTTTCTCATTTCATCAAAGTTGCTTTTAGCTTTATCCACCTGCCCTGCTTTCCCGTATGCTTCCACAAATAAACTATATGCTTCAAAGCTCAGTGGATCGTTTGATGCATACAGCATTGAAGAAGAAATCCCTGCAGCTCCATTGGCATCTCCCATTTGTGCATAAGCTCGAAGCAGAGCCATGTAAACTTCTTCCGAGGCTTTCAACTCCTTTGCTTGCATCTCTTTCATCAACCTCTCACCTAGTTTAGGCTTGCCAGCGTTTACATAGCCCATGATCATGGCTTCGTAGATCTTCTCATCTGGCCGTAACCCATAGCTCTTCAAGTTTTCAAATGCCTCTGTTGCACGCTCAAGGTTGCCTGATTTACTGTACATATGGACCAACGAAGTGGCAGTTAAAATGTCTGGAAAGATCCCATTTTGAGACATTTTCTTTAGAATCCTCTCAACATCTTCAATGTGATTCTCTTTAGCATGGATATGGATGAGTTTTGAGTAGTCTGAGATGCTAGCGTTGAATGATTTTTCATCCAGGACACGTTCTGCCACCTGTTGAAATATCAAAATCAGTACCAACTGATTCAAAATCATCTCTTCCAAACCTATGTTAGACATATGCATACAAGTACCACCATCTTGATTGAACAAACAACCTTAGAGTAACAAATTAAACAACAACAAGAATCCTATTGAAAAAACTAACGAAATCAAACCACAGGACCTTATATAGCAATCCAATTAGCAAAAAAGCTTAACTCGAATGAGGGGAAAAAGGTGATTACTTTTGATATCAGTCAAGAACCAACACTATAGAAGTAGGCCAATACTCCAAAACCATTATGCATCGAAATTTAATTTGTTATGAATTCCAGAAAACGAATCTAGTGGAAGTCATTTTGAGGATGTAAACCAAAGTCTAACCTTTAAGTATGCAATAGTGTTTCCTTCTCGCAACTGATTAAGTAAAGCAATCCAATCCACACGGTTAGGCTCCAATAACTCAGCCCATTCAGCAAGCAACCCTGAAGGATCATCTCCCCCCTGCAAAGACTCAAGCTTCTCCATAACCAATTTGCACTTTCCAGTAACAGGTTTAGGCTCTCTCCAATCAGCCTCTTCCTCAGCTGCATGAATTTTATCAGCCATTTCAACCCATTTCGGATCCGATAACTCAAGCCCGTAAATCTTGTACTTAAACTTCCCCTTTCGTTTAGGAAGAGAGATACTCCTAGATTCAATTTCATCAGAGGGAACAAACCCTTCTTCTTCTACTTCTCCATCCACAGATTCAGATTCCCTAATTGAATTATCCAAATCACGTTGCTGTTCCAAACTCTCATAAAACTCAGCGTCTTCCATTTTCTCTCTTGCCCATTTGAATCTAAGTTCTCTAAGCAAATCACCACGAATACCAATTTCTCCAGCAAACCTACACATCTCCATCACTTCAGGAGATTGAACGTATTGCTTCATCTTCTCTTTCTTTCTCTCTTTCTCCATATCTTTCAACACTGTGTTACTAACTTCCCAAATCGTAGCCCAAAGATCATCGCTAAAATCCGATGACGGTGAAGGTGGAGCTGATCCAACTTTATTGAACCCACCTCTTTCGATCTCTTCCACAACTTTCTCTACAATAAGCAGAAGCATACCATCGATCATCTTCTTGTCACAATCTGGGTAAGCTTCTGAGACTTTCCCACGCATTATCCAAACGAATCGTGAGAGAAACTCGTTTGTGGTCCCATCTTCTTCTTCGTCGTCTTCCTCTTGGTCATTTGAGTCATCAATGGCGGCACTGGACTCACTGAGTCGGGACTCGCGAGTAAAGTGGAAATATCGATTGAAAGATGAAATGGGTCTAGGGATTTCGACATTTTTGAAATGGGTTTGTTCGTCGTAGCTTCTTAGATGACGATCAGAGTGAGAAATTGAAGATGTAATGGCGGAGAAGTTTCTGCAAAAAGTTGGGGTTTTTGAAGATAATAGTGAAATACGGTGGATCGCTTGTCGAGAGACGAGGAAAGATTTCATCTTTCTCTGAAGGGTTTAATCTCGGCAAAACCCTAACTTTAGCTAAACAATTGAGTGAGGAAGGAAGAAGTCAAGATCACAGAAATGGAACTCCAATTAGGGTTGCCTAGCCGTTCTCTATTCGTTTATTGGTATTTTTCAGAAAAGCCCTTAATTTTATGAATAATACTCAAATCATCCTATACATTCTAATTTTTTGTTTTGACCCTATGCTCGGAACTCATGTCAATTTTTCCCCAATTTCAAACATTTCAGACGGCAAACAAATTTCTCAAAGTTAGGCCTTGGTGCTATTCCAAAGAAGTTTCCTTTCTTTCCAAATTGTAACTAGTGTTTCTAAGTCATAACTACACTAAGGTTTCGTATAGTTGCGGACCTTGCGGTAATCGTGGCAATTCTTTGATATTGTAAGAAAAAATTGATATATACAATTAACACAAAATAAAATGATTACTTAAAGGTTAACTAATACTAAAAACTAAAATCAAATTACCTAAAAAAAATAATAATAAAAAATCAAATTACCTAGTACTTGAATAAGAATGAGTGACGACAAAGGTGACAACATCCAAAACTAAAATCAAATTACCTAACTTTCAATAAGAATGAGTCGCGTGATCTTCTAACTTCTATTGGAAGGCATTGTACGACGTGTCTTAAAACTTGTCACAATAGATGTTATGTGGTGTGTTTGATGCCCCATAGACGAACGGTTCAAAAAGATATTAGTACTAGAATTTAACCCGTGGTATACCGCGGGGTTATATTTTTTTTTAAAAATGTAATGTTATTTTTTAAAAGATTAACTGAAGATATATCATATTAATTTATATTTTTAAATGTAGATATCTATCTATCAATATTTGAAGTATATATACGAAAACATACATTTTTTTTAAGTAACGATGTATGGTGGATTTTAAAATTTTGAATATTTTACTCTGCAGTATACCGTGGGTCGGTTTTTTTATAACTAAAAATTTTAAATTTAAGTTATATTTGTTTTGTTAATATTGTTTCTTTTTTTTTGTGTTTAAGATTGTATAATTGTATTTTGATTGTTAATTTTAGGATTTCATCCGTGATATACCGTTATTTATTAATATCGACCCAAATCCGTCATCCCATATAAACCCGTCTATATTATCTCGTTAGCTAAATTATTAGTATTATAAAATCCAAGAAAATAAATTATTATTGTTATAAAATCTAATAATTTTATGATCTCACCCGTAGTATACCGTTCTTTGAACGATTTTAAATTTATACTACTAATATATATTTTAAATTTATCATATAAAGTATATGATTTCAAGTTTTTGTGTTTTTTTATTTAAATAAAGCAACGGCTTAAATGATGATATATATAGTTTTTTTTTTCCCGTATGTGTATTTGATTTTTCTATGTGAATATTTTGATTATTATAAATTAGTATTTTTATTGCTATGCAAAATGTTAATATAAATATTTGCTATAAATTTTTTTGAAGATATATGGAAAGATTGTGTAGAGATTTTTAGTTACAAATTAGGGAAGATATTGTTGGTTAATATCTTTTATTTAAATCTTGTAAAAGTAATAATAAATACCAATGACATTCTTTATAAATACTGCCCAACCCCAGGATTTATAATAATAATTCTTTATAAAAGTTATTATAAAGAATGTTGAAATCTCGATTTATAAAGAATTATTATTATAAATCCTGGGGTTGGGCAGTATTTATAAAGAATGTCATTGGTATTTATTATTACTTTTACAAGATTTAAATAAAAGATATTAACCAACAATATCTTCCCTAATTTGTAACTAAAAATCTCTACACAATCTTTCCATATATCTTCAAAAAAATTTATAGCAAAGAATGTTGAATCTTATTTCACAACAAATCATGTAGCTATTGTGGTTTTGTTTATTTATAACTCTAATCTATTTTTGTCAACTTTTTATTTACATCTCTTCCACCTAGTAAAACAACTGATTCCCATTTCGTAATCTCGATTTCCAAAATTTGTTGAAAATGAGAGTTTTATTTTTACCATTTAAAACGTTTACAATGTACCATGATTGAAATCCCAATACGAAGACTTGAATGTTCCCCTACGAAATCCTCCAACCAGTGAGTTGGTTAGCAATTTAGCATCTAGAGATTGATAAAATTTTAAACAACCACATTTGTTTATCAAATAAACTAAAGCTAAAACATCACATGAAATTAAATATATTTATAACGTTTTTTAGAGATAAAGAATTTATGATAAAGTTTAAAAGAAATTAAAACGAATATTACCAATGCACTATATGGACCCAAAAAAATGAATACGATCGAAAACCATAAAACTGTTGCTTAATTTGGAACTGGCATGAAACTAAAGCCATCTCATGTCGTACTATTTTCGGCGTAACGGCCACCAACGTTGGATCGTTACACCGTTAAATAAAACCAAATTCTAAATCTCCTTCCCATATAAATAAGGAACTTTCAAATTAAACCAAACAAAACACGAAAAACTCGTAAATAAATAGTTTACAAGCTTAGGAAAATTTACGAGCTACCTCTAGTTTTTTTAATAAAACAAAAAAAAAGAAGAGCAAAACAGTTTGTCGGAGATTAGATGGCGAAAATATCGGTGGCTGTGCTGTTGTCCGTAATGCTACTTGTCTCGATGAACTCGGTGGATATCTTGGCCGAGGAACAACCGACGGTTGGGCAGAGGATAGACTCCGCCGTGACGGGTGTCACCAATGCATTCAATGAACACGGCGGCCCACAAGCCGTTGACACCGTATCATCCACCGTCAAATCCGTTTACGGATGGTTCAGTGAAAAAGCCAAGTACGTCTACGATTCTTTTAAATATTTTTGATTTTTTGGTACAAAAATCTGTTTAATTTTAATTTTTATTTCTACAATACACATCACACCACAGAAACTGAATTTAAATTCGATAGTAACATAATAATACATACAACACACCACATAAACCCATGGCATTATAAATCTTTTTGATACTTATACTGTGATTTCTATATCAAAATATTGCGCATAATTGGTACTTAAAATCCATTTAAACATTATAAGATCTGAACATTTTAAATTACATTTTTATGACTTTATAAACAGTTAGCACCATTTTGGCTTAATAATTTCCATAATCACTCCTTAATATGTTATTTATTATCTTTCTGTAGGGAATGGGGAATCCACTTCTAAAAGGAGGAATAAGCAAAGTTCTTTTAAGTTGTGGTGTGTTATACCAAATAGAGCGGAGAAAAAAAAAAGAATCGACTTATGTGTAACTGATTTCATTTATTTAATCTTCAATGCATATATATGTAACCGGTAACCCAATGTTTTTAAACAAAATACATAAGCTCGATTATTCTTCTTATCATATCGTAAATCATTTCTCAAGTAATATATGATGTGACACAATGTGTAGTTTCACAAGGATGTGGCCATTATCATACATTACTAGGCTCATTTCTATATCCGTTAACATATATACCAATGTTCTAAAATTTGCCCTAGAGGCCTAGACACTAGACGGCCATAAACTGTGACAATTCTGAACTCTCTATCATGCATGAGCTCTCTAACATTTTCACAATTAAACTATGATTGCGATGGGCCAGTTGTTATATATCAATCGGCCCATTTGTATGTCCAAGAAAGAGGTCTAGAACAAAAGTGATTGTGTGTTGGTGGATGCACCCAAAAAAGTTCAGCCGTAATTATTCACCACTGAATCTCATGGCTCAGACGTCGCCACGTAAATATCCAATAAAACCACCACACGTGTCGCAATCTGAGCAACTCTAAAACCGACCTTGCAATCTTAAACTCTGCGCCTCTTCCCAGTTCTGAGGTTCGCGGCGGTCCCAAATCTCGGCTTCGCACGCACGACACAACTCCGCACGTGCCGAGTTTGCTGACTTGGTAACTAAAAGCGAGACGTGGCGGTCACAGATACATGGGCTATACTTGAGCAACCAATTGTAGACGATGAGCTGGCATTACACGTGTCACTCTCTCACCTTCTGTGGGCTCCTCTTTGGCAATTTTTTTCCCTCTCTCTCTCTTTCTCGAGAGAAGTTACAGTTCCTTTCTCTCTCTCTCTCTCTCTACTTTTTTTTCTCTTCTTGGCACTTTTTTTTTTGTTGGAGGAAAAATCTTTTGGTTTTGAATTTTTTTGTTTGTTGATGGAGTTGGAGCCTATATCATCGAGTTGTTGCTCGTCGTCTTCGTCTGGGGAAGAGGATAAGGCGGCGGCGAATATGACGGAGATGGAGGCGGCAGAGGCATTGGCGGATTTAGCGCAGCTTGCGATAATGCGAGAGCAGGTTTTCGAATCCGCGGCGAGTTGGGGAAGTAAAGGGAAACGAGTGAGGAAGCGAGTCAAGACTGAGTCTCCTCCGTCTGACTCGCTTTTGAAAGCACCTGACTCTGAAACGTTACCTACTCCGGATCTAGCTGAGGTTCTGTCTCTTCGCTTTCCCTTTTTTTTTTCATTAGTCTGTTTTTTCAATACCTCACTCTCATTGGTTATGTTTTTAGAATTGTGAAACTTTAATGTTTTTTGTGTGTTTTAGATCCAAAATAATCGATTTTGGAATAGTCAAGAAATAGTGATTACACTGATTTGGTGGATACCATTGATGCACTTTGTTATGTCATGATTTAGAAGATTTTGAAGAGTTCTTTGGTCATTTACCAAGTTAAGCTATTGGTAAAACAATCTGATGATAATAAAGATGTTTCTATAACAGGAACGATTAGTGAAAGAAGAAGAAGAAGAAGAAGAAGAAGTTCAACCAATAATAACTAAAGAACTAACTAAAGCTCCGGTTAAAACTGAAATGAATGGTGAAACACCTAAACCAAATCTTGCTTCGACTCTAAGGTGTACTAGTAGATCAAATGGCTGTGGCCGATCGAGGCAGAATTTAAGTGAGGTATTGTTATATAAGGAGTTCAAAAGTCTTTTCTTCTTTATGTTTTGTGACTCTCTTGTTGAGAACTTACGTGCTACTACTACTCTCTAGGCTGAAAGAGAAGAACGTAGAATCCGTAGAATTTTAGCTAACAGAGAATCTGCCAGGCAGACAATTCGGCGAAGACAGGTATTGTTAACATACTCTGTAGATTGAGTTTGGTTTACTGATGCCTTGTTTCTATCATCAAGGTATATATTGGGGAATTAGCTGAATAAGAAATAAACCAGTGTTGTTAAGTATTTACACCTTATATATCCAGGCAATGTGTGAGGAGTTGAGTAAAAAAGCAGCTGATCTGACATATGAGAATGAGAATTTGAGGAGGGTGAGTAAACTATTCGAGTTACATTTCCACTGAGCTATAGTGAGCTTTAGAGACCGTTGTTATAGCTAATGACATTTCTGCTGGCAGGAAAAGGATTGGGCTTTGAAAGAGTTTCAGTCTTTGGAGACGATTAACAAGCATTTAAAGGAACAGGTTACGCAATCTATCAAACACCATATCAGTATCAGGAACAGTATTGCTCACACTGCCATATCTGATTTGCCGTTTGTTTTTACAGGTATCGAAGTCAGTGAAACCCGATACAAAAGAACCTGAAGAATCGACCAAACCATCACAAGTTGATATGTCTACTTCATCTACTCCGTTTTACTTCTACAACCAGAATCCATATCAGCTTTTCTGCTGGCCTCATGTTACTCAATCATCAAATCCAACGATATCGCCACTTGAATTCGCCACATCGGGAGGAGCTTCTGCTAAAACTATGACATCGCAGGAGCATGAAAATCCTGCAGATGATAATGGGCAAAAAACTCATTTTTACGTTGTACCTTGCCCTTGGTTTCTCCCTCCTCCTGATCAGAGCAACGGTGTTCCCTTCGGGCTTCAAAGTACACAAAGAGGTACTTTTTCAAACGGGCACCATATCGATGATTCTTCTGCAAGACCGATAGAGGTCACAGAAACTCCACGGTCCCATCTACCAACTAGAATCAAAGAAGAGGACTCTGGTTCACCCGAAACCAGACCTTTATATGATCTCAACGAATCTGCAACTGAAGTCCTCTCAGAAGGAGGAGATGGTTTTCCTGTAACGCAACAAGATTATAATTTTAATCATGAAGATGTTTCTGAGACAACTAATGGAGTTACACTGATGCCGCCTGGTCACCATGTTTTGATTTCTCTACCGGGGAAAAAGCAAGGATCTTTGGCTGCAGCGGAAGCGAGAAAGAGACGGAAAGAACTCACAAGGCTCAAGAACCTCCATGGCCGTCAATGTCGGATGCAAGTCGGATAACTCATATATTCTTCATCTTACCAGTTAAAACACTAAAGGTACTTCATGATCCCTTTCTTTTTGTCCGGGGCATTTTCGCATTGTTTCGGCTTTCTTACTGAAACACCAAAACAAGAGTCATACTCATCCACCAAACAAAAGTTGGATTATTGTTATACTTATCCAAGATTAGTATTCGGGAGTTTCTGTTTTGTTTTTTTACAAGGTAATAGCAAATGTTGTACCATTGTAAGATTTAGAGTTATTTGGCACAGAGTTAAAAGTGCCATTTTGTAAGATCATCCGGAATCTGTTTGCTTCTCGCTTGAAGTTCCGTTCCGGGCTTGATCAGTTCTATAACATATTTCAGGGTTTGTTCCCTTTTTTGACCGCAGAATCAAAAAGTTCTTCAATTGAATCAGTTTCTTCCATATACGGTTCTTTTGTTACAACAAGACCCTACCTTTTTTTTTTTGGAATAAACACTTAAGATGTTATATAGTGTATTGTTACAAGGGACTTTAGTGTCATCTCTGAGGTTTCCAATTTGAGGTTGGAGCAATCTCTTGACACCGAACAATCCCGGCGGCTCCACCATAACATAACCATCTCTCACTTCCTTTATTCATGTTCCACCGCACGCGATGCATCGCCACCATTTTAGGTGGGAACCCTTCTGCTTTCATTCCATTGCTATTGTTGCTAGCTTCTTTTCTTCTTCCTTCTTCTTCTCGGCCATCTTCTTTAACACAGACCAATGCTCTGCTGTTCTCGTCCTCTTCTCCAATGTTCTTCCTTCCTTTTTTAGACTTTGACTTTGGTGCTTTGTTGTTTGTTCCTTCGAATTCAGACTCTAAACCTGGATCCTCTTCTTGTCCAAAAGCTGCAAAAATCAAGTAAACCAAGATAAGGACTAAGGTACTCAGGAGATTGACCATATTAGGGAGACTGGTCAGACGGTCTCCATAGTAGAGTTTCAACTGACCTAGAGGCTGAACATCTGAAACATTAGATGTGTATCGGTTAGGAGATTCATTCAAAAGACTTCGAAGGCATCTCTGTTTTTCACCGGTCTCACCAACCGGTTTCTTCAATACGATCGGGATGTCTGGAACTGGACTATGCACTATAAAGGTGGAACCATTCATTGTCAATTGTCCACAGAGAAAGTGTGGAGTCCGATTTCTCGTGTCTTTTTCCACTGCTTTGGTCGTAAGCTGTAAGTAATCCCAACAAGAAAATAGGAAATCTTAAAGAAATTGACAAAGAACAAAAGAGGTGAAAGTAATTGTGCAGTTTATACAAACCTCGAAATGGAAAATCGACCCATCTGCAGTGCAATAGGCTGCTATGCCTGCGAAGTTATATAGTTAATTCTCGAGCTGATTTATCTTATTTATTATGATGAACCGATGATTACAAATATTTGAAAACAGAAACAAGCCCATAAAGAACAGTTACCTGTTAGCCTTGATACTTGAATACTCCAGATGGGAAAAGTTGAACAGTTATAAACGCTTAACCCTTGCTGTTTTGTGTTAGGATAAGGCCTTCCAGTAGCAGGAACATCATACGCAACCTTCACCAAGCTTAGGATTCTTAATGTTCCATCATCAAAGGACAATAAAACGCATCTACAGATATTTGAAACCATATGTTTAATCAGGATTTCAAACCATTGATCTAAAGACTGTATAATCAACTGAGGATAGAGCAGGGATTGATACTTTGGATCTTGTAACCAATCAAGGCTGTAAATAAACCTTGGTACTGGGTGCAAATCCCATAAAGGACGGAACGGATCACTGCAGAAAAAACACAGGAAGCAAGCAATAAGCTATGGCACAAGCCAAATAGACATTAGACAGTACAGTCTTGTTAATTAATTGCTCAGCATCAAAGTTTAAAGAAAATGAAGTAATAGCTGATATTTATTTAATGTAGATTACCGTAAGTCCCAAAACTTCAGACCTGCATGTCCAGCAGTAGCTACTATGTTTGCACTTTCCTGATCACTGGAAAATTTTCAGAAATTACTTTTGATTAATAAGCAAATTCTCTCCAGAAGATGTGTAGCAGTAGTTTGATATTATGGGTGTGATTTCACGTCACTGACCTTTCACCAGGAGCCCATGCAACTGCCCTAATAGGAGCTGTATCTGCGCTGAAGAAAAGTAAAGGTCTTGTATCTGCACAGAAAAAAACTGGAAAAGTAAATATGAAATAAACAGATGAAATCACTCTCTCTGGCTACAATGTGAAAAGAAACTATCTGGCATCACCGCAACAGGACAAACATATCAGGTCTTACCTTCTGAAGATTTAGTTGTAGAAAACTTCCAGAGAGCAACCTGATGCAAGATAACAAAAATAACGGGGTCAATGCAATTAAGCACTGCAGTTCTTGTTCCTGAATACATTTACACAAATGCAAGAAAACAGAGACAAAAATATGATGGAGACGGTGAAGAAAGTGATATAATTTACCGTGCCATCATGGCAACCAGCCAGTAAGAAATCAGGGTTCCCTGAAGTCGACCATTCAACTGTCAAAGGAATACTGTACAAAAATAGATGAGCACCACATCAAGAGAAAGCCAATAGAGAAAGCATAAGGAAAGAAAAAATCATTTTTATATGTAACTCTTAAAACATAGAAGGACTGCTTTCTTTTCCATTCCACAAAACAAGCAAAAGCTGGAAAAAGGGAAGAAACCTACTGACCTCTTTGTGTCGCCACACTTCAAGTTTGAACATTTAAAAACGGGAGCCAGTTTCACAAAACGGGGATCAGTCGCAGCTTTCTTTGAAGATAAATATAGAGTTGATGTTGCCTGAGGCATTGGAACATCCCACCTGCATAAGGTCGTTCATTATTTTGCATAGTATATGCAGTCTAGAAAGGTGCTCTCTCATTGCAGATTGAAAATATGAGTACACCAACTAAGTTTGCATACAATTTCTCAAAGCAGTTGCCAGTTGAAAACAAAGACGAGGTGGCATATGGTGATAGATATCAGAGCAGAAGGGAAAAATCGTGCAGGGCATAGAATGCATTAGGATAAAAAAGAAGAGAAGAAGTAGTTAGCTTACACTTCCAGAGATCCATTCCCCAGCAAGACAGCTAAATACCCCATTCTATGCTTATTAAGAGAATCATTGGCATATAAGGGACGCCATTTCATATCCCAGGCAACTTTTCCATTGTGGGCCAGGCATAAGACAACCCTTGGAAGAGCTATGCCTTCAGAAATACCTGAGGACGGTTCGCCCGGTACATTTCCAACAGCTTCACTATTTTCTAATAGCATGGGTTTGCAACTTTCCTCAGTACCTTTAGTTTTTTGTCTCTTTCTCCGTACAGGAAGCTTGATATTTGCATTTTCCGAAGACAACACTTGTCCTGAACCTTCATTGTTGACCTTAGTTTCTGTTACTGGAGTTTCTCGTAGTATCCGAAGAGGAGTTGCGGGAACAACTGAATTTTCCGGATACCGAACAGACAGAGCTTCAACGTAAAGAACACCATCATCAAGCTCAACAGGTAACTCGGCAGTACTCTTCTTTCGAGGTCTACCTCTTGGTTTCTTAGGCTCTGTTGTCTCTATTGTCTCTATTGGATGCTTTCTGGGCCTGCCTCTCGGCTTCTTAGGTTCTGTTGTTTCAGTAGTTTCACCAGATGGTATTTTTCGAGACTTTCCTGTCAATTTTTTACTCTTCTCTGAAAAATGGGCGCTATCTTTCTTGCAAGTGGCATTTATAATGCACCATATCTGAATGATGCCTCGACCTGTAAGAGGGATACCTATCTTGTGACTGTATGAGTCAGGCGGATGAGTAGCCACAGCTAGAAACTGCAACAATAAAGTTCATAACAATGAAAACCTAAGATTCCCATTTCTACGGAGTATTGAAACAGAAAATATGACCTAATCACCTCACATTTAGCCTGAGCGTCTGGATTCCCATGAACTCTGGGACACCACTCCAATGCCCAAACAGAGCCTCCAACATGCATCACAAAATCCTTGCTGCACGGGTAAATAATAATCCATCACATACTAACACACCTCTTGTTGATAATTAAAAAGGGACAAGAGCAGAAATATATACACAAACATGCAATGTCAACGTACTGTCTAACCAATTAGCAACCTAGTCCTGGTTCGTACCAGCTTAATTCAATCACCAAACTCCATGAGTGATTTCTTGAATTTGAACATAAAATTAACACATAAGCATTCATCTAACTGGGGAAACCTATGTTCATCTCCCATGATCAAGATTAATTGTATGAGTTCTCTATCTTAAAGTGAGGTATTACTTTTGATAGCCAGCAAACCCGTTGAACAATTTAAATGATCACAGCTCATATGGTTTTAATTATTACCTGATTTCACCAGATGATGATGATGATTCATCGTCATGTATCTTAACCTGCACCAATAAGAACACTGATTCAAAAATGCATTGTCGTTGAAGCAATTTAAGACGTAAATGGAAGGTAAGAAACCAAGGTCGAAAATAATCTTCTAGCGTAAAATATTACACACACCTTCGGAGCTCGTGCCGAAGAAAACTGCGGCAAAGTTTGACTGTTTGCATCCTTTGGTTCACGGCTTTTCCCAGCCTCGTTGTAGAATGCAAAACTCTTTGGTTCGAAATTATAATGCCTCCATTCCCTATAAAAATTTCAGCAGGAAAGATTAGATTTGTGAGTGTTAAATCAACTAAGTAGAATACTCATACTGTCACATCAAGAAACATTTTACATAACCATGTAATTCACAATGATCTTGAAACAAACTCTTTTTCTTTAGTCAGAAGTTTCTACAGATCTTAACCACTTCAACATAAGCTTCTTCTACAGTACTACTAGAAGCCTATATGAATACATAATTAACTCTTTTTACGCACCTCAAGAATGTAACTGATGATGAGAATGTGTTGATATCATTCTCATCAATTTCAGCATTAGCTTCACCACAGATATCACTGATAGAGTCTACTGCTTTTAGATGATTCTCAACAGAATAATCAAACAGTGATATACTACATTCTTCTTCACCACTTCTTGGAGGCCCTTCTTCATCCATTGATATGTCCCCACTTCTTCCTGGGAATTAGTACTGAAGCAACAACCAATCAGTGTTTGATGATTGTCTACTATATACAAAGCGAGAATTTAATTGTTTCACTCAAACATTCAAGATATATCCACATTCAATTGAAAAAAATAACAGAAACAAGTAGCAAACGTTCGCTGAGCTAGGGTTTATGAGCTTAGCAACAGAAAAGTTGCATAACGAAGAGTCTGGAATCAAAAAATTTGAAATTTTGAGGGATATAAGAAAGTCAAAACAGAGAATAGATCTAGAAAAGAAGAACTGAGGAACAGAATTTACCGGCGACAGGAACGACAGTTGCGGCGAAGGCGGGTACAAACTCTTGGATACTTTTTCCTCCCGTCCACAGATCGACCCGTACCTATTGAAATTTTTAGTATTTACATATTTCATTTTTAAAAATAATTTAGAGATTGGGCTGTTAATGGGCCTACAGACATCCCTGTCCAGAAAAAGCGATCTAGTGGACGACATTGGCATCAAATCATTATCATCTAGAAATGACATTACCACAAGGAGAAGGCAAAAATTCGAATGAACAAAATCAACAATTTCAACAGTTTTCCCGTACCTAAATTTTGAAACAGAGTAAATTAATGGTTTCAGATGAAACTGAGAAAATTTAACGGCAGTGACTCGCTGCAGTCCTTTTTACAGCAGTGATGATTTAACAAAACTATAAGTGAAGGGTTTATTGCGAGTCTGTGACTTCTTCTACTCGTATTTTCATTGTTAGTCAAATTTGTTAGACCGAGCAAGGATGCGATACAGAAATGTGGATTTGTTTTAGAGATAAAGAAGGACTTCTCCATCAAGAGTTAGGCCTCCCACAAAAATTAGAAGACACTTTGTCATTAGGTAGCTACTCACTCTTAACATTACAGACTCTTTCACTCAACTAAGAAGATCATAGTCACTGTTACTTCAGCTTGTGTCTCAAGGAACCCTGTCTAAAAACACTTCCTTTTTATTCTTTCTCCCACACTTTTTTTTTTACTAGACCAAAATAACTCACGTAAGCCATCCAGGAACAATGCGGACGAACAGCTACGATTGTCCCCAAGCCCTGATAAAAGAGTCATAGAACGACAATCAGAAGAATTAGCGTAAAAACAATCATGGAGAGAAAGCAAGAAAGTAGCTGGAAAAACTCTCCTAGGACACTAGTAGACACCCAGAAGGTGTCAATCAGTCGAGGCAATGAAAAATAGCCTCACTCACTACTCACTAGATGCTTGCAGGCAAAGCAACTACTTTTTGTCAAACACGAAATGTAAGCTCATTATAAGACTCTTCTATACATGAGTGTAAACAACTAGACATTACACCTAATCTTGGAGGCCTAAAATAATTTATCAACCATAAGCGCATTCCACAAATAGTTGGCCAAATCACAGATATTAGTCTTACTGATCCAAACCAGACATATTAGTTTGTATCTGCGGCAAGTAACAGTTGTCAAATAATCTATTTACCTAAATTGAGCACACTCCAAGTACTGAGAACAACTTTCTAAAGTTTCAGAAAGAAACAAGCTTTACTTACCCGATACTGAACACACTATTAAGAGGGTCCATAAGCTGTTGCTGCTGATGTTCTTGTTGAATATCTTCCAATGGAGGCAATGACATAGCAGCTCCAGCTGTAACAGCACTCGTTGGTGTGCCCTTACCTTCAATGAGCCGCCACATGTACCACGAACCCACTGATCTGTACGGTCTCCACTTAGCACAATGCTGCTCCATCTGCGATGGCCGAGGCAGGTCATCTAAGCCATACAGCATCTGCACTCCTTTCCTAACACCGAGATCGTTAACCGGCAAAACATCTGGTCTATGAAGAGAATTTATCATGAACATATGAACAGACCATGACCCAATTCCATTAACCATTGTTAACATAGTGAACAAAGACTTCTCATCCATGTTCAAAATCGCAGAATCCGACAAGATTCCGTTTTGATACTTTCTAGCCAGATCATGAAGATAACTCGCCTTACGTCCCGAAACACCAATTTGACGAAGCTGCTGAGGATTTAAAGCTAAGACCGTTTCAGGGACAACCACATTTTCGCCGCCACAGAGAGCAACGAATCGTGTGTAGATTGAATTCCCAGCTTTCGTTGCAAGCTGTTGGTAGAGGATGCTTCGTATCAGAGCTAAGAACGGAGTCTTGAAAGACTCAAACGTCGGCGGCGGATGAACGTCGATTAACGCGGCGAGCAACGGATCCGCATTACGGAGATAGTGTATCGCTGTTTCAAGCTCACCTTCACATGTCAGAGGCCGAGTTTGGATTCTCGGCACAGTTATAGCTCGTGATTGCGATAATTTACCTTTACCGGGAGATTTTCCAGCCGTCGCGAGCGGTGAGGTTACTTGAGAGGAGATATCCTCCGCCTTATAATCTTCACCGGAGACGTCTCCATCGAGTGTAAGTTTCCGGATTTTCCGAGGACGGAGAGGGATTTTGGACGGCGGAGACGATACATTGCCTAGTTCAGTGATCCGTCCAGCGTCGATTGTGGTCGATGAGACGATTGAGCCTGAAACTCCGGCTGAATCGAGACAGACATCGGTGGATTCCGGCGGAATTAGGTTATGAGTATCGGGTTTGGGTGATTGTGGTCGACTTTGGGGTTGAGTCGATGGTTGAGAAGGGGATTGTTCTCCCATGTGAAAATTCAAAATTAGGGTTTTGAATTCACTCTAGAAGAAACAGGGAATCGGAAACCTAATCGGAGAATAACTAACTACGGCTGAGAATTGATCTACTTCTCTACTTCTTCTCAGGAGAGGAGGAAGAAAAAGAGTCTGCTCCGTCGCTTTATATCTTCTCTAACGCGCCCTTTACGAGAGTGTCCGTCACGCTCCGATGATCATTATATGGGCTTTTTGGACCGACGAGTCTGGACCCTTTTTAAAGCCCAAACTCGGCTACTTGGTATTTCTCTTTCAATCTTCTATATAGCTTCAAGTTAACTAAACTCGTTTGTTTTGCTTCATCTAAATTCTAAATGATTTCGGGCTTGATTGGTAGTGTCTGTAGAAGCTGTAGACAGCCATTTATTAATCCTACAGCTCTAAAACTAAACAATCATGCTTTACAATATCTTTTAAAAGCTACAGCTAAAACAAAAAAATATTTGAATTTTTGGCTTTACACATCCAATTTTCTACAGCATACAAAATAGTGCTTTTGATTTTCTCTTTCTTCTTCTAATCTTCTCACGTCCTCTCTTTCCAATTTATAATTAATTCATTTAATTTTAGGCAATATATGTGATTCCATAATAATGAGTATCATCGTAATACCATATATGTATATGTATATATTCTACAACATGATTTACTAATCAAGCTTTCAATTTTAAAAATTCACAGCCAAAATTATAAAGTCACAGATAAAAAATCTACAGTCTAAATTCTACAGCAAAAAATGTAAAGCTACAGCCACAACCAATCGGGGCCTTCATATAGTAGAAGCAGACTGAGTTTTGTTACAACCTGATTGTGTGTGATTATTACTTACAGAAAAGATCCAAAACATAGCTGTAACCAAAGATGCATTTCAACAAGTTTTGGTAAGAATATATTGTAAAAATGCAGCTAGCCCACTCTTGTTACAGCTTAAGAAATATACTCAAGGCTATAATAATTATGTAAGAGTATTATTATTGTTGTACACAGAGGTAAAGAAGGACAGAGTTACTCTTGAGTAATAAAGATCCTTCACCTGCAACAAGATCATGAAAAAAGGACAAGTAAGCCTTGAGGCTAAAGAGGCATGAACATAAAAAAAAATCATACTCAGTCACATAAACATACCTGCAAGAAACCATCCCATGTATCATCAAATGGTCAGAGTTCGACAAAGCAGAACCGTCGGAAAGTTTATGTCTCCAAGCACAAAGTCGAGTGATTCGACCTTCCCCCAAATCTCACCTCCTTGACGTTTTTCCAACTCGATGATTCCGCACCAAATACCTTTTTCCCCAATGCAATCACCAGTATTATAGCTCTCGTTATTGCCCAAAATCACCAACTTTCCACCAAAATTCGCCATTTCAGGCTTATAAAAGGGACAACCAGGCAAACTCCCCAAAGCTACACCTTTCACAGGTCTCCAAGTCTTGTTCTTTGGATTATATACGACTATTGGATGTCCAAGAGTACACTGACGATCAAATGTATACAACATATCATCTACCACACATTGCACAGATAATGGCTTTTTCCACAAATCCATTAATGGTACTGTTGCTCCAACGGATGCGTCCCATCCACCGATTATTTTTGGGTCGTAAACCAAGCAACGTTTAGCATCCAAAATGTATAACTTGTCTTCCATCACCACATGTGCACAATACTGGGAACCCGAACTAGTTTTAGGGTACGGACCAGGCAAAGATTCCCAACTCTGTTTCTTTAGATCGAACACTTCAATCCATTCCGACTCCAATTTTCGCTTCCTGAAACCTCCGATTACGTAAATCTTTCCGTCAATTACTCCGGCGGGTGCATGGTAACGACCCCTTTTCATTCTCGGGAGGGAGCGACACTTGTGAGTTCTGCAATCGATGAGAGTCATCAACGGTAAGCGTCTTCGGTCGATGATTCCACCGATTACATACATCTCTTGACCGATTGTGACGACAGAACATCCATAAGGCATATGTGGAAGTGAACCGAGTTCCGTCAAACGTAAAGAAGAAACCTTGTTTCGATGGAGAATGTACCATTTTGGGGGAGTTTCATCAGGGAATTTAATGGCGGCGTAAAGAAAGGTTTCAGAAAGACCGAGGCGCGAACGCGTTTCGTAGAGTCTTGACGAAGCAATGAGAGTGAAAAAGTAACTTGAGACGGAAGATAGACTAGGGTAATCACATCTCAGGATGAGTGCGACGCAAGCTTCGGTGAGATCGTCTGGAATTGGGAAAGATATCGAGCGATTATCTTTTTCTTCTTCTTCCTTGGGCTTCTTGTTTTGATTCTCGTTTCTTGTCGAGATTCTTCTACTTCTTCTTAAAACTTGTTCTTCTGGTTTCTTGTTTTGATCGCCGTCATGAGAGTCGTCGAAAATTTCAGAGATATAAACCATATTCGTCGAGTGTCAAGTCATCAACGAGAAATAATGGAAACAGAGCCTGATTTGATTTTTGAAAAAACTCTCGTGTTATGTGTATTTATAGCCATAATTTCATTGGTTTTTTCTTCTTTAAAACTCGTTCTAATATAATTGTATTTTTCACATTTTACCAAAAAAATAGCAACAACTATATAAATTTCACCAAAAATTCAATTGGTTCTTTGTTTGGTTTCCAATTACTCCACTTCTTCTCCAAGTGAAATTGCCTCTCGGGAAACGAAAAAAGAGTCTGGTCCGTCGTTTTATATCTTCTCTTGAGGGTTCAGATATTTGCTCTCGGATTATCAAGCTGTTGAAACGGTATATGTAACAGAGATTCCTCACCTGCTGACCTGCAACAATTTCATGATAGTGGCGAGTAAGTCTTGAGGCTAAAGAAAGGGCCTAAACATCAAAAGTTGAAGATTGTGAAAGTGGCGATAGAAACTAGTAGTGAAGATGAAGAGCCACTCAAGTCCAAAAGTGGAATTTTCTACATAACTCTTAAGGGCTTGGGCCATTCGTGGGATGATTGAGCGTGTCGAACGCAAAGCTATAGTTAGAAGAGTCATAAATCAGCGTACAGGATGCTTGAGCCTCCTTGGTTTGTTTTCGGGTGAAGAACATACTTGGAAGCATAATAGCAATATGACTACTCTCGAAAGTTCTGAATTTGTTCAAAAAATGTTCAATTCGCATATGTTAATTCTGATCCATGTTAATCGTATCCATTTGAAAAAGTGAATCAGATAATAATCGTCGACTAAGTTGTTTCAAAGTGGAGGATTTTGTCTTGTTTTTGTTTTTGCGGTGTGCGTCAGTGCGTGTGATTTTTGGTTAGGAATCAAAAATTCATGTTAAAGCCCAATTTTGGTAACTTAAACTAGGCCTATATAGTCCACCAATTATCTCACTTAAAAATTGAACGACCAACAAATAATTTCTTTTTTTTTTCCAACTACACACTACATTTTAAATTCAAGATAATGAAGATAAATGTGACATGTACAATCGTGTTGCATGTACTCGTTATAGGTGAAAATCGTGTGTCTTACTGATACTAAACCCATAAATAGACCAATCAAATATAAAAACTGATTTTGAAATAAAACTATTAACTAAGCAAAGTGGGGACAATGGAAGAGAATGCTTGTGTCGGGATCCGGAAACGGCTACACAGAGATGTAAGAACATAAACACTTACACGTGAGAGATGAGAACGAGACAAAAGAACAGTGAAAATATACGAATCTGCATTGTTGGGTCAACAGAATATTATTATATGTTGAACGATGAATCAGAGCCTATGAATCATAACCCCAATAAGACGTGTTTGGTGTGATATCTACTGGCTTTTTTTGTCGTCGCCTCATCGACCATAGATTTATCTCGATTTAGAAGTTCTTAAAAATACAAAAACCTCGTGTATGTAACTTGTGAGATTTTGGGATCTCAATTATGCCGACGTTATTAAACAACTAAGAAGTTACATATCTTATTTAAACGAATGACTTTAATTTTTTCCAATTCCTTCATCTGTAAATAGCAAGCACTCTCTGGGGTTTTTTTTTTTTTATCTTCAATGAATGTAAAATTTCATAAATAAATAAAAAAGAATCACTTTTGTGGAGTATTAACCATATACATATTGGTTGAAAATGTGATATGTGGCACATGTATAGAATACGTAAGAGTGGTCTAATATAGAGTGACTCTTGGTGAACGGTAGAAACTATTATTTCAATTTATTTACCAATACAACATAAAATGTCATCTAATTAAATTTATGTGCTTTAAACATAATTGCATGCATGTCGTATTCTCAAAGATATTAAATAATGAAAATATATAAATATTGTGTCAAAATAAATATTTATTTAACTAATCTGAAGTAATCGAAATTAATGACATCCATATATTTTTCATATACTAGAAAACAAAAACTATCATTATTCGAGCTTATCTAATAAAATAATGTCACTTGCATATTTATGACCTATCGACATCAATATCAACGAGGTAGAGATAATGTTAAAAAGTAGAGGAGGATTCGAGCATTATATTTTTATTTTAGTGTTACTTTGATACGAAAAAACAAATGACAATATATATATATACACAAATAATTATCAATTTAATTGTCTTATTATTTTTGCTATATTAAAGTTTTAGCTAAATTTCATTCCACAATATTGTTGTTCTGATTTTGTTAGTACAACATATAAATATGTGAATTTGAATTTGAATAGTGGTACAATATCATTAACACGAAACACTATAATGCATGGTCAAGTTAATTATTCTAAGGTTTAAAATATGAAATGACATTGTCACTTTTTGTTGTCAAAAGGAATGTCTAGTGGCCTCGTATTCTAATATGGGAAGTTTTAATTTTTATTCATATCTAAAAAATATCTTTGAAGTAGACAGTTTACCTAAACAAAAAGAAAAAACATTTTCTTAAAAACACAATTAGTGACATTTGCGACTTATACTAGCTAGCTAGTTTAGGTGACCTCAGCTGCTCAGCCTGTGAAATTGATAAATAGTTTCATATTTTGTAGACCATCGTAAAAATATGAGGAACGAGTTTTTGATAAAGTTACCCATAAAGATTACAAATGAAATTTATAGTGAAAAAGAAACAACGTTTATAGAGATTAAAGCTATACACATGTATTTTTTTTTATCCTTAATCAAGCTCTATACCACATTTTTATAGTTTATTTTTGCTTAATTAGTTACTTTGTCTAAGCTCATTATACTAATGAGTATGTAGAAGAAAATAAATAACGACTATCAGACAAAAACTATAGTAAATATAATCTAAAATCAATTTTCAATAAATTGATATACTTATTATTTAATTAAAATGTTTTTAAATTAAGATATTTTTTTGTCGACAGAGAAAAAAAAAAAAGACAGATTCCTTTACGAATTCTATAAATCGATGTTAGGCGACGCGTCTGAGGTGGAAAACTATGAAACAGTCTGCGTCTCTCCACGCAAAGGCTCAATTTTTACAAACCATGAAGAGTTTTTAAACAATCAAACAAAAGAGTCGACATCTTTTTGAATTTCACATCTTATCAAAAGCAAGAACAAACCTCAAATTTCGTTTTTTTTCCTTCTGCATTTTCTAGTTTAGGATCGACATTTTTATCTAAGACCCTTTTCTTTTGCCTCAGAAAGGATTCGTCTTTTTCTGTAGATTACGATTGTTTTGTAGAATTAGCGATAAAAAAGATGAGTTTTAGGGATGATACGGAAGAGGGAAGAAATGATCTTCGGCGACCGTTCTTACACACCGGAAGTTGGTATCGGATGGGTTCGAGACAATCTAGTATGTTGGAATCGTCTCAAGTTATTCGAGACAGCTCAATTTCTGTCTTAGCTTGTGTTTTGATTGTTGCTCTTGGTCCTATTCAATTCGGATTCACTGTAAGAAGAACATATCAAAAAATCTCAACTTTAGTAAATTTGATCAATGTGGATTTTTTCTGCTTTTGCTCAATTGACTAAAAATATTGAGAAAGTTTTGTTTTTTGATTTATTGATTTTTGTTTTCAGTGTGGTTATTCCTCACCAACTCAAGCTGCCATTACTAAGGATCTTGGTTTAACTGTATCAGAGGTATAAAGGTCCCATCTTCATTTATGAACTGTTCTGTTCTTTTAGACTATTGTTCAATAATTATCTGACTTTTAGGTTTCATATTTGATGTTTTAGTACTCTGTCTTTGGGTCTCTATCCAATGTGGGTGCTATGGTTGGAGCAATTGCAAGTGGTCAGATTGCTGAATACATTGGACGGAAAGGGGTATAATAGTTTTGTTTCTTGATTCTAAAACTGTTCTTATTTGTGACAATCTTGTCATGTAACATCTTGTTTCTTGTTGTATCTTAATCACTGTGTTTTTTTTTTCTCTTGTGACAGTCTCTGATGATTGCTGCAATTCCCAATATTATTGGATGGCTTTCGATATCATTTGCAAAAGTGAGTATTTTGGTGTTCTCAAAGTTTCTGATATTGTTGGTTTATCTCTATAACTACTAAGTTGTTGTTGTTCTTGGTTTTTGTTTAGGATACTTCTTTTCTTTACATGGGAAGATTGTTAGAAGGTTTCGGCGTTGGGATAATCTCTTATACGGTAATCTTAGATTCAAGTAGTTCTTTAAATCAGCAATGTTTATTTGGAGTGATCAATATAGTTACACAACTTTGAATTGCGATTGTAGGTGCCCGTGTATATAGCTGAGATCGCTCCACAGCACATGAGAGGAGCCTTAGGTTCAGTTAACCAGGTTTGTCATGTTTAATTGGCTTCACTATTTCTATGTTTCGTTTTATGAGCTGACTATCATATTAACACTAAACAATAAATGTTTTGTGTTAATAGCTTTCTGTAACAATTGGGATAATGCTGGCGTATTTACTCGGTCTCTTTGTTCCATGGAGAATTCTTGCAGTTTTGGGTAACTCGCATAACATTATGACTTGCTTGGGAGAAACTATACCGGTTTTTATTTTATTTTGGTCGATACAGTCTAATCACTTTCTTGTTTGTCTTCTTTATGTTTAGGAGTATTGCCATGTACATTGTTGATACCGGGTCTGTTTTTCATTCCTGAATCTCCTCGGTGGTTGGTATGCCTCTACAACTGTATTACTTATTGTTGAGTTTGTTGCAGTATTGGTTATCCTCAATTGTTTTGGTGTCGTAATTGTAGGCAAAGATGGGGTTGACAGATGATTTCGAAACTTCATTGCAAGTTCTTCGTGGATTTGATACTGATATCACCGTTGAGGTTAATGAAATCAAGGTATTGGTTTAACTGAAAAAATGCTTTGATTTGATGATGCCGGTTTCTTAAATTTTTTGTCTTATTTAAAATTTTTCATTTTATGCACTGTGCAGAGATCTGTGGCATCATCTGGCAAACGTTCTGCAATTCGGTTTGTAGACCTCAAGCGCAGGAGATACTATTTCCCACTGATGGTACAACTGCTCTTAGCTCTGGAACTAATTTCGTCAACAAATGAGAGAAATTCACATGTTTCCTGTAATCTGTGTTACAGGTTGGTATAGGGCTGCTTGTACTTCAACAACTTGGAGGAATTAATGGTGTCTTGTTCTATTCGAGTACAATTTTTGAATCTGCAGGTAGAGTCATATGTTTGTTTTAATTCGTGGAATGGTCTCAAGATAGAATAAACAGATTTCTAACTATGCTTCTTTGTGTGCAATTATCACTCACTTAGGGGTGACATCAAGTAATGTGGCGACATTTGGAGTTGGCGTTGTTCAGGTATAAAATTTTAATCTAGGAGACATTAGATTCAGTTTTTTTAACCGTTGCTCATTCTAAACCAGGTAGTGGCGACTGCAGTAGCGACATGGTTGGTGGATAAATCAGGTCGTCGACTTCTGCTCATGGTGAGGAACATTTGAGGTTCAAAGCCTGAAGAATGTATGTTTGCATAACATAATATTAGCCTTTTCTTTTGAAATGCAGATCTCTTCCATCGGAATGACGATAAGCCTCGTGATTGTAGCAGTTGCATTTTACGTTAAGGTAACATTTTAACTTTTTGACATCTATACTTCTTCAATGTAGAGTAATACTTTAATAATGAGATTTTTTAACCTTTTGTTAGGAATTTGTATCACCTGACTCCAACATGTACAACATTCTAAGCATGGTTTCCGTAGTTGGAGTTGTGGTAAGTCGTTTTGTTTTATACATTCACACAACGAAAAATGCTTTCTTGTTTACACATTTCCCCGTATGTGTACTAAATCTGGCTGAGTTCTTTATTACAGGCTATGGTTATTTCTTGCTCTCTAGGAATGGGACCAATTCCATGGCTGATTATGTCTGAGGTAATACATATTAAAAAAATGTTACTTAGTGTTAAAATCAGAACTTAATTTGTTTAATACTGATTAATGTTTGGTAAAACAGATTCTGCCAGTGAATATAAAGGGTTTAGCCGGAAGTATAGCAACTTTGCTAAACTGGTTCGTGTCATGGTTAGTGACAATGACTGCAAATATGCTCTTAGCTTGGAGCAGTGGAGGAACTTTCACACTCTACGCTTTGGTTTGTGGATTCACTGTGGTCTTTGTGAGTCTTTGGGTTCCTGAGACTAAAGGCAAAACGCTTGAAGAGATTCAAGCTTTGTTCAGATGATCAAAACAAGAAGAAGAAGAAGAAGACAAATACTCAACTTTTTCACTTTTGCTTTCTCCATTACAGATCATTCTTTTGGTCCCTTCTCTGTGTCTGTATTTCTTGCTTTGTCCAATGTCTTTCTTTTTGACATTGATTATAATTTGTTTATCTTGTACAAGCATATCATTTTTTACCTTAAAATTCGACCCTCTTTTTTTTTTTCTGTAATTTTTCGGATTTTCAAGATTAATAGTAATAGCACTATATTTGTGTATTCAAAAATATCTTAAATTAAGTATAGAAAATCAGAAATGCAATTTTTAGTGTTTTGGATCCAAATGGGAAAGCTACCATGTGATAGATACTGCTTTGGGAGTTTTGCTGTTTGGCGAAACATGAAAGGACTATTTCCAATGCAAACGGCGGTCGATTTGAAAAATAAAACAACAATATAATAATAATTTTAATATCATTCTTTATATAACATTCTTGGCATGTCCCACTGTCCAATTTGACCACTCATTAAGAAATTAAAACCAAGTAAACAATACTAAGGTCACTTTCTTCCAAAAGTAATAAACTAAGAAAATATCTAGACAATTTACAGATAGTAACGAAATAATACGTTACAAGAACATGAAAATGGTTTTGTAGTTACCGTTCCTTGTTTATATTCTCATAGTAACGGATTCACATATTCACACCATTCAACACGAGTGTCAGTGTGAATGATAATTCCTTAGCACAATCGTGACCAATCAGTAAAACGTTAAGGCAAAGTTGGACAAACGTAAATTTTGGTTTGTGTCATTAATCGGAGCAAACATGTTTTCACTTTTCACCAATTATTTAGCAACTTAGTAAACAAATAACCTTATGTTTAATAATGTCCCTAATTTTATTTTGCATTTTTTTCTGTGATTTCTCATTACACATCTAAGATCTGAAAACATGAGCTCAAGAACTGTAACTCAAATATCACAAAATCTCCAAAACACATAAACAACAAACACATTGACATTGTCAGAGATCAAATCTAAGGGTTTCTTCTCTAAGAAAAAAACAACCATGGATTAGTCTCCAAGTTACACAATAACAGTTCCTTAAACGAAGCTAATAACTTAAAGTTACCGGATACTTGTCAATGCAGTCTTCCCAAGGACTGTTGTTCGATGGTTTCACATGCCTTAATGCTTCCCATATCGCGCTATTACATTTAAATCCACTCCCAAACGCAATTTGCCAAACACGATTACCTCTTCGCATCCTTCCCTTGGCTTCAATGTAAGCCAATTCATACCAAATGGAGCTCGAAGATGTGTTCCCAAATCGATGAAGAGTCATCCTCGAAGCCTCGACATGAACTGGTGAAAGCTGCAGATTCTTCTCTAACTCATCGATCACAGCTCTTCCACCAGCATGGATACAGAAATGCTCGAAAGCAAGTTTGAAATCCGGGATATACGGTTTAACTTTACCGTTAAAAAGCTTCTTCACAACTAGAGTCATAAAGAATAGAATCTGCTCGCTTATCGGTAGAACAAGAGGACCCAATGTAGTGATATTGGTTTTGAGAGTTTCCCCTGCAATAGCCATTAGATCTTTCGACAAAGAAACCCCCGTTCTCCCTGTATCATCCTGTTCTTGATAAACACAACGGAAAGCTTTATCATCTGCTCCACGGTGAGTCCTGACAACATGTACAAGCCTGTACTTAGACCTTCTCTTGTCCCTCGACTTGTTCGATAGCAAAACAGCAGAGCCACCAACTCGAAACAAGCAGTTCGGTATCAACATCGATTTCTTGTTACCGAAATACCAGTTCTGAGTAATGTTCTCAGTAGAAACAACAACCGCATAAGTGTTCCTGTGAACCAACAACATGTCTTTAGCAAGATCCACAGCGATAACTCCCGCGCTACAACCCATACCGCCGAGATTGTAGCTTCTAATGTTACCTCTAAGCTTATACTTGTTCACAATCATTGCAGATAACGAAGGTGTCGGATTAAAGAGACTACAATTCACAACAAGGATTCCAATATCCTTAGGATTCACATTAGTGTTAGCGAAAAGGTTATCTAAAGCACCAAACATGACTTGTTCAGCTTCTTCTCTAGCAGCAGCCATTGAAATTCTAGGTGGAACATAATGCATAGCTTCAGGGACATAAGTGTCTTCCCCTAAACCAGAACGCTCGAGGATCTTGCGTTGAAACTCGAGAGCAGAGTCATCGAAGTCACCGGTGAGTCTAGAATGTTCCATGAACCGAGCGTATGGAGCTTTGAGGTGATCAGGTGGGAGATAACAGGAGAAATCAACCAAGTAAACGGGTCTAGGTCGGGTCATAACATAAACCGTTAACCCGAAGACTAGAATCGCGGAACAGATGATGATACTAACCAGATTGTATTGGAGATGGATCCAGAGCTGTTTGAGATCGTCTGGGTTCATCTGAGAAGCTTCGACGGAGATAACAACGGCGAGAGGGAATAAACAGAGAGTCAAGAGATTTGAGATTAAGTAATGGTAACCTAATTTCACATACTTGAGATTCACGCTCTGGAGAAAATCCGGTAGCCTCCGTGATTGTCGGATCTGAACTCCAACAGAACCATCACCACCACCACCACCGACTCGTGATTCTCCAGCACCGTCCATTGTGAAGCACTGACGAAAAAAGTTTGATTTTTTACGGAAAATGTTGTGATTTTATTGAAGACAGGTGTCCTTTTTTATTCATGCGCTGGTGAAAAGGACGGTAAAGGAGATGACTTTGACGAAGACCCAACAAAACCCAGAGTTTTGATTATTGAATTGGAATAAACTGAGCTGGATTTGAGAAACCCAGGAAGAGAAATTGAGATGGGTTTTGGAGGGTTTCGAGGAATACAGAGAAAACGGAAACCAAAGGTGGTGGTGGTGGAGGTAGTAGTAGTGGAGGAGGCGGTAGGGGTCCACGTTTTTTGAAACGAATCTTGACGAAAATATTAGACAAGAGAACCGGGAAACGTGATGATTCATCATGAGGATTGAGGACCTGTTATTATTTTGCTTTTGAAAAAAAAAATTAGTAAAAAGAGATTTTTAGCATCTTGGAATTATTAGCTAAATTCTGTAACTGTAAAAGTTTTAAACTTGTCCTAAAATGACCGAATATTCATTATGTATGTGAGCAAAAGGAACTTTCTTTTTCTTGTTAAGTTCCAATTTTATAAGTTTGGTTAAGAAATCACTTACTCCATTTGTTAATGATAAAAAGTAAGAATTGGAACAGAAAGGACTAGTAGTATATTAGGAATCCGAATATCCAAGATGAAAAAGAATAAATTCGAAAAGAAAATTAAAAATTGAAAGATTTCAAAGGATCTAAAGACTATTGTAATTGAAGAAATATATCTATAGTTAACAGCAATGTTGACTTTTTTTGTGAGGATCTAAAAAGAAAATGTTGAATTTTATGGAATTGCTATCCAAATCTCATTGGAAGTTGAGATCTCTATAATGCTTTTTCGAATTTAAATTTATGCAATTTACAAAAAGGTTGCTAGAAACTGTAACAACAGTGGTGAAATAATGCATTACAGTGTATTTATTGTCTTACACAGTAATCACTAATCAACATACACCGCAATGAGCCCATTGGGCTTATTTACTTAAAACCCGTTTGGGCTTATTGGCTGATCTGTTAGGACAGACAAAAAAAATTGTAATTCTCCGTCACCTCCGGCTGTCTCGCCTCTCTGTTGGCACTTTTCCGAAACCGGACTAAGTTCAGACCACTTCTCAGTTATTATTACCAAAAGTGAAAGCCTAAATTTCCCATTTTTTCTTTTCTTTTTCAACTTCACAAGGAAAAAAGTGAGAAAAAGCATTGAAGGATAATACTAGTGTTAGCTTAAAAAAAGAGTCGTAATTTTCAGTTGTGTGATTGAATATTACCTTCGCTTCTTCTTCAAGCTTAAATTTTTACGATTCGATTTGGGGTACTGCAAATTTCTTCTTTGTTTTGTTCTTTCCCTTCACATTCTCCGGTGAGGGAAATCTGAGAATTTGTAAATTTTCTTCTTTTAGCAGCTTTTCCAATCTGGGTACTGCAAATTCCTACTAAATCGTGCTCAAGAACCTTACTTGCGTAGATCCTGATTTAGCTCCAGGGTTTGCTTAGCTTTATCAAATCCTTGGTTCCTGAGCTTATCCCAAGTTTGGTAAAAGTGGTTCTTTAGAGATCTCTGTTTTTTTAGATGCGTAAAAGTGGTTTCTTTGAGATTTGAAAATGATGGAGAGAAAAAGAGAAATGGGGATTGCTCATTTCGCGCGTAGGATTAAACAACCACGAGGGATTTGGGTGAAGATGACGTTTATAGTTGTTTTGGGTCTCTGCTTCGTCTTCTTCTGGTCCTTCTTATCTTCCTCTGCTTCTTCTTTCAATGTTCAGAGAGAAAGCTTCGACGACATAGCTGAACCAGTGTCATCTCGCACTAAGTCGTCAGCTCACGAGGTAACTGAATCTACCAAATTACATGAGAGAGGTAAAGTTGAATCTGGTTCGAAATCTAAAGAGGGAAAAAAAGTTGGAGGTCCGTCTGTTCATAAACATGAAACTAAGAAAAAGAAAGAGCATGTTGTGTCTCATCCACATAAGAAGAAGGATGTGCCAAAGCCTGTGGTTGAAGAAGTTGTGGTTAAGGAGGATCAAGAACATGAAGAGGTAGAATCGGACGATTCTGATCAGTCTAATAAGGAAGATGGAGATGAAGGAACTGAGTCAGATGGCAATGAAGGAGAATCTGATGGAAATGGAGATGGAAATGTGGATGATTCGAGTGCATCAGTTGATGAAGAAGTGGAAGAAAAGAATGAGGAAGTAACTGTAACGGAGATAAGCAAAAAGAGGAAGAGGAAAGGTCCGGTGTTTGATCCTAAAGCTGAGTATAGCTGGAGATTGTGTAACACTAGGAGCAAGCACAATTACATGCCATGTATTGATAATGATGGGTTAATAGGGAGGCTTCAGAGTTATAGACATAGAGAGAGGAGTTGTCCTAAGAAACCAGTTATGTGTCTTGTTCCTCTTCCACATGATGGCTATGAATATGATCCTCCTGTTTCCTGGCCTGAGAGCAAATCTAAGGTGTAAAATTTTTGAGCTTCTTTGTGTTGGTTTTTACTAGCTTAAGTCAGTTTTGATCTAATGCCTATTTTATTAACATCAGATATTGTATAAGAACGTGGCGCATCCAAAGTTGGCTGCATATATTAAGAAGCATAATTGGGTGAATGAAACTGGTGAATACCTAACTTTTCCACAGAACCAGACTCAATTCAACGGAAATGTTCTACAGTATCTTGAATTCATTCAAGAGGTTAGTATCGTTTGTTACTCTTGGAACTTGACTATTCATTGGAGACAAGTTCTGTGTTAGAGGACTGTATAAAAACATGATTGGTGTTTGATAGATGGTACCAGATATTGAATGGGGAAAGAATGTTCGTATAGTGTTGGACATTGGATGCTCAGATTCAAGTTTTGTAGCTGCATTGCTGGATAAGGATGTATTGACAGTGTCTCTAGGCTTAAAGGACGATCTAGTCGACTTAGCACAGGTCGCCCTTGAGCGGGGGTTTCCTACTTTCGTCAGCTCTCTAGCAAGTAGAAGGCTTCCTTTTCCTAGTGGAGTCTTTGATACCATTCATTGTGCTGCTTGCGGAATCCACTGGCATTCTCATGGTAAGTATTAATTTCTCTGACAATGTCATTATTGTCAATATGCGTTTCGAGTCATGAGTACTTACACTTTCACAATCTCAGGTGGTAAACTTCTTCTGGAGATGAACAGGATTTTAAGGCCTAATGGATACTTCATTTTGTCAAGTAATAATGACAAGATTGAGGATGATGAAGGTATGTATTCAAATGTCATTTAACCCCCATTAGAAAATCCAGTATATTAGGAAAATGATGGATCTAAGCTTTTCATCATTATGATGGATCTATGATTTGAACACATCAAAAATTTACTTGTGCTTTTAGCATTTATCAACTTGTCTGTGGTGTGGGTTTTGCAGCGATGACTGCATTGACAGCTTCTATTTGTTGGAATATTCTTGCACACAAAACCGAAGAAGCAAGTGAAATGGGAGTGAGAATATATCAGAAACCAGAATCAAATGATATTTATGAACTGAGAAGGAAGAAAAATCCACCTCTTTGCGAGGACAACGAAAACCCAGATGCAGCCTGGTAAGTAAAGGAATGGTGATAATCTAAATGGCATAACTTTTTCTTTCTTCTTATGTCCATTAGATGAACATTTTATTGTGCTCCATATTTGGATAGGTATGTGCCGATGAAAACTTGTATACATGAAATACCGTCGGCTATAGAACAGCATGGAGCAGAGTGGCCTGAAGAATGGCCAAAGCGACTTGAAACATACCCTGAGTGGTTAACCAGCAAAGAGAAAGCCATTGAAAATACAAATCATTGGAATGATATGGTAAACAAATCTTACCTCACTGGATTAGGCATCGACTGGTTACATATCCGGAATGTGATGGACATGACAGCTATCTATGGCGGGTATGGAAAAAAGGAGAATTCTCTATTGTTGCTCAGAACATATTTTGTATTTGGTGATTCTTACTGGTTTTGAATTCTCACAAAAATATCAACAGATTTGGGGCATCACTTGTGAAGCAGAATGTGTGGGTAATGAATGTAGTGCCTGTTCATTCACCAGATACGCTTCCATTCATATACGAAAGAGGTCTCCTCGGTATATACCATGATTGGTGTGAACCATTTGGTACATATCCAAGATCATATGACCTTCTTCATGCTGATCATCTCTTTTCGCGGCTCAAAAACAGGTCAAGTGGTAGTGTTCTTGAATCCAAATTTGCTTGTCAAATGAGAAACCTGGACATGAAATCTCCATTTTTTGTTGTTGTTGCAGGTGTAAGCTACCGGCTTCGATCGTGGTGGAGATGGATAGATTGACAAGGCCTGGAGGTTGGGTGGTTGTGCGTGACAAAGTGGAGATATTAGAGCCATTGGAAGAGATATTAAGAAGCTTGCATTGGGAGATTCGAATGACTTATGCTCAAGACAAAGAAGGAATGTTATGTGCCCAAAAGACATTGTGGCGTCCATGATTTTTTTACTTTTGTTACTGTCTGTCTGGACATCATCTATCAGCGGTTACAGTCGAATTATTTGTATACATCTTCATCTTTTACACAACCTGTCTAGGTCTTGTTTGTTGTCGGAAAACTACACGGCGTTCTCTTGACGATTTAACAAAATGTACAAACGGAAATCATTGTGTCCAAATATCAGCTTTTGTAAAAACAGAGCATTTGATGTCCAAAATGATTTTACATGATATATAAATAATGGGACGATAGGATACTTCTTAACACATCAACATCTTGAATTCATTTGGGACACATCAACATCTTGAATTCAAGCGACATCTGGTTTGGTTTTCCAGTCGTTGTTCTCCTTATGACAGTATGGAAGGGAAAACCGTGACGGGTTGAGAAGGTAATGTAGAAGTTTGCATTCTCCGCCTTGGCCTTCAACTTCAGCTTCGGCTCCCGGGTTTGCACAATTACATATAATAGCTCCAATGGCTTTGCCCACTCCATTAGCTTGATAGATTCCCAGTGGGTAAACAATGTGATTTCCGCGTACAGAAGAAACAATTCCTTGTGTTCTTCCATCTCTGATTTCCTCAACAAGTAGAATTTCGGCTTATTAAGCATATTGCCGAGCCTCCACCTATCGTGAGGCAAACGATCTGGCATACTACCTTTGAAGAAATCATCCAGGGCAAGTGTGTCACCTTCCACCTCTGAGGTACACACACAAGTAGAGATGGAAAACATTAGACACACAAACAAAAGAAATAGATGGAGAGAGGTTTGCTTGTGCCCAATATATTTGATATACAATTTACCTGGAGTTTGCGGCCTGTGGAGCGTTGTAATCAAACTCAAGCAACAGTCTTCTTCTTCATCTTTTTGAACGGCAGCCCTTGTTTCAAACTCGCAAGTGGAATTGCGCATTATCAGAGAATGTGATGCTTTAGCATCGGTAAGATCCTCAAAGTCGGTAAGATCCTCAAAGCCTGTATGATACAGATACTCGAAGTCATGTGGATCATCCGAAAATTGAAAGTTTGTCCCCTACAAGACAAGATCTCAAAATAAGCAAAGACAAAACAAAGCAAGAAAAAGAGAGATCAATTTACCTTTTGCAGATTGTAGCAACCAAGTCCAACTTCAGCCAAGAATTCCTGTTTGAGAGAATTGAGTCAAAACACACACATATTTTGCATAAACAAGAGTCAGTAGTAGTAGTAAATTACCATAGGTGGAACCGCCCAGTCTACCTTCTGGGGATCAGAACATATATCTTGGTAGATATCACATTCCGGCAATTCTCCCGGAGCCATTGGTTCATATGTTGGTGAATCGGGTTGTTCATGACAGCTGTCAGTTGGTGATTGTGAAGAGGGCAAGGATGGTTCATATTCCTCCACCGGTGGAACAAAGTTGACATCTGGATGGCCTCTTTCATAGTAAAGAGCTCCTACACGTTCCGGCTCATATGGGTACGGTGGATCAGGAAAAATAATGAATCCCTAAGAAGAAGAAAAACAATTTAATGCAAAACATGAAAATCGCTGGTCATCCACAGTAAAATCCGATTACCTTACGACCGTAGACATCATTGCCTTCTCCCAGGAACATTCTTGACCCAACCCTAAATTCTAAATTCTGATAAGAGAGAGAGAGGGAGGATTGATTAGATTCAATAGACTCAGAACCCTAAATTTCACCTATCAGACCACAATATGAACATTTATGAAAAGAGTAGATTTCAGATGAGATCCCATGCAAAACGAAACGAAACGAACCGTACCTTTCCTCTCTATCGCCGCCGGACAATGAATAAAAGATAAACCAATTGTTTTCCTATTCTCTATCTACCCCATCATAATGTATGCCGCAGCAAACCGACTAAGTTATTGGGCTTCTTTACGTATTGGGCTTTTTCTAATCGTGAGGAGTGTCTAAATCACTTTTTTCAATGTTTTTCATTGTCTCGGGATACAAGAGTGAGGAAAGGTTCGTTGTTTTTTTTTTTTTTTTTTTAAGGTACACCAGGTATCTCCGAAGAAACCGATCAATCTTGGGGCTCGATCCGATTGACCGTAACTTGTCCAGTTGTATCTGGATTCCAAGAGACCGATTCGAACGGATATCCGACTAATCTAGGGGCCATGTTAAATTCCTGGTGGCCAACGCAACCCGAGTGGCGGAATGCTACTAACACTTCCGGTTCTATGATCCATGTCCATATTCGTGGTAATGTTTTATTTTTATCATAATCTATGGAAAACTGCATGTCGTTTCGTGTGTACTAAACAGCGAACAGTTTTGGTCCTGAAAGACGAAATGGTAAAACTTTAAAACGATAAGATCGTTGTTACGTCAGAAAGAAAAGAACCCATCATCTTCTTCTTCCACCTCACTTTCTTCCCAAATCACTGTTTCTGATATTTATGTTTTTCCTCTTCGTCACCGTTGACTTTTCGCCATTTTAACCGACATTTGTAATAAATTCTAATTAGCCAGATAACCAGATATATAAAGAAGCACAATTGGGTGAATGAGACCGGTGAATACCTAACTTTTCCACAGAACCCTGCGTTCAACGGAAATGTTCTACAGTACCTTGAATTCATTCAAGAGGTGAGCATCATTCGTTACTCTCTGAACTTGGCCTTTCTTTGGAGACAAGTTCTGTGTTAGAGATAAAAACATGGTTGGTGTTTGATAGATGGTACCAGATATTGAATGGGGAAAGAATGTTCGTATAGTGTTGGACATTGGATGCTCAGATTCAAGTTTTGTAGCTGCATTGCTGGATAAGGATGTTTTGACAGTGTCTCTAGGCTTAAAGGACGATCTAGTCGACTTAGCACAGGTCGCCCTTGAGCGCGGGTTTCCTACTTTAGTCAGCTCTTTAGCAAGTAGAAGGCTTCCTTTTCCTAGTGGAGTCTTTGATACCATTCATTGTGCTGCTTGCGGAATCCACTGGCATTCTCATGGTTAGTATTAATTTCTTTGATAATGTCATTATTGTCAATATGCTTTTCGAGTCATGACATTGGCAATATGCTTTTCGAGTCATGAGTACTTATACTTTCACAATCTCAGGTGGTAAACTTCTTCTGGAGATGAACAGGATTTTAAGGCCTAATGGATACTTCATTTTGTCAAGTAATAATGACAAGATTGAGGAATGAGGATGATGAAGGTATATTATTACATATGTCATTTAACTCCCACTGAAAAATCCAGAATATTAGGAAAATGATGGCTTTAAGCTTTTTCATCATCATGATGGATCTATGATTTGAACACATCAAAAGTTTACTTGTGCTTTTAGCATTTATCAACTTTTTCGTTGCCTTTTATTTTTCTTGTGACAAAGTTGTCTCTGGTATGGGTTTTGCAGCGATGACCGCATTGACAGCTTCTATTTGTTGGAATATTCTTGCACACAAAACCGAAGAAGCAAGTGAAATGGGAGTGAGAATATATCAGAAACCAGAATGAAATGATATTTATGAACTGAGAAGGAAGAAAAATCCACCTCTTTGCGAGGACAACGAAAACCCAGATGCAGCCTGGTAAGTAAAGCAATGGTGATAATCTAAATCGCATAACTTTTTCTTTCTTCTTATGTCCACTAGATGAACATTTTATTGTGCTCCATATTTGGATAGGTATGTGCCGATGAAAACTTGTATACATGAAATACCGTCGGCTATAGAACAGCACGGAGCAGAGTGGCCTGAAGAATGGCCAAAGAGACTTGAAACATACCCTGAGTGGTTAACCAGCAAAGACAAAGCCATTGAAGATACAAATCATTGGAATGCTATGGTAAACAAATCTTACCTCACTGGATTAGGCATCGACTGGTTGCACATCCGGAATGTGATGGTCATGACAGCTATCTATGGCGGGTATGGAAAAAAGGAGAATTCTCTATTGTTGCTCATAGAAGATATTTTGTATTTGGTGATTCTTACTGGTTTTGAATTTTCACAAAAATATCAAGAGATTTGGGGCATCACTTGTGAAGCAGAATGTGTGGGTAATGAATGTAGTGCCTGTTCATTCACCAGATACGCTTCCCATTCATATACGAAAGAGGTCTCCTCGGTATATACCATGATTGGTGTGAACCATTTGGAACATATCCAAGATCATATGACCTTCTTCTTGCTGATCATCTCTTTTCGCGGCTCAAGAACAGGTAAAGTAGCAGTGATCTTGAATCCAAATTTGCTTGTCAAATGAGAAACCTGGCCATGAAAATCTCCACATCTTTGTTGTTGCAGGTGTAAGCAACCAGCTTCGATCGTGGTAGAGATGGATAGATTGACAAGGCCTGGAGGTTGGGTGGTTGTGCGTGACAAAGTGGAGATATTAGAGCCATTGGAAGAGATATTAAGAAGCTTGCATTGGGAGATTCGAATGACTTATGCTCAAGACAAAGAAGGAATGTTATGTGCCCAAAAGACATTGTGGCGTCCATGATTTTTTTACTTTTGTTACTGTCTGTCTGTACATCATCTATCAGCGGTTACAGTCGAATTATTTGTATACATCTTCATCTTTTACACAACCTGTCTCTCTCTCTATGTATTAGCCCTGGGCTAACGGTTCGAACCGATTAAACCGAACCGAGGAGTTCGGTTTTCGGTTTCAATTCGGCAGAGAGACAATAACCGATCGGCGGATTTCTAAATCTATTTCGGGTATCGGTTCGGCAGACGATAACCGAACGGTTTATTAAAACCCGTAGTATATACTACTAGCATTTGTCACTAACCCTAAAACCCGAGCCTCCTTCGTTTTCCATCCCGACTTGTCTCTCTCTGTCTCTCGAACCCGAAGAACTTCATCTTCATCTCATCTTTACCTCGTCAATTTCTTCTTCGATTTGTCACTCATCTCAAGGATTTATCAAAATCATCCATCAATTCTCGTCGAAACCGATATCCTCAACCCTAAATTTGTCAGTCTCGACTTCCTCTCGATCCGAAGAGATTTCTGTGGCTGTAAGTTCTTCCCTCTTACGAGTTGGGGGTTTATTTTATCGGTATTGGGGGGCTTTGATTTTCGTTTTCTGGGTTTGATAGTTTGTAATTTTTTCATTTTGTAATAGATTGCCATGTCATTGTCAAGTGAGCGAAGACGCGAATATAATAGGATGTTCCAGGTCGTCCATGATCCCGACCTTAGTTATGACGATTTTAGCAGGGGATATCTTTTAAACCATCTATGTGAGCTACAGCGTTATTACCAGGATACCGTCAAAATTAATTCGATTGCGGGGAAGGGCATCAACGACAACAACATCAATCTCCTCCAGGCAGTTGGAAAGATCTTTAAGAAGAATCCTTCTACCACTGTCAAAGTCAGTTTCCTGGTGTCTTACCCTCGCCATCGTCCTTGTGTTATCGTGGAACCCTCAGAGAATGTGATCATAAACAACAAAAGTAACAAAAGTGTCCTTGATCTTAATGGTGAAGTCTCTGACTCTCTCCCTTATCTCCTCGATTGGGATTTCCATAGGTCTAATGTCCTATCACTCCTCTTGAATCTCGTCCACGCAATCAGTGTTCCAGACCAATTTTTAGACCTTACTTTCAATAAAGTTTTGTCTTATCATCAGGTTTGTACTTCCCTATTTGTGTCTGGACCAGCGATCTTTCTTTTTCTTGCTCTATTGCTTTCTTATGCTGATGATCTTATGGTTTTGTGATAGGCCAAGTTGGCAAGACTCCTAGTCGCCAATGGAAGGGAGGATCTTTACAACATGATTGCACGTCTCCCAAAAGATGAACAAAAAAAAGCTTTTTTCGATGCGGTTTGCTTTTTTCTTTTTATTCTTGTTTGTTTGAATCTCTTAGATTTGACTTCGATACAAAAAAATGACTTCATAATTATGCTTATTAGATTATTGCTCGATATCGACCAAATAAGGATTTAGCTACACACATCCAGACTAAAAAAGATGGTATAAATGGGTTCATCAAGATTGCGGAAAGCGCTTTCCTCGAGACCTTCCCTGCTTCAAAAGTAACATAAATCCCCTCTGTGAATTAGTGTTTTTCGCAATCTTAATTCACAACTTGGTCTGTGGTCTTTGTATTATCTTATCCTAGTGTCTATTTTTGTAGGAAACCGTTGTTGGTGGGGCCTCATCTTCGACGCTTGGGTTACCGCCTGCTCTGGGTTTTCCGCTAGACCCCGGGCATCTCTCCAGACGGCTCTTTCACAACCTTCCTTACGATGACAAGGACTGTATCCAACAACATTTCTCCAGCCTTTTCACTCACAGCCTTCCTTACGATGACAAGAACTGTATCGAACGACATCTCTCTGAGCTATTCCGTGATTACCCTGTGCTAAAGGCCAAGACAAGAAATGTAGATTGCGAAGGCTCGAAGGTGAATTTCATCGTGGTAGAGGGACCCATCCTGTTTCGTTCTGACGTACCTATAGACATCAAGTTTCCCTTTGATGTCAAGGAAAAAAGAGTCGATGTCACTATCTGGCTCCGCAAATCTTACCCTATTGATCGTCCCCGCGTCTATGTGAAATGCCCCCATGATATGCAGGTCGACAGAAACTTTGTAAATGTCCTGCCCACTGGTGCTGTCCATTTTTCTTATCTCCAGGAGTGGGTTAGAGGCCGATCCAGCCTCATAGGACTCGTCTCGCATCTCATCGCCGAATTTAGCTGTCAATCGCCCAACTTAGTTTACGCCAAACACCGCCCAAGTTCGTCTTGTGATGATCAGGTTTGTATTTCTGATCATGACCTGCGATCCTTTGTTTTTATTTTTGTTTGTGAATGTGTTTTTTGCTTGTAACAAAAGGTTCTTGTGGTCTTTTGCAGGGAAGTTCTCGGGTTCTTTTGCATGGCTCCTCACGAAGAAAACTTAACCCGGTACATTACTCTCTTTTGATTCTCCTAAAACAAACACTTTCCCTCTGTTTTGGCTTTTCTTTTTTTAAATGTTTCCATGAGCCAAAAAGTATTATGCTGGAAATCAAGAGAGGGCCTTAAGGGAAGTTGTGTTGCATACACAGTTTTTGTTTTATTTTGTTACAGTTGATGACAAAAGTTTCGCAGGCTGGCTCGGCAACTTGTGATGGGAAGAGTGAATACCAAGTTCTTGACGCTGGACAGTCCCTTGGTCAAGGCTATCTAGATGTTCAAGATACCGAAGGAGCACAGTATGGGTCTTCTACTACAGAATCGTCCTCTGTCAATGAACAGGTATGAGATGTTCTTGTTTACACGTTTCGTAATACATGCTTGATATGATATCGTCTTAGAGAGTACTACTCCGTTACAGGCTGTGGATCGGTCAGAGAATAACTTTCAAGACATATCTTCACAGTTCCGTGATGCGCTAAATCTAGATTCTTCCCATACCCCAAATCAGAAACCTAAGGTACTCATACATATCATCTGACCATATTTCTTGGCGTGTAGAGCATTGTTGACTATTGGGGGTAATGTTGCTAAATGTGTATTTGGTATCTCTCCCCAGGACTGAGGAGGCTAATAATGGTCAGGTTTCACCTTGTGAAGAAAGTGGCATTGGATCCATTGTGCCTGAAACTTAAAACTGTCATATCTCACAATTCTTATTCAGGATCAGTTGTTGCAAACTATTTTACATAATTGATGACTAGAGGATGTCACTTCGAATGCTTGATTCCAAACTGGTGGAACAGACTGATGTAGGGAGACTAATCGTTTAAGACTTTCAAAATTCTTGTTTAATTTCTTATTTTCCTTGGGTTTCTTAGGTGTTTGCCTTCTTTTCAAAAGAAAACCCATACAGCCCGATCCTACCCTTTTGTGGTTGTTCTGAAACAGCAAACATACTTGCTTTCTTATAGAGTTAATCGATCAATCTTCTGTTTTTCCTTTCCCCAAAAACCGGTGAAAAACCGGTGAGCGTTAACAATATTAACATCCAATTACATCTCTTAATGTGCATTTGAATTGGTAAAATGGTTTTATAAAGATTAGAGCCAATGGACAGACAAAGGACGAACACTCTTGACATTCAAATCAAAGTTACAGCAACAAAGAAGTCATTAACTCATTACACGAGTAGCACACAACAAGCGAAACATTGAGAAAATAAAATGTAGCCACAGCACCATCTGGAGAAACAACTCTCAGATCGATAGTTTACATGATAAATACATAATGGGACAATAGGGTACTTCTTAACACATCAACATCTTGAATTCAAGCGACATCTGGTTTGGTTTTCCAGTCGTTGTTCTCCTTATGACAGCATGGAAGGGAAAACCGTGACAGGTTGAGAAGGTAATGTAGAAGTTTGCATTCTCCGCCTTGGCCTTCAACTTCAGCTTCGGCTCCCGGGTTTGCACAATTACATATAATAACTCCAATGGCTTTGCCCACTCCATTAGCCTGATAGATTCCCAGTGGGAGAACAATGTGATTTCCGCGTACAGAAGAAACAACTCCTTGTGTTCTTCCATCTCTGATTTCCTCAACAAGTAGAATTTCGGATTATTAAGCATATTACCGAGCCTCCACCTATCGTGAGGCAAACGATCTGGCATAGGACCTTTGAAGAAATCATCCGGGGCAAGTGTGTCACCTTCCACCTCTGAGGTACACACACAAGTAGAGATGGAAAACATTAGACACACAAACAAAACAAATAGATGGAGAGAGGTTTGCTTGTGCCCAATTGGTTTGATTAACAATTTACCTGGAGTTTGCGGCCTGTGGAGCGTTGTAATCAAACTCAAGGAACAGTCTTCTTCTTCATCTTTTTGAACGGCAGCCCTTGTTTCAAACTCGCAAGTGGAATTGCGCATTATCAAAGAATGTGATGCTTTAGCATCGGTATGATCCTCAAAGTCGGTAAGATCCTCAAAGCCGGTATGATACAGATACTGGAAGTCATGTGGATCATCCGAAAATTGAAAGTTTGTCCCCTACAAGACAAGATCTCAAAATAAGCAAAGACAAAACAAAGCAAGAAAAAGAGAGATCAATTTACCTTTTGCAGATTGTAGCAACCAAGTCCAACTTCAGCCAAGAATTCCTGTTTGAGAGAATTGAGTCAAAACACACACATATTTTGCATAAACAAGAGTCAGTAGTAGTAAATTACCATAGGTGGAACCGCCCAGTCTACCTTCTGGGGATCAGAACATATATCTTTGTAGACATCACATTCCGGCAATTCTCCCGGAGCCATTGGTTCATATGTTGGTGAATCGGGTTGTTCATGACAGCTGTCAGTTGGTGATTGTGAAGAGGGCAAGGATGGTTCATATTCCTCCACCGGTGGTACAAAGTAGACATCTGGATCGCCTTCATCCTCATAGTAAAGAGCTCCTACACGTTCCGGCTCATATGGGTACGGTGGATCAGGAAAAATAATGAATCCCTAAAAAGAAGAAGAAAAACAATTTAATGCAAAACATGAAAATCGCTGGTCATCCACAGTAAAATCCGATTACCTTACGACCGTAGGCGCGATCATTAGTGCCTTCTCCCAGGAACATTCTTGGAAAATCTCACCAAACCCTAAATTCTAAATTCTGATAAGAGAGAGAGAGGGAGGATTGATTAGATTCATTAGACTCAGAACCCTAAATTTCACCTATCAAACCACAATATGAACATTTATGAAAATTGAAAAGAGTAGATCTCAGATGAGATCCGATGCAAAGCGAAACGAAACGCGTACCTTTCCTCTCTATCGCCGCCGAACAATGAATAAAAGATAAACCAATTGTTTTCCTATTCTCTATCTACCCCATCATAATGTATGCCAGCAAACCGACTAAGTTACTGGGCTTATTTACTTATTGGGCTTTTTCTAATCGTGAGGAGTGTCTAATTCAATGTTTTTCATTGTCTCGGGATACAAGAGTGAGGAAAGGTTCGTTGTTTTTTTTTTTTTTTTAAGGTACACCAGGTATCTCGATCCGATTGACCGTAACTTGTCCAGTTGTATCTAGATTCCAAGAGACCAATTCGAACGGATATCCGACTAATCTAGGGGCCATGTTAAATTCCTGGTGGCCAACGCAACCCTAGTGGCGGAATGCTACTAACACTTCCTTTATCACTGGGCCAACAACGTGTTGGTTAGTGGTACGTTGTTGTTTCGTTGTGCATCGTATCTCTTATTTTCTGCTGAAATCACGAAATTTATTTAGTTTTTCCTTTCATGATTGTTGGAGCAAGATTTGACACCAAATCTCTCCCGCCATAAAGTTCAGTTAACTAATTGACGACTCGTTCAAGTTGGGCCCAAATATGCTCATTTGATACTACGTACGGCTCAGTGTCTCTATTTGGCCCAAACTAGCCCAGTTAACCAATTTATTTTGTATCTTTGTTTAACTGTTTTGCTTTCACGAAATCTCATATTTCTTGGTCTATCTAAAATTTTGTTATCAAGACCAACGAAATAAAATGGGATCCAAATCTAAAGATTAATTTACTGTAATAAAAATAATTACCATAGGAGACAAGATAAGGTTGGAAAGTTAATATCTTTTCTGTCTATAGATTTATTAATTTGATAAATACCACTACTTAAATCAGTGGGCTATTACCGGAGTTTCCAAAGCCAAATAATGGGATTTAGAGCAACCCCAATGGGGGTTTCTAAACATAATTCTTAATAAATAATAAAATATAAATATTATTTAAATATTAGATGGGTACCTTAAATTTGAAGAAACTTAGCCTAATTGTTTCTTAATTAAGAAATAATTGGGCTAAGTTTATCCAAATTTAAGGTACCTACAATTAAAAAGTATTATTTATCTATACTTACACTTTGATTTTATTTAAGAAACCTATGTTTAGAAACCCCCATTGGGGTTGCTCTTAGTTTTCTCTCTTAAATTATACGAACTTTGACTGAATGCAAAGTAAAATATACCATAATATTAATAAAGTAACATATATTTAATTTTTTTGGGGATAAGAATTATCTAGATGAGTAACATGAGTTGCATACTTGCATACTTGCATGGAGCACTAAATATTGAAGAATGTAACACATGATCCTACCGACATTAATGTTTACTAATCAGAAAACTAAAAAGATAATTGAAAAAGATTAAGAGCAAAATGGGACTCTCGAGTAAGGGATCCCAATTTCGGTAATTAATATTATCAATGCATATATATTTGGGATTAAAATTCATGCATATATGGGATTAATATTCATGCATATATATGAGATTACTGTATCTTGTATATAACAGAAACTGAATATAATGATGAAATAAATCCAGTGAGAAGGTGCAACAACTAACAAGAGAAGACACTTTTTGGAAAACAAAGAAGAATGAAGAAGAACATGTTCAAGCCGTTTCCAAGTTGGTAACTCAGGTTAAGACCAAACTTTTCATTCATTTATATCTAAATTCCCAAAGAAAGAGAGAATATTTCTACTATCAGAGATCTTTGTGAAAATCAGAGTTTGATTTTAAAATTTACCAAGAAAAATAAAAATGATCTAAAAAGCCTTTGAAATTGTTTACAGGAAGGTGCACAAAGCCAAGCGCAAGAGGATAAGAGAGTAGAGGATCTTTTTGAGAACCAAAGCAATAGAAGTGGATGGTATTTAAATCAATCTCGTCTTTAAGTTCTTAAAGAGATATATGAAATGATAAACTGATGTGGTTGGTCAGGTGGAGAAAAAGCTACTGGGCGTTCTTGAATGAGCCGCGAGGGAGGAAGAGGTTTTATTTGTTAATTATCGAACGAGTTACCTATAGAGAAGGGTTATGCTTGTGGTGATTTCCAAAAATTTTGGAGAGCAAGTGTGAAATATAAGATACATTAACTAAACAAACTTAATAAATTAGAAAATTCTTGAATTCATCTTTAGGGGCGAACCTTTTTGTTCGCCCCTTTTAATTAGCCAATCAAAATATAACAACATCTTATTATATAAAATATGGTTTTCAAAGTTAATAACTCATAGGATCGTGCCACGTATCAAATTTATCGATCTCAGATTTTGACACGTGTTAAACAAAAATTTCTTTTTATTTATCTAGATGTATCTTACAAATAAAAATAGAAATTTTTTAAAAAAGATTATAAGGTAACTATACATATATATCTTATAAAAACAATTTTTTAAAAAGTAAAGAAAATAATTATTAGTAAACTATATGTATCTTATTAAATAAAAATAGAAATTAAAAAATTATTTTCTATTTCTAATTTAAAGCTACTAATTCTAAAAGAAAAAATATTACTATTTCTTTAAAATTAGAATTTTTTTATGAAATTATACAATCTTATTGTATACTATGATAATTAAAGAAAATTTCTAATCAATTATTAATTCTAGAAGAAAAGGATTCTAAATACTGATCACCTCTATAGATAAACAAATAGATAGATAGACAAACTAAGAATATAAGGCGATGGAAGATTAAGAGTTATGAACGGCGATGGACATAAAATAGAGTTGTTGTCGAAGAAGCTCGACCCGATGTCGGAGGAGATAAAGAAGATGGAAAAATAAGAGCAGTTGGGAAAAAAGGGGAAGATGCGGTAACGGTAGTGTTGGTATTGATGACGGTGGTTCAAGCTTGGTGGTGCTGGCGGTAAATATTGATGAAAATGGCGGGTCAGAATTAGCGAGATTTAGTATTGATGGTGATGATGATTGTGATAGTTGTGAGATTCAGTTGTGGTGGTGGCCTGGTGGGTCAGAGTAGTGAGATTCGGTGGTGATGCTCGACGAATGAGATAAATAGTGATATGGAAAAAAATAATATGGTGGTGAACAAATCCAACGAGAGAGAGAAAGAAAAAGAAAGAGGAGAAATAAAAGAAATCTAATTAGAGAAAAAGAGAGATTTGAGACTTCTCGCCGGGAAGAGGAAAGAAAAAAAAAAACAACGAAGAACTCATGAGTAATATGAACCAAAAATTGACAAAAACTATATAGCAAATAAATATTGCTTTGTTAATATTCTTTTCTTAATTTTTTTTTAATCTTAGGTTATTTAGTGCATATTCCCTAATTCCTTATGAATTTGTCTTTTTTGTTTTGATGATTTCTCATATTATCAATTAAAGTTACATGATATGGATATAGACGGTCACATATTGTCACAGTTTTGTTTTCATCTTGGCCACATTGAAATTACAAAGTGTTATACACTCTTCCGATGGATGTAGATAATTTATTAAAATTCAATAATATACATATGAACATTTATTAAATGTCATACTGTAAAATATAATTAACAAACAACAAATAGTATTTTATTTTGCACATTATGTATAATTAATCTATATTAGAAAATAATTAAAATACTACATTTTCTAAAATTAAAATATATTTTTATATTATTTTAGTTATGCTTACAAAAATAAATATCAAAAATAATAATTTTGACCGATAACCCGTGCATCGCACGGGTCCATATCTAGTATCATATAATAGAATATTAAAAAAAATCAAAATCAAAGTCAGAAAACAAAACAAATTAAGAAAATAAATAATGTGGTGATTAACAAATTAAGTCAAAATCAAAATAATAGTATATTTAAATGAAACTAGTGTTTATAAATAATGAGTTTGATTTTTATTTTACAATTAAACGAGATTAATTACATGTAGGTTTAAGTTTTTATATTCGGATTTAAATTTTACGATTAAACAAAATAATATGTCGGTTTAAGTTTATAAATGAAGATTAGGGTTTAGATTTTACAATTAAACAAAATTATATGTATGTTTAGGTTTATAAATGAGGATTAGGGTTTAGATTTTACATTTTAACAAAATTATTATCGGTTTGGGTTTATAAAAGAGTGATTAGAATTTAAATTTTACAATTAAATAAAATTATATGTCAATTTGGATTTATAAAGGATGTTTAGGATTTATATTTTACAATTAAACAAAATTATATGTCGGTTTGGCTTTATAAAAAATGTGATTAGGGTTTAAATTTTACAATTAAATGAAATTCGATGTCTGTTTGGATTTATAAAAGAATGGTTAGGGTTATAGATTTGACAATTAATTCAATCTAAGAGTTTTAATGAATTAATTAATTTATTTTTATTTAGATAATAGTAATTATTTTAGTTTATTTAATTAGATTACATAACAAATTATGATTGGCTAGTTAAGAGGAGGTGAATAAGAAAGAATTCACCCTTAAGAGTCAACCTAGTAATTGTCCATAAATTAAATCACAATGAATGACAGAAAAGTTTAAGATAACACTCCGAAGCTATGATATAACATATTTAATTTTGAGAAGTTTATAGATGATTTGGCTCTAGTATTATTTTCTTGAAATGGTAGAGATTAAAGAATATTAGCATAATATGCTAGGAATTTTTTTTTTTGTTAACACCAATTTTCATTGAAAGCTAAAACATCCTCAAAAGAAGGAACAGTTATAAAAAAAGGAACCAACACCTTCGAAATTAATAAAGTCGATGCAAAACAAGCAAAGCGAAACATAAAACAGTGGTAGATAGTTGGATAGATCAAAGCAAACTTCACACTTAAACAATATGCATCGTCGAGGAGTTTTAGGACCTTGACAATAATAGAGCTGAAGAGTGATACAAAGCCTCGGTGAACAAAGAGCACAACGAGTGATCTAATGTTCGTGACTGAAGCTGAAACGAGGGCAAATATAACAATTATAAAATCGGCTATCAAAGTAGGGGGGACAAAGCACCTAATTGATGAGCCGTTGAAATCAGAGAGCAAAGTCTCTGTGGACCATCCTTCGCAAATAAGAAATAAGGATGATGGTGGAAGTGATCTCTCTTTGCCCCGACAGGAAATTTGGTAATGGGGTGTGAAAACTTCGTGAAGGAGTGTAACACCCCGGTTTCAGGAATATGGTGGTGCATACCGAGAAGTTTAACAGAATTGATTTGGCCACCTATGTCACCAAAGTGCACTTATCTTTTCGGTCAACTGTCCTGAGAGAACTCTACAGTTAAGTGTGCTTGAGCTAGAGGAATTACAGGATAGGTGATCTCCCGAAAAGTAATTGTCGGTAACTGTGTGAGTGAGGAAAAAACATAGGAAAATATCACGTGGTGATTTATAGGATCGGTAAACAAGTCTTTAAACCCTCTCAAAGAAAAACACCGAAGGAGATTTAAACAATGTTCTTCGTGATCTAGCGAAGGACCCACCCGAGAGTGGTGAGAGCCTTCGATTCAGGCGGACATGAGGGCAACAGAGCAAGACGGCTGAACGATATACGACATGGAGAAGATAGCAGAGTAGATCCAAGCAGTAGAAGATGGGTGAGCGAAAGGTCACTGGCATCGTGGTCCTACTGGCGATGTAAATGGTTCTTCGTAGCCCTTGGCTGGACCCGAGAGTGAAAACAAGATTCTTTGTGGTCCTAGGCTGGACCCAAGAGTGACGAGCAATGGAGATCAGACGGATGAGTGAGCGGAGGTGGAGGTCCGGTGAACGACGACCAACATATCTTTAGTGCGGCGGCGGTTGGGGAAGAGAACTCTCTAGGCGGGGCGAATTGTTTAGTTGTTCTAAAAAAATTATAATCATTTTTTGCTTGGAATATATATATATTGGTTTATGTTTTATTTCCGATGTTGAATTCAGTGATTCTGGATCCATCGAATATCCAGCCAAAACGCGCGGATCCTATCTGCTACGGGTCAGACTTATGAAAAACGCTTGAGTCCTCTCAGCTACGGGTCGGATCTTTTTAATTAAGATTTTTAATCTCGACTTTACCCTTCTTAATTTCAATTAATCATCTTCTTAATGCTTAATTGAGTGGTAATTGATGTAATTAGAGTCATAATTTCGGACATGTTCTAATTTGTACTTTTCTTTTACTTATTTAATTATAGGAAGATTAACAATATTAGTAGATCATATTAAGATGTTTTAATTAGATCGATCAAAATCACGGTATAGTAGTAAAATTTCGGACAGGTTTCACACAACAGCAAAAAAAAAAAAAGTGTTTTTAGTAGACAAATCATAATTCATACTAAATGCTAGTACCAAATTTTTTTAAAAAAAACATGTAAATAAAGACCATGGTCACAACTAAAGAAAGTTACCTAGTTGTGTTTGAAAAGAGAAGCATAAATGAACTTCACCAACAAATAAGCATATGTACTTTTTATTTTCACCAAAAATTTTTTTTTTATTGACACACTTACCAAGAAATGACAAGAAGACTTTTTAGTGTACAACATTTTAAATTTTTAAATTTTATATGGACAATTAATAAATATATTTAAACCAGACTGTATATATTAATGATAATTAAATAAGTTTTTTTTTTCTTGTCTCGTTGAAACTGATGGAAAATAAATAAGAATCGAACTCGAACACGCATCCTAACTCGTACTATTGTACAGAACATTTACAAATAAAAAATTGACACGTGTCACAAGAGGGATTCTGTGTGGTCTTCACCTGAATTTCCCATATCTCAGAAAAAAAAACAAACAACAAAACTTCTAAAATCTCCATTTTTTTTTTTTTTTATTTTGGACAAACTCTTCTAAAATCTCCATTATGACAAGAATTTACAATATCTTATTAATTGATGTTATTTTATAGTACTAATGGTATGTATATCTTCACATTATTCACGAATCATGCATGCGATCTTTTCTCGTATGCGTGTATGATATCAATTACACTACTGAACAAAGAGTTAAAGACGTAGGCATATATATAAGATATAATTAATATTAATGATCGATGTTATGTGATACGTTTTGGACAGATCCGGCGGGTCACAATACCGCACCCGTCTGTGATGGAGGGACTCACGAATGCGTACGAATCAAAGCAGCTCCCAAACGACGGTCTTTTCTGCGTATTGACATGTCCGGGCAGCCTGGCGTCCCCAGCGACCACTTCACACTGACGGTGGCGTCACTTTCCTCGGCCGAGCTCCTCCGGCCATGTAGTTGGACGTGAGTACAGAGGCAAGATCGCCATCGACCCTTCCGGACTGCATGGCTGTTAAGGGATGAATTTGGGCTCACACCAAATTCTTCCCGGCACAAATGGAAGCCCATTAAACAAGGCGAGGTCGGCGCGAAAAGGCCCATTTACAATCGCAAAGCCCATTGAAGGAAGGGAACATATTTGTTGGGTTTGAAGGGGTAAAAGCATCATTTTACGTAGGGGTATACCCTGCGTCATACCCTATAAATACCAAAATAGAAAGTTTGGTCATGAAGCCCGGATTTTCCGCTGACACGCAGAGAGTGCATCTAGATCGTCGTCAACCTTCTCAGCTCGTCCGATTCAAGACCATTACTTCGACCTCATCTGATTCAATATTCAGCCAAGATCGTTCCCTGTAAACCTATTCATTTTGCCCAAGTTTCGGGCTCGTTAATAGAATAGTCTCTTCTTACTTTCCTAGAGATTCTCATTTCGTACATGTGTGATTTGTGCATCAACAATGACAATCGTTGGATTAAAGTAATCGCTAAACATATGGCGTCATCCACCTTATTAATTAACTACCCCCTTCTCAGTTCAAAAACTATCCCCCTTTTCGAATTTATCCACGATCTCTTATCAAAAATATTTGTCACCATCTTTCAATTTAGTTCATGTTTATTATGGAAATTATTATGCTTAACAATGGGTACTGTACTCTTTTATGTTATTTTGGGTTTGGATATTTATGGAACATTATGGATTTTTATACATACGAGATGTTTGTCCAATTAATGGTTAGGCGGGGAGGGAAGTAAAATTATAAAAATATTAAGTATATTTGCATAATGAGATAATTAAAAGATATTGTTGTCTTCTTTGATGGATGAGACGGTAAAATCTTTCACAGTGCAAAGAGGAACAATATCTTTTAATTATCTCATTTTATCCATCTCTTGCCTCAATCGGACAAAGATTTCAGTGTGAGAAGTTAGCTTATGTTGTTCCTCAAGAGAAGTGAATAACACAAAAAGATTTGTCCGATTGAGGCAAGAGATCCTAATAAGCTTTCGAATTGATCACAAGCAACCTCGACATTGTTTCACCCAGCTGAGGCTTATTGTCTAAATTAAAGTAAAAAGTTGCCGAAATTAATCATAATTTATCACAATCAATTTATCTCGTTTTGAATTCTCTTCTGAAAAAACGGTAAGGAAAAATCCTTAAAATGTTGGCAATCATGGAAAAACTAAATAATCTAGCAAATTATAGAATAAAATCAAGATATCAAAACCTGATATATACAAACTAACCAAGCTTGGATCTTTCTAAACAAACCAAAATTTGATGTTCTATGCATACAAATCGTAGTTGGAGATATCTAAACACAATTGATTATGTTGCTTTCTAACTACATATTATAAGGAAAATCTATACAATAATCAGATCTGGAACTCCATCGCTATGGATCGTCGCTGCTAATGTGATAAAGTGGTGAAAAGAGACCACTTGCCTTTCCAAACCTGTTTTTGACACATATCGTAACTGAAAAAATGTCTTTATTTTTTTAAGCTAAAACATATTTTCAATAATACAGAGAAGAAAAGATATGATAGAGATCTTTTCTGCATCACAAGGAAATTGTCTATTAAATCATGTGTCATCTGACAACAAAATGAGATAAGAAATATCAGAACCTAAGAACCGGATATAAGGCGGAAAAATCGAATGTGATGACTGATTAGAGGCAAAAGTTGGGAGATACAATTGAAGAATCTGACAAGAAATTCAGAAACTTTGAAACAAAGATCAAAGTGTTGAAAAACACTAGGTTAAAAATAGAGGCAGGTTTCAAAAAGGAGAAATCGATCAATTAAAAATCTTGATATAATAGCTGAACTTGATACGAGGCTCAACAAGACTCATCTATTTTTTCTTTTTAAATGTTGTTGTCAAGAATTCAAAGCCAAATTTACATGTAAAAATATTGTTCGAACGGTATTGATATATTCATGAGGATGTTTGTCTCTCTTCCAGAGGCACGATTTCTTGTCAGAATTAGTGTAGACAATTTCTTATTGTTGTTGATTCCACAATGACCATATATTAAAGCTATTAACAAACTGTAGAAAAAATTCAGACTGTTTCACATATTACATCATGATTAGACAATCAAATCACATATGACAAGGGAGTGCTATAAATTAAAGTAAGAAAATGAATGTGGCGTACAAGGAAGGGAAATATTTCAAAACATTAATTTATCTTGGTGAATCTGTTTCTTTATAACTTTGTTTTGGGTTTATCTCACATTTTTTTAACTTATCATATTATAGATTACGTTCATTTGTAAAAAATCTTACATAAAATATGGAGACAACGGAAAAAAACACCATATAAAAGTAAAAGTGAAAAAATTGATTCACAAATGAGAGGACGACACGTGTTTAATACTGGTGCATGAGCAAATCGCAAATGTAAGAGAGATCCCAAATTTGTCGTTTATTATTTGTCGTTTTCATATGACAACTCAGTGCTTCCCTCCTCTTTGCCCATCTCTTCCAAAAACCCTAAATGCTAAGAGTATAAATGAGCACAAACCCTAAAGAATAGCTGTAGAAAACTGTAATTTTTTTTTTTGATAAACTAGAAATCTGTAATTTCTCAGAAAAAACTGCTCTCTTGTCGTTGAATCATGGTCGTCCCTGTCCCTACATCTGACGGTAAGATCTTTGAAACCATACTCAGATCTCATTCGCATTTTCCCTCTTACCATAGTTTTTTTTGTCTTTCTTTTTTTTGCGAAACCCTTTACTATAGTTTCGTCAGATTTCTCACAATGACTCGCTGAATTTTCTTTTTATGTCTGTTTTGGTGTTGATGGATGGAGCAGATGGGTTTTACGCGATTAACAACCAGTTTCTGGCAGATGGGCCAAAAGGATTCACCGAGTTCAAGATGGTTGAGAACGAGGAGATGTTCATTCGGATTGACCTTCCCGGCGTTCCGGACGACGGCGTGAGGGTTACGATTGATCCGACGAGGAAAACTGTGTCTATCTCCGCCAAAGCACCGAAGGAGCACAAACACGACTCCTCTCCTCGGATCTACGTCACCGCTACAGGGCTCGTCTGCAAATGCTGCTCAATCTCCAACTTCACCTCCCACATGTGTGACGGCGTTCTCAGGCTTCTCCTCTTCAAGAGACAGAGCACTTCAAATCGCTCTTCCTCCATCTGTAATTCTTTTTTGTATTTTTTTTTTCTAAAAAATTATTTATTCAGTCATTTAATTTATAAGTGTCTTTTTTTCTGATAAAATTTTGTTTGAATTTGTTTATGACAGCGTTTCTTGGTGGCCCAGATTTCCGAGATGGTTTGTATTACTTTTTTTTTATTCGATGTGCCATTCCCACCAACTTAATTTTCGTATCTTGATTTAACTTCACTAATTTTTGTAAATAACATACCTAAAATGCTTGTCTTCTCTTATTTGTGGTCACAGATCTTCGTAGCTATGGTCCTCACAAATTTCCGCATGCCTCGGACCCCTTTGGTATTCACATATATTTCCTTCACCGCGAGCTTATGTTATAATTATATTCATTTTTTACAGAGTTAAATTATTATAGTTACATATCTCTATACGTTTGAAAAAGGGAATATTTTTAATTGTTGTGATATATGTGGAGCAGACCCGACGTTAACGGGTCGGGTGTTGAAGCCACACCCATGTGTGCTTCAAGGATCGGAGATGGCCTATGAGTCGAAGAAGCTCCAAAACGGCAGCCTATACGTGCGTGTAGACATGCCAGGCGTTCCCAAAGACAGGTTCACCATCTCCGTTACGAACGGGAGAGTGATGGTGACTGGTGAAGCTCCTGCCGTTAGCCACGACTCAGGTGGTCGGTTCTATTCTGGCGACGTGGCTATGCTTGATACTCTTATCAGCATCCCTAGCCGTCGGATCAAAACCATCGCCAAGAACGGTGTGATTCGTTTGATAATCCCTCCCGTTTGATTTGATGATCGATGTTGTGTTTCTTGACGAAGCCCTAATTCTGTTTCTTATTTTCGCCTTCTGGAGAATGGACCTTTTCGTTAGGGATTGTATGGTCGATGTCGTTATTTTGGTGGAACCATATGTCGGTCGTTTTTATGTTTAATACTTTAATCAACTTTGGTTATGTTCCAAAAAGCCACAAAAACTTAGTTTATCTAATATTTGGAGAATTTATTATGGCTTTATCCGTTTAAGAGTCTTGATATTATTATAGTTTTCTAAATTAAATTGCAAAGAGATTTTACAAAAAAAAAAAAAACATTAATTGCCGAGAATATACAGTACCGTATAAAATTACAAAAAGGGCCACAGATTGTGCTTAATAAGGGAAGCACCAAATGAACTTCACCAACAATTCGCATACGTACTTTTTTTTTTTTTTTTGTTAAAATCGTACTATTTTTTTTTACCAGTCGAAATATATATATATATACACACAGTTACCAATAAATGACCAGAAACCATACTCTCGACTGACCGTTGTACTTTCTTCTCTCACCTTATCTTTTTTTTTTCCTTGTATTATTAAAAATCTTTATTATTAATCATGTGTCAAATCAAACTAAATTTTCAATAATTACTAAATTTTCAATTTCTCAAACAGTGGAGGGAAATGAACATCAATAACTAATAAATTATACATTCTTTTCCCTCCATAATCGTATGTGGTGGGCCTGTAACTATTATATGAAAACTAATGCGTCCTTCTAGCCCAGTTGGCAGAATCAAAGTCAGCCCAAATTGCCTAATCGCAGAAACAAAGTCAGCCCAGTTGACCGTTCTTATTTTAAAGCACTTGCCTAATTGCTTCTTCCGTTAACCAAGTCGGTACAGATTCGAACCGGGAAATTGCCAAGAGGTGGGGATGAGTTCAGATTTCAGAGACTACTTTATGAATGGAGAAAGAAAGTAACAAAATTGGTCAAATAGAAAGATGAGACAATTCTTGGCTCCTTTCCGTATTTGGTCTCCGCAAATGAATATGTCCAGCCTGAATTCACAGACTGTACTGTAACCATTAGTAAATACAGAACACCGATGCTTCAAGAACTTGAAATACAGATTCTATACAAAACAGGTTTCATGAGTATTATATTACCTCATCGAGACGAGAGGATTCTCAAATTGGAGATTTACACTTTCTGCATGAGCACGCATAACTGGGACACGTATACACGTCGCTGTTACTTTTACTTCAGTGTCATTCTGTGAAGAGCAAGAAAGTGGTGCGAGACCTCTTACCAGACTCAACATTTTGGACATAAGATCACAGTGAAATGAACACAACGATAGCACTTAAGTAACCATTCACCGAGATCTTCCTTGTCTCCTTCACAAGTTTCATTTCCTCTTCGTTATAACCGTTGTCAAGAATAGGAGCATTATGCGAAACAAGTTAAATGCATACTGCAGGACAACATAAAAACCATCACATTACTCAAAGAGGGATTTCATAATCAGCACATTCGAAATACAATCTATAAGCAAATTAAGCAATCACCTGTTGTCCAAAGATGATACAACTTGATAGTTTACCCTCTAAAACCTAAGAAAACACACCAATGCAAAATAAGAAGAAGAAGAAACATAATCACTACTCAGCACAATCATTAAACAATTCAATCAAACAAGGCTGAAATTGAAACAAAACCTGGCGAGTCTGCTGACAAGCTCTTCCATAGCTGCAGCACCAGCACCACTAGCTGCTTGATATGTACTAACCACCATTCTCTTCACCTATTAGAACCATCAAAGCACAAAAGTCTAAATCTTTCATGGTTTCCATTGATTCTCTAACTACCCTTTCAAATTTGGACTAAGATTTCAGAATAAAAATCGAACCTTTGCGTGATGATGAAGAGGAGTAACAGCCATCAAACAGATAATGGTGGAGCAATTAGGGTTTGCAATCAAAGCCCTTTGCCCATTCCAACTTTAATCCCTTTCATTGCTTCTGGATTCACTTCCGGAATCACAAGCGGTACTCCATCCACCATTCTAAATGCCGAGCTATTATCAACAACAATGGTTCCTTTCTCCGCCGCGAGAGGACCAAACTCCTTGCTTATGGATCCACCAGCACTGAACAAAGCCTTGTCTACGCCGTCGAAGCTCTCCGCCGTGAGCTCCTCCACCGTGTATTCACGGCCATCGAAGGCTAGACGTTTCCCTGCGGAGCGTTTCGATGCAAGCATCTTGACGGAGCTATAAGGGAAGTCTCGATCGGATAAGACGGAGAGGAATTCTTGTCCGAACGGCTCCGGTAACTCCAACGACGGCGAGGGAAGGCGCAGATTCTTGGAGAGACATTTTGACTCTTGCGGAGAAGTGTCTGGGTTTAGCTCTGAGAGGAAGGCGAGAGAGGAAATGGGTTTGTGAGGTTTGATGAGTGAACGTCGCCATTGTCGCCGCCGTAAGGAAGAAGGAGTGGAGAGATAGAGAGATTTTGGAGGCGGCTGATAGAAAAAGTTTGGGACTTTTAAAGTGTTAGTGAATTTACCAACATCTTCAAAAGTCAAAACAGCAGGATTTTTTAATTTAAGAAACAGACACAGCATGATGTTTGAAACTGCTCATTCACCAGTTCGCGTACATTAACACAGCTTTCTCATGTGTTTGATTTCTTCTTTTGGACAAAAAGAGGACATTAAGTTTCTAGAAGTTAGTCTCGTCTGATAGTCGATTCCTGCGTGAATAGATATCAAACATGTTCCATCCTCATCCTCAGTGTGTTTTGCATTGCTTCTAAAAGACGTAACAAAATTAAGTAATAATAGTCAAGTAGATTAAAGCAGGGGTTAGGGGTTTCAGGTTAATGCTTCCAAAAGTTAAAGAGTCAGACATTGTTTGTTAGAGTTATTGGAGCAGTCTGAGGAAGAAGAACATCTTGGATTGCTGTGAGCTACTGAGCTTAGCTCGGCCACCGTACTCTTCCGGTAAAGCATCTGCTCCGATATCCTCCTCGAATTTTCTCTGTTCTTCTTCATCCGTTACTATCACAATCTATACAACAACAAAACCATAATTTATGTGCTTCATTGCTTAAGAACCACTAGAGATAGATAGATACATTAAGAGAAGGATTAAAGATCAAACCTTTTCCTGAGTTGCTTTCTCTAGAAAGCAGCAGACGAATTTCCAGACGGCTACGAAAAATCCGGGCATATGCAAGATGTAGCATTTTGCAAGGCGTTCCGGGTAGTAAGACTAGAGAATCATTTTCCAACTTAAAAGACATGACTTCTTTTTTTGTGTGATAGCTACATTGTTTCAGAAAGAAGAGAGATGCTTACTTGTAAGAATTGAAAGCCGGTGATCAATCCACGAGCATCAAGGTTCTTGTATGTAATGTTTGCCAGATCAATAACGCCAACTAACTTCTCATCTCCTACTTCTTTGCCTTTGATGCAAAAACGGTCTATTTCCCCCCGAGAACTATCGTATCTGGCCAGATAAAGCCCGATCTTTGACCTCTGTCTATATACCTATGAAACGAAAGTTAAATGTTTATTTCCACACCAATTGAAAGTTCGAGAGCTTAATGTCCATGATTCCTAAGTTCGAGATTTAAAACCCCATAGCGCTGGGTTTAATTGGTTTACTGTGTACCAAACCGATGCTTTATCCAATTAAACCTAATTAGAACCAACAAACAAAAAAATCTGAACTCACCTAACCTGATTCTCCAGTTTACATCAGAAAAATCGTCTAATCAACGAAGTCGATCGATTCATAACTCTAGCTTCACCATCACTATCCAAATCAATAAGATTCGAATTCGAATTCGAAGAGCCACGATTTGGTCTCACTCTTCTCATAAACGAAACCATTCCACGAACAGCTCTTCTCAATCTACCACCATTACCAGAACGACCACCATTTCTACTCATCTCCGGTGTCTCATGAGCTCTAACCCAAGAAATCCTTCTCGGTCCTTCATTACTACCAAGTCCACCACCATCCATCTCCGTCAAAACCACCGGTAAAATCCTCTCACCTTCTCTCACCCCCGCGTTAAACCTCCCAACAGCGAAACCGAGAGAGCTCTCTCCTCCGCCGCTGTTAACTCCTCTAGCTTTCCCCATTTTCCGGCGAGAATAATCCGCCGCCGATTCTTGAAAATCTAACAATGTGTAACATTTTAAACAACTCCAGATCTATAATGAATTTGATTACTTGTGAACCATTACAGACACATAGGAGAGATCTGTGACATTACCAAAAACAAAATCGATTCACTTTACATGAGAGCTTGATTTCTCAAAATCAAGAACAATTAATGACAATGATGAGAAACCCATCTACAATTTGGCCATCACAATGGAAACTCCGATTTGGCCATTGCGGTGATGTTGCTTTGACGTGAAGACGGCGGTAGCTTGGCTCCGGTGACGAAGGCAAACATGAGAAAATCATATCTCCTTAATTTGAGAGGTCGTCCGCTGTTATTTGAACCAGTTGAGATGGAGATTTAGGGATCCGGTTTTTGGAATTAGGATGATGCAAGGACGATCTTGATGGCGTAACGGTGGTTTCTCTTCATCTTCTCCGGTCACAATTCCGATGTTGGTGACGTAACAAGGTTACAATTTCGGGTTTGCTTGGTTTGAGGTGGTTTGATATCGGTTTATGTCGTAAACCAGTCAATAGATTGGTTCTAATTAGGTTTAATCGGTTAAAGCATCGGTTTGGTATACAGTAAACCAATTAAACCCAGCGCTATGGGGTTTTAAATCTCGAACTTAGGAATCATGGACATTAAGCTCTCGAACTTTCAATTGGTGTGGAAATAAACATTTAACTTCCGTTTCATGGGTATATAGACAGAGGTCAAAGATCGGGCTTTATCTGGCCAGATACGATAGTTCTCGGGGGGAAATAGACCGTTTACACCACTGAAACATATGAACAAAAAAAACTTGTAATAGAATCGAGGAACAACAGGAAGATCAGCATAATGAAGGGTTTTTGGTTTCAATAATAAACACCTTGCAATAGTTTTGTCTAGCACATAAACAACGAACTCTGCAACACCAAACACAAAAGATAAGTTTATAGATACTAATCTCAAGAATCAACTAAAAACACACATAATGTGGATAGACTCAAGAAACTTTCTTGCATTTGAAGTCTACTGGATCACCTGGATTCAAATGAAACTACTCAATAACCAGAAAAAGGTAAGAAGCTGATCAGTTCTATGATTACAAAAACCTATTTGGTGTACCCAAACTAAATACTTATCTACTTAACGAACAGAATATTTTCCAATGAAAGTGAAAGTCCAAAACAAGTGAGAGGTGATTACTCTTGAAGTTATTTTGATCCTTAGAAGGAAAATGCTTTAGAGGTTATGACAAGCATCAAAGGGTGTCCTGATTTGGTTGGACCCTGAAGACAGATCTTTCTGAATTCTAATTCATCCTTCACTTCCAATTCTGGGATCCCAGTTGGAGGAACTATGGAGGCTCTCCATTTTTGCCAATCTACAAACATCTTTGCTGCCTTGTCTGGGTCCATTGATCTTGTTGCCACCAGGAACCTCATCAATGTCGGATTTTCATATCCCTTTTCAGAGGAAAAAAACAACAAAAAGAACCCATGGATCAGATTTTGTGATTATGGATGACTTTTACTAAACTGTCTGTACTTTCTAAAGAAGAGATATAAATTGGATTTTCAAGAAATATTTGCTTCTTATTTGTCGTCTATTTATTTTCATACAGCTTGAACTGGATCTGAATAATGGCACAAGTTGAGACCAATTGAATAAAAAACACACGTCACTTTCTTCCATATGTTCATTAGTTGCATCCTCTTTGTCTAATGTAAAAGAATGCGACATCAAAATATGTCTTAACTGTTCTAAAACCAGTATTCAAGAATCGATACACCAAAAAAAGTGGGAAAGTTGTGATAGAAATTAGCGACCGAAGAAAACATGAGTAATTGTGTGGGTGTTTGTGTGGATTGGAAGTTAAAACTCCCAACATATCTATTATAATGCAGTGCCCACACGAACAAAGAAATTAACAATATAAAGAATACTTCTTAGCAAACCCTTACTTCCAAGCCACAGCATCGATGTCGTCTCTATCTTGTTTGTAAAGCTCGAGCCGTTTAGCTAATGTTCCTCTTTGTTCCATCAGCTGTGGGTCTTCGTCCAACATCACACCCAGCTTCTCCTTCTGCATCATTTCTATAAATATTGTTCTCCATTTGGGCATTTTCTCTCGAGCAACAAAATAATCCAAAGGGTAATAATATAGTTTACCTCTTTCCTGCCAACTTGAGCGTAGAAGAAGTTGAGCAGCGATCTCTTAGCTTCTCTAACTTGGCAGTAAACGACAGCTTTAGGAAGAGAGTTTCTCAATGTGTCGCAGACCATGTTTGTGTATGCACTCACGTTGGATCCTGAGTTATATCCAAAGTCAACAAACAAAGACTTGATAATGTGTCATTCATAAGTAAAGGGAGGCGAGAGAGACACATACCGATCTTTCTGAAGTGGTTATCGGAGTAGGGGTCTGCGTTTGGTGGTGAGGCAATTCTTGGGTTTGGTTTCTCTTTCTCGGGTTCATCCTGAAGAACTCAACCTGAGGTAGCTGGATTCCATATCCACCAGCCGCAGAACCGTTTTCCTGCTCTCGTCTCTGAATCTTTCAAGAGCTTCATTTGCAGCAGCTGCTATATCGCTTGCTAGAGTCAGGAATCGCTTCGATTCCTGAAAAAAACAGCAATGACATTTTAGGACTGAAACAGAACGTAAAGAGCTAGGAGGAGTTCTCAAAACCAAAGTCCTCTTCTCAGTTCTTACCTCTGTTTCTGAAATTGACTTTCTGACCAGCTCCTTCAATACGAAATGCACCTAGGAAATATCAAACAGCAATCAAGAATATAGTCAATTTACATAAAATTAAGTCTCAAAAGTAATGGAATCTAATAAATTTTTGAAGCATACTGCATCGACAGTGGCTTCAGCTGGTCCTTTGAAATAGCTTATGGATCCATCAATGAGCCTTCTGTATCCTTGTTCAGGAGCAATAAGATGCGGCTGATAACCATCTGCTTCTGAAACAACCTTCTGAACATTTTTGGTCGAGAGATGTCGATCAAAGGGAAGTTTATTTAAGGCTGCTGGTAATTGATGGTCGAAAACTCCATAAATCCGGTCTCCACCACATTATAGGTAAGCAAAACTCATTATAGGGCAGCACATTACTCTGGAAACGATACTATCTTTTAAAAACTTTCATAGACTCCAAATTGATCATCACAATCGCAATGTAATAGTACACCGACAACAACTTATGAGCTTTACGAATAAGAAGCAGAATAACTAAATCACTTACCCTCCATCCAAGTGCTCCTTAAAGACACAATCAAATGCCCGGCAGAGTTCCAAAATTGAGTAAAGTTGGGCCTGGAATCATAATTAGAGAGTGACTAACCATACGATTTCTGACGCAACTCTGAATACCAATTACATAATGGTTTAAATTCTTACTCCTGAGTCTACTGCAATGGATCTCCCAATCCTATCCAGCTCTGCATTTATCTCATCGATGCTTTTGTTGATCAAAGCAACAATACTGGGTATTTTCTGCCCGATAACAGTCTCTAAGTGCTAATAGAGAGGAAAACAAAGAAGGAAGAAAGTCAAAGCTAAGCATTCAAGCTTTAATTTGAATGAGATCTGTGCAAGTAAATCCAAAGGGTACCTGAGACAAGAGTTTTGCTAGATTTTCTGATCACATTCTACTGGCTAAGTGCCCATATTCAGGGCTTGTTTGAAAATATTCTCGCTCTTTTCTACGTGCAGCAATCATATCGACCCTCTTATTAATATCAGCTTGTGAACGACTCACAATTCCAACCCAGGGATGTTGCAAACGGTACGACCTTCCCTCAAGAACCTTCATCAAATAGGTAGAGGAGGTGTCAAAGTATATTAAACAAGTAACTGAATTAGTTGACACCCCAAGATGCAGAAATCAAGAAAGACGCTTACATCTAGACAATCTGTTCCTTTATCCATGATACCAAGCTTGGTTGCAACTCGAAAAGTTCTTTTGCCTACAGAAACATATTAGAAGGTTAAAAAAAATGTTGTGGAGTGTAAAAAAGTCACTACTTACAGGAAACTACATTTAGGTCGTACCTGTAGGATCAACTTCTCTAGCAAGTTTTATAGCGTCTGAGGTGGCAATATCTTGATTAGCTGGAGAAATAGCCAATATGATGCAATTTGGCTGCAGTTAGAACAATTCATGGATAAGCTTCCAGAGTTGACATTATAGTTATCGATGATGATCAAATGCATTCTGCGGCCCAACTTGGTTGGAATAGATGAAACTATTGCCGAAACCGTCTCAGCAATAGCTTAGAGCAAGACTGACCTTTTCAACATAAGAGCGGACCATATATTCAATGTCTTGGACAATACTATCCGGTTGTCCATCTACAAGACTAATATTCATATCAGTGACTAGTTTAAGCACAAGCTACTGGATAAAAAATATTAAACTCTTACCTACAGCAACCTTGGTCAAACCCGGAAGATCTATGAGCGTCAGATTAACAACTGTAGAGAAAAGAGTAAAGTGAGAAATCAAAGTCACATGAAAGAGGTTAGCAAAATTGGAATCTTCAAATCTAATCATACTACTGTTTAGCTCATTACAGCTGTTATCAATATATAGAAAATTTACTGTGTTAGTTTCTGAACTAACTACAATAGGAATGCATTACAAGAAATATGGTCGTAAGCACAAACCATTAGGAGAATATATGCTCAGCTGAATTGGAATGTTTGAGATTTGTTTTGACTTCCCAGTAATACGATCAGTTTCATCCTCAATTTCCTTCCGCACAGCAGCTGAAAAGAGAAGAACACTTCAATAGCCCGACATGCCTTTGTGGATTTCATTGTTTCCAGCAATTAGCGTGAAAGATTCAATCAACCTACCAAAATCAGCAAATCTCTTCTTCGGAGCATGAAGAAACTCAGCGTACTCCGTTATCCCTTCTTCAGTCTTATGAAGCTGCAACACCAATGGCCTCCTTGTAACAATACCTGATAATGATAATGATAAATCAAATCACATGGTATCAAATTTGGATGGTCACTTCGAGACGGTATAAGAAATGAACAATATGATCCACCAACACACAGAGTAAGGAGGAAATCGGCATTATTAAAACACTATTCACAAGGCACGGTAATAGGGAGCTAGGTTTTTCGAAGTAGTCAAAATGGTCATGTAATGCTCTTAAGATCACAGAGCTCAGAACACGAAAATTTCCGAACAACTAGATTCAATTCCAAACATAGGAGACGCCAGACAAAATTGCTTAACGAGAGATTTAAAATGACCAGATCCACGAGGCAGAAAATCTCTTCACACAACACTTTCTAGAACTAAAGATTTTCCGGAGCTCTGATCCACAGAATCAACCAAACAAAATGATAAATCAGAAACGTAGAGATTAAAAGGCGAGAAGTGAGATCGGATCTTAAAATACAAATAGTATATTCAACAGAAAGAGATCAAACCTGGCCACCAACGATAGCGACGGTTGGGAGAGCTTCCCAAAGCGACATTCCTTCACCACCATGATCTCCGAGGACAGTACAAGCCCTCTGGATTTTGTTTATCAGACCTATCAAACTTTTCATAGTCGCCATGTTTCCTGGAACGTATCACAGATCCAGGAAATCTCTCACCAACGCTCAAATCTAGATCTAACGAATAATCGGATGATGGTTTGAAACGTCCGGTGAGTTTTTAACTCTCTCGCGGCGGTAGGAGAGATTGATGAATCTGGGAGAAAAGAGGAAAGAACCCAATGGAGCAGAGAACGGTAATGGGAAAAACAATTTCAAACCAAAAAAGTCGGACAACTTAACGAAAATACAGAATACTTTTGGACCGAAAGTGAAATATATCAAATCCCACGTCGCGAAACGCGTACCGGTCAAATGATACGGAGCCGGTTCAATTCATGTGGTTATGTTCTTCACTTCTTTGTTTTACTCCCTGTTCTAAAAGACGGTCTTTACGGCCGTATATAAGCTGTACTGTGGAAAGCCGTACTGTATTATAGCTATACAGTTATTTAATACAGTGAAAGCTATACGGTCCGTATATACGGTGAAATACGCATATACAACGTTTTTTAAAAAAAATATTCAAAAACAAAAACTATGTAATTTTATTAATGTTTGAAAAAATGATTTAACAAAATTATTAGTTTGGCTCTCAAAAAATTAATCATAATAATTAACTATAAAATAACTTTATTGTCATTTTTTCTATTACTTTATGCTTATTAGTTATTTAAAATCTTAAAAATATTTTGTAAAGTTGAAAATTTGAAATTTTTTTGTATTCATGTATAGTATTCATCATGTTACTATATTTATGTTTTATTGTTATTACAGTATATATATATATATATATATATTTATTTATTTAACAAAAAAATCCACCGTATAGTCCCGCATAAACGACCGTATATACGTCTATATGTTATACGGTGCTCCACCGTACGCCTAGCGTATAGCGTATTTTAGAACACTGGTTTTACTCAAAAGTCAGAACTACTAATTATTGTATCATTAAGATTACTGATTACTAATGTTTTTTCGATAAAGTTTGATTACAAATGTTGTAAACATCCTTCTCAAATCTCAATGATGGTTATGTTGTTATATACTCATGTGCTGGGAAAACGGCCAATTCCCCCCTGGACTTAGTTGCTTTATCGCATTCATACACAGAACTTTAATGTGTGCCTACAACTACATGAACTTTGCTAAAATTTGAATTTTCTACACGAACAATTTAAATCCGGTCAAAACCAACAAATCGAGAAACGGCGTTACTGTTCCGTTAACATATGATGATTAGGATGACACGTTTGCACTCTACAATGCCACATAGACCCATAAAACTACGTCGTTTTAGTTAAATTTTAAAAATATAAATAAAATGTCAAATATTACAAAACTTGGAATAGAACCCAAGACCTCTTATGCCCGTGAGATGACTTTAATACCAAATGATCTACCGTAACATTTGTCAATATTTCGAATCGAACGAGTACGTATATATATATCTATATACGACGCAAAAAAAAACTAAGAAAAGGAAACTGTTGGGCTTTCTTCTTCTACGATCTTCATCACTAAATTCGATTTGAATCTCAATTTTTATTTTGACTTTCCTTTAACAAAATCCTGTTGAGCTATTGAGGATCCCATTGGATACATGATTTAATCAAATTCGATCTAATCTACCGAAGGAATCTCAATTCTTGATCCAACCCAACTCCGATGATTGTTCAGTGATGATGACTCGTCGGAGACCCGACTCCAATACTATTAAGATATGTGAATCGCTCGATTGGTTAATTTAAGGAGGATGATGATGATGCTCGAATTCGAGCCTTGGGTTGTATTGATGAGACTGAAACTAGACATGGTTGAAGACTTCAAGTAATCGTATATATATACATATATCTGTTTGAGATAGTCAAAATGTCACGTTAGCTCGTCTGGTTTTAAGGTCATTAAATGGGCATCAGAGGTCTCGGGTTCAAAACTGGGTTTTGTAATATTTGACCTTTTGATTTTTTATGTTTTTAAAATTTAACTAAAACGACGTCGTTTTATGGGTCTATGTGGCATTGTAGAGTGCAAACGTGTCATCCTAGTCATCATATGTTAACGGAACAGTAACGCCGTTTCTCGATTTGTTGGTTTTGACCGGATTTAAATTGTTCGTGTAGAAAATTCAAATTTTAGCAAAGTTCATGTAGTTGTAGGCACACTTTAAAGTTCTGTGTATGAATGCGATAAAGCAACTAAGTTCGGGGGGGGAATTGGCCGTTTTCCCCTCATGTGCTCTACTCTCTTTTTTTCAGATTTTTTTGGGTTTGACCAGATCGTTAAAAACAAAAATTTAGGCTATCAAAATGAGTAATGTGTAAAACCGGGTTAGGTTAACAAGAATATTAACTAAGAGGAGAGAGTGACACACACAAAACAACAGAGTTAAAAAAACAAAACCCTACCTCTACTACTACTATACATAACACAACAAAATAAGAAATATATCAGCCAAGTGAAGTCAATGTCTCCCTTTACCTTGAATGTTGGAATGCTTTAGAGAAGAAGCACACATCGAATCAATCAGGTTCTTTACAAGATTATCTCTTTCGGCTTTTGAATCCCTTCTCTCAATTTGGCACAAGAACCATTGAAGGCAACCCACAGAGATCGTTGATCGAATCAGTTTGTCACTGCGTGCTCCTCGTCATCCCAATTCGTCCAGACACTCTACAAAAGATAAAATGCGTAAACAATCATGACATTTAAAGGTAATACCATATAAAGCTTATTGTAGTTGATATATTATGATACCTTCCAGAAAGAAGTTGAGCAGTGTTTCCCTTTGAGGCCGAGAGACGTCTGGTCTTACTATCTTGTTGTCCTTTATCAACACGCATTGCAGCAACTTCTTTCCCCATTACAGCTACTTCTCTTCGCATCTTCTTTGCCTCAACGTCCATCGCCTTTGTTAATGTTTCAACCTTCTTGGCCAACATCTAAATATACACAAACCAAATCTTAGACTTTACTATAGAACATTTCATTTAAAGACTGCAAAGAACAGAAAAGGCCAAGCATTAGCAAACCTCAATAGCTTCGTCCTTGTCTCTCAGGCTCTGATCTTTATCATGCGCAGCTTTTCTTATTGTTATGACCTCTTTCTGCAGCAAATCGTACAAGACACTGGGGACGCTATCATTATTTGTTGACTTGTCATCTGCTTCTGCTTCCCCTTTTATTGAGCTAGGCGTCTCGCCTCTGCTAGTTCCTTCAGAAGATTGGTGGTTCAAAGAAAAATTCGATCTTGGTCCATTTATTAGCACTTTGCTTCTATCCAGTGATCTGGTGTCCCCATCAATGATCTTGATGTTCCTTTCGCATGCTTCAATACAGTGCTTGCACTAGCAGTTAATGATCTCAACTGAGAACTTGGTGTTCTCTTAATCAACGAGCCATTTGATGTAATTTTTGGACTTGTTTCAGCTCCACCGAGGGCTTGTCTTCGAGAAGGCCCGTTGCTCGAACTTCTACCAACGGATGTGCCTCTACTGCTGCTGCTTGTAGGCCCCTTTAAACTCTCTTCTAACACTCTAAGCAGCAGTAGAAATTTCTCCAAAAATAAGTAAAAGCAGCAATTCCTAAGTTAGGACATATAAAAAAAGAAGGTCAGCTATGGCAAGTTTGTCGCGTAATTGTTGCATTTCTCCCTGTCCAAACAAAACGGCAATGGCAATAGTTTTAGTTAATCTCAGTGAATATGAATCACAACTTGAAGTAGCAAGAAAATTTAAATACTATATACATCAACAATGACTTTACAGGCATCACTTTGTCATTAGTATCTTTCCATTCGTTTGCTACAACAGTAGCAACTCTATTTGCATTTACCTTCGCACGGGCCAATTCCCGTTCAAGATTTTTCCTCTCTTCCTAAGGATACGACAAAACACCACAATTACGATCAGTACGAGACCAAAACACTAACTAACAAGAAAAACAGTAAGTTACTGAAGCACACTATAGAAGCATACGAAATATACATTCATTTCTTGAAATTTCCTCTGGTAATCTCTCACTGCATTTGCAGCTGCACCACCAGCAAGAACAGCTTCTTCTAACTCCCGCACACTCTGCATAAGCTTTTCAACTTCTGCAACCTTCTGTCTGTGCATCTTGTCTATAATTTTATTCTCTTCCTATTTTAAGCAATGCATCAACAAATAAGACCACCACATGGTAAGAAAGGGAAGAAATAATCTATTTTGGTGTAAAAGAAATGATAGACATACCTGACAAATTTCAATTTGTTTCATCAATTATTGGTTCTTATTCTGGAGGTCATCAACCATTGAAGCCTTTGCCAATGCAGACTGAACTGTCCTTTCAACGTCAAGCAAAGCTGCTTCCTTTGATTTGGTTAGGTGGTCCAATGATTTGTTGTCGTCTTGAAGTTTAGCAATCTACCAATCAAAACATGTAATACCAAATGAGAAGGCTGTTCAAATGTCCCAGAAGTTGTTATATCAAGCTATACAAAGATATTTCTGGTCAAAGGAAGGAAAATACTTCATCTCTCGCAAGTTTCAGTTCAGCCTCTAAAGGGGCAAGAAATTGGAGGCATGTCATCATCCTTTTGAGCAGCATGAACCCTACGAAGAGAAGCTTCTGCAGCAAACTGAGCTGCCATGGAAGCCTTCTTTTCTTCATTTATTTTCTTGATTTCAAGGTTCTGTGACAACATACACATCATTTAATATATAATCTATAGAAAAAAGGGAATCAAAGAACAAAAGAGATATTACGAGCATACTTTACTCTCAAGAAGATTTTCAATCAGTTTAGAGTTTTTCCGCCATCTTTCCCAACTCTTCAGTGAGCTTCAGCACTCAGATAAGACAGCAGAGAAGTCAGTACACAGAGAGTGTAAAGAGAGAAACTTTATATGACATAATAAAATGCGCTGGCATAATCGTAGGATGGTTATGCACTAGCCAAATCAAACTGAAGTAAGATCATAGACAACATAGATGAAATGACTAACCAGAGAGACTAATTCCAACTACTATAAGTCTATAACCAAGCTACATGACTAGTCCATCTTCTATAAATAGGAATATGATAATGCCACTCAAGTTCAATACTTTGTTTATGTAAGCTTAGAGTATAATAAGGGATTAAACCTCTTCAACAGCTTTCTCTCTTTGTCGTTCAGACAACCTCAAAGCTTTGATTTCAGCTTGTCCTTGATAATTCCCTATCCTTATCTGTATAACCAAGTCAATGTTTCAAAAACAAGCATGCACGTTGCTGAAACAAAAGTCCTAATCCAAAACCAATTTCAAAATTCCAAAGTCAATCGATCAACAAAATCACATTTTCGTACCTCTGACTTCATTCTCCAGCCGATTTAACTCAATTCTCACGGGATCTGAGCCATGGAGAACGTTCATGAACTCGTTATCCGCGTCAAGGCTTGGCCTCATTGACCTCCGTCGTGACATGCCTTTGCTTCCTCCTTGTCGATAAGACGCCGATATGGCCAATGAAGGTGACATAAATCCTCTTTCCTCCATTTTTTTCCGATCTCAATCCTCACCACAATTCCAAATTCCAAATTCCAAATTGAACGAAATGCTAAAGTTCTAAGTTCCAACAACAACACACCAACAAAAACCAACTACATACACATAAAACCCAATGAGAAGAAACCTAGCTCATCAAATGCTAGGGCTTTAAAAATCGCTTAAGAGAAGAGAACACTTTTTGTTTTTAGGTTTGCAGAGAGAAAGAGAGAGATTGAAATGAGGTTTATGGTTGTTAAAGAGTGACAACGATAGAGACAGAGAGATGATTAGCGTCACTGTTAATAACTGCTTAATTGTGATTAGAGAGTTAACACGAAAAATTACCGGGAAATGATTATTTTTGATAACTACTTCATAGTTCATACATTAGTAATTTCTTTTGCATAAAATAAGGAGAAATTTGGCTAATAGAAATAGCAATGAAATAGTACATTCTTGTCCAAAAGAAATTATCATAACACTGGAGTTCGTAGAAATATGGTTAATTTACATTGAAGGGATTAGGGACCATCTGTATTTATTTGTATGTGTTGTCAAATTATTAGGGACCATCCCATTTTGTCCAAACATGTACGACAGATGTAAAATCACTAGTCACCATGTCTCCCTGATTCTAAAATGACACAACTTCTAATCTTATTTTCTTATCGAATTTCAGATTGAACTTTGGTATATAATGTACTCTCTGATTATATGTAGTTTAAGGATTATTTTATTTTTTTCAAAATAAGTGTTTTTTTTTCGTCAAAGTAAAATTATATTAATACGAAATGTCATTATACCGAGTTTCCACAATCCATGAAGGAGGATCATGATTATCAGAATAAAAACATACAGCGATACATCCAAATTGGGCAAGGTTATGAGCTACTTGATTACAATTACGATTAACATAGCTAAAATGTTTCTCTTTAAACTTTGAAGCCCAAAACCAGAGATCCTGAAGAATGCCTGCAATAGACGCGTCCCGTGAAACACCATTAATATTATCAATTAAAACCTTGCAATCTCCCTCAAAAATAATCTTTGTGAAACCTCGAATCCATGATTGCTGCATTGAAGAAAGGAGTGCTTGCGCTTCTGCCTCTAGTGGTGAACCCGTGCTTTTTAGTCGTGAAGAACCCCAAGCCGTAGCTGTACCTGCATGATCTCGGATAATCCAATCCGCAGTTTTTTGTTTGGTAATGACATCAAACTTTGCATCAAAATTGCATTTATGGAAGGTTTCCGGTGGCCGTGACCAAGAATATACTCTGTTTGCGAACGTAACCTTATCGGAGTCGCTATGAGCCTGCTTTTCCAAAACTTCAAGCCATTCTCGTACATCTGTTGTCGCTTGTAATGCTACTTTTGAAGGGCTGAGTCTAACCTTGTTGAAAACTAAATTGTTCCTTGATTTCCAAATTTGCCAAAGTAACCAAAAAGGTAAAAATTTATTTGTTTTAGAGATACCTATGGTACGTTGCAAATCCATCAAACAAGATAAATTTTCTTCAACATTCTCAGAGGATAAATGTGCTTGTAGTACAGGTATATGTGATAGTCTCCACACTAAAATGGCAAAAGGACATGTAAAAAGGCAATGGTTGATTGTTTCTTCCGCTTGTCCGCACCGTTGGCATGTTGGATCTAACTTCATACCTCTAGAGTTTAAGCGGGTCATTGTACCTATAGCTCGTGTTAAAATACGCCAGAGGAAATGTTTAATTTTTGGTATAATGGGTAATTTCCATATGGCTTTTTTCAAAGGTAAAGAGCCATGGGGAGGAGGCAGCCTTAAGACTACTTGCGTCGGATCATGAGTAGCAAACCAATAACCAGAGCGTACTGTGTATTCACCCGTTTTATCATAATGCCAAATGAGTTTGTCCGGAGAAATCACCCTGGATAGATGAGTTTGATGATTAAATAAAACTGATTCTTATTTCCGTAGCATATTAACGAGAGACAGATGGAACAATCCACTAAAAAAATCAATCCATTTTTCTTAACACCCTAAAAAAATATTTATTTGAAATGAAAAAAAAAAAGAAGAGAAAGCAAGGATGTAATGATCAAGGAAGAGACAACAGATGTAATGATGAAACAAGAAGAAAGCAAGGATGTCCAACTTATTCTTTTTTGCTACGAACGTAAATATCATAGAATGAAATGATGAGGTATTACAAAGAGCTCTACCTAATAGGAAAGTAACCTTGGCAAAAAAATAAAACAAGGTTACAATACTTTACAACACGTTACAGAGGGTTTAATGTCCAACTTATTCACAAATACATCAATGGTGAAATCAATCTGAACAAGCCTTACTTAAATGTCGACAAATATTAAGATGTTGTACTTGATATGTTGAGAATTTATTTGCCAGATTTATTCTAAATGATGATTTTGTTATGATTTGATGGAAGTACTTTTGAAACTATTTTAATAATAAATATGTGAAATTATTTCACATGTCATAAATTTTGTTTTTCATTTTTTTGTAATAGTGATATGCTTTAGAACTTTTTTTTAGTATCATTGTAAAACTGATCAGGTTTAAGGTTGAGTTCTTGCAAGGAATATTGTAAAGTAAATATTATGAGTATTTTAATTTAAAACTGGAATGATTTGAGTTTGTCAATTGCCAATATATTTTGTGTAGTTGTTGTTCATAGAAATAGCTATAAACAACTACAACGACAATGGTCCATATATAAGAAAAGATAAATCCAACTTCATAAATAGCAATAGCTTTTTAATTATTATTTTTTAAAACACAAAAAGTTATTTTCCTTTCTTTTTTATTTATCATCAATGCATATATTTGTAGAGGTTATTTTTTTGAAAAGATGGTGATATTGAAGTTTAATTTTCGTTGAATTTGATATAGTCCATTTCTTGAAGATAGTGAAGAAATCAATGTAAGAGGAGACAAGAAGAATCTTTGAACTTTAATGAGCCGAACATGTCCCAAATCCGGACCACGGTCAAACCAACTAATCTCAAATTTTGAGCTGTGTATTTAGATTATCTTAGATTTTACTATTGTATTACATTATTCATCTAAACACATTTCATTTAGATTTTAATAGCAAGCAATTCTGATAGACGATTCAAACTGTAACACGCACACATCCCACAACAAAAAAAAAAAAAAAAGAATGTTATTTGCAACACGCAGATATCTTCATAAAGTTGACTATTAGAATATGAGTAGAATTGGTTTACTTTGGTTATTGTATTTGGTTTAGCTTCTTTAGCATATAAGCTTAACCATGTACACATTTTATGATTGAGGAAGTAATAACAGAAATATCTTATCTTCTTCTTCCTCCTTCGCTCTCTCCTTCCATGGAGATTCTCGATTACTAACATTAACATGTAGACACAACCAAAACTTTACATACTCGTGAATTTAATTTCTAAGTTTGACGTAAACACACTAATCTATCCTACCTATTAATTTTGATGCTAATTTTTCTTTAGTGTTGTTGTTTTCCTCGAGTGGAGTACAAAGATCAACCAAAAAAGGGAAAACAAAAACTGCCAGAAAATTCGACTTTGGTTCTACGAAAATTTGGAATGGAATCCAACGTCGGGAGCACGATCGGTCAAAGTCGAAATTTTCAGAGAAAACTCCCAATTGTGCAATTGTGCAACTTTTAACCAATATTTTCTTCAAAAGGCTTCTGATACATCATTTTCAAGTTTGTAAGAATTTAGCATGCAAATACAATAAGTTAACTAATTTTTTTTTTTTTGGTAAAATAAGTTAACTAATTTTAAAGAACTAAAAGAACACAACAAGTATTTAGCCAACAATAACACTAGATGAAGAAATTACAGAATACAGATAGACTTAACAAGCAAGGCCCCAAATTTAAGAGGAACTACATAATTATTTTTCTCTTTTCGTATCTTTGATTCTCTTTGTAGACTAAAGAAGGGGAAATTTCCCCAATAGCAATTTAAAGTTACAAGAAATCTGCTAAACCCTATCAAGTGAAATTGGATGCATATCAAAAAAGAAAAGAAGAAATGAGTGATAGATCAGAAGGAGAATGGACTTGAGAGAGACTCGTCAAGTTCTTTGAAACCTGCGTATACATTCTCCGTCTTGTTCGGTGGCCGAGCCAGTCTCCTTACCTCTGTCATATACCTGTTCGTAAGACAAAATATCTTTGTGTTTTCAGAGATTCTTGATTTTAAATTATACTTCAAAATTAGGAGTGGGCAAGAAAACCAAACCGAATCGAACCAAAATGACAGTGACAAACTTGCTTGTTTCCAGCGTTTGCAATCTTATCACGGGCCCCTTGGTTAAGAGCAGAGCACAAACGAGCCGCCTAGTATCAGAGAAGACCTGGTTGGACTCGAGCCCATTCTATCTGACAATACAGACATTGCCCATTCACGGAGCACCACTATAACAGAATGAATGAGGCGGATTCTTGGATTTGGGGGTGGCACAACGGCTGCATTGGATAATAAACGGTCATAAGAGTTGAGCACAGGTTCAGCTGCGCCTTTGCAAGCCGCTAGAAGAGCTTTAGCTATGACTTCATCTCTAACATTTTCAGTCCTCTCTGATCTCTCCTGTAAAATTTTCCGCAAGATGCACTCAAATTCAGTTCATAGCCCAATGAAATGAATCAACAACTTAACGAAAAGGAGGAGCTTACACGTGCAGCTTTCTCGAGGTGAAGGCACAAAACATCAAGCGGTAAAACAACTCCATCGCCAAGGTATATATGAGATCCGACTCTCTTAAGAACTGCACAGGCTTCAGCTACCCCGCCTTGTGAGAGAGCTTGGTCAAAGAGTCTAGCCCATGTTTCCCTTATTATGCTTGAATCAGCATCACCAGAATAGTTGGCAAAGTAGAGCATTTCCAGACAGATATGCATAGAGTGAAGCAAACAAGTAATGTAAAGCCTACATAGAGAGTCGACGATACTAGCACTGAATCTTTCTAATTCAACAGTTTGATCTTATGATTTCCCAATTTTAAAACTAGGATACTGATGCAACAATTCTCAGCATGACCTAAAACAGTCATTATCGACTTTAAGGTAGGTTTAGTAGGAATAGAACCTACGACTTTACAGAATATCAGCTAAGTTACAAATAGAGAGGAATAGTGGCTCTCCTTTTTTCTATGGCTACTTCTAGAAAACCAGTTAACAAGCCTCAGCTGCTTTATCGGCAACAATGTTACTAATTAAATCTTCAAAATTTATTATCCGGGCAGCCAACATCACATGGCAGCTGCTTCGCCTGCTCCAAAGCGGGTGAAAAAATCTTCTAGAAGGGACCTTGGAGAGTTGGATTCCAGAAGTCTTCTCAAGATATCAACAGGCCTATTAAAAACCAGTTCCATCTTACCCATGGTGGTAAAACAAACAATCTTTCTCCGTGGCAAAATATGCTGGGTCGAAAGATCACCTCTGGCCCAGAGTTTTCCACATGCCTTTTCATAAGATTCTCCAGAGACTTCGATTCCACAGTATTCTAGTTCTGAATATAATGATTGGACAGTAGCAGCAGTATCAGGAGAGGGGAGCACATCTGCAACAAAAAGCATACGTCCTTCAATAGGAAGGGAGGACAAAACTTCTCGTAAAGCCCGAGAACTCCTTGAACTTGGCCCTGAACTGCTGCCAACCTGAGAGTGCACACTTGAATCTCTGCTAACAACAAGAAGAGAAGACATAGCAGGTGGCGATGAATCAGAATAGTATGCTGTTTCAACTTTCATAGAGAGGTCTTCATTCTGAGTTCTACCGGCTATAGATGCGGCCCCAAAACCAAGTCCAACACCTACACCCAATGGAGGAGATGGCCTAGTTGAAACCACTTTCAGACAGTTTGGAGTCTGGCGGTGGTTGTTGAACCCACTGAAGCTAATAGTACTACCACTTCCACTTGAGGAAGTGAAAAGATACATCCTCCTGCCATCTGATAATGCTGCAACAAGGTGCAACCATTTCGATTCTAGCATGGACAATGGTGAAATGCTGACTATGGATGGCTTGTTAGATCGACCTGCCACTGCTGACTGACGATTTTCTTGGCTCACATCCTTCTGATTTAATAGATTCCTTTCTTCTGCCACCTTCTTAAGAGGACCTTCCCCATTTGGCCCAAAAACATATGCTTGAAGTTTCATCTCTTCAGTGCGGGCATATAAAATTTGCCTTTTATTATCAACAACCATCTCTACAACAGGATCTACAGCTCCAAACTTGAATACATTTGGCACAACCAACCTGATACCAACAGAATTGGGGATAAATGTTTTTAAAACTATCAGAAAGAATATGCTATTGCGGAATTCTTTCGAGCATAAGGAGCTAGAGATATAATAAGGAATGCTGGAAGCTTGGTTTATCTCAGATTCCAGAATCAAAAAGCAGAGAGAACAGATAAAAGAAAAGGACATAGAGAATGTGTGTACCTCGAGATCATACTACCTACGCCTGCAGTAAGGCACACTTTACGACAACGTTTATTCCAGCCTGAGCCAGTTGTATATAGCAGCTCATAAATGTGACCATCACGTCCAGCCATGAAAATGCGTCCTTTATTGGTACATGTAACGCATGTCATTGTCACTCCATCTGATGATATTGTATAGTCAGGCAGAGATTGTACTGAAATTTCAGCATAAGGATCTCTACCATAAGGTCCTTCAGTGCAGCACACTCCAACAAGAACCAACTGATGAGAAGTAAAGTTTTCTAAGAAAATCACATACAGTACACAAAACTAAAGAAAGTTGTGATCAGATTGCATCATTGAAAAGAGTCACCTCAACAGGAGTTGCCAACACCAAAAGATATTGAATAGCTTCAACAAAAACTCCAGGTCTACATTTCGCTAGACCAACCGCACAAATTGCCTGTTCCTCCCCACTATACTCAGGACACATTGCCCATCCCTAATTGACATACATTTATCAAAACAAAGGACAACTACGAAAGTAAGGCAATCTCAAGCTTCTAAATTCCCCTGTAACTAAAAGGAAAAGCCAAATTTACCTTTTGTCAAAACGCGACAGAAACAAAGAAGACGGATGCCCAAGCCCGTGGAATCTCCGGAAAAATCCCACATGATGCCGTCCCTTCCCCGCCGGCTATATTATAGCTCTCAATAAGTACAGAAGGCAATTCCCAAGTCTCACCAACCTCACTCAACGGCGGCGAGAGGGCTTCTCGGCAAAAACTATTTTGCCTTTCCTTTCCGGCTAACCAAGTCGGGTCGAACTTTGTTGTTAGCTTTGTTCGGGTCGGGTCAATCCGTTTCAAATTATACATTAATAGTTTTCTTCTTTTTTTTAATCAAATAAATATCTCTTCAAATTGTTTTTTTTTATCAAGGCCAGGTTTTAATCGTAACAAATTGGGACTGACCCAAAAAAATTGGGAATTATTAAGGGGAGTTATTTGAAACGATATTATTTTTAAGATTATAATAAATTATATTTTGTTTCTTACTAATTGGCACACTAGATTATTATCAGAACTAATTAAGATCATAATGATGCAAAATTAAGGTCCACTATATATGTCCAGAAATAATACACCAAACCAAACACATCAATATAGCAGTTATGCATTTCAGAAATTAATTTGTCTATAATACATGTGATGAAAGAAAAAGGGTGTTTACCTACCTTATACCGTTTTATCATCAAATCCTCTTATGGTCGGAAACCAGACTGCCAATAGATGTATTCTGGTCCGATATGTATATGTTGGCGAAAGCGATCTTGATGCAATGCATGCGAGAAACATGTAGAGTTAAGAGTCGAAACCGATGCTGCGGTACTGCAGCCATAATAGAAACCCATCAAGGTATAATCACATACCACCAGTGACTCGTACGTGAACCCATCACATATATGACATGGACAAATATGGCTAGGCATATGAATGAATATCTTGTTATCCCCATAGAATGGATTTGGACAGGGTTCACGTTCATACTTAGAATGACCTTCGAAACTCTTAATTTGTCATAAATATTAATTAGCGTTTCAGCATATGGTAAAATCTCGTATGTTAAAATTTTCTTGATTTGTCGTATTTTAGAGAGAAACTTTATCACTCAAAACCTTGTATAAACTTGTGTGCTGGTGAATAGTAGTTTTGGATGAATTTTTCTAAAAGAGTGGCTGAAAAGTGAAAACTAATAATAATGAGAATTTGTAACCCCGCCTTACCTAATATACACATTTGATAACAAATCATATACGTATATATAACTAAAATTCATTGAACCTTGATGCATCTAGGTATAATGACATACAAATGAATTCTATGCAACTATGTAACCTATCCATTTTTTCAAGATTCATCATTGATTGTTTAATATCCGTTCGGTTTGGAAATAGTAGTATTTGTCATTTAATGAAGTTTAAGAAAAAACAGACATATTTCACTTTTCGTGACTTAGTGAAACCATTGTTTCATGTCTGTAGACTACCGACGGTAGTGTATCTCTTTTCCATGGGCTATGAAGACAGACTCAAACGCAGTCGCATGAAAAAAAAAAAGCGATTACAATAAAAACCACACGTCTTCAGTGTAAACAGTAACGTGCCGTGCATGGACAGCGACTTTTATTTGTTTCTGTTATTAAAATATTATAGTGACATGATTAATTAACGAAAAATACTTGGGTTCACCCCTTCTATTAAGTAAACCACGAAACGACAGAGAAATAACATGCAATGAACTCCCTCTCCAATTAATTACCTCGATTTTTAAAAAAAACTACTTTTATACTTTTCTCTTTTGCTAATAAAATTCACCGATGGTCATTTGGTGTCACCAATTATTTAGAAAATATATTAATGATCTAACTACTTTACAAGTTGATAGAAAAAAAAAGATTAAGTCAAAAAAGTTTAGAAACTATGTCGTTTTCTATAAAAAGGATAAGCCACAAAGAGGTACAAGACAACGCTCTTTGTCTCATACCAAATCCTTTTTCACTGACCCCATCATAACTTCCTATACACTTTTTTCTTATAACTCTCAAACAATTTTTAACTTCGATCTATTAACCTGCAAAAAACATTCGTTACACTTCTTCAGATTTCTCCTTCCCTTTTAGCCGTCCAAGCAAAACCGTGATCTCTCTTCTTTTATACGGTCAAAATTTTTAGATTCGGATTCTTCAAGAACTCTGTTTTTCTAGTAGCATGATGTGTTTGGTCTCTCGTACCGGTTGTCAATCCCAAAGATACATCAAGGGACGGCGTAAAGTCGTCGGTATGTGTCATCTATATGTGTTTCACCATTCGAGTTGACTTTTGTCTGATTTTCTAAAGTTTTTTAAATTTGCAGGTGTATTCCATACAGACTCAAGATTTCGAGTGATGGCACAATTAGCAATGAATTTGAAGTTCTTGTTATTTCATCACAAAAGGGTGTGTTCCCAAATGTACTAACTTTTAGCAAAAGCAGAGGAACATTCTATGAAGGATTAATGTTGCCGTCAGGGCCGTGAAAGAAGAGTTTGAGCTTTGGCCTGAACAACATCTTCGTCAAAGGATATGGATGAAACTTGATGAAGCAAGAGAAGCTTGTAGAGATTGTTGGATGAAGGAAGCTTTAGATGTTTTAGTCCAAAGGCTCTCTTCACCATTAGTGAAGCCTATGGAAGAAGACAAGAACATTCCACTGATCTCTATCTGCTGAAAAAACCAATCAGACGCGTGTTCTTGATCACTTTGTAGATAACATTTTACGCCTGCCTTTTCGTGAGGAGTATACTACTGCTCAAGGAGAAGTGTGTACAGAGCAACGAAAAGATTGTAGATTTCAGGTATGTGGAGCAAGACAACATCATGTGAACTTGGCCGAGATTAGTTTGGGTTTCGGTTTTGTTTACCAAAAAAAAACGTTTTGTAATTGTTGTCATGATGTATCCGCAACTGCTTAGGATAAATGGAAGGAAGAAGATAAAAGCAAAGAGTGCAAACAAAAAGTTGTACAATAATGTTGCCTCTCTTTGTATCTCTCCTCATCGTCCTATCTGATTTGACAGTGAATATATGATCTAAATGAAACTAATAAAGATAATATTCAGAAAACCATTTTAACAAGAAAACTCCATGATGCAGGGATTTTTTTTTGCAGATATTTGTTATTATGACTTTCAACTAAGAAGAAAAAACCTATTAATCATGATAATAAATAGGCAAAACCGACAGCTATGTAGGACTAAATTTTTTAAAATGCTATTCTTAGTTCAATATAGAGAGATATAAGCTTGTATATCAAGTTTTCAATAAAAGTTAGGTTTGGTATATAATCCAAAAAAAGGAAAATTTAGGTTAGTCACGATGGTGGGATCACTCACGAATCACGATGGTGAAGACATGAAGAACATGCTGGTGAGGTAAAACAGAGATTTTAAAAAGTAACATGAGAGATAGAATAAGAAAAACTTTGATATATTTCATCTCTCGACCCCTTTAAATAGAGGTGAGCGAGGCTTGATAAATAGAGGCCATAGTAGGAGTAGGAATAGAGTGAAAATATGAGATGAAGTATCAATTTACCCCGGAAAAGAAATGTTCCATGCCAACATTGTGGATTTGAGGAGAAAAGTTGAGTTTGAATTAGTTGAGAACGTGTCTAACCTTTTGTGTTTTTCAATTTTACGTTTTATTTTTCAAAACCAATTCTTTTACTTCTATTAAATTGTGAAATAATAAATATGTGGCAGATTTTTATTGGTTAGATGACTTGTGATTTATAAGAGAAAAAGATAATCATATTATTTTATATTTTTATATAATTATAATTACATCTTTTTGAAAGTTAAATATGATAATCAATTTATTTAACTTGTTTTGTATTAGTTACTTTTAATGTTTTAATCATCAAAACATATATATTAATTAATTTAAAACCCGTTTTGTTATTGTTTAAATATTTTGATGGCAGAAACTGTAAAATTCCGTAAGTATAAAAGCAATAATCTTAACTCGTCTCACTATATAATTGATTAATAGATATATATTGACTATTTTTAATATTTTCTTTTTATCAAGTTAAAAAATATCTTGATCTAATTTTTTTTTTCAAGTTAATAATTTACATTTTATAAATTATAAATTTATTAATATTTAACTTTAATTTTTTTTATGCACGTTTTTTTTTGTTAGCTGAAATATTTTCAAAAATATATTATGTTGTTTTGTGTGTATGTTTACCAAATTTTGATTTTATGATTTATAAAAATAATTGATGTACTATATTATTTAGTTATATTTATCATTTGATTTGAAAATTTTGATATATATGAATTTATTTTTTTACTTTCGTTTTTTAACTTTTAAGATAATAGTTAAATATTTTAAAAGCGATTTTCTATCGAAACTGTTGATAGGTTAGTTGGTAAAGTATCATGTTTTGGGGGAATAGTGGTGGGTTTGATTCCTCAAAGCCTTTTTCGTGGATCCTCAACTCAAAATTGAATGGGTGTTTAGGTTAGAACCAAAACCGAACCGATTATTTTGGATCGGTTCTCCTTTTTCTTTTTCTTTTTCTTTTTTGACAATCAAAGATCGATTCCTCAAAGATCGGTTCTCCTTTTTCTAGTTTCTGGGTATTTCGTGAAGCTTCTCTCGGATAAATCAAGCTTAGAACAGAGAGAGAGATCCGATTTCTTTTTCTTTTTCGACTATCAAAGATCGATTCCTCAAAGATCGGTTCTCTTTTTTCTAGTTTCTCCTTCTAGGGTATTTCGTGAAGCTTCTCTCGGATAAATCAAGCTTCAAGAAGAGAGAGAGAGAGATCCGATTTCTTTTTCTTTTTTGACAATCAAATTCTTTTTCTTCTTTGACAATCAAAGATCAATTCCTCAAAGATCGGTTCTCTTTTTTCTAGTTTCTCCTTCTAGGGTATTTGGTGAGCTTCTCTCGGATAAATCAAGCTTCAAGAGAGAGAGAGAGAATGGAGGATCAGGATCTGTTGGGGATGGGGGTGGGGGGATTTCAGGATAGACTCTGGAAGATTGAACGTAGTCTTATAACTGCAACAAAAAGTCTACACAATCTGTCTGGAGATTTTGAATATATTCAATCTTCGACTCGAGGATTTCGTACTCTTCGTACTGCTCTCGAAGAGCAATTAGAGAAACTCTCACGGTCTAACCCGGAGATTCTACGCCATGATTTATGTTCGGTACGTCCTTGTGGTTTGTTTGTTTGTGTGGGTTTGACCCTTTTTTGGGATTTCAAGTAAATACTTGTTTGATGCAGAACGAGTTACAGAGGTCGACAATTAACATAGGCGAGAGTTTGGCGGGACTTTCTAGCTCCAAGAAAGAACTGATGGTATTGTTGGAGACTATTAGCAAGGAAATTTCCGCGGTCTATAGCGATTTGGAGGACAATGTGAGTGTTTGCTTACTGTTTTCTTAGCAATAGTGGAAATTAATTTTGTATGTTTTATTTTGGTAGGATGAACTCATTAGAGGCAAAAATCTTGATCAGAGGTTGAAAGCGCGTCTAAATGATGTAAGTAGCTAATGCTTGTTTCATAGCCTTCTATTCCTGGTTTCTTTTCGTAGCTTACTCTAGTGTTGTCTCTACTTCTATCAGGTTAACAAAACTATGAATCGTGTGTCTGCCTCTTTAGAGGATCATAAGAAAAAATTTGATATGCTTTGTAAAGATATTCAGACTTCATCAGACGCATTCAGCCCCTACCAAGATGCTCTATCTACCTCGGTAAGTTTTCAATGTTTGCATAGTCCTTTTGACTGGAGATTTCACATTTTCTATTGTTTTCATACATCTTATTGACTCGAGAGCAACAAACATTAATCTATTCATCCTGTTATTTTTGTATCTATAGCTGGTGTTTACCATTTCCAAGCAAATTCATTTTCCTCTTTTAAAAAGATTTCTGGGGAGTGATGAGGAAAAAGCAATGGGGAGCCTGACAGATGCAGAGCTGCGCATTGTTGATGGGATTCTCAAATATATTCCAGTCTTGCAACTGAGACGCGTCATGAATACTAATCCTCATTCTGATATCACCATCATCAAGTGCTGGAACGGAGTTCTATTTTCTTACTGGAAAGAAAATAAGGTACGATCTTTCCAAACCTCTCACCTAACCTAATAGCTTTTTTTTGTTTGGGCTGGCTACCAACACTTATAGAATTCATAGTTAAAGCCTTCTAACGTGTGCTTGTACCCATACTCGCTTACTTTCGCTTTTCCTTTCTTTCTATCCTAGCTTTGCACTGCAGAATATTGAGCATATTCATTTTCTAATCAATCTTCAAACAACAACTTTATTGTTCTTATCTTAGGATCATGTAACTGTGGATGAATTTGGGAACAGGTGGTCCTCAAAGATGGGCGATATCATAAACCAACTAGACCACGGTAAACATGCTCAATTATTAATCTTACAACCGAGTTCTAAATGGAAATAAATACAAGTTAACCATCTTGTCTTTTTTTCTGGTAGAGGTATGCTGGGCAATCGTTATCGTTGACCTTGTTAGTGCTGTGAGACACATCTTGAGACGCGACACCCAAAAAGTAAAATATTCTGCTCAATATCTTGTTGATTTCACAAGAGCAAATTCACGTTCACGTTCTAGTTCTAAAAAGAACAAACCCGGCCATTCTTGTTACGCTTGTCCTGTTCTTGAGGGGTTGAAGTATGTCCAAGAAAACGGAATCGAAACGGAAGCAGCACGTCCCTTTGATAATGCTTTTTGCAAAAAAGATTTTGATCGAAGGAGTTCCTTGAACCTAGCGTACATCGAGGATGTGGTGAAATTGCCGAGCATTGAAGAAACAATTAAAGTATTGGATAAGCATCCTGTTGCAGCTACCATACCTATCTTCGAGCCAGAGTACTCAATGATTGGAGAGGTAAATTCTTTAATTTGCAGAGAGAACAAACATATTTGTGTAACTTTCTTTTTTATTTATGCCTTTGTTGATTTTGCAGAATATTTACCGGGGCCCTACTTCTACCATTTCAAGATATGGTACTACTCATGCCATAAATATTACGGGTGTGGGAAAAGATGAGAAGACTGGTGAGAAATTTGTTTGGGCGAAATCAAGCCACGGTTTGAAATTTGGTGTTGCTGGATACATGAAGGTGTCAATAGAGATGATGATGATGTGCCTTACGACCGGTAAGTATGGGGAGTTTGTTGACAACCCATTTCGGTCTCTGTTCGAATTTGTGTACCCAACCCTTCTCTCCGAGGAAGATGAAGAAAAACGCAAGAGACAAGAGGATGTCACTTCGAATGCTTGATTCCAAACTGGTGGGACAGACTGATGTAGGGAGACTAATCGTTTAAGACTTTCAAAATTCTTGTTTAATTTCTTATTTTCCTTTGTGGGTTTCTTAGGTGTTTGCCTTCTTTTCAAAAGAAAACCCATACAACCCGATCCTACCCTTTTTGTGGTTGTTCTGAAACAAACTTGTGAGAGCAAACATACTTGCTTTCTTATAGAGTTAATCGATCAAGCTTCTGTTTTTCCTTTCCCCAAAAACCGGTGAGCGTTAACAATATTAACATCCAATTACATCTCTTAATGTGCATTTGAATTGGTAAAATGGTTTTATAAAGATTAGAGCCAATGGACAGACAAAGGACGAACACTCTTGACATTCAAATCAAAGTTACAGCAACAAAGAAGTCATTAACTCATTACACGAGTAGCACACAACAAGCGAAACATTGAGAAAATAAAATGTAGCCACAGCAGAATCTGGAGAAACAACTCTCAGATCGATAGTTTACATGATAAATACATAATGGGACAATAGGGTACTTCTTAATACATCAACATCTTGAATTCAAGCGACATCTGGTTTGGTTTTCCAGTCGTTGTTCTCCTTATGACAGCATGGAAGGGAAAACCGTGACAGGTTGAGAAGGTAATGTAGAAGTTTGCATTCTCCGCCTTGGCCTTCAACTTCAGCTTCGGCTCCCAGGTTTGCACAATTACATATAATAGCTCCAATGGCTTTGCCCACTCCATTAGCCTGATAGATTCCCAGTGGGAGAACAATGTGATTTCCGCGTACAGAAGAAACAATTCCTTGTGTTCTTCCATCTCTGATTTCCTCAACAAGTAGAATTTCGGCTTATTAAGCATATTACCGAGCCTCCACCTATCGTGAGGCAAACGATCTGGCATAGGACCTTTGAAGAAATCATCCGGGGCAAGTGTGTCACCTTCCACCTCTGAGGTACACACACAAGTAGAGATGGAAAACATTAGACACACAAACAAAACAAATAGATGGAGAGAGGTTTGCTTGTGCCCAATTGGTTTGATTAACAATTTACCTGGAGTTTGCGGCCTGTGGAGCGTTGTAATCAAACTCAGGCAACAGTCTTCTTCTTCATCTTTTTGAACGGCAGCCCTTGTTTCAAACTCGCAAGTGGAATTGCGCATTATCAGAGAATGTGATGCTTTAGCATCGGTAAGATCGTCAAAGTCGGTAAGATCCTCAAAGCCGGTATGATACAGATACTGGAAGTCATGTGGATCATCCGAAAATTGAAAGTTTGTCCCCTACAAGACAAGATCTCAAAATAAGCAGAGACAAAACAAAGCAAGAAAAAGAGAGATTAATTTACCTTTTGCAGATTGTAGCAACCAAGTCCAACTTCAGCCAAGAATTCCTGTTTGAGAGAATTGAGTCAAAACACACACATATTTTGCATAAACAAGAGTCAGTAGTAGTAAATTACCATAGGTGGAACCGCCCAGTCTACCTTCTGGGGATCAGAACATATATCTTGGTAGACATCACATTCCGGCAATTCTCCCGGAGCCATAGGTTCATATGTTGGTGAATCGGGTTGTTCATGACAGCTGTCAGTTGGTGATTGTGAAGAGGGCAAGGATGGTTCATATTCCTCCACCGGTGGTACAAAGTTGACATCTGGATAGCCACCTTCATAGTAAAGAGCTCCTACACGCTTCGGCTCATATGGGTACGGTGGATCAGGGAAAATAATGAATCCCTAAAAAGAAGAAGAAAAACAATTTAATGCAAAACATGAAAATCGCTGGTCATCCACAGTAAAATCCGATTACCTTACGACCGTAGACGCGATCATTAGTGCCTTCTCCCAGGAACATTCTTGGAAAATCTCACCAAACCCTAAATTCTAAATTCTGATAAGAGAGAGAGGGAGGATTGATTAGATTCATTAGACTCAAAACCCTAATATGAACATTTATGAAAAGAGTAGATCTCAGATGAGATCCGATGCAAAGCGAAACGAAACGTAACGTACCTTTCCTCTCTATCGCCAACTTACGATTAAGGTTTCGTGTTTATATAAAGTTCAGTTAACCAATTGACAAACACGTTCAAGTAGGGCCCAAATATGCTCATTTGATACTACGGCTCAGTATCTCTATTTGGCCCAACTAGCCCGGTTATTTTGATGATGACTGAAGTTCAAGTAAAAAGAGATTTTCATGTTTTCGAATTAATAAGAATTGAAATCAGGATTTTTTATTAGTAAAAAGAGATTTTGGCATCTTCGAATTAGCTAAGTTTTTCTTGTTGATTAAAAAAATGTTTAAACTTGTCCCAAACTGACCGCATATTCCTTTTAGACGTGAAAAAACGAATTTTCTTTTTCTGTTAAGTTTCTAATCTAATAAGTTTGGTTAAGAAAAATCACTTCCACTATCTACGAAAGATCAAAGTTTGGTCATTATTGTCAATATGCTTCTACTTCCGCAATCACATGTGGTAAACTTCTTCTGGAGATGAACAGGATTTTAAGGCCTAATGGATACTTCATTTTGTCAAGTAGTAATGACAAGATTGAGGATGATGAAGGTAATAGAACGACGTTTGAGCACTCTCTTGTTTTCCATTATATATATATATGAAATAACCTAATCAATAGAAAAGCCTCATTCCCAACCTTCCACAATATCAATTGCTTTTGCACCGTTTTTCTCTGTCATTGTTCACTCTGTTTTTGTCAATGTCGGTGTTTCTATCCACTGAGAAAGAATCTTGAATTTTTCAAGATATGGACAAGATCAATACTGATGACTTGCTGGTGAAGATATTATCATTTCTTCCAACAAAAGTTGTTGTAACCACTAGCATTTTGTCTAAACGATGGAAGTTTCATTGGATGCGGGTGACAAAGCTTGAGTATGATGATCGTGACACTAAACCTTCCAATCGCCGGAGGTTACGACGTTTTATCAAAAGGACATTGCCACTGCATAGAGTTCCCGTTTTGGAAAGCTTGCGTCTCGAGCTTAGTTCTTTACCATTTCAACCAGAAGATATCAAACTATGGGTTGAAGTTGCAGTCTCTCTCTCTGTGCTGGAGCTTAGCATTGACTATTATTCTCATCAATACAAATCTGCTACATTGCCATTTTGCTTGTACACCTGCAAATCGCTCGAGACCCTCGCACTCTTTGATGCAATTCTCATGGTTGTTCCTCGTATGGCTTGTCTTCCATCTCTGAAAAACTTGCTACTATGTGGAGTGAGATACGTAGATGAATCTTTTCAACTACTCCATGTATCTCGTACGGTTTGTTTTCCCTCCCTGAAAACTTTGTTCCTTAAAGACGTAGTCTTCTCCGATGAAAAATATCTTCGATCGCTTCTTGCCAATTGCCCTGATCTTGAATATTTGGTCATGGAACTACATGAATATGATACTATGGGAGCTGTCCACATCATTGTACCTTCTTTGAAGAGTTTATTATTAGTTATAGATTGTGATCATTCTCCCGATGTGGTTGAAATTGTTGCTCCTTCTTTGGAGTACATCAAACTAAATGATCACAACAACAATAAATTCTTGATAGAGAATATGCCTAATCTTGAAGAGGCATACATTGATGCTAATATCTTTGAATGCGAGAAATTTCTTGGAGCTTTCACATCTGTTAAGCGTCTAAACTTGTGCTTAATGCTCCAAAGATCCGAGGTGATATCTTTTTTTTAAAAAATCTTTATATATGAAATTTAAATCTTAGTAGTTATCATTATTTATCTAACGTTTAATTATGCTATGAGCAGGCTAGGAATGTTGCTGCAATTTGCTTCAATCAACTCAAAGTCTAAAGATTTGTACTTGTAAACCATATTGGTCGGTAACACTTCTCCGGTTGCTCAAAGGATCTCCTAATCTAAAAGTCCTAGAGGTTGACGGCGACAATGTAAGTTTCATTAATCTATTATAGTACTATATATTAAGACTTTGGTCTTAATCTCTAGTGTTTGATTTAACTTACATTTTTCGTTCTCAGAAAATTCCCGAATGTTTTAAGGCTCCACTGGTTTGCTGGGATCAAGTGACACCTGTGCCAGAATGTTTGCTGACGAGTCTAGAGACTTTCAAGTGGACAGGCATACCATCAAGACAAGAAGCGAGAGATATGGTTGGTTATATAACCAATAATTCTCGTTGGTTAAAGTCTGAACCGGCCCGCGGGACATATTTTCCCGGTTCGATGATTCATGTCCTTATTCGTGGTAATGATGTTCTTTTTCTATAATCTATGGAAAACCGCATGTCGTTTCGTGTGTACTAAACAGCGAACAGTTTTGGTCCTGAAAGACGAAATGGTAAAACTTTTAAACGATAAGATCGTTAGGTCAGAAAGAAAAGAACACATCATCTTCTTCTTCCACCTCACTTTCTTCCCAAATCACTGTTTCTGATATTTATGTGTTTCCTCTTCGTCACCGTTGACTTTTCGCCATTTTAACCGACATATAAAACTTGTAATAATATTATCCTTAACCAAGACTACATCAGCTCAACGGGGTCCATCGTAATCCTCGGACACGCGCTGCGTTCCCATTAGATCGACAACAAAAAGCTGTGATCTTTGGTGGTGGGTTCGACAAGTCTAATCTTGGCCATTAGCAAAATTTCTTCTTTAAATCTTTTTTATTTTAGACGTTGACAAGAAGATTAATATTGTACACTACGAGACTCGACGGGTCAATTTTAACCAGATTTAGAGGATTTGTGGATGTAATTTCTTCTTTTGGTGAGTTCCTCTTTTATATTATTCTTTTCATTCTCTTCGGATCTTCATAGTTTGAGAAGCTTCGAGTGTTTTTTTAAAGGTAGTTCCTTTGTTGTTGAAGAAGCACAATTTCAATTTCAGAGCTACTTGAAACTTAATCTTTTAACTGGGTCAATCTTGAAAGTTTGAGATTCTATAGCAGATTATCTTAGCGTTTCTGCATCTGCCAAAGTTTGAATCTTTAAATATCTTCGTTTGCGGTTATATGTACTTATAGCAGTCTATAGTTGTGTTATTGCTTCTGTTGTGTTCAATGGGAATCTTCCCTTTTAGGACAGAATGATTCTCTTTTCCCGTTCAAGTATTCCTCGTTTCATGTCCTTATAATAGGGCTTTTCTGTTCCTCAAAACCAGGTCTCTTCTTTTTGGGATTTTTCATTGGAATTGAGAGCATACACATGTGTTTTTGGAGTGAGAATTAACTTTGGGTTGTTGATTCTCTTCCTCTGGTCATGGAGGAGCCTTGTGAGACACTTGACAATGGTGAAGCTTATCAAATATCTAGATATCATACCTATAACCAACACAGCTCCAGAAGCTCATCACCCTGGTTGGATTTGAGAGTGTTCTATGTCCGGATAAGCAATTTCATGGTGGAAGATTCAACTCCTGAAGTCCTCACTATCAATCACATTCCTCTGGATCCTGATACGCTTTTGGAGATTAACGGTGTTAGAATGGGAATGTACTCGGAAGGAGGTTCTTCACAGCTTAGGAGAGATAGGGTTGATAAGAAATCTGAAGAAGCTACTTATGTCAGCACAGACAATATCAGGTTAACGGGTAGTGTGAAGTTTGAGGTTTTTGACAAAACTGAGCTAGTCTTGTCTGGAACTCTTGAGATGTGTGGTAGTAATGGTTTCACTGGGGAATCAAAGAATCGATGGAAGATGAATTGCGAGGCTGAGATCAGTGCAGGGTCTGGTTTCTTTAAGGAGAAGAGTATTAACGGTCAAGAGTTATCGTCCCCATTACCAACTATCGAGGTCTATGTTACTGGTTGCTTCTCAGGGACACCCATCATCTTGACCAAGACTCTGCAACTTGGTTTGAGAAAGAAGCAGAGTAGAAGAATGGCATTGGATTCAATTCCTGAGTATGAAACTGCAGAACCTCAGAAAGAGTACACCTCCTCTGCGCTTGATCTTCAGGTAACTTTCAAGTTGTCATTTGCCATGATTAAAATTCGTTCTCTCATTGTTCTAAAATATATCATATGCCTGATGCACTCCTCTTTCGTCTCAATGCCTCACAGTTTTCTTGAACATTTTGTTTTGTGTTCAACACATTAATTATTATCCCTGATGAAAAACTTATAATTCATAACATGTTGTGATGGTTTTTGGATCCTCTTCTTTCCCCATTGAATACATGTGTGTTGTTAGTTTTATGAAGATAAAAGTCCTTAATAAACTGAAGTGGACCAGTTTCTTCCTGATGAATTTGGCATGTGGCCTAGACAGAGTTTACGACTGAAGAGATAAATAGGAATCTCTCATTTGCCTCCTTAATCTTTAAGCTCTTATCCTTTTGTCTGCTGCTTCTATGACCCACATATGTTCGTCACTTACTATCCCCCAATATTTGCTTGGTTGTAATGTTGTGATTTGAAGTCAGTTGGATTCTTTGGAGATGGTCCATTTTAAAAATCACCATTCTTTGTATAGTAAGTATCATTCCTTTTGTCTGTAGGCAACAGAGTACGCGAACTACAAAGAGGAATACGAAGGAGACATGTATTGGAGAAGTGAGTGCATAGATGGAGAGATGTCATGGTTTAATGCAGGTGTAAGGGTTGGTGTTGGGATTGGACTTGGTGTCTGTGTTGGTCTTGGGATTGGTGTCGGTCTTCTCGTTCGTACTTATCAATCAACAACCAGAACCTTCAGGAGGAGGCTTCTCTAGTTTAGTAATACACACATTTGCACTTTTTTTTACCTTGAAATTTTGAAAGAATCATCTTTTTAAAACCGTTTGTATTTGGGTGTGATGTGAATTAAACACATTGGTGTGTGGATATGTTTGGTATTTGTTTTGCTGTAAATAAACGAGTGAGAATGTAGCTTTTATGTATTCAGAATTTGGCTGATGAGAACTAGCAAACTAGCTCTGTAACTTGAATTTTTTGGCAGATGGATTTACAAATTCTAATTTGAACTTTTTGAATTCTACTTTGATATCGATCAGATTTTTTTTTTGGCTACTCTATGCGTCTGAATAGCAACTCAAACCCTTTTAGATTGAAGCGATCTTTTTCCATGTTTAACACAACCTACAATAAACCAGAGTAAGCAACCCTAATTCTTATTACTCTTAACCCTTTTAGATAAATACACACGTTGTACTGATTGATTATTGAGTGCCAGACTCACTCATCACCCACAAGATACAAAAAGTTTATTTATCTCCCACTCCCACCAACGTTATTGTTCATCTCCTTCTCTTCCAATCTTTCCCTTCACTTTTCTCCATCGTTCATGCCACTCTTCAGGGCCTATCAGTACACCAATCTTTATTTTCCAAGATCTAATGCCAACAAGTCTACAAGATTTTCATAATCTTCTTCTGCTAAGAGAATCAAGAAAAGCAAAAGGTTGCAGTTTATCTAGAATATAAAAAGATCTATATCAGAGGATATACAAAAACCTTAGACATTCCTATTCGTACTTGCAGATTGTTCTTCCACATTTGAGCTGTTTGATTCCCTTTCCTACTTTGTGGATTGTACAAGTAGTTAGGACAAGTAACATTCAGAAAAAACCTTCCGATTAGAAGATAGTTTTTACCAGCAATCCGTGCAATTCACAGTTACAGGGACCAACATCCTAACAACTCTTCAGGTTGTACTATATTCCATTGTACTATTTGGAATGAGACTATAACGTACCATGCTCACTCTGTTTCTGAAAAAGAATTGACCGAACAGATCAAACATCTCTACAGGTTAAGAAAACATAATCAATACCTTGGTCATTAGAAACTCAATGTCTGGTCTGTGATTCTCTTCGATGATAGCACTTGGAAGAAGCATATTTAATAGCATAAGTGATGCTCCATATAGAGTCTGTGAATCCATTCCTGGTTTGCACTAATGGCAAATATGCAGGAAGCATATTAGAGAGCACAAGAAACCAGAAGCTCAAGTGATAGATGACTCAATACTGGGCTCTGTCATCCTCTTTGTGGTATGCAAGAAGCATATGAAACAAGACACTCATTCGGAGGGAGAAAGAGCCGGGCCAAGAAAGTTTATTATTAACCAATCCCGTACCATCCCTCATCCCTCCACGAAACCAAAAATTTTATTTAGGGTTGGTGACCTGCCAAGCAAGCGCACCTGTCATGGCAAAGGTCGTATACAATCAATCCCTTTCCCTATTTACTTTTCTACATCTGTTTCTTTTCAGTTTGAAAGCCCAAACAAAAACCTGTAAGTGTTCAATCTATGTAGATAGATAACACAACAACTAAAATACCCGATTTAAACCTTCTTTTTTTTATCAACGAGGGCTGATTAAGATCAACGAGAGTTGATTGGAAAATCATCGAGAGATGATAAGTAAGTCAACGAGAGTTGACAGTAACATCATCGAGAGATGATAAGTAGATCAACGAGGGGTTGATAGTAACATCATCGAGAGATGATAAGTAGATCAACGAGGGGTTGATAGTAAGATCAACGAGAATTGATCAGATATTGTTTTTTTTCCTCTGCTCTTATATTGATACCTACAGGAATACGTAACAAATTGAGTTAGCAAACTGTCAAGATATGTAAGCAGGTGATTAGAGAAACACTAGGCATAGAAAACAATGTACCTCCTGGCAGTCCTGCAAACTCTATCCATCCCATATCAGCGGCTAAGGATCCACGTCACCCGAATCGGCATAAAACGAGCTAAACCCTAAGAAGAAGATAATCTGTTAGATAAGGAGATTCAAAAGGTTAAACAAAGAAAGCACCATAAGAAGCTTTCTAATAGAAACCAAACTTACATGAAAATAACCGGACCAAGATCCTTCCTTTTCTCATACCTAGATATAAACACAAGACTTCTAATTGCTGATCAACGAGAATTGATTCGAGAGATCAACGAGGGTTTGATTAGATAAGATCAACGAGGGATTGATTAGATAAGATCAACGAGGGTTGATTCAAGAGATCAACGAGAGTTGATTGGATTAGGATCAATCAGAGTTGATTAGATTAAGATCAACGAGAGTTGATTATATAGATCAAAGAGAAATTGATCGGAGGATCAACGAGAGTTGATTATATGTTGTTTTGTCCCCTTAAGTTTGTATAAATCCCTACAGGAATAAGAAAAAGTTAGTATACCTTCATACGGACCAAACACAATCCAGTAATCCAAGTCTACAAGACATATATGCAAAAGACCCAACAGATTCAGATCAGCTGTTGATTTCCCACCCGAACCCGATATATCCAGCAAAACCCTAGAAGCACGATTGTATATATATAGAGGGGAGCAAACCCCTCAGAATCCTAGTTGGATTTAGATTTCGGAGGGATCCTACGGTTGGTATATGTTTATCTGTAAGGAATTCGACGGTCCAGATGAAACACAATGAGAAAAGGCGGTTAATAATTAATAAGGCGGTTAATATGTTTCGCGCGTAATAAGTTGGCAAGATTCACCAATGCTAGAGAGCCACGTGTCATACTTTCTCATAGATTAGCTATCAAGATCCCCATATATATTTAGTTTAACCATAATGGGCTAATATTCTTTGAACTATTTATCTTGAGATTAAACCATTTGGATAAAATTGCAAAATTAAATAACTTCTAATAGACATAGAACACAATGTGGTTGCAATTTTTCTCAACAATGTTTAACGAAATCGATATTTATGCATTTTCATTTATTTTTTCCTCAAGTTAATCGGTTATTAAGGTTACATTAAATACTTAAAAGAACGAAAGGGGTTAATCGGTTATTAAGGGATCTGTCATTGTTGGAGTGTTTGACAATGATCTCCTGGTCTTAAACATTGTTGAGTTGGGGTTCTTAAGCAATTCAATGAACTCCTTTCGTTCATAAACCAGCCTACCGTGGCATTGTAGGTCCCCTGGATCGACTAGTCGTTCCATAAATGTTCAGCTAGGTTAACACCCTTTTGTCAATTAAAACCTTTTGCACCTCCACACGGTTGCACCAGTTTCTGTCTTTTTGTGCCCCAAAATTGTCTCAGAATTAAACCAAAATTTATAAAGTAGTTAATTAGTGTAGAAGTCAATGATAAGCATAGAGAGATCAATGGATTTTTGTATTCTACTAATGTTTTTAGATGCTTTTCCCACACAAACAAAAAAAAAGTTCAATTCTTCTAAAGAAGAAATTTTGCACATTAGACTTTATGAGAAGGGAAGTGAGCAGAGCCCATTCGCCAGCCTTAATTTATATTTTAGGTGAATAAGAATAATTTTGGTCAAACTCAAAGTAAGAGGGGGAAAAAATTGATTAAAAAAGTGAGTCTCCTGCTTAATTAATTGGTACTAAAGACAAAAAAAAAAGAACTAAGATTAAGAGATAATGTAATTATTGGGAGGTACGAAAATGAAACTTAGAACTATACATATATGGTTGCTTGCGGTTTTTATCTTTATTAAAAAAGAAAAAAAAAACTGGGTTGGTTGACCTTGAGCTATCAGAAATTTGCCACTGGCTGATTTTTTCTCCCAAGTTCTTATGAAACTCTGATGTTGTTTTGTAACTTTTATTGCGAGTCACCGAACATTCATTCCCCTTCTCCCATCCGGCTTACTTGTATAGCAAGGAACATATTCAGTTTAGCAAGAGAAGCAACATCATGAGGTGCTATGAAAATTTTTCCTTATGGATTCGTAGTCTCTCTCTTCTACTTATAATTATGTCCATCTTTGATTCAAAAGTTTTCACTCTTTCAACTTCTTGTCAAACCGAATGTGGAAATATAAAGATCCCATACCCCTTTGGGATTGGTAAAGGTTGCTATCTCAACAAGTGGTACAAAATCGAGTGCAAAAACGCTAGTTTTCCATTTCTTTTCAAGATGGGCATGGAAGTTGTAAACATCTCTCTTCCAGGTGACGAATATGGTCACTATACTTCTGGATCATTCGGATCAATTCGTGTCAAAAGCCGGATAACATCCGTTGGCTGTTCTGAAGATGGAAAAGAATCTGGATCGGTTTTGAATTTGACGGATAGCCCTTTTTTCTTTGGGTTTAGAAACAGCCTCGTAGCGATTGGTTGCAACAGCAAGGCCTCGTTGACTAACATTGAGCCAAACAAGGTGGGATGCGAGTTGAACTGCACTACAAGCAAAGAGAAGTTTCCTAGCAAAAGCATCCCTTTTTCGACAAAACCGGATGTACTAGCAACGCGTTGCCTTATACTTACACTCCGGTTTGTACAAAGAACAAAGGGGAAGAAGAAAGAAGCTGTGATGGCAACGGATGTTGTCGTTCAAGTCTACCCGGTGATGAGGCTCAACAGGTGATCGGTGTCAAAATAGAAAGCTTTGATCATGGAAACACGACAAGCCGAGAATGCAGAGTCGCTTTCTTAACAGATGAAGTCTACACGTTATCAAATGCAACCGAACCAGAGAGGTTTTTTGCTAAAGGGTATGCTATAGTTAGAATTGGATGGATCCTTCAGACAAAAAATCTTTCATTCCTAAACTCCCTGAGCTGCAAAAACACAGAAGAGTACGATAATTTAACATATAATATGCAACTCAGAACAAGCTGCAGATGCAACAATATCACCATTAATGGGACCAATTATGCAAAATGTGGATGCGCGGAAGGTTACACATGTAACCCATACCGCATTGGCGGATGCGAAGGTTAGTAAAATTGTTACTAAAGTTCTCTCTTTCTGTGTGTGAAAACATAACGTGAATATTACAAATCTTTAGTGTAACATATAAAACATCGTCTGCTGATTACAATCTCGATCTTTCATATCCATTATCCAGATATTAATGACTGCCTAATACGCAATCCCGATGGAAGTCGCTGGCATTGTAGAGAAAGCGACACTTGCGTGAATGTGCCTGGAAGTTTTTATTGCGTGGGCGATAAGACTGGAGCAATAATGATAGGTAAGTTCTTATCATGAAAAAGTCTCCCAAAGTTAAAGAGATGATGATCAACGTAACGTTTTTGTATGGTTTTCAGGCGTAGGTGCAGGTTTAGGCATCTTAGTCCTAGTAGGTGGAATTTGGTGGCTGAGAAAGTTCTTTGAAAAGAGAAAGATGCAACAACAACTACATACAAGAGAAGGTAACGTCGAGAAGACAAGAATATTCACCTCGACAGAACTTGAAAAGGCCACTGAAAGCTTCAGCGAAAATAGGATACTTGGACAAGGTGGTCAAGGCACTGTATACAAGGGAATGCTTGTAGATGGTAGAACTGTCGCTGTCAAGAAATCCATAGTTTTAGATGAAGACAAACTAGAGGAGTTCATCAATGAAGTCGTCATTCTCTCTCAGATTAACCATAGACATGTCGTCAAGCTTTTGGGATGTTGTCTTGAAACAGAAGTTCCAATTCTGGTTTACGAGTTTATTGTCAATGGTAACCTTTTCCAACATATCCATGAAGAATCTGATGATTACACGGTGAGCTGGGGAGTGCGCTTGCGCATTGCCGTGGATATTGCTGGAGCTCTTTCGTATTTGCATTCTGCTGCATGTTCTCCAATTTATCACAGAGATATAAAGTCAACAAACATATTACTAGACGAGAAGTATCGAGCTAAAGTGTCTGATTTTGGTACTTCAAGATCAGTAACCGTAGATCATACTCACTGGACAACAATTATTTCAGGTACAGTAGGATATGTGGATCCAGAGTACTATGGATCCAGCCAATATACCGATAAGAGTGATGTTTATAGCTTCGGGGTCATCCTTGTTGAACTTATAACAGGAGAAAAACCTGTAATAACCCTTCCGAATTCTCGAGAAATCAGAGGGTTGGCGGAGCATTTCAGAGTAGCCATGAAAGAGAACAAATTCTTTGATATTATGGATACTCGAATCACAAATGGTTGCAAACCAGAACAAGAAATGGCAGTAGCTAATCTAGCAAATAGATGTCTGAATTCAAAGGGAAAGAAGCGCCCAAATATGAGACAAGTGTTTACCGAGCTAGAGAAGATCTGTTCAAGTCCAGAGGATTCACTGGTTCATCTTGAAAATGACAATGATGTTGATGAAGAGGAAGAAGGAACTAATACAGCAGACATAGCTGACATGTGGACCATTGGTGCTACTGCTCCAGCTTCTAGTATTGTTGCTTCGTCTTTCTCGTTAGAAGTTGAACCATTACTTCCTCGTCCCGCATGGTGACTCAAAAAGGTGAGGCAATGGTAAACAAATTGATGGTCCTTTCAAACGGTCTGGCTGAAGTTTGTGCTTGACATGTTGTTTGTCAATAATTACTTTCATGTGAATAAATGAATGATTAAATTTACTGAATCTGCTTACAAATATGGTCTCTTGTTACAATATCCTCATACACTGATTTTAGTCTTATATGCCTTTGAATCCTTTTAAATAAGGCAATCTCTCTCTCTGCATGTTGAACAATAACCTTTTCTGATATTGTAACAAGAGAATCAAGAAAAAACAGAGACCCCCAGTTTATCTTGATTAATATAGAGAGGTCTATGAGGTTTGCACAAGCACCTCTTAAACATAGCTACTTTCTTGCTTCCTCTTCCACATTTTAGCTGAATGGATCCACGTTTGTTTACAAAACAATCTACTTATTTAGAGTTGTTCCCTTTAGATATTCAATAGGTACCTGACACATTAAAAAATAAATTTAGCTGTTTTTGCAGACATACCACATTCAAAAGGCAAAAGTAACCATACCATATCCACCGATGCAGTGACCAACTGTTCAGGATTTACATTTCCATATACTTGAACATCCTCCATTCTTATAATACGTCACTTTCATATATCTTGAAGGTAAAAACCACAACAACAGAGCATAACTTACAATCTAGTATTGCTGCATACCACATAACAAAAAAGCCTTGAACTAGCCTTTCAAAGAAGCTCCACATACCAGAGAAAGCCAATCAGATTCATCGAAGATAGTACAAAATTCCGCAATCAATATTTATAGACTGTATAAGACATGATGGCTTGAGAGTTTATAGAGAGTTCTTCAAGAAGTGAAACCTAAAAGATATACAGTCAGATCTGCAGACATATCTCAAAAAGATATACAGTCAGATCTGCAGACATATCTGATATATCACACTAAAGTAGGAGAACGAAAAATCTACCTCATTTAACTAAAAACGAACTGCCAAGTCCCAACAACCCAGGTTTTGACTAGTACCCTTTCTTCTCTTTTACCCTCTTTTTCCGACATGCGTAAGATGATCACTCTGTTTCTGAAAAAAGTGATTAACAGATCAAACACCTCCACATGTAAAGAAAACATAATCATTCCCTTTCATAGAGTCATTACAAGCTTTTCGATGATAGCACATGCAAGAAATAAACTAAATAACACAAGTGATGCTCAATATTGGTTTTGTGATTCTCTTCCTGGTTTGCACTGATGGTGCATATGCAGAGCACAAGTGATGTCTCATTACTGGGGTCTATGATCTTCTTTGTCTCTTTGTGGTATGCAAGAAGCATATGCAACAGTAAGAAAACAAGAGAGGAACAAAGACACACAGTTGGGAGGGAGAGAGAGTCGGGCCAAGAAAGTGTATTATTAACCAATCCCGTGCCTTCCCTCATCCCTCAACGAAACCAAAAATTGGATCTTTTTATTAAGGGGTTTGTGACCTGCCAAGCAAGCGCACCTGTCATGGCAAAGGTCATCTACACCACCTCCCTAATTTTTTGTGTACATCTGTTTCTTCTTTTCAGTTTAAAAAAACAAACAAAAACTCCTTTTCAAGATCATTCCTTTCTTTATCAACGAGAGTTGATGATTAGAGGATCAACGAGAGTTGATGATTAGAAGATCAACGAGAGTTGATTGGAACATCATCGAGAGATGATAACTAGATCAACGAGAGTTGATAATAAGATCATCGAGAGATGATAAGTAGATCAACGAGGAGTTGATAATAAGATCAACGAGAATTGATCAGATGTTGTTTTTTCCCATGCTCTTATATTGATACCTACAGGAATACGAAACAAATTGAGTTAGCAGACTGTCATCCAAGATTACAAGATATGTAAGCAGATGATTAGAGAAACACTAGGCATATTAAACAATGTACCTCGCTGACAGTCCTGAAAACTCAATCCATCCCATATCAGCGGCTAAGGATCAACGTCACCCGAATCGGCATAAGACAAGCCAAACCCTAACAAGAAGATCAGCTGTTAGATATTCAAAGGTTAAACAAAGAAAGCAACAAAAGAATCTTTCTAATAGAAACCAAACTTACATGGAAAATAACAGTACCAAGATCCTTCCTTTTCTCATTCCTAGATATAAACACAAGACTTCTAATTGTTGACCAACGAGGGTTGATTAAATAGATCAATGAGAATTGATTAGTTAGATCAACGAGGGGTTGATTCGATAAGATCAACGAGAATTGATTCGAGAAATCAACGAGGGTTGATTATATTACGAGGGTTGATTCAAGAGATCAACGAGAGTTGATTAGATTAAGATCAACGAGAAATTGATTTAAGGATCAACGAGAAATTGATTGGAGAATCAACGAGAGTTGATGAGATGTTGGTCTGTCCCTGTATGCTCATATAAATCCCTACAAGAGTAGGAACAAAGCTTGAGTTAGCAGACTATATACGGACCAAACATAATCTAGTTATCCAGTCCTACAAGACATATATATGCAAAAGACCCAACAGATTCATAAACTGTAATAACGAAATCGAGAAACCCTATCCGTATATAACAAGTTACCTCCATGGCCGTCCGGAATACTCGATCAGATGTTGATTTCCCACCCGAATCCGGTAAAATCGAGCAAAACCCTAGAAATAAGAAATCTCAGCAAAAAAATCACCGTAAAAAAAAGGATACAGAAGGCGATCATCATTCATTGATCACTTTTTCTATATATAGAGAGGAGCAAAAGCCAGAATCCTAGACGGATTTAGATTTCGGAGAGATCCTACGGTTGTTATTGTTTTAAGTTTAAAGCAATCGACGGTCCAGATGAAAAACAAAGAGAAAAGGCGGTTAATAATTAAAAAGGCGGTTAATATGTTCGCGCGTGATAAGTTGGCAAGATTCACCAATGCTAGAGAGCCACGTGTTCTAGTTTCTTAATGTGTTTAAAGTTTAACCCTAATGGGCTAATTATCTTTTAAGTATTTATCTTGACTAAACCAATGGGATAAATATCCAAATCTAACATAGGAGAACAGAATTTGGTTGCTATTTTTCTCAAAGTAATATTTTATGCATTTTCATTTATTTTTTCTTACAGATTAATCGATAATTAAGGTTACATTTTTGGAATTAAATATTTAATCTTATATACAATTAAAAATCTGAAGTGATTCTCATGGGCTTTATTTCTTTCGTCTTTCACAACTCAACGAGGATTGGGCTGGGCCGACGTAGACTCTGACTTAACAAAACGAACAAGAGACAACTTTGCTATATCGGAAACGGCACCGTTGCGAACGGCAGGGGAATCACTGATCAGAAACTCATACGCCGCTTCGAAAGCTTCTCGCCAGAACCGAGGAAGCTTAACGCCACCGGAGCGTCCGTACACATCCCACATCTGCCTCACCACTTTCTCTCTCTCTTCAATCTCCTGTCAAATTTCACAAAACTCCCAAAATTTAAAAATCTAATTTTAGTCAACATTTCACAAAAAGTCATTTCTTGTTTCGTACCAGGACGTCGAGATCATCGCTGACGGAGAATCCGTTAGAGCCGTCAAAAGAATGGAACAAACCGATTCCTTTGAGAGAGACGGAACCGGTTAACATAGAACCAAAGGCCAAAAGAAGAACTGCGAGTAGAACCCAAAGTTTGTAACCAGCGGTTTTGCGGCCATTTACAGGCTTTCTCACCGGTAAGAGCGTTTTCGATTCTTCAAACTTCATTTTTTCTAACTGATGTACGAAACTGTCGATGGCACTTGTTGATAAAGGAACACAGGATCAATGTGAAAGAGAGACTTTTTAAGTGGATAAATTGACAAAAAGTTGGTACTGGATTTTTACTTAAATAGCGCCAAGTGGGATGGGTTAAAAAGCCACCATGACGTTGACTTCGTGTTGACTTTACTAACGTGTTCTCATTATTATGGCTGCATAAGTGTGTTTGATAATCCAGACGGTGGATACATAAGTCTTCTTGTCCAAACAGACTTAACGTTTATCAAAAAGACAAAACAAGCCTTGACCACGTTTTTTAGTCCGACCAAAGAAACAAGTAAGATTTACTAGTCAAAATTAAATAACTGTTGTATTCTTGATTATAAGACTAAAGGGTATTAATGATGTTTTGACTTGCCGTTCTACGATGGGTTACTAACCAGTTAATTGTAGTTTTTTTTTGTTTTTCTTCGTTAAAGAGGGTTACAAGTCTCAAACGATGTATTCTAAGCTCTTGCACACTTACTTAACAGAGGTTAATTATAATCCCAACAGTTCAAGACGTTCACGAATGAAACAGAAACTCAGAGATTGCTTATAAAGCTTATGGCAGACAATCAACATGACATCAATTTCAGACCGCCCGTCTGCTAATATCTCATCATTGTTTTTCTTCAGATTTTTCTAATTTTCACAGGAAAAAAAAGAATTAAAATAAAGGACTTAAAAAATGCTAAAATCATTGAATTGGAAAAAAATTAAAACTCCAGTAGAATTTTTAAAAATAAACGCTGAAACAATATTGAAAACGAACGGATTAACTATAAAAACTTTTGAGATTATGGCATCAGATAATAAGCAGAGATTGGTAGTCAACACTGATACATCTGTGTGTAGGATAAGATTCTACTCATCATTTGCCAATCAAAACACCTAATTTTTCAAAATCTATCAAAGTACAAAACAAGAATAAACATAAAACAATCACTTTCGAAAATATTGAAGAACGAACTATGAGCGATCGAGGAGGTTTGAGTTGCTGGATTGTTAAAAGAGTTTATATAGCGGAGAGGTGACGGACTAGGGTTTAGTTTTAATGGGCTTACTTTTTTATTTTCAGGACCTAACGGGCTATAAAGTCGAAAACGGTGCGGCCCATTAACATAGAAAAAACCCACAATCTTTTAAACATTTCAAACAACAAGAATATTAAGTTTATCTTTGACATAAACGCAAACACCAAAAAAAAAAAAAAGGTTTGACATGATGAGAAAGAGATGTATCTGAATAGCCAAGGAAACTGCCTAACTGTCTGCATTCGCAATGTGAAATCAAATTCGGTCAAAAGTGATAGATTGATATACATTGCTTACGAAAATGCAATCAAGTCTTTCCTTCTTTTTTTGTGTGTCTATAATATTCTTTAGATTATGTTTGGTTTGGATGTATATATTGTTTTTGTGATCTATAACTCTCAAATATTTGATCAAAAAAAAAAAAAAAAACTCTCAAATATGTGTGGGCAGAGATACAGGAGTTTAAAAGAGCCTAACATGTTTGACCCAACATGTCTCAAATGTGCGAATGTTGTTATAAGCATGTGGGTGACTAAAACAAATCCATAGAGAATCGTCCATATGTAAAAGATTAGGTCTGGAGTGAGCACGAATATTCGATTAATTTAAACTACCAAGTGTCTTGCATCGTCCTTTTGGGTTTGTTTAATTAGTACTTTTTAGACTATCAATCTTTAATTTGGTAATTAGATTTCATGGGGGACATATATAGACTTGTCACCCATAAAACATTTTGCATCTCTATTTATTGACGTATGTGTACAAAAATAATCGAACGATTATCTCAATCACTGCGGTAAAAAGACAACTGCAACATTCATAGTGACTATACCTATAAATTCTCTCTCTATATATATATATACCACAAATACAACATCCTTCTACGTACCAGTGTAAATAGTGTAGTAGCTAAGCTCGTAATTGATCGATATATAGTGTTGTTATTTGTTAACGTGCTATTCTCATATTATTCAGATAAGCCATATATGCAAAAGTCGGAAAGGAAAAAGCATTATCCTATATATGCATGGGCGAAAGCTTTCGTTCCCTACAAATCTCGTGAACGTGATGACATTCTTTCTTCTAGCTATCTCTCAATAGATGTAAGAATCATTCCAGAAGTTATATTTTCATATAAAAATTCACAAAAAGCTCCATATATTCCCTATTTACTACACAATTTCATATGGCATCATGAATTTTATAAATGTTCTTTCCTCTATGGTCCCAAACACTAGTAGTCAACTAGTAAGATCGAAAGGGGTATTGACCCGATAGAGATGCTTAGGTTTCAAAGCATATTTCTTGCCATTTGATTAGGTTTCAAAGCATATTTCTTGTGGAAGAAGAGTAGAAAAGAAAGAAAAAAAAATTAGTGAGACTGATCGATGGTAGATTGTGTGATATGCTAGTATATATGCCGATCTTAAGATTACCGAAAAATATATGAGTTTTGAATTTAATTGCATGCGTTCTACCAAAAATAAGAGAAACTTCAATAACACACAAAGATTTATTAAATAAAAATTGAAACTTACGTCTTTTATATTTCTAGTGATTCGTAGTCTAACAAAATAAAATTAAACAACAATCTTCTAACTAAAATTTAGTAGTATAACATACAATCAATACATTTTTTTATTTTTTTCATACAATCAATACATTTAGAAGACTAAATACGAATATTATTAATATGGTTCACCAACTGTTTGATACTATAAGACCATCCAATTTCCAAATCTTTAAGAACATATTCCAAGGCCATGAACACAAGTTGAGTCAAACATATTGTGTCCACTCCATCTTTATACGGTCATGCCTATATAATACACACAGTAGTATTGACGGTGTACTCATCAAAAACCTCTTCATAAATATAGAAAATCATATAAGAGAAAATGGTGACATGAAGAATGAGAACTTGTGTGGTAGCCAAGGATGACTTGCCTGCGGTTTAAACCATACAATATCAAAGACTACTCGATCGATCGATAGTCTTAGAGTTGGTTAGTCGTCAGGCAGTCCTCCTTGGCTATTCAAACAATTCTTGTTCTCTTCATTTCACATTTCTTTTTCGTTTTTTGGGGAAACTTAACTTAAGTAACAAACATTGATAATCGATTTTGTTCGGCCTCCAAATATAATAGTTTTTACTTTTTGGGGGGGGGGGGGGGGGGTTGGCCTCTAAATTTATGTTAATAGTAAGAAAAGAAAAGGACGAAGATTTGGGGATCATGGTGGACTTTGTCAATGTATAAGCATCGGGACAATGTGTTTTTGAAAAATCGAGGGCGTTGCTTCACTGTGGCCAAGAAACTTCACGTGCAGAATCTATGGATCTTGTCTTTGATTAGCATGTGTAGTTTCTATGTTTGGCTATCTAAAGTAGTATGCGGGAAAATAACTTATTTACCGTGATACCGTGTCTTCGTAAAGAAAAGGTATTTGATCTTTTGATCCAGCTGATTTGTGCGTTATTATTTTGTTAGGATATGAGAATTTTTTTTGAAAAGTTAGATCACTTTAAATTTATTTCTTGGATGAGAATAACTCTTAGAAGTTATATAACGTTAACGAGTTTTCATCAATTCGGTTATCTATCACGAATTAGTACATTCGTATATTAGTAATTACAAGAAAAAATGTTCGATTTACATGTGAATATTAGTTATCGACAAAATCATATTGTGTAAAAAAAAAGTAAAACATTTTTTAAGTTCCTTTACTGTATTTACCAAAATACTTATACTTTTCATTAGCAATTCATTAATGGAAAGAATTTTTTTTTCAAAAAAAAAAACCTTAAAACAAGTTAAAAATATCAATGTTAAAAAGATATTACATCATAAAAAGTCCTAAAAATATCTTAAGACATCTCTCACTCTTCTTAGCGCTAAAGCTTCACCGTGACCCGAAGACGACCGGAGCAAATTCCGGACACAAAGATCTCAAATTTCGACACTTTATCGATTTTCTTACATCACCCAAACAAAATCTGAGTTTAGACTCCAAACCGGACAGATCTTTCTTCTCTTTCCAGATCCTAAATCTTCATCTCCTACAGATCTGCATAAATGGCGGTTACTCCCTGATTCAGAAACGGAAAAGAAGAAAGCTTTCTGCTTAAACTTTACCCATTACTTTAATGGCGGATCCTCGAAACGGCAAGTCCTTCTTTTTCTGTTTCTCCCTCATAATCTCCTTCACTCTACTTTTCATTTCGCCGTCGTATGCCACCGAGTCTTCGGTTATCGAAGATGTTTCTACCGATGTAGCTGTCTCTGTTAGCGAACCCGATAGAGAAGCTGTTCTTTTGCATAATCTAGAGGAACTCGTTAAGAATCTGACGGAATTAGTCGCTAATCTAGATGCTAAGTTATCTGAAACTTTATCAAAGGAGAAGAACGAGATCACCAAATCAGACGATGATGATATCAGAGAAGAGAAGGAGAGAGGAGGAGGAGGAAGAGCTAAGGCGTTTTCAGTGACTAAATACAGTCCGTTTTGGTCGGAGAGGTTTCAGTTTACATCAGCTGTGAAACTCAATTCCGATGCGACTTGTATCAATGTATTGCCGTTTAAAGATTTCGAAGGTTCGAGCAAGTACTTTGCAATTGGTGATTCTAGAGGTAGAGTTTATGTGTTCTTGAGAAATGGTGATGTTTTGATTGAGTTTTTCACCACTGTTGATTCTCCGGTTACAGCTATGGTTTCATATTTATCGGTGTTTAAGAACTCGAGTTTCGTGGTTACCGGTCATCAGAATGGTGCGGTTTTGTTGCATCGGATTCACGAGGGATCGAATGGGGAAGATTGGAACTCGAATTCGGTTTCTATGGAACATGTTGGGAAGTTTGATGTGGATGATTCGGCTGATCCTGTGACTTTGTTGGAAGTGCATCATGTGGGTCGGGTTAGGTATATATTGGCGACGGATTTAAGCGGGAAGCTCACGGTTTTAACTGAGAACAGGACGGTTTATGGGTCGGTTATTCCATCGAGTAGACCGCTTGTGTTCTTGAAGCAGAGATTGTTGTTTCTTACTGAGTCTGGTGCTGGTTCCTTGGACTTAAGAAGCATGAAGATAAGAGAAACTGAGTGTGAAGGACTAAACCATTCGCTTGCCAGAACTTATGTTTTTGATGCTGCGGAACGGTCTAAAGCTTATGGATTCACATCCGAGGGCGAGATCATTCACGTATTGCTTCACGGAGATATAATGAACTTCAAATGTAGAGTTAGATCCAAGAAAAAGTTCCAAATGGAGGAGCCAGTAGCTTTACAATCAATCAAAGGCTATCTTCTCGTTATCAACGAAGAAAAGGTTTTCGCTTTCAATGTATCGACTCAGCATTATGTTCGTACTGCGGGTCCTCGGCTTTTGTTCTCTGCAGGATTAGAAGAGATCAGATCCGCGTTCTTGAGCCATCGCGAATCATCTTCAAGAACCGCAGTAGTAAAGACGAGGCCTTTGATAGCTAGCGACCGGGAAAACCTTCTTGTGATTGGTTTAGAAAACGGATATTTCGCTGTTTACAAATCGAAGCTTCCAACTCTCAAAGGAGACTTCAACACAATGCTTTGGAGCAGTCCTGTGTTCTTCTTCATACTATTTCTATTCGGGGCTTGGCATTTCTTCGCCAAGAAGAAAGAGTCTCTCACTGCATGGGGACCAGATGATCCTTTTACTCCAACCGGCGCACAAAACAGTTCGGCGAAAGAGCCAACATTTACTGAACCTTCAAGAAGAAACGATGACCTGATGGATCTACGGAGAAGGTATGCTGGTGGCTCGTACCGGTCAGTTGGAGCTAACGACCAGAGTTCTAGAGCTCCAGTGGATGGAAACTATAGAACAACCGCTCAGGATCATAACAATTATCGCGGCGGCTCAGGTCTTGATTCAAACGGTTTTGGTAATAGAAGAGACCATTTGTTTGGTAACAACAAAGTTTTGGACAACGAAAGTTAGAATCTTTGGATTACTTGCAAATTCTGGCTCGTAATCACCACTTCAAAAATTGTAATCTTTGTAAGTTTATATAAACGCTAAAGTTTTTTTTTATTACTCGTTCGTTTTTTAACCGGAAAGTCTCTTGAAATTTTCGAATAATGTAAAACTCTGGTCAAAGAATAATTATACTTTGCCAATTTTCTATATAGATGAATTTAAATATAAGTTTGACAGCTTAACAACTTAATCTCAATCATAGTCAAGATGTGTTTTTTGGTCTATCATATTCGTATCTCATGTGTGATCGTGCTAGCAAGTGGATAAATAATGGATGTGAGCCTTCTTTGTTTAATTTTTCTCCTTAATCTCGATTTATAATGTGTTATGTTGACCGTCAGATGAGTCAGCGAAAAAGTCATCTCATCGAACGGTTAAAACTTCATCTTCAACTAAAGAATTTCAGAAGGGAATCTACATCGTGTGAAGTAGAGGAACATTACTTACGAGCTTTTGATTCATCGTCGTCTTCAACTCTTCGGAGACGAAGGCAAACAAGCTCTCTCTTTCTCTCAACAACTTCAAAAGCCGGCAGGTCTGACCCGAGACCTCCGAAGAAAACAGAACATTTCTAGGGTTTTGCTCTGATCCACCACATTACCAAAACTTTCTTCAATTAGGTGATAAAAAAAAGGAGTCTTTTTTCATTTTGAGCTTCTGGGTCTTGGCTTCTGCTTTCACTAGTGTAAGGAAGAGAAAAGTCAACGGCCATGGCGGGTCGTAGAGATAGAAGCCAACAACTCCGTGGATCTCGAATTGCGATCGCCATCCTCATCGGTATCTTTATCGGTTGCGTGTGCGCCGTTATGTTCCCATACGGCTTCTTCAACTCAAGCTCATCTCTGAAAGTAAACGAACGCCTTTCGAAATCAAGTGACCAGGTACTACATCTTACGCCCTAAATCTCTAAAGCTCTAATTTTTTGCGGTTCTGTGATCGAGTTACATATTATAGGTGTTAAGTGGTTAGTGTCTAAACATAGAAATTCTTCTTGGTGATGTGTTAGTTGGAGTTTAGGTGAAGTTTATCTTGAAACTGGTTTGGTTGATTACTGGATTTTGTATCTTAATTTGGAATTAAGTTGAGTTGTTTCTGGATTCTTTGAGGTTTAAAGTTTTGAGTTTGTAGTTTACTTGGTGAAATTTCTATCACTTTCTTTGTTCAGGTTGGATCATCAGCTTGTGAATCGCCGGAACGAGTGAAAATGCTAAAATCAGACTTTGTATCTCTCTCAGAGAAGAATGCAGAGTTAAAGAAGGAAGTCAGAGAGTTAACAGAGAAGCTACGGTTAGCGGAGCAAGGATCAGACAATGCAAGAAAACAGGTTTTAGCATTGGGAAAACAGATCAAGGCGGGTCCTTTTGGGACTGTCAAGAGTCTGAGAACTAATCCAACTATCCTTTCCGATGAATCTATAAACCCAAGGTTGGCAAAGATTCTAGAGGAGATTGCTGTCGATAAAGAGGTAATCGTGGCTCTTGCAAACGCAAATGTGAAAGCTATGTTGGAGGTACAGATTGCTAGCATTAAGAGAGTGGGTATAACAAACTACCTGGTTGTTGCATTGGACGATTACATAGAGAATTTCTGTAAAGAGAAAGATGTTGCGTATTACAAGAGAGATCCAGACAAGGACGTGGACACTGTCGGGAAAAGCGGAGGTAACCATGCCGTCTCTGGATTGAAATTCCGTGTGTTGAGAGAGTTCTTGCAACTCGGTTATGGTGTTCTTCTCTCCGATGTGGATATTGTCTTCTTGCAGAACCCATTTAGTCATCTATACAGAGACTCTGATGTGGAGTCAATGAGTGATGGCCATAACAATCATACGGCTTATGGATTCAACGATGTGTTTGATGAACCAGCCATGGGATGGGCTCGGTATGCTCACACTATGAGGATATGGGTTTTCAATTCGGGGTTTTTTTATCTAAGGCCTACAATTCCATCAATTGAGCTGCTTGATCGCGTGGCAGATAGACTCTCTAAGGCTAAAGTGTGGGACCAAGCGGTTTTCAACGAGGAACTGTTTTATCCTTCACATCCTAATTATACTGCGCTACATGCATCCAAGAGAGTCATGGATATGTATGAGTTTATGAACAGTAAGGTCCTTTTCAAGACTGTAAGAAAGAATCATGAACTGAAGAAGAAAGTGAAACCGGTGATTGTTCATGTGAATTACCATCCAGATAAGCTCAATAGAATGCAAGCCGTCGTTGAGTTCTACGTTAACGGTAAGCAAGACGCGCTTGATAGCTTCCCAGATGGTTCTGAATGATTCACTGAAAAGCAGATAGGCTAAAACACTTTCCCAGTTTCTTGACATTTGTGATTCTAATCTATTTTTCCTTTATTGTTTCCATGTTCACTGCTTCATGCCTTCTACTTTCTCCTTTGTATTATGAATTTTTGTGTATCTTATGGCTAAAAAAAATCGCAAGTCTTTCTTTTTAACCTCTCTGATCTTGTTACATCGCAAGTCTTTGTTTAAGCCTTTCTTGAGGTCTGAATGATATATATGTTACATTTCAAGCCACTTAATAATGTAATATATTTGTAATGTTTTCAAGGCCTAAAAGGGATGATAATAGAAAGATACATCTTAAACATTCTATCTACAAATAATGCGTTGTGAAACAAACTCGCTGGTACAATGAATATCGATTCTAGAACAAGAACCAAAACCATGAACTGAATGAACAACACACTAAGACTCCAATCCTTCCTTCCGACGACATGACATAACGGGTTCCTGAGTACTTCATCACAACTACGAGCTTTTACCATTTCCAAGAGTGAGCTCTAGATCCTCCATAGCCACATCATGAATCCTCTCCCCTTCCCATGGCTTAACTTGGCTGTTCTCAAACTTAAACTCGGAGCTTTGACCAATCTCGTGGGTCACTGCAGCGTTTGGAGATAATTGCTGAGGTGCAGGTTTCACGAGATTGAAAGTAGGAGAGGTTGGCACCATAGAGGCAGAGAATGGCTGTTGTTGTGCAAACTTCTGAAAGCTTATCCAATGACCCGAATCAACAGTGGAAGAGTCAGACTCATCACATTCAGGTATAGTAGCCGGGGCATGGAACTGGCGATGATGGGTGGGACTGGCAGGTGCAGATACCGCGTAAAACGGATAGTTCAAAGAAGTCATTGATTGTTTAGCAGCCATGGACATGGATTGTTTGGTAAAAGATTCCCAAGTAGGCAATGGTTTGGGGTTTCTAGAATTTGGAGATGAGACTGGTGGAGTGACTGGAGCACTGTTTGAGATTCTAAGCGGAGGAAGCGATGAAGGAATACCACCATTCCTGAGGAAAGGGAAGATTGTGGAAATGTTGTGTGGATCGCCAACACGAGAAGGACTCGGGAACGAAGAAGACGAGGGACTGACTTGGTAAGATAGGATGGGGCTATCAAAAGTGGAAGACAGAGGACTTTGGTTATGGGAAGAGTAAGGAGTTGCTCGAGAAGATGATCCAGCCATGTCACCAGGTAGAGGCTTGTGTCCCTGTTGCTCATAGAACAATAGCACAATGTCACAATCAATTAATGGCTTAGATTTTCAGACACACTAAAAAAGCTAAAGGGAGAGATCTAAATATAGTAAACCAGAGAAAGCAAAATGTTAAAAGAAAGTTCTAATTCGGCTCTAAAATTAGTACATAAGACAAAACCTAAATTCACTTTCTTCAAGTCAAATCAGACGGAATCTAGATCCAAGAAAATCTTCAGATTCAACAGTTAAATCATCAGATAACTTCAGATCTAAATAAAAGTGCGTTTGATACTGACCTTGCGATAAGTAGTTCCGTCTTCTTCAACAACCCAACCAGCTTCAGAACAAAGAGCCTTGAGAACCTCATTGTTGTCACAATGTTTTGGAAGATTGTAGTTACCTTGAGCTCTAAGACCAGTATAAATCTTAGCCGCAACAGCTCTTCTCCTCCGCTCTCTCCTCCGATTGTTCTCCCTCTCTCTCCACGACGGTTTCCTCCTCGTCGCCATCGCTGCAGCTGCTGCTGACGTCGACGTTGCTCCGTCAGACGTCATCTTCTTCCCTCAACCCTCAAAACAACCCAACCACCGGTAAAAATGGGTACGGATTTTGGATTCAGCTGAAGAAGAATGAAGAGTGAGAAGTTAGTGCTCACGAGGAATACGCTTTTTTTCTTCTTCTTCGCTGGAATTATAGAAGAATCTTTCTTTCATTATTTTAATTAAACAAAGCAAAAAGAATTCACCGTTGATTTGATGAAATTAGCCACGTGTCGATGATGGATGGTGAGGATAGGTGGTGGAGTACGTAACTTACAGTGTGGTTTCGCGTAACGAATCAGTTGAAGAAGTACGTTTATGTTATGTTTCTCTAAATCTGTGTAAGAAAATGAGCTGATTTTATAAAGAGAAAAAGAAAAAAGATAGAGAGACATGTGGGGCCATTGTAATGAAGTGGGTCCTGCACGAGTATGACCGGAAAACACACCATCTGATTGGTTTATGAGGGGATCGGCCATGTTAAATAGAAAACAAATTGTTTCGAGCCTCATAACATTAATGATTAGATTAATTTGTCACTATAGTATATGGTTAAAAATAAAATAGTGTTTCACTATAGTATGAATAGAAGAAAATGAGTGTTTACTTTTGTCCTGACTGTTTAGATATCATGTGTTTATCCTTTAATTTTATCTCATTACAAAATTATATAATAAATTATTTCTGTGAAAACGAATATACGTAAAACGGAGTGGTAGATGGTTAAGATTAAAAGTTTAAATAAACCCTTAATGAAATAGTATGGTTTTTTAGCCTTTACTTTCTATCGTATACGAGGCAACAAACTATAAAGAATCAAGACATATGAGGGAGACGCTACGTACAGCTAGTAAAATACCAAAACCGACGGATTATATAGATTACCAAAGAGAACTCGAGTGGAGAAGCATGGACGTGTTAGGAAAGTATAATTGAATATACTTTCGTAATACTTATCAACATTTTGAACTAGAAGCTCCGATCTTAGTGACAACTTGCGTTTTTTAACACATGCTGATATAGTGACACTACTACATTTGAGATGGATTGTGTATATCAACATGACGGATGGTCAAGTTTCCGAACCAAGTTGTCTGAAAGCGAAGTTTAAGTCCTAAATTAAGTATTTGACAATGTATAGTAGTTTGTTCATTCTGTATTCGTGATATGCATTTTGTTGCGGCGGTTTTGGTTTATTATTTCTTCCACTTGATGTTTTTGTTGAATAGTGGATAAAAATCGTGATTTCATAAAACTGTGTGATTGATAAAACAAAACAATATTCTATCATTCTACCATTTTAAAAATTACTAAGCACTTAAGCAGAGTCGTTAATGGAAACGTAAGAATGGCTAATACAAACCTGTTGAGTTTGGTTGATTATTTCGTTCACACAACATTATTAAGTCAAACTGGAAAGCTCTATGTTTGGAAATATCGTTAAATTGTTTTGTGATTTGTAAGCATATTGTTTGATTGCTATAACAATCAGAGCCTATAATTCGGAATTATTGTTGGGGCCTGCTCTTCATTGGTCATGATGATTTTCTTTAATTTTCATGTTTTTTGACAATTGTATAGTTCATTGAACACAAAAGGAAAATTGGATAGTGGATTTGCCCCACACAAAGACCCATCATAGCAGATATGATCTTCCAACGAGTAGTCACTTATTGAATTTTTATTTAACACGCTTTTGCCTTTATATTTTGTTGAAAAGAAAAAGAAATCTAGTGAATAGCAGAATAGTGATCTTAATATAGTATGTGATCTTATTGTACTGATAATATATTATAAAAAATTTATCTGAAACATCATCTGCTTATGACAGGAAAAGGAAAAAGCTGACTAAATTGATGGTACAGTTCTGAGACAAAATAATCTTAGTTACACACTAACACTTGTAACTAACACTATAGTTGTTTCAGGCTTACTCTATTGTTGGCTGGCTTCTTCAAACGATGACGTTTCACTACACCGACCTTCTACTTCTTTCCAAGGGTTCTCTCCTAACTGTCCCCAGCTTGAGAATGAGTCATAGAGAAAAACGATCATGAGGGCCCAAGCCAGCCTTTTCCTTGGCTACAACCTAGGGAATGCGCCCACTAATCTTTCAAAAAGTATCTTGAGTCCTGAAAGTGAAGCGGTTCATTTCCCCAAGAGGTCCATCCGGCAGCCATTTCCCTAGCAAATAGCTCAAGGCACCGAGCTGGTTGAGACCCGGGAGTGTGTTTCATTAGTATCTCTACACAAAGTCCAAGTGAAAAATTGCATTACATGCTCTTGAATGTGATGAAGCCAATTGCAGAACTGAAAATATACATATAACAATACCTCCAATTGGGGGTTTCCTCGAAAAATCTCCAGGGATGCTCATGATTATCTGGTTCTTGTCCAAGAGTTCAAAATCTGACCTATGTTCTGATCCTGGAAACTATGACATGTATACACATTCTGTTCAAACAGAGGTGCCTTTCGCAGATTATTCAAGTGACAAAAACAAGAATTGACTTACTTCGGTAAAGCAGTAGCCTAGTAGAAGGTACTCATAAGGTTTATGATGGACCAGGTCCAGATCGCAAATCAGTGTACCATCTGGTTTCACCTGAATCATTTATATAGCCAGCTTGTGAAATTTTAAGTCATGTATGCAATTCAGAAAACAAGATGAAGATCGAGAGCCGAGAGGTTCAAGATAGGCTCACCTTCAACCAATACATTGTAGCTACATACTTAATTCCCCAAGCAGGGAATAGCTCTTTCTCAACAAAACTAAGTAATTTCTCTCTATCAGTCACCCATAATGCCACGAGAGCTCCTTCAGCATGAGCAAGCTGCTTGATCGGGAGAGATAAGAAGTATCGGTTTGGTAAAGTAGGATACCTAAAACAAAGAACCAAGAAACATGGGTCATGAACTTTCAGATACAAAAAATACTTATCCACATGCATACATTAAGTCGATAACGAACTTTGATTTCTGATGAGCACTTGCATTTTCCCAAGGTGGATCAATAACTATAAGATTGAAGCCTTCTTCAGGTTTAGCTGCATATATGACACCAATAAGATTAGATACATCGCCTACCAATATGATCATGGCTGATCAGAATACTCTAAAGCTCAGCTTTTAGCAAAATATCTATAATGTACTATAGCACAAGACTTACCAGGAACGAGGTTTCGGATGTGCAGTAAATCAGACTTGAAGGCAACATGGGAAAAAGAACTGTAAGATCAGAATAACCATTTCACATAGCAACTAAAAGTTTTCATCTTTATAAAGAATCATAAAATTAGGCAAGTAAAATTCACAAACCATGTAGAAACAACTCTTTCTGGGCATTATATATCTCCGGTTGGAAAACTCAGCTTCAACTTCTTCTCCTGTCTCGTTCACTACTAGGTTGTTGAACACTTGAAACACCTTCTGTTCATTGCTAGTCTCACCTATTAAACCCACAAAAACCCACAAGATCAATCACACCATCCACCAATTCATGGGTTCCAAATAGGATTTATGAAGTGAAACAGAGAAAACAAAAAACCTTCATTGTCGCAATGTAGATTAAAATTCAGTGTTATCTCATAGAAAGGAGCTTGCCACACTCCTCCAAGATCAATAAAAGAGAGTTCATCGTCAAAACACTTGTTCAACAAACTAGAATCATCATCACTTAGACCTTTCGTTAAATTCAACAACTCAATGTCCTTTAAAAAGGATTCATGGGCTTTCGATAAGAACAGCCTCGCTTCCTGATGACGAAGATTCGAAGCTTGCTCTCCTACACTAGGAAGGTGAAAGTTAGGGTTTTTCTGCTTCCGTTTTCGCTTTCTCGGATTAGAGTCGCTGGATTGTTGATTGAGTTGCTTGGAATTGAAGAAACGAGAGTAATAAGCAGAAGGTGAAACCCTAAATCGGGTATATGAACGATTGGTGATACGAACTGGGTCTAAGAAGAACCAATTGGAGTCGTCGGATTCGTAGATGCCCGAATCAAGGAATTGAGCTAGCTTATCAGTTTTCGCCATTAACGACTTCAACACTCTAGTCGCTCTGTTCAAACAAAACCCTCGAAGACGACGACAGACGTGTATGATTATTCTCATTAACCCCTTCAATTTTTGTAATTAACCACAATTAGCCTCCTAATTTTGAATGTTACAAGTAACCCCCCAATTTAGTGTAAATCCTTCGAAAGTTTTCCGGTTATTGATTGATTTTGTCCATTTAATTCATTCATATACGCAAAACCCGTGTTCCAGCCTCTAGATTTTGTAGATTATGTTTAAAAACAATAAAGAACAAAAGAATGAAATTTTGATTTTTATGGGAGGGAAATGGTAAAGGGTAAAGGAGCATTAAAAGTTACGAATAATTGAAGCAGGGGTTTGGTGAGGGGTCGCTTTGATAGTTTCCCCAAATATGGGGACGGTTTTATTTTTGGGTGGGCTTTGTTAACTGTGACAATGACAATGACCCGATTAAAGTTTTGGACAAATAATTGATCCAAACATGTAACTTTCATATAGTAAAATCATGTATTTAACACACACAAAAAAAAAGTTAAATATACTACTAGATTTATAATCATTGGTCGAAAGAAAAGCCTTATATTAGTAGTATGAATTTTGTATTGCGTCGCTTGAGCTCTTTTGATTAGAATATCGATGTGTGTTTAATAGTGCTATCATTAAAGAGACACAACATTAAACCCCGTATATTTCCCGTATTTAATAATACTCAATTATCCCATTCGACCAGACATATTTGATTGGTTTTTAGCCATTTTATGAGTTCAAGTAATTGTTCGATGTCTATTTTACTGTATTTGATCCATTTATTTCACTTATTAAACAGTACTTATTTCGTTAGTTTTGTTTATTTTGCTGCTTAGAGAACCTGGTTTTCAAAAAGTAAAAACAGTTTTCACTATAATAATAATAATAAAATAATAATGGAGAAAGCAATAATTATATAAGAAAGAAAATAATAAGATAAGGACAAAGAATATCCAAAATTTTCAAACAAGAGAAAAAAAAAAGTAACGTGAAGAAGGGTACAATCGTCATTCAATCAGAAAACGGGTCCCATACATCTCTGTCTTTATTAAACACCAGTCAACCATTCAGGTCAATCGCGTGTTCAATAATTACCAAAAGTACCCCTCCGGTTAAATCCAAAAAAACCGGTTCTGTTTTTGCATAACGCATATAGTTTCAGTACAATGCTTACGTGGCAAATTATAACTGGTCAACGTGGTGGAAGCCTGTCTCTATCATCCTCTCTTTTCTTCTCTTTCCCTCCCCTTCCTTCTCTTTACTACTACTCTGCTTCTTCTCTCATCTCTCTTCTCTCTCTGCTTCATCTTGTGGGACAAACCCTAATTATTTTACATCGATCTCTCTCCACTTTTCCCGCTCAATCATCTGATCTTTCCCTCTCTCTCAGCAATGCATGATCTTCGATTTTGTATCAGTGTTCACAGCTGAAAAATTCGAAGTGGGTCTGTTGATTTCTTCAGGGTCTAAATCAGGTTAGAGAAGAAGAAGAAGAAGAAGAAGAATGCTGGAAGCTGTAGATAGCTCAGGAGTGGTGAATGGAGGATTCCCACAGATACAGAGCTTTTACGGCGATTGCAGTAGTGAAGAAGAGTTATCAGTATTGCCACGTCATACAAAAGTGGTGGTCACCGGAAACAACCGTACGAAATCGGTGCTTGTTGGTCTTCAAGGTGTTGTTAAAAAAGCTGTCGGTCTCGGTGGTTGGCATTGGCTGGTAAAGTTTTTTACTTTCTTTCCTTTTTTGGTAAAAATGTTATCTTTCTTGTTTCCTTTTCCGTTTTCCTTTTATAGATAAAATTTCGATCTAATCTTAGTGTTTCTCTTTGTTTTCTGGATTTACCAAGTTTTGCAATTCAATCTATTGAATCGATGAACTGAATTTGGGGTTTTGGGATGATTTTGAATTTCAAATTTTGGATTTTCTCTTGAATTTCTCAAAATGATCTTTCTTTAAATTAGATATAATCATTAAACCAAGAGTTGTTACTTGTTAGTGTGCTAAAAATGAAATCTTTTTGTCTTTACCAATGTTAAATCTGTAAATCTGGCGATTGAACTTGTTGCATGCATGTTATTAGCATTCAAGTCACCATTATTGCTGGATTCTGAGTTCTTAGATAGTTAGGTTATTCATGAAGCCTTCATTGGTTTTTGTTTTTCTATATTAATTTTTCTGAGTAACAGTTTTTTTTTTGCATCTGATGAAACTTCTTTTCTTCAGTATATTTCTCTTTAGTTATTTTGATGTTTCTTGCTAAGATTCAGGCTCAATTTAAGGAATCATCTATAGGGGATAAGGGATTTTGAGTTTGCAAACATTAAGTTAGGCAACTATAATTTCGCGCCTGTTGAAAAAACATCATAACAAAAATGCACTTGTTATCTAATTCTTCATCATGTTTCTTGACATTTTTATCCCTTTTTTGTTCTCCACCTTATGGATTCAAGCTGGCTTTTTTGAAATTTGTTTGTCTTTTGATTAGTGATAATCATTTGTTTTAGAGGTTTTTTTTTCTTTTGTTCTTTCTTAATTAGTTGAGTCATTTTCGTCCCCAAGCAGTGTCACTTCTGTCGATTATTTTTTTCTTTAACAAATCTTTTTGCTTTGGTTGGCTAGTTTATATTATAAGTTTCTCTGCAAGATCTTTTTGATAGTGTCTCTGTGTATGTGGACCTAAAGGAGTAACTTCACCATATTCGAGCTTTAAACTTTAGAGAATAATCCAAATAATATACAATTTTCTTCAGTATCACGATTATATTTTACTATTAGTGATATCACATTCCACCAGTTCTTGTCTCCCAGAATTCCTATGGAAGTAACAAAAGAAAATTTTAATTTATTTTGAAACATACCATATTCTTCTTCTTCTTGAGCTTTAATTCAAATCAATATGTCAGTACTTGTTTATGGAGTTAAAAGTATATAATCAGATTCATTCTGTGCTTTTTGGTTTTTCTTTTTGTTTTTAGGTTCTGACAAATGGTATAGAAGTAAAGTTGCAGAGGAATGCGCTTAGTGTCCTTGAACATCCTACTGGAAACGAAGAGGACGATGATCTTGATTTCGAAAACACACAGAGGAATGGCTCCGATATGAGTAAGTTTGATTCCTTGATATTTTTTAACGATTCTGCCAATTTGTCAAAAACTTGACAGAGAGATTTCTAAACTTGAGTTAGTCTCTAGTGAGCTACTAAGTGGTATATTGTTTTTTGGACATAAAAGTGGGAACCTTTTTAACTGATTCCCTCAGTCTTGTTTCTATGATAAGTTGTTTCTTTTCCAGCATCTGAGGACACGCTTAAGCCTCATAAGTCTAAGCAAAGAGGGCAGAGATCATCGCGGTCATCTCACAAGACGATGAGCAGATCTCTATCATCTGACTCGCAATCAAAAAGTTCGGGTTTTACTCCCCGTGAAAACATGGTATGCATTCAAAATCTTTGACATCTATCTCATTTACCAGTGAACATAATGCAACTAATTGTAAGTTTACTAATGCAATGTCATATGCTTTCAAGCAGAAGGTTGATCTTAGCAAATTGGAAATGCCTGCTTTACTGAATTATTGGCGACATTTTAACCTTGTAAGTCGATTTCCAGAAGAAAAGAAAGAACTTTCGTTTTTACTCAATCATGAACTCTACTATCTATGTGCTTGTTTCTGAATAAAATCTTTGTAGGTGGATGCTATTCCTAATCCATCAAAGGAGCAACTAATTGACATTGTTCAAAGGCACTTCATGTCTCAGGTACATAAAATCCTTCTGAGCCTTCTCTGAGTTACAAATTTGCCTTAAATTTGTCCTGATGATCAATAAAATGATGTAAAACTGTGATATGACTACAGCAAATGGATGAGCTTCAGGTTATTGTGGGGTTTGTCCAAGCTGCAAAGAGAATGAAGAAGGCTTGCAAGTTTCAATCCAAAGAATCCAGAAACACTGATCTTAACTGCATCAGCTAAAGAAAAGCCCTGACTCTTAACAAATCCTGTATGTACGGTACATCAACTTGTTTAACCATTTGTGGCTTGCTAAGTTTAGTTCTTCTAGTGATGTTTGGCTAAAGGGTAGATGTTGTTTCTTCTTTGCTTCTGTTGTTTAGCCAATGTAAGTACCATCAAAAAAACCAAATAACTCTCTAAAGCTCCCTATTGGAAACTATCTGGTCTGATACGATCTGGAGTGACCGGTATGTTAGAATGTAAATATGTTTGGTATCATTTCTCTCACTTTTTTCTTTCATTTCCTTTAACCTCAAGTCAAATTTAAATGTTAAAGAGAAATTCCTACCAAAAAAAAAATTAATGAGAGAGCTTACTAAATTTATAAAGTAGTAATTAATCGGAAGATGTTGGAAATGTTTTTTCGTAGAGCAACTTGGATAATGTGTTTGTTAGATAAAGTGTCATAAAACGTGTTCAAAAAAAAAAAGATAAAGTGTCATAAAAAAAGAACATTTCATAAAGTGATGAAATCTTTGATTTAAGGATTAAAAAAAAACAATAACCATATCTTTTATTCTTAAAGTAAACATTTTGAAGATTTATTTGCCCTTCCTCAAGGCGCATGCATTGTTTGTCAACTACATAGACAATTAGAGATGCTATTTTGAGAACACTTAATTGACAAACGAATGTGTGATTGGTTTGGAGTAAAATCTGCTATAAAAGAAAAAAAAAAACTATTTTACTCAAATAAACTTTGATATTTTTATGTAATAATCTTTTTTCTTAAACAATCAAATATACAAAGTTTCATCTTTTTTTTTGAAACATAAATCTTTTGTCTTCCTCGTTGATAATAATGGCTATGCATGCCGTATCTCATCTTTTGTTTTAGAAATGTCGCCTTTTTGTATTTGTGAAGGAGATTAAAGAGACGAATAAAACATAAAAATATGTTAAAAATGATCAATCTTTTTATTCATTGAAAAATAATAATAATAACTAATAATTAATAAAGACGATTTTTGCCTAAGAACAGAAACTGATCTCATAATTAGCATTAGTACAAGTAAAAGTACTGGAAGCATCATCGTATGCATAGCTATACGCACTTGGACAAGCTTGTTTAAATATCTTCGAGTAATTGGTGGGCGGACAAGTCGCCGGTGTACTATACGCGCCGGTGCAACAATACTCCGGCTTGTTAAAAGCCTCACAAGCACTCTTACACGCTGCAACACCCGATGGACCCGTAACTTGTAGCTCTTTTGGACAAATCGCATTCACGTCCGAAACGCATCCCGCGGTTTGACAATCCCCTGAGCCGCCTTGCGGTGTGATTTTCATCTGAACATTGTAACCATCTACGAGGCTCACGTCGTAAAAATCTTGCACGGCGTTTTTCTTTCCGGAGGAGCCGATTGTGAATTCGGCGAGTGTAGCTGGTGGAGCTCCTCCTGCGCCGGCGCATTTTAACTTGCTGCCGCAGTCCCCGGTACCGCATTTACCTGAGCCTGAGGCGTCAAAGTTGCAATACGTTCGAGCCCAGAATCGACCGGACCAACCTGGAGAAACGGTAAAAGTTACGGAAGATCCTGAAGCTAAGGCAAATCCGCCGTCCCCGAGTTGTGCGCCGTTTGCGGTGAGGATACCAGGCCAGATGGTGGAGCCGCAATGGTTTGTTAAGGTGAAGGTTGTACCGGAGACAGAAATTGTACCTTGCAATACAATTCAAAATAAATTAATTATGAAAACAAAAATATTTTATGAGATAAATTATTAAATCAAAGTAGTAATCGGAAAATGCTGGAAATGTTTTATGTATACATGTGGCTATGATGAAGGAGATGAAGAGAAGATGTGATGTGGAGAAAATCGCCATTGTTAATCTGAGTATTGAAAATTTGAAGCTGTGAATGATGATGAGTGGAGGAAGTTGATGGTGAGGATCCTCTATTTATAGTGTTTTCTCTCTTCTTTTCAGAAAATCAACTTTAGCTTATTATTTTGGATACTACTTACCACAAAGTGACACCTCATATATTAAATAGATCTTCCGTTTGTGATTATTGTTCTTAATTGTTACTTTTACTTTTTACTTTTATTGATTTATGTGATTATTGTTCTTAATTACATAAAAATCAACTTTCATAATATTAAATAGATCTTCCGTTCAAAAGCTGATTTTTTCCCCTCATATTTTGTTAGCAAATATGAAAGTTTATTTTTTTATGTAATTAAGAAAATCTACAAGAGATATATAAATTGGCAAATATGACGTGTACGGTAGCAACATTTACTTTGCAAAATGCTCCCAAATAAAATAATAAATATCATACATGTTTTTTTTCAGTAACACTATATTTCATTTTTTTAAAACGTTAATTTAATATAATGTCCTAATTATTAACATGCTACGTGAATTATACATTATACCCGTTATTTTTTGAAACGTGGGAGACCGCACGTGTGGGATTACTACTCTCATGTTGGATATTTAAGTGTACGTGATATTTAAGTGTACGTACATCGTCGGTTATTCACGAATGTTGGATATTTAAGTGTACGTACATCGACGGTTAGTGTACGTACATCGACGGTTATTCACCAACCATCGCACCTTTTGGTACAAACGGTTATTATATTAAACGTACGGTTGCAAACGTACGTGAAGACCGTTGATCACTATAAAACTCTGTTTCTCTTGTGTCAAACAGGAGAGAGAAGTACAGAGCACGAGAGTTTCACAAGATCAAAGATTGAAAGAATCTTTGGTGATAAACACATAAACAAAACACATAATCTCTATTTGTTTCTCTTGTATCTTAGCCTAGAACATCTACTCCTTGGTACAGAAAAATTATCACCGACTAAGGGTTGTCATGTAACACTTCTTTTACCGACCAAATCAGAACATGTTCATGACCTGCTGTTTAAAATTTAAACAGACAAGGCCAAAGATGAAAAAAAACACTCTCAATATTCCGCTTTTTCGGTATATTTCCTCTATTTGTCTCAATAATAAGTTCACTAAGAACATTAAAAACAAACGTAGATACACTAGGAGATACACGCTATGATAAAGGATTACAAGTTTGGTTTGCAACAAGAGTCTAAGTGTTTTAGTCTCTAATCATTCATACCTAAGTTGAATTTCAATTTCCTTCTCTAAACTACGATGTACAAACACTATTTTTCTTTGAATATAATTTAACATTATTTTAAAAAGAAAGAAAAAAAACAAACAAACGTAGAATAGGGAGTAGTAGTAGACGTTTGGATAAGTAGATAAACTAATGATAAATCGTCGAGCGAGTATCCGTACCGAGTCGGGTTGAATCTGGCTGGCACTGAAACTGACTTAAAAAGGCCTTTAAACCGTCTCAACGTCGGTTTTATCCTAGCTGGCACATACTTGACCTGCCATAAAAGTCTTACGTGATATTATTTTATATTCATCGACATCCATTAGATTTGTACATATCTCAAGTTATCAACCAATCCAACGGTTTAAAGACGATATAGTTGACTTGAAACAGCCACTAGTTCTCCGTCACGTGCACACATGTTCCCACGTGGACTTGGGGGATCAGTCCAAAAGACACGTCAATTCGCGTGTAATTAAATAAAACAAAACAGGTTTATTACTAATATTCTGAAAATATCTTTCTCTCGATGAAACTTGTCTCCTCCGGCCAACCTTAACCCTTAAGCGAACGGTGTTCCTTTCCGGATTGCGATCGTTCCGTCGATCCCTTCATCGGCCGATCTAACTCTTTAATCGGTAATTATATATTCCGATCATTACTTCGTTTACGAATTGCTCCAACTCTTTTGCTTCTTTTGTTTTCCCTCTTTAATTCTCGGTTTTCGTATCTGTTTATGATTTGGTACGATTCGAGATAAGTTGGTTATTATCATCATCGGAATATATGATCGGTGATTTAGTGGTTTATCGGAGAGATCTTGAGGTTTATGATTCCGTTTTGATTGTTTGAAATCACTTATTTTTTTTTTGGGAGTTTTTAATGTATATTATTAAGGCTGTATGATCCATCAATGATTATTGAATCATGACAAATTCAAGCAAATTGGAAAATTTGGAATCACTAATTTCATTTTGGTCAATGAGAGTTGTTGATTAGTTAATAAATCTTCTCTGTTTACTCGTGTTAATTTATATGCTGCTTGTGATAATCCACTGTAGGAGGTTTGTGGTGAATCATGTCTGATGTCCCTTCTTGTTCTAGCGGCAATGATACAACCAACAATGATTCGAGTAACTTCGAATGTAACATCTGCTTAGACTTGGCTCAAGATCCTATTGTCACTCTCTGTGGTCACTTGTTCTGTTGGCCTTGTTTATACAAATGGCTCCATCTTCATTCTCAATCTAAGGACTGTCCTGTTTGCAAAGCCGTGATCGAAGAAGACAGATTGGTTCCTTTGTACGGTAGAGGTAAATCGTCTGCCGACCCTCGATCCAAGTCCATTCCTGGACTCGAAGTGCCTAACCGTCCATCGGGACAGAGACCCGAAACTGCACAACCTCCTGATCCTAACCATGGTTTTGCTCATCATCATGGGTTTGGTGGGTTCATGGGAGGTTTTGCTGCTCCCATGGCGAGTGCGCGGTTTGGGAATGTTACATTGTCTGCAGCGTTTGGCGGTTTGATTCCTTCGTTGTTCAACCTCCATTTCCATGGATTCCCTGATGCAGCCATGTATGGAGCTGCTGCTTCTGGCGGATTCCCTCACGGTTTCTCAAATCCTTTCCATGGAGGACACTCACATATGCATAGTTACCAGCGGCACGCAGGACGACAAGGACAACAAGACAATCACTTGAAGATATTGTCACTTGTTGTTTTTGTCGTCGTTGTGTTATCCCTCTTCTTGAGCTAGTGAGGAAATCGATTAGCAAACTTCATTTCGCTTTTTTAATTCTAGATCTTATTGCATAAAAACCTGGGAAGATATGCTGTGAGTTGGCTTGTAATCTGCTACTTTAGCAAATTGTTCATATATCAATACATATCGGATTCTCTTACTAATGTTGTTACTTAAGGATATGACTTGAGAGTCTCAATAATTCTGTTGTTTAATTATTCTCATAATAATGTTGATACGATTATTATTCATCATCAAGTGGTTGGCTCCTTCGGATTTTTTACTTGGGTTTATCTGCAAACTTCTTCCCTTTTCTGAGAAGTTTTTGCAGCAACTAGACATTCTCTAGTGTTCATAGCTTTCGAAGACAAGACATAAGATGCTCAAGTTGTAGGTGGTTAGCTACCAGAAGAATTATCTTCCTCTCGGAGTACAAAAAAGCTTTTTATTTGATACTATTGAAAAATGTTTACACCGTTCACATTATATATAATTTTCTTATTAATATTTTAGGATATACCTAATTTTATTTTATTTTAGTTTTCTTAGTAAAAACATTTAACTAACAATAGTTATGCAAGAAATTTGTTTTTGAAGTATTTAGATGTGCAATGTCTATATTTTTTAAGTAATATTGTAATTTTGTCAAGTTATATATACTCTATGTCTCTTTTCAGAATATACATACAAATATTTTGAAGTCACATGCAGCCAATGCATCCAAGTTTTCTTTAATTATTAGGAAGCAGGAAACAACTACTATTTCAGAAGAAGACTAAAATTATGGCTTTTTGGACTCATAGAAGTGAATGTGTAGACCATACATGCTTATTCGAAATCTACCTTTGAAACGGTGAGACCCATCGTAATTTTTTATTTTTTTGTCAGAGAGTTCACACACACATACATGCAATCTCCACTTCATTTGTTTCAAATCAAAGTTATACATCTATATTGCATACATACATGAACATGTATTAATAACTAATAAGCCTTCCCTTCATGCACATATGACACATGCTCATTTATTATTACGTTGGTTTCTATATTTTATTTTAATGTGTGATCTGAAGGCTGAAGCCATGCCTTCATCGATCATATTTATTATTACGTTCGTTCGTTTCTACTATATTCAGAGTTTCATAGTTTCCCACTGAGGAATAAAAATGAGCTATGTTTGTCGCTAAATAATATACAATTCATATAGTCATATTGTGAGAATTCTAATGATAAACTGAAATTAATTAGTTCTAGTTGAAATATATTAAAGTAAATAGAAGAAGGAAACCTCGCATTCGCACAATGCTTTAAGTCTTAGCACCCAATTCCCTTAGGATGTAAGTGAAGGGGTATTCAAGATAAAACGATGGCCCAACAGATCAAGTTGGCTTCTTAACTTAGTACTATAATTGTATAATGGAAAAGTTTTATAGTATTTTAATTATTTACTAGTATAGTTTTTGATTTTGATTATTCAACATAATTACCATCAGTACTAACAAAACGAGCTAATGTGCTTAATACTATAGACAAAATGCATTCTTTGGAAAAGACTTGCTTAATTGCTCTCCTAATTTGGAAATGAATTGTCGTCGGTTAAAACCTCTAGGGGTGAACCTCTTATATTCACCCCCTTTATTTCAGCCAATTAGGATTTACCACCTAATAATAATAATTTTTTTTATTTAATTATAGATCTAATTTGCCACTAGAACGAAATTATGTATCGGTTTGGGGTTATTCAGAAAGTGTTAGGGTTTAGATTTTATGATTAAACGAGGTTAAATATCGGTTTGGGTTTATAGACGGATTTAGATTTTACAATTAAACGAGGTTAAATGTCGGTTTGGGTTAGAAAATACGATTAGAGGTTTAGATTTTATGATTAAACGAGGTTAAATATCGGTTTGGGTTTATAAACAGATTTAGATTTTACAATTAAACGAAGTTAAATGTCGGTTTGGTTTTAGAAAGTACGATTAGGATTTAGATTTTTTACGATTAAACGAGTTTAAATGACGGTTTGGGTTTACAAAGGAGAATTAGAGTTTAGATTTGTAATTAAACGAGATTATATATCGGTTTGGGTTTACAAAAGAGTGGTTAGGGATTAGATTTAATAATTAAATAAATTTAATTTTTTTTATTATGTGGCGAATTTTGATTGGTTAAAATAAAAAGGAATGAAGGGTGAACCCAAGTATTGCTCTAAGTTTTAACTAATTAATACGTGTTTTAATTTGCATGATAGGTATATAGATTTTAGTTTCAAATTTTATTTATTACAATTATTAGAAAATTTGAAAATCATCAGGAAAAGAAAAAGGGAAACCCACTTCCTGACCATGTGCCCATTCCCCATGATCCAAAAAAAGTTTCTTAAAAAAAGAAAAGAAACAATCATTGAAAATAAAAGACTAACATTTAAAAATAAAATAAAAAGACTAGAACCAATAAGCCAAAAAAAAATAGCGTGGCAGAGATAATCGCAGGTATAATAGGAATTTTCAAATGGATCCAGTTTATTTATTAATTGTATTTCATTTCACCTATAAATTTCGTAGTCATGGAAAGTGACAAAGGACCATAATAGAAACTTCAAAGAAAAAACTAAAAAAGTTATAACAAAAATGAATAGATTTACTATAAAGCTTGAAGCTAAACAAAAACATCTCAACCACAAGAATTATTGACAAAGTCATGTATATAGAATTATATTTCATTATTTTGTACAGCTCGTTAAATTATTCTCAAAACATTCATTTCACGTTTCTATCTTCCTCCTATTCTTCTGCAATTGTGATTCGTACCAAGTACTAGCCACATAATTTTCAATAATTTCTCGAGATATATCTACCCTAAAAATTCGAATTCCAAAAACTATTTGTTTGTACTGTATGCAGAGACAAATATAACGACATTACGTGTGTAAATTTGTTTTTGATAACTGATAAGTACTTATCATTGTCATATATCAACTTCCATGTCTCTTTTCATTTTTTTGCATTTTGCAATAAGAAAAAAATTACAAAACGAAAATTATAAAAACTCAAATCTCATTAATAAATAGCTTAATCACCAATTAATATACATTATAGCCTATAACGTGGATCTACACTGATTTTCGGTAATCATGTGGATACAATAAATTCCCACACTTCTGCATTCGATATAAAAAACATTTAAGTCGAAAAATTCAGTAAATAATTTGACCATTTTTTTGTTTCACTGACGCAATAATATGGGTTTTCAGTTTTCAAGATTAGAAATACAAGAAAAAAAAACAATGAAAAGGGCTTGGAATCTAATCAATATATAAATAATTTCGATGAGAGAAACCCAAAATCTAAGCAAAACCCTTTTTTAATTTTCCTCTCTCTTACACACACACACACATGATAAAAAGTCTTTAGAGACAGCTCTTCTCTTCATGTTTCTCAGTTTGAGAGAAACAAAACCTTCCAATACAATCAGAGACTCGTCTGCGAACTGAGAAGAAAGAAACCATGTCCCAACATCTTCTTCTTCTTCTCATTCTCCTCTCACTTCTTCTTCATAATCCCATTTCCGCCTCTCCAATTATTCAAAAATTCAAAGAAGCCCCACAGTTTTACAATTCTGCAGATTGCCCCTCAATCGATGACTCCGACGATGACGTGGCCGCCAAACCAATCTTCTGCTCCCGTCGAGCCGTCCACGTGGCGATGACACTAGACGCCGCCTACATTCGCGGTTCAGTCGCCGCCGTCCTCTCCGTCCTCCAACACTCTTCTTGCCCTGAAAACATTGTTTTCCACTTCGTCGCCTCTGCTTCCGCCGACGCTTCTTCCTTACGCGCCACCATCTCCTCCTCTTTCCCTTACCTTGATTTCACCGTCTACGTCTTCAACGTCTCCTCCGTCTCTCGCCTTATCTCCTCCTCTATCCGCTCCGCACTAGACTGTCCTTTAAACTACGCAAGAAGCTACCTCGCCGATCTCCTCCCTCCATGCGTCCGCCGCGTCGTCTACCTAGACTCCGATCTCATCCTCGTCGACGACATCGCAAAACTCGCCGCAACAGATCTCGGCCGTGATTCAGTCCTCGCCGCGCCGGAATACTGCAACGCCAATTTCACTTCCTACTTCACATCAACCTTCTGGTCAAATCCGACTCTCTCTTTAACCTTCGCCGATAGAAAAGCTTGCTACTTCAACACCGGAGTCATGGTGATCGATCTCTCGCGGTGGCGCGAAGGCGCGTACACGTCACGCATCGAAGAGTGGATGGCGATGCAAAAGAGAATGAGAATTTACGAGCTTGGTTCGTTACCACCGTTTTTATTGGTTTTTGCCGGTTTGATTAAACCGGTTAATCATCGATGGAATCAGCACGGTTTAGGAGGTGATAATTTCAGAGGACTGTGTAGAGATCTGCATCCTGGTCCGGTGAGTCTGTTGCATTGGAGTGGGAAAGGTAAGCCATGGGCTAGGCTTGACGCTGGTCGGCCTTGTCCTTTAGACGCGCTTTGGGCTCCGTATGATCTTCTTCAAACGCCGTTCGCGTTGGATTCTTGACCAGTCGCGGTTTACTTATTATTATACCGGTACATATCATATATACAGGTGATTTTTTGTTTTTACTGTACATGGATTCGTAAATCATACTATAACCAAAGGAAAAAAAAAAACATTTTGCTTTTGTTTGTTGTTGGTTTCATCGGTTTTGTTTTGGAGTATAGCTGAGAATAAGAAAAAGTAATCTCAAGTGACCAAAAGAATGAAAAATAGTGGCTAAAATTTTAACATTTTCTAAAAGTGTTATTTTATCAATTAGTGTTTTAACAAAAATGTCTATTTGGTACCTTTAATGAAATTAATGCGATTGCATTTGGTAACATGGGAGATTAAATGGAACATATATATACACGTAACCTGTAAAATTTATATGAGAGAAATAATAACTTTTTTACATATTATACGGTTGTTAATTTAATCGGTTATGTTTGGATTATAGAAGTGAATGTAAAATGGAAGAGATTGAACTATTGGGCATTTAAGAACGCTGCGTTAGCGTTGTGCATATGGGGAATGGAACAAATGGAACTTTAGAAACCGAATTTAAATTGCCAAACATAAGAATCTATAATTGTAAATGAAGGTACATGATGTCCATTGTCGGATTCTAGCTATGTGTAGACGGTTCGTAGGTTGAAGAGCACATGTGTTGCCTCAGTTTCGATTTCCATCATCCGTCTTTAATACAATATCACGTGTCTAAACTTTCGCTATTTCTTCATTTTTGTCTTATGGAAAATACCAAATCATAGAAAACCAAGCCATAGTAAAAGCTCCTTTCCACGTATATTTCCATGAAATTCTTATGGGTGGATTTTAACAAAAAAAAAAAGAAATTCTTATGGGTGGATAGTGGATACTAGCAAATAATTTACAAATAGTAACGTTATTGAGAAAAGATCATGTTCTTGAAGAAATTTACAAGTAATTCGTATATTCTTGAAGAAATAGCAATGAACCAAGTAGGAAAGAAATCAGAGTCACCCGCGACATGCTTGTTTGAGTCATAGATCCATAATGTTAATTGTTTAATTAAAATGTCGACGAAATTAAATCATTAGGTTAAGTTTTAGGAAATAATTGGAGACAGAGTGTCGGTGGTCCGAGCGAAAGAAAGGAAAAGCACGAGCAAAGGTCCCATCATACATTAATGTACAGTTTGACCTTTGAGACTCTTTTTTAAAGAAACAATTCACTGTACATTTCTTTTTCACCTCCTTGTATAAAAAAAAAAACTAAGTTCCCTCCAAATCCAGTAGTAGGATCAAGGATGTAGAATATTACAAAGATAAATTAGGTGTTAAAATATTCGGCATTTTGATGGTAAAAGAAATTCCACTAAGTGGCAGATTATGCTATTTTTTCTACGAGTGGGTTACCATTTAACAGTAGTTTTTTCCTATCAAAAGTAATATATATTGTTTAAATAATTTTTCCTATATTGTTAAAATACTACTTAATATTCATTTGTTTACTTTATTATTAAATTTTCTAGGTATTTCTCAAAAATAAATCAAAATGCAAAAATTTGTTATTTTTAGTTTGAATATTTTTCCCAAAGCTGTGAGTGATTACTGAGCTTTCTGCGCAACACGTGACAATACTATTGACTATGGACCCACCGTGTCTCAAACCAAACCATTCTTAAGTAAAATTAAACCGAGACAGACCGGAATAAGCTCTCCGGTTCGGCAGATAACACACACAATCAAAGGTAGGTTTGGTTGTTGTTCACATTCTAAAAAGGAAAAAGAGTTGGCTCGTCAATTTAAATCAATAGCTTGTGTTGATCTGAAGCAACTTACTTAATAATCAATCACATTTGTTACATTCAACATTATATGGTACATATATATGATCACAGAGTCTTATCTGGCTTTGGAAGGAACAAGAACTACCGTGAGATGGAGAGCTTACTGGTTTGATCTGTTGATCAGCTTATCAAAAACCACTGACTGATATCGATCGTTTGCCCTTTATCAATAAACCTGACAGACAGTTAACATTCTCAGTCTTGTCTCCTATCCTAAAAACTATAGCTTGTCAAACTTGATTGAACTAAGAGAATCATAAACAAGTGTAATGTGTGCTTACCCGTACGAAACTTCAGGCTCCATGAATGTGATGTCTCAAGTCTTAAAAACGTCAAGGCAGCAGAAAAGGCCGATAAATTTGAATCCAAGTGACGGATTCTTTTGGCAGAAGAATCACAATTTCAAATGATCTTGAGACAATGCACTGTTTCCTTGAAGTATACAATCATACCACATCAATGGAGGAGATTCTTAGCAGCCTCCTTTCCTGTTACCCGTCACCCATAGCAACATCGAAAACTCAAAGTGATGTTTCAAAGAGTTTTACAAGAAGTAAGGAATTTTTTCATCATCATACGAATGCTTCAGAAACTATCCTATCATCATAATGCTCATTCGAATTCATTTCTGTCACTCCTGTGATCCTTAATTTAACTCCCGGATCCAAAACCTCCTTCGGTTTGTCAAATCCCCCTTGTTTATAGGATCCTCTAACCAAGCCTTTCTCAATCATTTTTTCTTTTAAACGCATAGCTTCAGCAACATCACCACTTTTAATCAGTCCATCAATCAATGTGTTATAGGTAATAGCATTAGGTGTTATGCCCTTCTGTGGAAGCTTACGTAAAAGCCTCTGAGCACGATCTACATTCCCCAACTTGCACAAGCCTTTTATCAAAGCATTGTATGTAACAATGTTCGGGATAATACCTTTTAGTGCCATCTCATCCCTCAGGTTAAAGGCTTTGTTTATATCACCATCAATAGCACATCCGTGTATTAGGATTGTGTATGTGTATTCATCTGGAATAAACCTATCACTCGCTAGTAAATCCGAGAAGAGTTTTTGAGCATCCGTGAGTTTCCCAGCTTTACAGAGACCTGCGATAACAACATTGTAAACAATGTTATTGGGAACTAAGAGCTTCTTAGGAGTACTATTCTCGAAAGAATCAGCAATTTTTTGTGTTTTAAGACACGTCGTAGCACTGGGCTCAAGAAACTCTTTCAAGCTCTGGTAACCGGGAAGATGCAGATCAAAATCCACAATCTTCTGCAATAGCAAACAAGCCTCGTCAATCTTATCAAGCCGTAACAAACTGTTTGCAATCTTGCTGCAAATATTCACATTTAAGGTAATCCCTTTATCTATCATCTCGAAACATGTAGCGTAGACTTTATCTATCATTCCAATATTGCACCAGCCGGTTATAAGAGCCCCAAATGTAGCAACAGTAGGAGTTAATCCTCTTGCGCGTAGCTCGATCACAAGATCCGCTACTTTATTCAAGTGTTTATACTTGAAAGCACCAGATATCAGAGTGTTATACATTTCTATGGTGGGAAAGATTCCTTTCCTTTCCATATAATCTTTAACCGCAAAAGCTTCTTTCAAGTTTCCAACTTTATAATACCCATGGCTCAACGCTTGATATGTTTGCACATCTGGATTACATCTGAAAATGTTCACATTATCTAGAATCTCTTTAGCTTCATTGACCTTCTCCATTTTACACAGCCCAGTGATCATTACGTTTAAGGTTATCGTATCTGTCAATAGACCTCTTGCTAAGACATTCTCCCACAGCTTCATAGCTTCATCAAAATTGCCAAGCTTGAACAATGCTTCGAGTAGGGTGCTACAACTAATCTCATCGGCGGTTAAGCCTCTTTCTAGCATCATCTTCCAAAGGCTCAAAACATCATGAAAAGCACCAATCCGACTATAACCTTTAAGCAAAATATTGTACGTCATAACTGTTGGTACAACTTCTTTTTGGCACATTCGATCACAAAGCTTTAAAGCCTCATTAACATGACCAGCCCTGCAATACCCGTCCACAAGGGTGTTGTATGTATGATGATCTGGTTTCAAGCTCCAATCATTCATCCGAGTAGGTATTTGTTCCGCTTCGACTAATTGACCAGATTTGCAATACCCATTGATCAAGGAGTTACAAATGGTTGTATTTGTTCTTACTCCCATCTCAATCATATGATCATGAACCCTAACAGCATCACGGATTTGACCATTACGACAATATCCATCTATCAACACACCGTACATATGCTGATCCGCAACAAGTTTCTTTTCCTTAACCAAATCAAACACCTCTTCCGCTTCTTCCATCAAACCCTTTTTACAATAACCCTTAATCAACGACGTAAACGTAACAACGTTCCTAGAAACCCCTCTCTCAGACATTAAAAGCAACACTCTTGTCATTCCCTCAACATCTCCGATCATAGCATACCCATTGATCAAACTATTGTAAGTTACCACATTAAGCTCCAAACCCAATGAACTCTCAGTTTCTTTCGCAAATTCCATGGCTTTATCCACTTTCCCACTTCTACAGTAAGCATTAACAACAATACTGCAAGTAAACACATCTGGAGAAACCTCAAAGCTAATCATCTGATCATAAACATGTAAAGCCACAAAGTTTTCACCTTTCTTGACCAAATTGCTTAACAAGCTATTACAAGACAACAAACTAGGAATTCTTCCATACTTTCCCATGTTGTCAAACACATGTAAAGCATTTTTAACCAAACCCTTCTCAGCATAAACTTTCAGTATCATGTCAAAGACTGTAGGAGAGAATGAAAACTCCTTGAAAACCCGAACAAGCTCTCCCCAGACAACGAAGCCCGAGTGATTAAGGGCAACCAATTCACATAGATACGATTTTGTCTGACCGTAATTTCTAGCTCTGGACAAGATGTGAACCATTTTACAATAAGCCTTGTAATCAGGCCGGAACTTTTGTTGCTTTGAAGCTAAATTGAAAATCTCGAGACATGCCTCTGGGTTAAGCTTCAATCTACGGAGGATGGAATTGAGAAGTTCATCTGAGAAATCGAGAGATAGATCATGTAATGCTTCGTACCTGCCAAGTACGAGCAAACGTGAGACCCGCTCGAGTAATTCGGGTCGAATTCGCCCGTTTCCTCCTCGAAGCTCGCGGCGCAAGGTTCTCGAGGCTTCGGAGAAGCTACGTGCATTGAGAAGCGGAAGCAACTGATAGGCAACAACGCGTGCCGGAGACCGTCGGAGCATCAGGAGAATTTTGTTGTCGGATGATTAACCTTGGAGCCCATTAAACTTGGAACCTCAGAGTCTCAGACTCAAAGTCCCGTACTTTGGAATGTGTC